GTCTCGGTGCAGAGCTCTTCCTTTCGTGTTGCGCGTCCTGCTGGTGCGGCTCCTGCTGTAAATTGAGCAGCTGGGGCTGGGGGGGCTTCCGCACCAAGGAGGTGAACTGGCTTTCGGTTGGCGATGTTACCTTAGGCGTGTCACTCCCCCAAGGAGCGTCTTGACTCCGTGGCGCGTAGATAGGCGTGTCTTCTGCAAGCCTTTCCCTCAGCTGCTGCTGCAACGCTTCAAGCTGTAAAAGCCTGGTGCCTTGAGCGTCAGAGCTTAAAGGGAAGGCAGACACGGCCGATGACGGCGCCTCGCTGTACATATCACTCGGTATTCTTTGTTGCTGCTGCGGCTGTGTAGCGGCACCAGCACCTCTGAGCTCTGCCCTCGGACTGGGTTTACAAGGATGAGTGGAGATAACGCCTTCGGTAGCACCAGAGGGCCCCTGGGAACCTCCTGCCTCCAACCGGTGCGCTTTTTCGGAAAGGGAGAGATTCAGGGTCTTGACATATTTCAAATCCTGCTTCAAGGCCTCATTGGCTTTGCGGTAAGACTGCAGCATCCATAGCGTACGTAAGATCATTGTACATTCTCAAAACAGTAACGGCAGGAGAAAATTACCCTACCCATCAGAGGCTTTGAGCAAGAGCACCAGCATAAGTAGATTCACTCCTCGCAAGGCAGTGGTGCAACGCGCACCTGTAGGGCTTTTAGATCCTGTTCGTGCGCTTCTGTAGCTGCCTGCTGCTTCTGACGGGCAGCAATAAGGCTTTCTCTGGCTACCAGGAGCTGATCCCGCGCAAAGGCCAGATCTTCTTCCAGGTCCTTTATCCTTATCTGCAGCCACCACAGCAGGTGCATTTGCGGAAACCACAGCAGTAGGCTTTCGCACGGTTGCGCCAAGGTATCATTTCACAGGCATGCAGAAAGGAGCCGCTGGAGAGCTGTAACAGCGCAATCTACTCGAAGGTCCTTCGCCGCTTTGCCGCGCCGGCGTGCGGCATGCAGCACCAGCGCGAGGACGCCACCGTTGACTTCATGAGGACCTCCAAGTGCAGCATCAGATTACCTGGAGTTGTTCTTTTTCAGCACTGTACTTCTCCTTTTCTTCCTGCCTCGTCTTTTGCGTCTCTTCCTGTAGCTTGACAATAGCTTCAAGAGACTCCTGCTGCTGCTGCAGGCGCATCTCTGCCGCGGTGCGGCAGGTCAGGGCGTCCTCCGTTTTTTTAGTCTGAAGCAGCAGGAAGACCAGCGATGGCAGCGGCGAGACAGCTAAGCCACGAGACAAAAATGCTCGCTAAAGGCGATACTGTGCCGCTCTACAGCAGCAGCAGCAGCACTGGCACCAGCAGCAGGGCACCTAGTTGCTGCGTTGCTTACCTGCTCTTTCAGCTGTTGCTGCAGCTCCTCCATCTGCTGCTGCTGTTGGGCTACCTGTTCGTGCTGCTCAGACAACTCCTTCTCAAGTCCTTCACGCCTCTGCAGCAACGCAAGCTGCATAGGGGACTCTTGATGCGGGAGGGCGAGCGCAAGCCACTGCCGGCGCGTCCAGGCAGGTGGCCCGAGCGGCGATGCAAGCGTCACTCTCCAAACGGTCCAATCAGCAGCAGACACAACAAAGCACCCACCTCTTTTTCTTGCTTGAGGGCCTCCTTTGTTTGCTGGAGCTCCCTCTGGGAGGCCAGCAATTGCTGCTGCTGAGCCAGCAAGAAGTCGCCTGCGGGGAGACAGGCACAGACAGCGGTTCAGTGCGTTGCAGCATAAACCCCAAACCTCGAATGGGGAGACAACGCGCCCTTTGGAGCAACAGCAGGAGCAGGAGTGCGCCAGCGGTGTAAAAACTGCGCGCACTGTCTTGTCTTGGAGGCACGCCGCGAGCTGCAGCAGCGGCCGCGGCAAAAGCAGCAGCCGCGTAAAAGGGAGGAGCTCCGGGAGGCCATCCGGGAAATGGAAAAACTCCTGGCACACCCAAAGGGACTCCACCTGGTACTCCCGAGACACCTGGCTGCACGAATGCGCCTTGCGTGGGCTGCTGCCCAGGAGGCGCCGGCGTTGCTCTCCTGAGGTTTTAGCGCACAAACACAAGTTCTTGAAGTGATTCTTTGTAGCCCTTTCAACTCAAGTGTCGCCCGTCAAAGCCCCTTCAACTCGAGTGCAGTGTGTCCACCTGTCGGCAGCGGACTGCGGCGCAACCAGGAGGCTCTCTAAGGCAAGCTAGCTGTTGGTGTGGCTTGCCTTCCTGCGGCACTGGCCGCTACATTTGCCCAAACGTCTTGGCCAGCCGGAGCTGAGGCTGCCGCCCCTGCGGCTTGACTTGGGGCCTCTTTGCTGCTCTTCCGCTTAGAGGCCTTGGCTTTGCCGCGTTTCGACAGCGGCTTGACACCTTCTGCAGCCGCCGTGGCATCCCCGGGGGAACCACTGTTCTGCGCGCCCCCCCCCACCTTGCGGCTCTGCTGCCTCGCAGCAGCTTTCTCCTGCCGCATGTGCAGCTCCATCGCCCTTTGTCTTTGGACCAAGACCTGACGCCAACTCGCCAGCTGGCCTCTTGAGGGGTCTGCTTCTGAATCTGAATCGGATGAGGTGGGGAGGCCCATCGGTCCCACCGGACTCTGCTCGCGAGCACTGCCAGCACTGCTGACGCTGGTGGTATCGCTGCTTGCACTGCTGCGGCGAGGCGTCCAGCCCTGCCGGCGCTGCATGCTGGGAGGGTGGAGATTGCCTCCGTGCTGCCTTGCTGCCTGCAGCAGCAGCTCCTGCTCGGCCGCGACTGCAGCGGCAAATGATGAGTCCTCGTGTCGCTTTCTTGGGGCATGCAGCACGGAGCTCGACGACTGACTGCGAAGCAGTCTGCTCCTTTGCTGCTGCTGGTGCTGCTGTGCGCCTGCCAGGGGACCCCGTGCAGTGGCTGGCGGACGGCGGTGAAGGCGGTGCTGGGGCCCTTCCTCAGATCCTGAAAATGAAGAATAATCCTCCGAGTCCGAGGCCTGATGCAGCGCCGCCATCATTTGACCCCGACTCCCCTGCCTAATGCTGCTGCTCTGGTGCACGCCGCTGTAGGGACGGGCAGCGGCGTAAGAGGGTCTGCGCACTGCCCCTGGCCACGCATGCAGCTCCGCTTTTTGCCGAAGCATCTGCTGGTGAGGCGTGAACGGCTGCTTCGTCTCAGGCGTGCCGCTTACCGGCAATCTGCTGCTGGGGGATTCGACCCGGGCCCTTGCATTAGAAGGACTGTCGTACAGCAATGACGGAGGTATTAGGTCCCCTCCTTCCTCCTCATGTTCTAAAGGAGACGGCGCCCGGGAAGCACTCAAATCTTCCATCTTCCGGATTCCTAATCTTTTCGTGGGCGTATGGTATGACGCCCTCCAGCTATCCTGAGCAGCCGAGGCAGCCCACTGGACTCGGCTGCGCTGGAGCTCGCTTGTGTCAAATGCCAGTGCAATCGCGAAAATTATTTCAAAACTAAATAATTCTTGTATGCTTGAAGAGACGAAGCACAAAGTTCATAGGAACAGAATATAGCGGCTTCGTGGCAGTCTCCCACCCGCCTTCCGCAGGTTTCTAAGCCTCAAGGGAGGCCACGACGACGCGACGGCAAGGGAGGCACGAGTAAACGAGCGCAAGCATACAAAAGGATTGACTACAAATGCAGGACAAAAATCCAAACAAAGCGAATTGAAGCGATGCGTTCATGTGCTGCCCCTGCTGCAATGCAACGATACATGGACAGTAGCCGCCGCGCCCTAGGGGCCTCGTAGATCTAGGGTCCCTCCAGTCGAGTTTTGAAAGAAGAGCCAGACCGATGTTTTTATATTTTCCTAGTCAATAAATAAAATTAATTGGTATCTAATGGAACTGTTAGCTATACAGCAGCCCCTATATTGCCTCCCGCTTAGCCTCAGCAAGGCAGGAGCAAGACACTAAGGCGTTCGGCAGCGGTCTACAATGGCCTGATCGTCAATGCTGCCTTCCCTCACCACCCTGATCCCCCATTTCCAGGTAGAATTTGCTAGTTATGCGTTTGTATGCTCACAAAATGGTCACAATGGTATGAAATTTGGCACACAGGCGCTGGACTATGTGCATTCTAGCAAGACACGCCACTTTCTCGCTCCTTTGAGTAAAGCGCAGGGGAGAAGAGCTAATTCTCCTCACCCTCCCACAATAGACGTCTGCATCTGCTCAGTTATCTATTAGGCATATCTGAGCAAATCCTCGGTGCTGTCCGTAGTACCTCCACCCGACAGGTCTCAAGCGTCGCGTGCGCAGTGTCTTCCTTCCTGCCTTCTTGCTCACATGGCAAGCAACCGGTCCCTCAGTTTTCTCAAGGAGGTTTTCTGGCTCCCGGGAACTAGAAAAGAAGATGCTTCACCCGAAACCAAAGTGCTTCTAGACGAGACGACGGCTACGCGGCACACAAGTGCACGGGCAACCAATAAAGTTTGCAGTGCTCCACCCAGTGGCTCCACATGCGCAAGGGAGGCCACACCCGCGTACGCCACCTGCCAGGCAAACAGGTGGCGCAGAGGCACAGAGTGAGCAGCAGTAGCTGTAGCAGAGAAAGAAGCACTGTGCTGCCTTGTTGGGGACCACTTCGCTCTACAGCCTTGATAAGCCCCACCCGCAAAAGAAAAGCCAGTAGGGACACACCCCCCAACCGCTAGCCAAGCGCTAAACTCAAAAGAAGGAAGCTGAAAGGCAGAGGCGGGCGACAGGCATTGCACCCCTTAATAGCACCTAAGCAAAGCAGAGCCGAAACGCCCCGAAAAGGGGGCCTGCCCCGTCCCGCCGTCCCCTACTACTTCCGTCTAGGATTTTTAAAAAAAACAAAACCAGCGGAGAGGACTCAGTAAGCCCGACTGCCGCTGCACCACCAGCAGCGGACTCCAGGCCTAACCACTGACTGGCAGTGAATACGGCAGCAGCAAGGGCGTGCTGAGCCCCTGCAGAACATGCTGCAACAGTAGGACATCATCTGACTGAGCAACTGCATCAGAACACCGGCTAGGGCATTAATACAGACTGCTGCAGCAGCTGTTTGTCTTTTTAGCCTGCCGATAAAACTGGTAGGAGGTATTCGAGAGGTCCTCACTGCGCTGCATCAAGTCATCCAGTTTTTCGCCCCGCTGCAACAGTTCGTCTATATTTTTGAGCATAACGTCTTTGACCTGAAGAGCAAGGCAGAGAACCTTCTGGCTAGGTACTTACATGTAGACAACATAGGAATCCATGCGTAGCCAAAATTTTCTCAAGCCAGTTTTAATGTGTATAATAAACCGTCGAAAGATCGAGGCCCATGCTCAAGGAATACAAATGAGAGCATTCACACACCATAGTCTTCGCAAGAAGGGCAAAAGGCACCTTATATACAAAAGGTGGAAGTAGAGTCGCAAAGAGAAAATAGGGGAGCTGGGAGGGAATGTAAAGCAGGCCGCGCGCTCTAAAGCAACGCCATTTTCCACATGAAAACCGCGAGGAAGCGGTGGGGGGGGGGAGGGAGAAGGGGAGCAAGGAGGAGGAGCGGCAGTAACAGCACCAGAGAAAGGCAGGTAAAGGGCTCTTGGCACGAACAAGCACTGAATAAAAGCGGGGTAGAACAAAGGTACGAATACAATCCACAGCCGAGGAGTCTGCCGAAAAAGAGGCATCAGCAGCACGCAACGCTGGGGGGCAAGAACCAACCGCAGAGCTAATTTATGACTCAACACTATCATCACCTCCCCAGAAACAAAGCTAGAGCCCCTGCTCACTAGCAACTGCCGGAGACGAGCACAGAGAGAGGCAACGCAAGAGCCATGGGCGACAGACAAAGAATCATCATGAGGCACAAATCCACCACGCAATGGCGGAAGGCCAGAATTGAGGGAAGCGCGAAAGTGGGCTGTTCATGTGTCCTACTTCATCAAGTTCCCGCTGAACCTTTAAAAGCTTGTCTGCTTCCAATGGATTTTGATACTTCTTCAGCATATCTGCACCCTCAGGTAGCATATTGGCTCCTGGGGCGTCTTCTGTGAGGCCCTCCCACTGCCCTGCACATTTCTGTCGAGAATCGCATCAAAAGGCAGAAGGCGGTGGAGCAGGAATATCAGCTTCATGGAAGTAGGCAGATGAGAAGAGATACAGTAGAAAAGCTGCTAGCTGCAGCCCTTGAGCGGTCAGGAAATGGACGAACCAGAAAGACGCCGTCAAGGGGGCAACGAGATACGGCAGCAGACTTCGAGCACAAAGTTACAGGAGGCAGCAGCACTTCAGCGAGGCCTTAATGGGCATCGGAGGGCTAATGGCAGCATGCAAGGAGGCATAGGAGAGGCAGCAGCTGATGAGGGGCACTCAAAAATTGGCAGAAAAAATCCACCATCCCCCATCAGCGTCTACCCTGCTCCTTCATTCTGTAAGGAGGACCGGGCGCAGGAACCCGCACAGAGAAGATCAATCAGCAAAGCTGCAAGCGAAACACACGAGACTGATGGGGGGAAGGGGGGGAAGCGCGCGAGTACATATATATATATATGTGCAGTAGACGGGTGCACGAAGGGATATTTAGACACAGATAGTTGGAAAGGAGGCTTGATAGCAGTGAACAACAGGGCCGAAAGGCATGTCTCTCCGGCGGAAACAGCATGCACACCTCTTGAAAGAGCCTGAGGGCCTCATTGATTAGCCCGAAAGCGACGCGCATGGGATAGCTGACCGAAGAGAGAGCCGTGATGGCCAGTCCACTAGGGTGGCAGTAAACGTGGCAGTGGCCAATTTTGTTTTCGAACTCCACGACTTGCCGCCGTCCAAGCGGGGTTCTCGCGGCGATGAGTCTGCATTGCAGAGGTACACAAGTGAATGATGGGCAGGCAGATGGGATACGCGCAAGCGCCGAGACCCCTGTGGTATCAGGGCGTGCAGTGGAGAAGATACATTCGTTCTTGCAGAGTCCCCGAATACGTATCTTTGCTGGCCACTCTGGAGGAGACATGGGGGTAAAGACGGGAGAGGGTTTGAAGAGAGGCAGTGGGAGCGGCGAGCGGCTCATGGGCCACTGCACGGATGCAGCGCTCGCGCCCCCTAACGCGTGTATATAGCCCTCATATGCTGGATGGGGAAGGGAAGCGACGGTTATAGGCCTTGATACAGTGCGTGCGAGAGGTACCTGGAGTGGAAGATGATGTGCTCCTTCATGGTGGACCTGTGGAAGAAGGGGAAGGATGATACATCGACGGCGGCGGAGAGGAGCAATGGGCGCTCGCTGTGCCACTTGAAAACAAGGAGGGAGTACAGTGCAATTTTGCCACCTTCAGCTGGTACTCCCCTCCCGCCGCCAGATACGCTGCCACTCCCGCTGCTCATTGTCCGCAAGCACACCCTCCACTGCACTCTTACCACTGCTGCTGTCTTAAATCTCTTTCTATGGGGATATTCGAGTAAATAAGCCAAAACCCCAGAGCCCAAGGCAAAACACAGCGGTTACTGCCCGTAGCCGTCCATCCGAGCTCGCCTGTGGAAGATCAGGCAGACGCGGCCGTCGTTGCCGGCCCTTGCAGCTTTTTAAAATCCATGGACTTACTTTAATGCCCAGTTCTGAAATAGAATCATCCGATTTTAGTCCCCTCTGACCCTTCGAAACACAGAAACACCCCGAAAAGCTCTGCGCATGCTCTTGCCTAAGATGCACCGACGACCCGCGTACCAGAACGCCGTCCGCTGGGCAAGGGCCCCCTCGTAGCCAAGGCCGCTGTCTAGCAACTCATCTTTCTGCCATCAGACAGGCTCAATTTGCATCGCTTTTGTCTGTTGCAAATAGCACCCATCAGCTCCAGAGCTTCCAGCCGACCCTTTTCGGTAGCAGTGCTCCGCATTCTGCTATACGCACCGCTCTCGGTATTTATACCCGTTTTGGGCCCCAACTCAGTTCGACAGTCCAGCTCCTCTGTAAAAGCAGCCGAGTTGACACACTGCGAGGAGTAATTTGATGTGCTGCTTAGCTCACTACCCTACTGGACGGCAATACGACTGCCCCTTCAAAGTACGCGGCGATTTCTAAAAAAAAGGATAACACCTTTCTCCTCTGTGCTTGACCCCCCATCATAGAGTCTGTGAAGGGCGATTTATATGCTTGCTTAGCCTGTAGGGCATGGCGTTCCCTGTGGGACGGTTTGCCTCCACCGTGTGTGGCGTCCTTCACTTCTGATTGTTAGCACTGCTGCTGGCAGTACGCTCACATTTTTGTCTTCTGCTGGCTGCTATCCTTGGCGCTTCTGAAGCCACTAATGTACCATCTACGGGCTAAGCGTGTCCCTATTAGTATTCTGGGCTTACTTAGACGTACACACTTGCTACTACACGTCACATTTAACTGAGGTAGTGAGCAATTACCCAATTGGTTAGTCTGTCGATATACCTTATATATTGCACAGTACTAATTGTTCGATACAAGAGGAGGCACTGTTCCGCGCATATGCGCGACATGCTATGTGCAACAATCTGTCAGTGCTTGGTTGGAGAGCATAGAGGGTGCAGCTACGCGAGCCCTAGCTGGCTCTCTCCCGACGCTGGCAGGGGAACGATGAGTTTAATTGGGGCCATTCTCAACAACTTTCTATTGAACACGCATTGAATCTGGAGGTAAGCTGACTTCTTACAGAGACCTTGTAGTACAGTTGGTAGCACTGCGTGGTTCCATGCAGCTATTCCCCTCCCATCTAATGGCTTTAAGTGCAAAGAGATCTCAGCTTTCGGTAAAACATTTTTCCGAGCTGGATTAAGCTATTTAGTATCCTGATTACTTGATGGTATTTGGCAGCAGCCTGAAAAGAAAACCCTGTGGTAGTGGGAGTAGGCGGTGGCCCAACACCTATTGGGGAAGCAGAGGCCGGCACGCAAGCTGATGTAAGCACATTAGCTCCACAGCTGGTAAATGGCCATGCTCGTAACCCATAAAATGGTCGTGGACGCGTCGATATGGCTAGGTCAACAAAAAAATACGACGGCCGTCAGAATGGGCAACACTGGCAGCTTGCACTTGCCCGTTGGAGATGTGCCTTGCTTTTTACCCTGCAGCTGAAAGAGAATAAATGCTTTTTGCTTCATATTTATTAAAGGTAGAAGGACTTAAATGGTGGCTCTACTTATGCAGAGGAGGTTGTCTGCGTGCAGGGATTACTACTGGTAAAGCTTTTATACACTCCCCAGCCGATCGATATTTTCCGAGATCAACTCAAAAGCAAGCTTTGATAAAATTGAGTAATAGCAAGTAGAAAAATCTATCAATAGCTTGCTATAAACAAAACAATTGCAAACTAGACGAACAGCCACTATAGCTGTGGTTTAGCTCTGTCTACCCGAAGTTTCTCGTCAGCTGGTCGCAGGATAATCTAGGAGCCAATCATTGGGGCTTTCACAAATGATCAACCAATCGAGGTTTTAAAAGATTATGAGCGCACATCGTGCGTGTTTGGCTATAGGGCAAGGGGCAAATAGAGATTCAGAATCTATGGATAGCGGGTTTAACCAGCTCTAGCCAACAGTCTAGGACAATCTAGAGAAAACAAGCAGGAACCTCCCGTAATCAATGCAGCCTAGGCAGCCCTTAATAACGAGACGGCCTGATATAGCCTAAAGCAAAACAGGGAATGTATCGCCTCTATATCCTAGCTTCACTCCGCAGTGCCCCTTTCCCAAAATACATCATTTTTTTTCGAGCAATAACGGCATTCGCGTTACACATATGCCCATTCTATCGCTTGCTACAGCTCTATCCCAGCTCACAAATTCGCCCAATTATTCAAAAATTGCGCCGAGAAGCTTCATAGCTTCTTCGGATGCATCAGTTCGCACGGGAATAGGAGGCTTCTTAGTGCGTTCTGGCTTGCTTCTATGACCCCAATACACAGCCACCACAGCGTAGCCACTACGAACCACCCTGAGGCCGCTAAACCGACCTATCATACCTAATGCGGCCTTGCAATATATTTGCCACTCTGTGCTTCCAAAGGCCCAGTTGGTTAGCTTGATGTTCCTTCCTGAGCTGAGTGGGCTTCTATAACGACAGCAGACTTGCCAGCTCGGTGCTCTCCCGCAACTCCAATCCTCACCGAGAAGCTTCCAATCAATCAAGGTCTCGACCTGATGGTCCGAGGTAAGCAGCTATCGGTACCAGAGAAGGAATTGAGAGAAAAGCTGGCTGGTGCACGCGAATGTATGTGCAAAGCTCACGAGAGACAATCAGGGAACCATGAAAAGCGGTGGCCGGATGTTAGTTTGGGGCTGGAGATTGTTTCTCGTTAGTGGGCAGGTTTATGTGGTGCACAAATAGTAAACAGACAAAGAAGGCTGCCGCAAGGTGGCTAGGATCATTTACAGTTTTGAAGAATCAGTGCTCTCCGTACTCGATCGATTTTCCACAGACTTAAGGACGCCATGGAACAATACATGTGGGCTTTTTAAAGAGGCATCAAGCTCCCTAAATCATTCGTGGACTTTGCTGCGCAGGCATGCTACCCGTATGGGGGCGGCCGATCGACAGGATCCACAGATGTTCCAGATTCTAGGACTGCTGAGCGGTGAGGGTACTCTAGAGGAGGATTTCTCGTGACATGGCAGTGGAGGGCACCAGCTGTAAAATTTCACGGAGAAGCAGTTGCAAGTTTCGTTACTTGCGTCAAAAACGAATTTGCGGCTTTTTGATTAGCAATATTAATCGCCATGGGCTGGATTCCTCGCGTTCCTTGTAATTTGTCCCTCCCTTGTGCATGCTCTGTCTGAATTTGCTGCCCCCAGCTATAAGTATTGCTTCAGAAGTTATGCGCTATTATTGATCAGAGGCTCTCTACACTGAGCCTTATGCGCAGGCGCTCCCAGATATGTTTTCCCCGTGCGCTAAATGCTATGTGCGACTAGTTGTGAATGCTCGGCCTGCTGGGAGGGTGCGCCGAAAGGAGCTCTAGTTGTCCTCTTTCCTCGCGTCGGGAACTATAAAGAGTGCGAGTAGGGGCGGGTAGGGCTACTTTAAAGACTGGACACACTCAATGACTTCATATTGGGTAAGTATTGAATACGGAGGTAACCGTCTCCCTGCGAAGACCTTATACAAAGAGTTACGAGAATGACTTGAGATTGGCACATGGGCTACCGCACGATCTGGGATAGCCCCTGAAACCCCAAAGGACCCGATCGTTCATTAATCAGGCGGAGCGACGAGTCGGCGGGTTTCCTGAGAATGGATCATACAAAAACCACAGTACTGCCGACTTCAGTACAAGGTACCACTGAACTCCATGGCACCCGCCACCACACGCATCGCAGCCTCCGACCCGCAGTTGCCATTCAAAAACGTCCTGGTGGTGCCTCTTCAAACCCTTTTTATTAGAACAAAGGAGAATTACGCCATTAAAGAAAGGAGGGGAAGGAACTCTAGACGGGCGCACACGCAGGCAGCGGCAGGCTACAAACCAAGGATCCCCAGCCTTCTCACCTGTTCTTCCTGTTGAGCCTGTACACTCGCGTACTTTTGCACAATGAGCTGTTTTTTCTTCTCCAGTAGCAAACGCGCGATCTCTGCGTCCGTTGGAAGGTCTACATAAACCCGAAACTTTTTGCTGGAGCTGCTGTTGTTGTCCTGCTGTGACACAGACGCGCATGCACACGGACAGTGCACACTTGATGGCACGGTTGTAACAGGAAGAGTAACAACTCTTTAATTTTGGCAACAAGCACCTTAGAGGGAGCCTCTGGGATAGGCTGATGGGAGCGCCGCATGCAGAGCAGCACATGGCCACTGCAAACGTTCTGGTTTCTACCTGGTCGTCTTTTTTATGCTTAGCCGTTGTCCTTTCCCTCTCAGCTGCGGCGGCAATTCCTACAGCAACATCTGCTGCTGATGCTGCCCCGACGCGTTCTAGCAATTCCTGTTGCTGTTTCAATTCCTCTTGCTGTTCCTGATGCCATAACTGCTCCTGCTGCTGCTCGGCAAGTAGCAAGTCTTCATTCTCCTTCAGCAAGTGCACAATGCAGACAAAGGGCTGCACATGCAAACGCGTTGGTGGCGCTGTCGCAACGAGTCCACCTTGATATACACTCCAAAACCCAGATCCAGAGGTAGCCACGCCCTCCTCCCCGGGAAAGTAAGCATAGACAGAGCCCACGCATTACAACCGCATGCCCTGCGCTTGCACTGTGCAGGTCGGTAGAAACAGAATACATGCTCAAGGCCTGCAAACATCTCCGATCTACAAAGCTCCTCCAAAGCCCCCTAACACCCACAGGGTCAACTGATACCCCTAGAACCTGGCATTAACAACAAAAGGTCAGCACGACAACACTAACACCGCTTTGCTCTGCAGGTGGCTCCAGAAATAGGCATCAATCCATGCTCATAACAAGAGGCAGTGAGTGATCAAAAAGAACCGAAACAGCGATAGGCAAAGACAGCCCTATTCATAAGTGACCTATACGTGAAGGCCCCTCGCACGACTCTGCCCCTCTGTGGCGCGCATTCCCTGTCTTCCCTTCTGACAAAGCCTCAGCGAAAGAAACAGCGAACGCGGACTGATGCACTCTAGACAACGACCCCAAAAGCTCAAAGACTATGCGTCTCGGGTGGGCCACGCCGACGCTGACTCTCTGACGGATACAGCCCCTCTCAAACTTGCTATCTCCTAACAGCTCTCAACGGCCTTTTAGTGCCCCAGACGTGTGTGTTCCCCAGGTGACTCTATTCATTCCCTGTGAAACCGACTTCAACCCCTCTCGTTGTGATTTACGGTGCCTACAGGCGCTTTCTCGCCTCTAAAAAACCTTGCAAGCGCCCCCCACATGCCAAATAGCCCACAAGACCCTCACCCCCTTTGAGAACCCTCTGAAGTTCTGTGAACTACTTCCACTAATACCACGCTCCTGGTTTACGTGCCGAATGTCTCCTCAATGGTCGGGATGTTACGGACTTCGTCTCTCCAACCAAAGTAATCCGGAGTTATCCGCCTCAAGAGCTGTGCACGAGTCTTCCTGGGCTCGTTTACTTCCTCAGCCTTTGCAGCAAACAGTTCCCGCACGCCCTGAGCAGCAGACAAGACGCAGTAGCACCAGAGGCACCAGTACCCACACTATCGACAGGTGAAGCAAACCTGCACATCTGACAGCAGACAGCGCAACCCCTCCCCCCTCTGCACGCGCTGCGGCAAACCGATTCCCCCCCGCCACCGACACACAGCAGAACCCTCTGCAGCAAAGCGACCCCACGCACGCTGCAGCTGCACCCCAAAGGCTCAACAAGAGAGGAGGCAGTAGCCGGACCGCATCCAGCACAGACATCTTGGGGATCGCAGAGCAGGCGCTTACGGGAAGTTCCTTTGCTGCTCCAAAGTAATAATAATCGCCTCCAGCAGCCGCAACCCCGCTGAGAGACAACGCGTCCGAAGCCGTTGAGTAATCTGCACCTCCAAGCTGCAGCACAAGCGCGGAAGAATACGACCCGCAAGTTCGACCGCATAGCCCTGGTGACAACAGCATCGAGACGCCTTTCTGCGCTTCCCTTGCTGGCAGCGCCACTAAAGGGCACGAAGCCGTGTAATACAGAGTCAATCAATTTACGCAAAAGCAACGTGACTAGCAAGACGGCTAAAGGACGGCCCCAGCAACCCTAGTGCTCCTCCTCGCTCGTGCAAGCAGCAAAGGTTCCAGCAAGCAGCAGAGGCTCAAGCAAGCAGCGAAGACAGTCAGGGGCAACGGGAGCACACAAACACACACACACACACACACACTAAGCTCAACAGTCGTCAAGGCAGAAGCAGCAACAACCTAGCGGCACAATTACTCCACGTACTTCTTTGATACGATATTCCCAGCGTCGCTTCACTCTGAGCTTCTTGTTGATCTCATCGTTCAAGTCCCTGATGCGATGTTCACCCAGAGAGGCATCCTGAATCATAGAAATACCCCTGCCGATCTCCCGCACCAGCTGGCTCCGCCTGTAGCAGCAAAACTGACAGCAGCTTCGACGTGTGGAAATATGGCGCTGCCACCGCCGTGCGCAGCGCAGGCAGTCCATACAGCAACATTCAAACAAAGTGACAGCCACCCACGTTGACTGATAGACATGCCGCCTACAGCCTGATATCCCTTCTATACTGCACCAGTACGCTGGAATAAGCGGAGTTGCATTGCCACCCGTCACACTGCAGCAGCTTTCACGGAAGGGGGAATGCAGCGCAGCAGCACTCAAAGCACAACCACAGCACAGAAACATCCAGACGCTGCAGTACACAAGGAAGGTCCTGCAACTGAAGCGTCGGCAGATGCACCGAAGCGCAAAGGCGGAAGCAGCAATAGTATCCTCATCGTACCACTGTGTGGCCCTCTCGATATCATCGCATTCCTCTGGAATACACGGCCCCAAAGCCTTCTGCTGGCCACCCTTGAGAACGGCATTCTTCACCGCCAGCCACTTGTTAAGGACTGCATTCGCCCTCTCTGCATTGCGCGCCATTCTTGATTGTTACTTGCCACACACACTGTCTGCTGCTGCTGCCCTGGCCGCTCCTACCTTCTGCAGCTCCTCCTCCAGCTACCGGCGCTTGCGCACCCGCAGTTGTTGCCTCTCACGCGGGCTCGCTCCTGCTGTCACCCTTCTTCTTCTTCACGGTGGTCGCCTAGTCGCAGACTTTGCGCTAGAGGCGCAAAAGGAACTGACTGGGCGAAGCAAGAAAAGCTGCAGTGGCTGCTCCTCGAGAAAGAGTAGGAGAGCTGCCTTTGAACACACACGCCAAAATTCAACGACTCACAGCACAGGCAACAGCCGCTCAAGCGGCTCTTGCTGCTGCTCGCCTTGCAGCTGCAGAGCGCTTTGCTGCCCGAGCGCAAGGCGGGAGGTATTGACTCTGCCGCGTCTCTATGCACGAAACACCGTGAATACTGAGATTTAAGTCAAGAAGGGCACAATGTCGTGTTGTTTGATAACCTCAACCGCAGCATCCTTGCAACGGCCGCTGGGGCTTGCATGCGCAGACTTCGTACTAACGGGCTTTCACAGAAGGTCTTCAGCAGAATCCATCCAGTTGTTATTGCTGCTAACATCTAAAGTGGAAGCACTATTAAGCTTTCTCTGTTTTCTTTGCTCAGACAACCTACAGGCAAGGCCCTCGAAAGGGATTTCGGCAACCGTGCGGTCGCTGGGGTGCGCTCAGTGCAGTTGCGTATAGTGACTTCCAGTGCGTTCCAAAAGTTTACCGGTTTAAGACCACATGTACATGTGTATGGCTATGCACATTGGCTCCGCAAGCCCAACGTCGCCTTCATAGCGGGAAATGATAGTCCATGGCTGCACAGTCCTAGGCCTAGTTCCACCCTCCACGCGGACTGCACACTGCTCAAAACATCCCCACCAGTTTGTGTGTATGAAATGTGAGCTTCACACTTGCTGTGCTCAAAAACAAATCTGTAGGCATTGAGCCTGCAGATGCTGAGCGTTGCACACACAAACCAGGGAACCAAAGCCTACCCTAAAATGCCTTCTTCGAGGCTGCACTGAGGCTGATAATTATTCAAAAGGCAAGAAAATTTCGAATAGATTCCTGTTAGGAATCGGGTGTACCAGTGTCTCCTAAGAGTGCGGCTTACCTTTATCCTGTAGTAGTTCCTCAAACTCCTGCGGGGACAGCATTCGCCAGACCTCCACCGTTGAACATCTCTGGATGGTCACTGATTTTTCACAAAAGCGGAAGGACTTCTGCTGGTCAGTGCAAAGTCAGCATAGAGAACCTTTTGGCACGTTTCGCTAGCCCACACGATACCAGAGCCATCCTGTACTCACAAGTGCTGTCGGACAACTGAAAGTCCCGAATCCTTTCAGCCATCTAGCCCTTCTCTAAGAGCACTCACTAGGGAGGTACAGCATGGGGCGTACCCTTGTCCAAACATCACGATGCTGTGTGTAGCATGGGTTGCATGTTGATCGTCGTATGAATTTTCACAGTGGGTGCCTGTCATCTGGGGTATATCAAACAAAAAGTCTGCCCTATCAGCATCCATGATATAATCCTGCGAATACAGTAGCGCAGCGACACCGATTCGCCTTTCGAATGAGCTATCTCTACTGGGCGATTGGCGCAGCAATCAAAAAGCCGCAAATTTTTCCTCCCGCAGCAGCGAAACACGCATCCGCTCCTCCGTAAAATTCTACAGCTGGCGTTCTCCATCGCCATTTCACGAGAAATTCTCCTCTAGGGTACCCTCACCGCTCAGCATTCCTAGAATCTAAAACATCTGTGGATCCTGTCGATCGGCCGCCCCCATACGGGTAGCATGCCTGCGCAGCAAAGTCCACGAATGATTTAGGGAGCTTGATGCCTCTTTAAAAAGCCCACATGTATTGTTCCATGGCGTCCTTAAGTCTGTGAAAAATCGATCGAGTACGGAGAGCACTGATTCTTCAAAACTGTAAATGATCCTAGCCACCTTGCGGCAGCCTTCTTTGTCTAATTGCTATTTGTGCACCACATAAACCTGCCCACTAACGAGAAACAATCTCCAGCCCCAAACTAACATCCGGCCACCGCTTTTCATGGTTCCCTGATTGTCCCTCGTGAGCTTTGCACATACATTCGCGTGCACCAGCCAGCTTTTCTCTCAATTCCTTCTCTGGTACCGATAGCTGCTTACCTCGGACCATCAGGTCGAGACCTTGATCGATTGGAAGCTTCTCGGTGAGGATTGGAGTTGCGGGAGAGCACCGAGCTGGCAAGTCTGCTGTCGTTATAGAAGCCCACTCAGCTCAGGAAGGAACATCAAGTTAAGCGACTGGGCCTTTGGAAGCACAGAGTGGCAAATATATTGCAAGGCCGCATTAGGTATGTTAGGTCGGTTTAACGGCCTCAGGGTGGTTCGTAGTGGCTACGTTGTGGTGGCTGTGTATTGGGGTCATAGAAGCAAGCCAGAACGCACTAAGAAGCCTCCTATTCCCGTGCGAACTGATGCATCCGAAGAATCTATGAAGCTTCTCGGCGCAATTTTTGAATGATTGGGTGAATTTGTGAGCTGGAATAGAGCTGTAGCAAGCGATAGAATGGGCACATATGCTGAGTCTTTTGGCAATGACGTAGAAGCTACCCTGACCCTTCTCTTCCGTTATTCCAACAAAAGGATCCATAATCAAATCAGTTCAAGCCGTTCAGGATCCGTAGAGATTTGCAAACGGCTGAGCTTGGGCGAGTCTAAAACTCATTTGCTAAAAACGTCGGTATGTGAGTTCATATTTCTCTGCCGCGGGCAGCATCCCAAGCCGGCAGGACGGTGAGAACTTTTCTGTTGTAGCGGGAAAGTCATTATGACCGGAGAGTAAATTATTATGTTGTTTGGGAAAGGCCACTGCGGAGTCCTGTCGGATTGTACAAACGATGGAACCTTGCTCTGTTTTGATTCTCAGCATTTTATTCCATATCTGGATATGTTCCACCCTTCTGCTGTACTAGATTTTGGCAATAGTATCAGATGCATGGATATCAAAGAACACGACTTACTCAGCTCAAAATAAGCCATTAGTCATCACAGACAAGAAGCGTTGCTTTGCACACGAGTAAATTGCTTGGACCTCGCGAGAGCGCGTCGGATACCATTTGGGTAGTTTCCTGAACATGCTTCAGTGCAACGTCGTACCGCAGAAGGCACTCAAGCCAGCAAACAACTATAGGATGGCGAAAGATCTGGAAACTGTTCTATAGGTACATTAAAAGCTTATGATCAATCTGGGCACTAAATTGAGCACATATAGTAGCGGCATTCCTCACACCGCACCACACCCCATGAAGTTCATTTTCCTGTACTGGATACCACTGCTCGGTTTCGGTGAACCAATCAGAATGACAAGCAATAAGTCAGTGTTTTAAAGAGCCCGTGGCCTCTTGGGGAAGAATTACACTCACTGATACGTCACCAGCGTCGGCTGCTAAGAAGTAATGAAGCTCACGAAACTTCCAAGCCACAAATGATCCCATGAAACCCTGTGTGCGTGTACACCCCAATGCCACACAACAGCCAGAGCCCACTGCGTAGATGCCTAAGTGCAGCTGAACGTTTCAGTTGAAGACTGGGGCGTCCATGTAGATAGCCATTCACCCCTGCTTGTTTGGCCCGAAGTTCCCATTAATTTGCCGTTATAGTCTAATTGAGACCTTGACAGATCCTAGAGGAACACAGGTAGTTGAAACTTCGGTTTGTGGCTGTCATTAAGGGGAAAGGGGATTGTAAGCAAGAGTTGAAAAATCAAGTGTTGTGTAGAGTGTTAAAATGCGTAACTTGACAAGAAATTTGCCGAAACGAGGCACAGGGAGCTCCTACTTAATACTGATGCTTCCAGCAGCTTAAAGCTGACGCACACACGCCACGTTCCGTCCTTTTTGAGCACCAGCAGCACTGGATTTTACCCCAAAGTGATGATCAATGCTTGCACTTAGCCATTACCAACAATTGAGTTGTCTTCCGCTGAGTCTCACCTTCATGCTGTAAGGGATTCAGATACCGCAGAACATAGCTTGGGGCGGACTCGGGGATTAGCTCAATACGGTGCGGTGGATAGCCAGCAGGTGGCCAGACTGCTGCAAGCCCTACATTATTCGGCACATCTGCCAGCCCTTCCTTTATATTTGCACGTTCCTGATCTTTTTCGACCGAATGTTTGATAGAAGCGTCTGCTAATGTAGTGGTTAGAGAGCCACTAAGATGGAATGGTCTTTTAGACCCACCGTCTCTTACAGCTTTGTGAAACCACCCGCATGAGTACTCTACATTACCTTGCGTGGGTATTGGCCTAATTTTGCTCGCCATCCATGAATAAAATGAGTGTTTTCAAGGAGACCAGGACCAGCTTTTTGTAAGAGATTCCCGACGCACCAACGTCCACATCGCGCAGCTGTAGTGGCACGCGCACCAACATGAGTCCCCCATGGGATCCCTAGGGGTATGTCATACAGACAGGCCCTGCATGGAAGTCTCCGAAAGCTCTGGTAGGATAAAATTTTAACTTTAAATGAGATTTGACTGCCACAGCTCTGCACATCCTTGAATTCTGTCGCCCGTCAGCAAGCCTGAGTCGTAGGAAATGTGCTAACGTGATTAGGCAGACTACACTCCTGTACCGCATCCTCCGTATCGAATATATTCCATGTCCATTCTTGACTAAGCGAAGCAATGGTTGACCATTAATGTGAAATCCACCCCAGAGTTAGCTCGGACTAAGCGTAGCAATTGTTGGCCATTAACGTGAGCTTCACCCCAGATTTGGCTCGTGATGGGTATCCAACTGTGGCTTTCTGCTCTGTAGCCGTCTTCACTGTTTTGCAGCCTGCGTGGCGGGAACTTTGTACCCTACACAAGCCTTGTTAGCTCGTCAGACAGTCTGATTCCGCTGGGGCCCGCTGCTTTTGTTCGAGTCTTTGCCTTTTTGCACGCGCTTTCAGTTTTGCATTGTTACCCAATCTCCCGCACCAAAGCAGACGCGTTGTTAGGAGGCTTTCTAGGGCTCCATAAAAGCGCGAAATCTTCCTGGCTTCTTTTCTCGTTGACCTTAGACAGCAGGCTGGGGCCGCTTCAAGGAGTCCTGTCATTCAGAGATTCTAGTCCCTATTGATCTTTTCCTTAGAACCAGGAGCATAAACCGTGCTCATTCGCCCCCCGACTCGCGAATAGTCCATCAATTGTGGAATCTCAGCAGGTCAGCTGTTCGATCGCTGAACCGCTAGCCATCACGTAGCCGTCTGACGTGGCACTCGGTGTAGACATGAGATAATCCAGTAACAAAGCAGCTATGCTGTGGCTGCTGCAGATCAAGCTCTCATTTTTTAAAACATTAGGTTCTCCACACATTCCTTTAGTGGAGCTTACTGTACTATCGCAAAGCTTGTTATTGAGCTGACCAAGGTATAAACTGATGGTCGAGGCCTTGTATGCAGGCCTGAACTGTAGGAGTCCCCGCAGGCAAGCGACTACGTCTTCATGGAAAGAGTCACAACTTAGGTATTTTCTCCCCAGTGAACAGGACACAAGAAGTAGTGGTTTCTCTTCATCTGCGGGGTTCATAGCAAGGTACATCTTCAATCAGCTGATGGAAATCCTCGAGTACTCCTTCAGCCTTACGGCGTCACGCTCTTCTGGTCAGTACGACGTCGACGTATACATAAGTACCTTTATAAGCTGGCAAATCAAGCCTTCCAACCAACTGTCAGCTTGCAAACCAGTCTCCGCTGCCCTGACAGGCGTTGCGCCGTCGTTTACTTCCATCGCCAGAGAGTGCATTTAGGCTGTTGCCAAAAAATCATAATTGAACTATCAAATAACGTGATTAAGCAAATGGGATGTTGTAGGACAACCTGATATCCCCCTGCATCCACAGCCAGTGGATCAGCAGAGTAAAGCTGCATGGAGCCATGTGGTGCCACCAGTTGTAGCGCTCCAACCAAGGTCACCGTAGAAAGACACTTACCTCTTGACTAAATGAAAAAAAAGCTTGAATGCTTGCCAGAATGAACATTAGCCTTCCTCTGCCTATGCTCTTCATAATACATGACATGAGGGGACTGGGAATCCTCGGGTGCACGTAGCTGCACCCTTTAAGCCATCCGAGCATTCACAGCTAGTTGCACATTACATTTAGCCCCCACGCACACCTTCAACCTTTCGTATCGAGCCGACAGCACTCCCCAATAAACATTAAGTACGGATGAACAAACGAGCTAAGTCGCTTGCTTTCTGACTCTTGGTTTGCTATAGCTAGTGTAGTAGAAAGTGTTGAAGCGTTGCCCGCTACAGCAATAAGCGGTGAAGTAGCGCCAAGAATGAAGGCCTCTACCCCACGTGGCTCCAGCTTAAGAGCCCATAGCACCGCAGAGCGTCAGTATCTCCACTTTGATTGAGATATAGATTCAATGCAACAACTAGGACTTAAGACTTCTGAGACTCCAGACGCCAGGTAATCCTACGGAGAGCCAATGCCGCTATGGAGGCCAGAAGAAAACTAGGGAGTACACCTTATGCAAAACATCTAGGTCACCATACACCAGCTAGGAGGCGGGTATTTCCTAGGAAGGGACGAGAAGGCTCTCAGGCCAGGCAAATAGCATAGACCTCGATGGCAGCAGCGACCAGACACGCGCCACCACGCAAGCAACTCCTTAGTGTCCCTGAAATTGAACTACAGCAAGACAGAGGGTACTCATGTGTGCCAATAGCACTTGTGCCAGGTTTGGAGTGGCCAGTAATTGAGCAGCCAGAAGGGTTTCAGCTCGTGCCTTTGCCCCTCGACCGGTGGTAGGTAACCGGCATGTGGGTTGAAGAGGAGCTCCTACTGTGCTCTTGCATCTCAACACCTATTGTATATAAATTAAATGCGTTTTTAAGGAATGGGAGCTGAGTGTAATTGGGATGTTGGGCCTCTGAGGGAGATGCGTGCTGCCGTACCGTAATCGCCTGAGGCATGCCATTGACTCCTGGTACTCCGATGGCTCGCGTGGCAGCGGATCCTCAAGCTAGGTACGAAGTCTGAAGCTTTTGCCACACTCTTTATCCTAATCTTGTTAGGTTCTGGTTTTCCTTTTTGCTTTCAATCGAGACGGCAGCAGCAGGACCCATAAAAGCCTACACGAGTCCAGGCCCGTGCCCGGTCATCCTGCCGTCGGTGTAGGCAGTCCCCGTCCATTGCAACCGCGAATGTTTTGGTTCAACCTTCTTTGAATTTCAAGTAACTAATATACATTCCTGCAGCGGGCTGCCAACCTCTGGTTCTCCGAATCACAATTCCCCCACCCCCTCACGAATTTCGAGGAGTACCCCACTACATCGATTTGCTGCTGTGAAGTAAGCCTCCAGAGAATCTTCCCACCGCTGGTTTTCTCCTTTGTAATTCGGGCTTCCGGCAGGTCTGTGTGCTTGTTACGGGGGAGGTAACTTGGAGAACTGGGAGGATTCGCTGCCGGTGCACCCATACCACCGTGAGAACCACACGTGGCACTGCCCATTTTTTTCTACTGCAGCGGGCGCATCCAAGGCGGTTTGTAAAGACTTTATGGGCCCTTTGTGACGTATATTAAGTCAGTCTTAGTCCGTTAAGGGACCAGGAGGCCCAGTGGCAGCAGTGTCACGGCTCGGAGCATCAGCAAGAGCAGCGACACGCTCACCAGGATGGGGGCGAGCTGTACACTTCCGCTGGCCAGGCATCAATCCCGTGCGATCTCTCGGGAGCGGCAGCTACGAATCCATAATCGGTCGTCACGGCTCAGCAGCAGCAGCACTTCTCATCGGCGCAGCAACAGCCCGCTAAGTAAACAAAGCAGCTCTATGAAATTTCGGATTCCCCAGAGAGTTCCACTTCCGACGGGCGTATTCATCAGCAGGAAACCCAGTGAACTGCGAGTCTTCTGACACGCCAGCAGCAAGCCACAGCCTCTACAGGAGTAGGGCAGCAATGTATCTACCGAATATTGCGAGAGACGCCGAGGAAGGAGAAACGTGCACCATTCCAGCCCCCACTCCGGCTGCCAGCAACAGATGCATTATACAATGCCAGCACAGACGCAAAGAGGGTTTCTTAGAGTGTATATATGCCCAGCAGGAGGACGAGACGAGGCCTGGCTGCTCCTCTTCGGCACCAAATCACGGCCAAGAGGTCTAGCCACCGGTGGATTCGTCGCGGCTGCTGCCGTTGTTGTCGCCGCTGTCGAGGAGACTCGGACTTGCCTCTTCGATTGCGTGGCGCTGCTGACTGCCGGCTGGAGATACTGAAAGAAGCTTCGAGGCACCAGGGGGAGGCAGTGCAAGTTGCTTGACATTATGGCAGGTCAGCTGCAACAGCTTCTGCCGCTGTGCCCACCGCTCCAAAGGAGGTTTCCACGTCTGCATTCCGGTAGTTCCCGCAATCACAGCAGATGCTCTTTCTCCCCATACTACAACCAACCAGACGGCTAGACAATTTCAGCAGCGACACGGCGGCCAAGGCGGAAAGGGATGAGACAAGCAGCAGCAGCAGCTACAGTAGGAAGCACACACGTGTGGGAATAACGAGATACATGGGCAGCAGCAGGAAGTGCAGCCCTAGCCACAGCAAGCCACGCCACCAGTCGTTGGCACCAAAGCTGTGCAGAGAGGACCAGTAACAAACTGCAACGCTGAAGCACGCGACAGCCCTGTGCTCCTACGACATCCCTGCTTCACCGTTTATTTGCAACAGCAAAAGTGAGCAACAGCGGCAGCGGCAGGCATTCGACCGCCGTCTGTGCTTACGTATGGCGTAAACTCGGGTCTGCATTCTTCCGGAACGATCTCCGAAACGTTGCTTCTAAAGGACCACTTGGCCGTCTTATGCCGCCGCGCTTTTATGCGCCGCAACTTCTCCTCGTAGGACGCGGCGATCGGACGAAACCAGCTGCAAGGCGGATGGAAGATGCCACAGCGGAAACGCGCAAGCCATAATAGTCGTGAGGGAGTAAATACGTGGGGAAGAAGGGGGGTTCACGCGCGGCGAGCCTGTGTGTGCGCTAGCTGTTCCTGCGCGTGCTGGCAGAAACAGTCAGTCGCTTCCGCATCACAACGGGATGACTCCCATCCGCGCGTGCTTGCTCCGTGTCTTTCGAGACCTCGCGCAGAGGCAACAAGCGGAGCAGGCATGACGCGCATTACCTGTCTGGCCAGTGTGTCCACGCATCTCCGGGTGCAGTCAGCTCGTCGATTTTGAGTCCTGTGGCTCTCGATATGGTCTTTCTGCTTTGCAGCTGCTGCAAGGCTCGCATGAGGGCTTTGCTGCGGCTGAACCAGCGACTGCGGGAAGAAGGCCCTGCAAACGTCACCCTGCAGTTGTCTAGACCAGTCAAGTACATCAGGGGGAGGAAGCGCAAGTTGCAGCGCAAGCCGCGCCCAGAAGGACGGGGAATGACTGCAAAAGCACAAGGCGAAACGAACGGCAGCGCAGGGAGAAGGTCGCATGCAGGAGGCACATGCGACCAACCTTGTGGCCAGCGCGCAATAGCCAGCTGGCAAGCACACAAGAGGGAGAAAGCGTTAGGCCTTGCTGAAGACAATCGATCGCCGAGCAGCAAGGGGGGAAGGAAGCCCTTGTTGGCTCCCTCAGACAGCAGTAGTGTGTGGGTTTGCAATAAGCTTGGATCTCGCTTTTTTCATCCTGCCCGAATTGTCTCCCGCGCGGCGCGTGTAGCGCCTCTACATGGCTCGCACGTGGTGGTTTCTGGGGAGGGGCGAGGGGGGCGGTGAAAAAGGAGAGGAAGGGTAAGCGTGGGATGCGCAGCAAAGACGGTTCAACACACGGGGATTCCAGGAAGGAGGAACAAAAATGAAGACTTACTCTTAACGTGCGCCGAGTACTCCTGACCGTGCTGGGGTGTCGTCAGAATCCTGGCGTCATCTAAGTCCAGAAGTTTCAGATTTTGAATTGCGGATAGAGCCGCGCTGCTGCGCGCGTCCTTGGGCTTTGATCCAAATCCGATGCCAATTCCAAAGAGACCTCGGCCGTTGCCGACTGCGACGATGGCGCGATAATAGTACACGCGGCCCTCTGTTTAGCACACCAACACCCCCACCCAAACAAACACACGCACAAACATGCAGAAATATGTTTGCATGCGTGCTTGTTGCAGGGAGAGAGAGGCCGCCCAACGGCCGTTGGGCGGCCTCTCTCTCCCTGCAGCAGGAAGTTCCCTCATACGAAAGAAGGAAGCCTCATGGAAATATTGCCGCATCCTGCGGATGTTCAAAACAATGTGCCTGCCTTCGCGCATTTTGTGCTTCGGGTCTTTCTCTATCTTTCCCGAGCTCCTAAAAAATTAAGAGGCGCCCTATTTCATGAGGCGTTCTGTGTGTGTTCTGCAGCAACCAGAAGCGTCTAAAGAGCGTAGACTACACCTGCTAGCCGCGTGCTGCATCCACTAGGTGGTGTACCGCTTGCACTTAAGTGTTGCACCCCTTAGTTTTCCCTCTGTTTCACTGCATCCACCATCCGTATGGATACACTACATGTGACTCTTAACCAGCACGCAAGGTTCCGCACTGCCTCACGCTTCGTCATCGCCATCATCCTGTTAGCCTGCAAGAGGGTCTGCCGCAATTCATGTAGCGCCAGTTGAGGGTCAACACCTCCCCGCTCCCTTACATACACGCCTCGAGATGCGTCTCGCACCGTTTGGCTTGGCCGCTTCCATTTCCACCCGGCAAACACCAGACCGTCTCCTGCTGATGCACCGTCTCGCTCTGCTAATGAAGGCGCTTCCGAGGCGTTGCTACCACTGCCGTGCTCACCGCTGCCGCCGCTACAGTCTTGCAATTGCCACTCCGCAGGGCCTGCTGTCTGCACAAACTTGAGCTCGTCATCAACCTAAAAACACCACACACCCACGCCTCCACACAGACCTGTCACTACTAGACGCTAAACGCTCTTGACATTCACGCACACATTGACATACACACACATACACATATATACACACATGCACACACATACACACAGACATACACATACATACACATACATACACAATAGGCTTCCCCCGCACACTGCAAATGACTTGAAGGTGGCTGTGCTTCCTGCTTCGCGTGCATCCTAACTACCGTTGCCGCTGTCTTCACCCTGAGAGGGCAGCAGCCATGCCAACAACAGCAACAGCAGGACTGACGCGATATCCCATAACCCTCCCTCAGACTTACGAGTGCTTCAAGAGGAGTGATGCCAAACTTGGCTTTGAACTTTTTTAGGGTCTCATCGGCGGCTGTTTGGGAACCTCCCGCTATGGTGCCTTCTGCCGATGGAGCGATGCAGCGCGCAGCCTCTTCCACGTTGAAGTGTTTCTCGAGCTCTGCCGACGGCAGGAGCGGATTCTCCGGTAGAGCCCTCAACTCCTCTTCCACCTGCGCACGCATGCAACGGAAGTGCAGCCAAGACAACAGCATCAAAAGCAGCATGGCATGAGCCGCACGTCGTGGCAGTCTCCTCTCGGGGCCTTCTTTTACGAATACGCTGGCGCAAGCGGCACTGCTGCCGCCGCGCTAGCAGCACGCGTCTTCAGCCGGCCTTACAGTCTTTGCGGGAATTCCATGCAACAGCTTGAAGGGGCTTGCCGCATCAAAATCCAAGAGGTTCCCTTTGCCCTTTGTTGCTGCTGCCAAGAGGAGCCGAGCAGTCGCCATGTCTTCCGGGCTGACGGAAGTGTAGGGGATTTCTCCATGCGGCAAAAAGGCCTCAAACTGTAAAAGCACAATAATAGGAATACAGTCGTCAAGAGCAGCAGCAGCAGGCGATGGCGGAGCGCACATGCTGAGTGGAGCCGAGTGCACGTTAAAAAAGACAGCTGAACTCGAGACACACGAAACACCCGACCGTGACGATCGCCGAGGACTAAAAGATCCATGCTTTTTCACAACCGGTAGGGATACTGGGAACTACGGATACAACCCATACACTGCGTGAAAGACGAGGAGGACAAAGCGCCACATGTGCAAAACGCACAAGTAATTGACCCCCTTCCCCCCCAGTTCTCTCTCCCCTTCCTGTAAAAACTCACCATCTCCGGCACAGCGCGCAGCCAGTCAGAGAGGCCGACATCCGAAAGCGTCCTGCACATTGCAGCAGCAGTAAAAGGTTTGTGACTCTGCGCATGCAGAAGGAGTAATATATGAGAGCGAGCGGCAGCAGCAGCAGCCTCAACGTGGGAGGGAGGGCAGAGGCTGCGGACGGAGAACTTGTCATCCTTACCCGAAGAGGCGGGAAACTGCTGCTTCGACTTCGGGAGTATAGACTTCTGCGCCATTGGCTCCCGTAAGCTGGAGCGCACAATCAGGATGAGGCGTGCAGCATGCATGCAGGCAGGCATGCCTCGCGTCGGCGATGCAGATGCATGCAGTTTCGCGTTGCAAGCACCCGCGCAGGAGCCGCACATCAGATCAGATCCACGCCACACGAGAGCTGCCAAATGCGGATCATTAGTAGCATCCAACCATCCCTTTTCGTGAATGTGCGTACCTGAAAGAAGGCAGCTAGCCCCTTCAGTGCCTGCGGGGCATCCGCGAGATCGGCTTTGAGGATGAGGTTGTCAATGGCGTCTTCCTTGACTAGCCACGAATCGAAGAGACAGTCTCTTCCCATGTCGTACAGCGGATCGCGCAAGCGAGACACGACGAATGCTGCGAAGCGCGCATCAATGCTGTCTTGAGGAGAGCTCCCGTTCTTACTGCTATACGTGGGAGATAGAGACACCGGGGGAGCCGTCGCGCTGATCGGCTGCGGTGACACTACAGGCAGCAAAGCATATCGCTTCTGGTTAGCGATTACGCGAGAGAGGTGACCCGCCAGCCACGCTGCAACTGCCTGTGCAATGCACAGACAGCCACACACAAAGAAACAAATAATGTGTATGTGTTTATATATATGTATATCTATAAACACATACACACGTCAACACATAAACGCATACATACATGCACACAGAAGCTCAAATTAAACACATACATACATACAGACAGATGCACATACATACATTCGAACACATACATACCTACACATAAAGACATACATACATACATACAAACACATACATGCATGCATATAAACACATACATACCTACATAAACACACATTTTTGATCGCATAGACACACACACATCCATACGTAATGCGCATGTACATTGCTACGAGGGCGCAAAGGGACCGTCGCCCAGCGACGGACGACAGGCAGGCAGAGAGGAGATCGAGTGGACAGAAAAGCCCCTCTAGGGATGCTGCCACCATGCGTTTTATCCGGCAGCCGCCTCTGATGGTGCTACACGAGCAGCTTCGCTGTCTCTCTGCCTTACGCGGGAAAAGCAAGGGCTAAAAGGGGAGCCAATGCCTGCGTAAAGTGCAGCTCTACGCGTGCGTCGAGCGGGGAAGGAGAAGCAGAGAAAAAGGCTGACAGGCAGAGGAGGGTGGTAGTTGTTGTTGTGCCTACCTCGTCACTGAGCTCCGCAATTGCTGGCGGCATGAAGGGGCGCAGCCGATGCCAGCAGCGCGACACCCAAGGGCCTGCGGCTGCAGGCGTCTTCTCCAGACGGAAGGATTTTTCCTGTATACATCGGAAGAATGGCAACTGCAGGCGCTGTACACACCACTGGCCCCCTATTGCAAGCCACGCGGAGGGCCTCCCCAGTGAACGGTATCGTATATAGAGGGTGGGAAACATCGTTGGCGCGCGGGAGGGCAGGGGAAGGCTCACGACTGCCTCAAGAAGCAGCAGCAGCCTCTTCGGATGATGTCGCGGAGGCAGCAACGCATCTTCTACTTGCAGCCGCTGCAGCAGCGCATGGAGATCATCTCCTAGGGAGAGTGAGACGGCAAACACGGCCAGCACAAAGGCGCGTGGGTTGAGCACTGGCAAGTTGAAGGAGAGAGGAGTTGTCTGCGCGCATGCATTCACATACAAGACATGACATGGCATGGCGTGGCGTGGCATGCAGCAGCAGCAGGCAACAAGAAGATGTTTTGCTGCTGCCGCCAGGTAACACGAGAGGGCCACCCGCGAAAATACCTTCGCCGCAGTAACGAGGAGATAGTGCTAGTCTAAAAGCAGAAGCGCGCAGACTGAGCATTTTTTGCGGCTAATGCGCGTGCGCTGGGGAGCCTCTTCTTAGGGCTGTGCCGCGTGTGTGACAAGCAGCCGACGACACTTCCACGCACGCCTGTAGGGGGGACAAGCCCGTCCTCTAGCTCTTGCTGCTCCTGCTGCTTGAGCAGTTCTTGCTGCAAGGAAGAATGCTCGAGGGTCAGGGAGTTCAGTCGGCTCTCCAAATTCAGCATGGCGTCTTCCTGCATGCAGATCCGCGCGTAGACAAAGTGTGGTGGGTAGGCTGCAGGGCTTTGTGTTGTGTTCTAGGTGTGGCATCAGGGGAAAAGGAGGTGGGGGCGTGTCGCGTCTGAGACTGCCCAGCGCTTCTCTTCTTGTCTTGATGCCTTCATGCATGCAAGGCTCAGTGTCGTATGGTTCGTTCACAGCAGCCAGTATCTTCTGGAGTGAGACACACTTCCACTTCGCCCTGGAGGGGCCTCAATGCTCGTAGGAGAAGAGTGGCACCTAAACAGGCAGGGCCAGTACGCCTCCTTTTAGCAGTTGGTGCGAGAGCCACAAAAAGAAGCAACAGCGATGAGCAGTTGCTATGAAGGGCGAACGAGACAATGTTCCCCAGTCTAGGATTCATACCTTGTAGAAGGGCTCTGCTTCTGGCCGCAAGAGACTCCACGCCTTCATGGCATTTCGGAGATGCCTATTCAGCTGTTGCTGCTGCGCAGGAGACAACTCTTTTCTGACTGGCGGCGCTGCTCCTGCATGGCCTGCTGCACTGTGCGGTGGATTGTCAGCTGGCCGATCCGCCGAGTTTGCCTTCCTGTTGAAGAGGGCAGACTTCTGATCGTCTGTAAAGAGAGCGGCGATAGCGTGGCGCTGCAGCAGCAGCTCTCTAGCGAACGTCTCCTTCTCGATCCTGAGGGGCAAGCCGTCACCCACTGCAGCTGCTGCTCTGGTTGCTGCAGCTGCAGCGGCTGCATTGGGAACTTCATCGAGGTGCTTCAGCCTCCGGATGCTTTGCCGCTCTAGCTTTTTTGCAAGGTGGCTCCTGTGCAGCTGTCGGCAGCAATGCAGGGCCCAATACACTTTGCTGTCGGCGCTGCTGCTGCCGAAGACGGAGCAGGAGCGACGCGAATTGCTGGAAAGCGGAGCGAGACAGGTATCTGTCCGCATGCAGGAGGGGCTGCTGGGGGTGGCGTCGCCGCTCGCGGCTTGAGAACTACCCCTACTGGGGCAGCATCCTCGCAAGCAAGCAGATGCAGCTCTCAGCCCTCTTCTGCCGCTGATGCTGTCGCTGCTGCTGCTGCTGCGATCAGGGGCCCACCGCGCATGGGGACGACTTTCTGCCTGACTTGCAGCAGCAGCGGCGGCGAGAAATTCCGCATGGAAAGATGCGCGCTCACGACATTCATGAACTTGATGCTTGTGCCGCCCGCAGTCTTGCTGCAGGCCCTGCGATCTAAGGAGGCGTCGCTGCAGCAGGAGGCGCCGTGGCGGCAGCATCCTGCTGCAGCCAATCGGGGTGCCGTGTTGGTGCAGTTGCGGTGTGTATATAGGCAGCAGCGACGTCTGAATAAACAACTGCCAGCAGGGTGTGCGCGCGCTAGTAAATCTGAGGGCAACGTTGGTGTGGGAAGAAGCGGAAACAGCCGCCTCCAGCACCCTCCCCCTCCTATGGCATCATCACGTGGAAGGAAAGGCCGTTTCATGTGTTGCTACAAGACGCCAGGAACCGCTGCTGGAAGTATCGGTGCTGTTGCTACTGCTGTCCTCTTATTTTTGTTGCCGCCGCTGCATGCAGCGGCGTGCGCAGCCGCCGCTACGGCGGCTGCCGGGGCGACGCATGCGCAGGGCCCTGTCTGAAGAAACAAATTTGTTTGTGCGCATCTCTCCTTAACGTTTTTTATTCATATATATATATATCCTTGCGTATTTTTTGTCTACTGTTCAGCTTGTCACCCGTTGCTGCTGCTCCGTGCAGCAGCAGCAACCTCTGCGGAGAGAGAGAAGCACGGGGGTGACTCGTTGGAGGAGTTTAAGTGTACTACATTTAAACGCGGGATTGCTGCTTTAGCCACTAAGGCGTACCCGTGGTAGCAGCAGCGGGAGCAAGGCAGAGAGGGTCGTCGGACTTGAGAGAGAACCGCAGCAGTCGCAGCAGCAGCCAATGCCGCAGTAGCAACTGCCTCAGCAAGTCCAGCGGCAGGGAGCTTGCTTGGTGCGAAGAACAGACATCGCGGGAGTGACTTTATTAGCGGTGGCAGGAGGGCGGTCATTACTTCGGGGAGGACAGACACGACCGCAGTGGCAGTGGCGATTGCACTGCATCACCAGCTGCTTGAGCCGCACAGCATGCAGTATCCCTACGGCAACATAGGGGCCCCTCTGGGGGCCCCTCTCGCTGCTACTCCTCATGCCGGCGTCGGTAGGAGCGACAGACCTTTCGAGCTTCTTGCAGCTGTGGTGTCTTGGCTACAATTGTGCTGCTCCTCCGGCTGCTGCTGCCGGACTGTGCGCGCATTGTAGCTGCATGAGGGGGAGGGGAACTACTGAAAGGAATTCTTTTTCCTTGAAACTGGCCTTGCGCTGCCTTTTCACCGTTGAGTTGCTGCTGCAGCACCACTGTACTACGCGTCTCCGGCTGCGGCAACAGCAGCAGTTGCAGCAGCAGCCCTCGGCGCCACTGCGGCTGCTGCTGCTGCACCCGCCTCAGTAGTCCCCATTGCAGCAGCTGCGCCGGAAGGAGTAGCGGCAGACAAAGACGTGCGTTGTTGAAAGAAATTGCAGACTTCCCTAGAACCGAACTCGCTCCGGCGCATCTCAGTTGGGGGGGTGGGCCTTGTGGTGGTCTCTATGCATGTAGGTAGGCATGTATGTATATACATATAGGTACACGCATATGTGCGTATCTGCTGTGAATAGGGTGATGAGGAGGAGGCTATTGCACGCTGTCACCTTCACACGAAGCCTCAGCTTTCGTGCAAATTCTGCCGCAAGTATAAGAGTGCGCAACTGGTAGCACACCGCATGCCGTCGTCCGTTTCCCTAAACCTAGAAGTTTCCTCTTTTCTCTCCCTTCGTGTCTCGCTCTCTCTGTAGAGCTGTGTCTCTTGGAATATTCTCCTTTGACAGGTTTCGATGCATCTCCCTTCCCTGCCTGTTTGTGCATACCCCTAGTTCGTCTTGGCGAAGTCAGCATGCATGCCGACTTTGCCGTGGGCCTCTTTAACGCAGAATTCACGTTCTCTCTCTCTCCTTTCTTTTCTCTCTCTTTCTCTGTCTTTGCCTTTGCAAAACTGTTTATTGCCCGTCCGTCTCACAGCGCTTTCTGCGTGTGTTGATGTGCCTTGGGGGAATGCAATGCTGCGTTGCTCTGACTGCTGCTGCAGGCTTCACGCAGCAAATGGGTGTTTTGCAACAGCGCGCCATTGCCGCGGAGGAGGAGACACAGAAAAAGAATATGGTGCAGATGACGGACAGCACCACTTACAACGTGAACCAGCTGCTTAGAGGTACTACCCTTGCTGCGCCGGCTGCCGTTTTAGCGAGCGAGCGAGCTAGCTAGCTGCCTGCTGCTGGCAAGGCTGCCTCCTACTCTCACACATCCCACTTCTCAGAAAGGTTTCTAGAGGTCCACGGCTGGAGGGCGCGAACGAGAGGCGTTAAAAAAGTAAATGACTGACTGCCGGCCTGACAGCCAATTTTTGTTCCTTCTCTTTCTCTCTCTCTCTGTCTCTCTCTCTATCTCTCTGCCTTTTGAAGGCTTCCGAACTCGGCGTAACACACGCCAAGCATTCCAAAAGTCTGCAGTTGCGCTTTGCACGGACTTCTTCCACTGCATTCTCCTCCTTATCAGAGGGGAACGGAGGGGGGGAGTTGGCGGAAGGGGTGGGGGTTTGTGTGTGTGTTTCTTCGGCTACCTCTGTGTTGTGCTCGGCTGCCCCTTTTTTCCATCCTTTTGGCATCCTTTGGGAGTGTGCTCAGGCAACATCATGTCCTCTGAGTACTTCAAGTCTTTGCACCAGTTCAAGAGCTTCCAAGAGGTCGTGGAGGAGTTGGCCGCCTTTGCCGAGCACGCAGAGCCGTACTGCGCAGGCAGCACAAGGGCCCCCTCCACTCTTTTCTGCTGTCTCTACAAGCTTTTCACCCTCAAACTAACGGAAAAGCAGGTGCTGACAGAGGCATTTTGCGCCTCTCCCGTGCAGGGCATGCCGCCATGGCAGCGCTTCGTGGCGTCTACTGTACTGCACTATGCTGCACTGTATTGTGCTCTGTACTGCGCTTGTCTGCTGCAGATGCACACCCTCTTGAACAACAGAGACTCTCCCTATGTGCGCTGCACGGGGTTCCTTTACCTTCGCTATGTGCATCCACCCGATCAGGTCTGCTATAGATGCGTGTGCCGCCTTTTTGCAGCTTTCCTTCGGCCTTTGACACTAACCAGTGGACTTGTTCATGCTGCCGCTTCCTCCTAGTGACGGTGGCTGTGATTGGCTGGTTGTTGCTTCTCTGCTGCGTGCTTTGGAGCGCCTTTTGGGTGGCTTCCTTCTTTGGAGGTCCTGATGAGGCGGTGCTTGCTCTCGTCACCTCGCCTGCCTGCAGCTCGCTCCAACTGCCGCTGCTGTGCATTTCTGTGCATGTGTCTTGCCGCTGCAGCTGTGGAAGTGGTATGAGCCGTATTTTCTAGACGATGAGCAATTCACGCCAGGCGCTGACCCCAACCGCGTGGTCTCAATGGGTAAGTCGGGAGCGCTTGTTTTCAAGGACAGAGGGATGGCGGGAGCTTTAGGCACTGACGGCGAGGGCGGCAGGGCAAAATGACAGAAAAACGGCCGGAGCGACACCACAAGGGCCAGTAAGAGAAGTAGGAAATTCGAGAAAAAACGCATGTCCAACGCAGCACTCGGTACACACGGATGCACGTATTCTGTACACTCCGCCATCGCGTGACATCAGAGCTTTGCGCATGCGTTATGCAGGGGAATACATTCAGTCGCTACTGACCGAAGACAAGTACTTTTCAACTGTGCTGCCGCGTCTACCTGTGCTCGTCAAGAATGTGTATGGGGCGCAGCTGATGACGCTGCCTCAACACAGAAAGAGAAAGGCCTTCAATCGGGCACATATTGAGTGCTTCACACCCGCAGCCAAATGCATCGCCCTCTCAAGGTTCGTTCTCCCGATATACGTGTCTGCATGTGCGTTTACCTCTCTGCCCCCACCTAACAGCTAGTATTCATTGGACTCTAGAAGACAACTGAGGATGCCTGCGTGCATGTGAGGCCGCCGAGGTCTTCCTAGCGCCTGCTTGTTCAGCAAGAATGCTTGCCTCGCTTTTGTAGCTAGACTGCGCAGCCGCCGTAAGATAGAGAGAGATGTAGATAGATAGAGATAGGTAGATATAGAGAGAGATATATATATAGAGAGAGAGAGAAAGAGAAAGCGCGTGCTCGTGTGTTCGCCATGCGCCACAGACATGTGCATCGCTCAATTCGTATGCAATATGTGTGTGCTTTGAATTTTTCGATTGCAGCGGTGATTGGCTGGAGGGCGCGGTGGTTTCCGTTGATGCAAAAGGGGTCTGGGTTCGCTTGGAAGACGGCAACGTGGAGTCCATAGATATCGGGCTTGTGCAGCTTCTGTCGTACAAGACGGAAGGCAGCCAGCCGAAGCCGAAGCGAGAGCGCGAGAGGGACAGTCGCAGAAGGAGGTGAGCCGTAGTACGACCGTTATTACTCCCTCCCTCCGGAGGCTGCACTTATGCATACGCATGCAAATCTATGTGCTTCGGTCTCGATATATTTACACACCACGCGCGGACAGACACACGTATCTGTTTGCCTGTATAGTTGGTGTATTTGTATGCGCGCCAGTTAAGCAGATCGCGGTTTCAATTGCAGACTGCACGCATTGAAAAGTTGCCTGCGGGGTCGAGCGCGGGCGTAGTCTTGTATGACCACGGCGTCGTCTGCCGCTTACACGCATCATGCGAAGCGGTGTAGGGAAAGAGCGCGGGAGTGCGCTGCCACTCGAGGCCCACTTCATCCTTCTGTGCCTTGTGCGGCGCTGTTGCTGCAGCCGCAGTCGCAGCGCCGAGAGGAATGCAGCCAAGACGCAGCAGCAGTTGCTTCAAGAATTCCGCAGAAAAGAGCAAGAAAAGGCTTTAGCCACTGGCAAGGTAATTTTTCTCACTGCAGAGCCTCATCCTTCCGCCTCGCGCGTTTATTCAGGCTCTCTTGAAGCCTCCACACTCTCCTACCCGTCCCTCTGTCTGTGGTTCCTTTACTTTGCATCCACGATGCTGTCTTGCTGCAGATCTGCCACCACAGCCTAGCAACTTTCCTTTCCCGTCTACCTCGTTGATGGTGTCTGAGCGTTGTGAAGGCAGTTTTTTCTTCTCTCTTCATCTATACCCATTCCTCTTTCTTGGGACCTCTCGCTCAATTTCCTTCTGTCCTACATGCCCCTAGCACTAGGCGGTGTCTCTCTTTTTGCCCATGTCTACATGTCGCTGGGGCTTTATTGCGTATTGCCACGTCAACAGGACTACGCGCGACGCCCCACATCGTACAAGAGCGCGTTATCTTTGAAGATGACGTCTTCTCGGCATGCGTGAGACTTCCATCTAAAAGGCTACTCATTTGCTCTTCTTGTGTGTGGCCTGGAGAAGCCTCTGTGTGCTGCCTCACGGGCAGCGATGGTGGGGTCGCTTGGTTATCTGTATACCTCTGCGCCCTCCCTCCTCCCCCTAAAGCTATATATACAAATATATACACAAATGTATATACTTACCCTGGCTTTCTGTTGCTGCTGCCGCCCATTGGGGCGCTGCATTGTATGCAACAACAGCTCCTCTCCCTCCCGTTTTACGTACAAGCACCCTTTCCTTTCCTTAAAAGGACGCCCTCAACAAGCAGGGCAAGGCTGTCTATTTTTATTTTCAGGCCCTCCCCTGAGCGACCGCCTGCCTCTCGTCCACATCCTAGATCTGCCCTCGCTCACGCACAACCCCAACAGCAGCAGCAGCAACAACAGACATCGCAGTCGGATGGGCACAACAAGCAGCGCATGTCTTCTCTTGTTGCAAGGTAGGTTTGCAAAGCGATTCCGCTATTACCATCCTTGCCTTGTTCTCTGCCCCACTTTCCCCAGTTATTGCTTTCTGCTTCCTGTTGCCACTATCGCCACTGCTGTTAGTGCTGCTGTTGCTGTCGCAGGTACAGTCGGGTCGGAGGCGAGGGGGCGGACCGTCGGCGTCGCAACGATACAGAAACTCCAGAAGTTATGCGGCTGGGCTAGAGACAAGCGTATCCGCGAGCTCCTTCTGGAAACCTCGCCTCACCTGGCAGCTCTCACATAAGGACATCTGATGCCGCTCTGGCGACAAAAGAGAAAGACACAGAGAAAGACCGAGAGACAGAGACGACAGACAGACACATACACGGAGATAGATAGATAGAGGGAGAGAGAGAGAGAAAGAACGAGGGAGATGCAAAACTAGAAAACAATTCGTTGGTGTGCCTCTGGTGCAGCTCAGAGACCGTAGTTCCTGTGTGGGCGCCGGACATATACATATATATAGATATATACACCATAGAGGGTTTTTTGCTGAATCAGGGCAGACAGTCCTTTCGACTACTGCTGCTGCTACTGCAGACAAGCGCTTTGCTGCTGTTGCAGAGCTAAAGAGACTGCAGCAGCAGCAAAGCGGAGAACGAACGGCTCGTCCTGGGAATGCTTGCTGTAACCGCAGCAGTACTGTGAGAGGCCCGCGATGGGGCTTGTCGTGGCGGCGACTTCTTGGGCGCGTTTCTTTAAACAGCGCCTGCAACTGCAATTAATGCAATTAGTGGCGAATCGACTCTGCATCTGTTTTGCTGCTCTTGTGTCAAGAAGCAGGCTTGCTACGTTTAACTTCGTCCCCGTGCCGCAGAGGCAGCAGCGAGGAATTTTTTGCGTGCACTGCAGCAGTGAAGCGAAAAGCTACCTAGGGCTATTGGGATACGGGTCGAACGCACACGGCAGCCGCTGTTGGTGGTGGCTCTCAGGCGCGAGCAGTCTCGCAGGCTGTGCCTTCGCTGTCGGAGTTCGTGATTGCTGTTGAGAGTGGTGCTGCTGCAAGCCCTGCGGGTGTGCGTGAACGGAGGAAGAGGGCGCCGCTGACTGCCGTAACTGCCATTCGCGAGCGGCAGGACCCGCAGCAGTAGCAGCAGCAGCTGCTGCTGTCGTCCCTTGGGCCCGTGCGTTGCTTCTGGCTGTGGCGAGAAGGTCTCTTTCATGTTGCAGCACTGGGGAGGCATCGATCCGCTGGAGTAGCTGCTGCTGCTGCCGCCACCACGAATGCCAAGGTGCATGGGAAGCTCCTCCTGCAGCGGCCCCCCCCGGGAGGGCCGCTGCAGGCGGAGCCTCAGGAAGTTCTCCCTTACTGCCAGAAGTAGAGAGGCTTTGCTGCTGCAGAACGTTTGGCTGCTGTGGATAAGCCTGCTGCACCCAGGAATGGTGGTGGAAGGGGTGGTGGCGCTGCTGCTGTCTTGGTTGCTGATACGGCGGTTGCTGCAGTTGCAACTGCATGCCTTCGCCCTGGTGGAGGCCTGCAGCAGGCTTGTGTGGCAGCGCATGCGCCATTTTCGTTGCTGTCGTTGCCGTCAGGCCCTGCTGCAGGGGGCCCATTTGCTGCAGCAGCAGCTGCTGCTGCTGCTGCTGCATAACGTTGACGATATGGTGCTCTGCCACAAAGTCTCTCAGAGGCACTAGCCCTGACTCTGTGCGAATGAGAGGGTCTCCTGCCGCCACGGGCAGCGGCACAGCCACGGGCCGTTCTACCTGTCTGTACACCGGAACCGGTCGGGGGCGCGTCACCTCACGCGGCACCTGCAGCAGCACCGCAGACGCCCACGGCAAGCCGCTCCTGGGTAGACAAATGCAACAGTGCATGGCCTGCTCTTTCCTGCGCATCTCTTGGAGGAAACAAAAGGAACACACACGGCAGCAGCGAAGGCGACGAAAGGAGAGCGCGCAACATGAAGGGCTGGGGCAACAAGGGTCAGAAAGCAGTGGAATCGAACCTCCACTGGGACGGCTTCCTCCACAATCCTCTCGGTGTACACAGGTACTTCTCGCTGCACATACCTAGAAAGCGACACACAAGCGGCAAAGCCCCAGAGCGGCGGTGCAAACAGTGAAGCGGTGCCTCACAGCATGCGCGCGCCGATGCCTCTTTTCTCCCCGCTGTGGCTCCTAGTGCTGCTGAGGAGCCCAAGGAAGCTCACTTACTTCGTGACAAAGACGGGTTTTTCGATCTCCTCGTAGACGTCTTGAGGCTGCGGTATCTTTACGTATCTGCAGCAGCAGGGAAATGTGCAGCAGTTTTCGCAAGGGCTGGGATGGTGGGTGGGTGGGGTCGGGCAGCAAACGCGAAAGCAGATCGCGGTTCAGCGCGCGTCTGCAGGGGGCTTTTGCAGATGGCGAACGGCCTATATGGCCTGCAGGGCTGCAGCCTTGCCGGCGGCGTGAGCGCGCGGGAACACTGCCTCTAGGGAATAGCTTATGAACTTCCTTAGCATAAGCAGAGCCTGCCTTGGCAGAAAGCAAGCGGGCCTGTTGTGCGGCGCGTGGGCATCGCTGCCTGTGCCAAAATGCCCCTGCGTGCGGTGGCGGGGGCGACAGAAGTAAAGCGTACACACCTCGGGGTAGGTTTCGGAATTTCCTTGAACACTGTCTTTGGAGGAGCAGGGACGGGAGTCTGCTTGTACACGTAATGCGGTGTGGGAACCTTCACGCGCCGTTCTACGACCTGCAGCATTTCCGCAGAATCACAAGCGCAGTGGGGCGAGAAATCGCCTGAGGGGCCACAAAGCAGCAGACACGCGTGCAACGCGAGACGAGAATTGCGTGTAAAGGCGGCAGAGGGGCAGCTTGCCCCCCCTCGAACAAACACAGCCACAGAGAGCTGCACATGCAGAAGAAACAGCGCTCGAAGCCCAAGAATTCCGAAAAAGCGGCTTCGAAAAGCAAGCGCAGGAGCCTTGGGCATTCTCAACAAAATGGCAGCAGGCATATGCCCGCGCGTCTTTTGGCCCTGAATTCGTTGGCTGAGCCTTGCAGGTGCTCGTAGGTGCTCACAAGGGGTGAGCACCTACGAGGCACGCACGAACAGAGGGGATACGGCCGCACTTGCTGTTGTTTGACTTCAACAATCTTCTGCGTTTGGATCACATTAAGCCGCCGCTGAGGCACTGGCACGGTTACGTCCAAATACTGCACCTGCACTTGGGGGACCTCCACGATTTTCTCAACCGGCACCTGCATTTCGCACCAGCCGCAGCAATACGGCTGCATTGGCAGCGCTGTTTCAGAATATATATATGTATATATATATATATATATATATATATATCTATGTCAGAAGGACCTTGAGGTGGCCCTGTCCAACATCGGGTAGCCTTTTTTGACGTCAGCGTCTCCCGTCTCAGCCGCGCTCATGGCACCCCCACAATCGCCGAAACCACAATTACGTTTCACGTCCTTCGACAGCGCAGGCAGGCATTGCCCATTGAGGAGTGTCAGGCGCAGAAAATGTATCCCACGAGCAGCGCGCACAGCCGCGTGATTGCCAAAGGATGGCCGCCCTTATTGGTGTCGATATGCGGAAACGCATAGCTATACATACACAGACATGGACATGCACATCTTTCTCCACCTACGCCCAAGCACACAGCGGCGCACACCTCTCTATACTGAATTCTCGGGATTTCCACTGTCTTTTGAACTTCAATGTGCTTGTATCTCGGAACGATCTTCTCAACCACATGCACTTTAGGAACTGGCACAATCACCTCCTGGTGCAACACCTGGGGTAGCTCCACTATGCGTTCGCGCTGCTGAATTTGAGGGACTTCTACTGCCCGCTCAACATATTTCTCTACCGGAACCTCAATAATTCGCTCCTGCGAAAACAGACACGGGTCAGGATTGCGACAAGGTGGGGAAGTCGGGTTGGTCACAGAAGACGCTAGGCGCGTTGAGCGCGAAAAGGGTCGCTTACACGCACAGCTCCGCTAAAGTTTGGCAGGCCTCAAAAAGTCATAGTAGAGAATTCTGTACATGCGCGTCTGTATCTTTGCGAGGCAAAGATACAGATGTGCCCACGGAAAGGGCGGGCAGAGCAATAGCAGGGATAGACCAGGGAAGGGCTGAGGGGCCTCCATGAATACCTGTACAACAACCTTCGGAATATTCACAATCTTCTCTTGCTGCACCACATGAGGAACCTCCACAATCTTCTCACGCAGCTGCACCTGAGGAACTTCAGTGATCTTTTCAACGTACTCCACGCGAGGGACCTCCACAACTTTTTCCTGGAATGCAAACAAAAGGCAAACACACACAAATGAACAGGCAGGCAGCACGAGCAGCCGCAGCACTCCCCCTTCCTCCTCTCCGCCCCCCACCAACTTGAAAACGCCTGTCTGTCTGACAACGGACGTTGAAGGGCTCCTAAAAGTGAACACCGGAAAGTACATTTGCCGCCATACACAGCGTCTTCCACGGCTGAAAGCCAGCAGCTACAGCACCTTAACACCAATCAAGCCGCCACGAGCAGCAGCGGCCGCTGTGAAGACAGCACCAAGGGCAGAGGACTCGATCAAAGCGCATACCACAATGCAGGGCTCGCACAAAAACTGCTGGGGAAGAGATGTATCTCTGTCCTGATGCGCTGTATGCAGGTGCTGCATCTGCTGCTGCTGTTGCATCTGCTGCTGCTGTTGCATCTGCTGTTGCTGTTGCATCTGCTGGTGCTGTAGCAGCAGCTGTTGCTGTTGCAGCTGCTGCTGCTGCCCGGAAAGCGTCTCGTCGGAGATGCTCTCCTCTGCGCAGCTTGGCACGCCAGACTCGGGCTGCGTCAGCCAATGGCATGAACCGTTGATAGCGCGAGTGAGGCTCCCACAGGGCCCGCATTGGTTCCCAAGGCTTCGGTGATTTAGTGTGTGTGCTGCCTCATGAGGGGTCGCTGGCTGCCACTGTTGCTGCCGGGGCAGGGGCGACATGTGCTCCTGTTGCTGGAAAGGCTGTTGTTGGTGCAGCGAAGGGACCCCTTGTGGGCTACGAAGGCGCTGGTGTGGAAGACTGCTGGATGGAGCGGCCCCCTGCATTCCGTTCTGCTGCTCCTGCAGCCGCTGCTGCGAGTGTTGTAGCTCCTGCTGCAGCGTCTGCAGCTTCACTTGCTGCATTTGGTGGAGTTGCTGCTGCTGTAGCAGCTGCTGCTGCTGCATGAAGCGGTCCAGATCCGTCATGCTGCGTTCGCCTTGCTGAGGAGTTCCTCTGGAGGCGCCTGCTGGGAACGGCAAGGCTCCAGGACTCTGCAGGCACTGCAGGGCGCTACCACCCGTATCTCCGGAAAGCGCAGGAGGCACCCCCCCATTCCACCTAATGCAGCTGCCCTTATTGTGGGGGCTGCCTTGTAGGATGGCAGAAGTAGGGTTTGTGGTGGCCGTGGGCAGGAAGGGGCCTGCCGTTGTGCTGCTGGTGACGGTCGCTGGTCCCCATCCTCCGGGAAGAGAGTCCTCCCTTTTGACGAGGCCCCCCAAGAGTGGTGATGCAAAGGCGTTAGGGATGGCTAGGGGAGCCTCCATGGCCTCTGCGTGCCCTCGGGGGCTTCAAGGTGCTCGCGCGTGTCTGCGAGTCTCCCCAAGCTCGAGGGTGTGAGCGGAATGTGCGACGCGCCCTCGGGTCGGCCAAGTTGTCGATGGGTGAAACTTTGAAGAGATTCGCCTGTTTAAAAGGGGAATGCAGCTGGAGGGCCCCCTGGTGGCCCTTCTGCAATGTTACAATGGCAGCGTGGGCAGCGTGCTGTGCGGTGAGGGACGCGAGGCCCTGCTGCTCTGTGTATAAACCCCAGAGCAGCAAACGTTCAGTAAAAACTCATACAGGCAAAGTTTTAAATCATTTGGACATAGAAAACGGGCTGTGCATAGCCAGGTCCTCCCCCGCCCTCCAGAACCACCAGACCACGAATCGCACGCTGGCGGTGCTCGGGCGGTCACAGGCGGTATAGGACGACAGTGGGCTTTCTCTCCCAGTAGTCGCCCTTCTGCCTTGGTATTTGATCAGATGTAGATCGACTATTCTTCCTCTGAACAAATTTGCCGTTTCAAGGCGTGATATAACGGAATCCTGGGCAAAATTAACCATGCGGTAAGGTGCCCGAACCAGAGGAGCCCGCTGCAGTCGGCGGCGGTCAGTCCGCGCCTCTAGTACTGAGTCTGCCTTCCCTTAATTCTAGTGAAAATTAGAAGAGGTCGTGTTCTTCTTTCGTTTATTGTAGCTTGTCTCCAGCTTAACTCCCGTTTGCTGCTATTATGGCTGCTAGGGCCTAATGCTGACGAACCGCCAGCACGGCCTGCCCTGTTTCCCTTTCGCTTCCCGCACAATGTGAAGAAAAAATTCTCCTCCTAATACCTGTGTTTGATAGAATGAGAGCATACGGCAATCTGTGGAGGCGAAGGATCCCTGAAGGGGAAGGGGGGGTTTACAAAAGCCCCTGCCCGGGGCTGCCTCCGTTTCCAGGGCTTTAAACATGAAGGACAGTTTGAACCTTGCGTGTGTGCCAAAAAAATTGATTTGATTTCATCTGTAAGTTAAAGTGGCTAATTGCTTATGAAGGATAGGAGTTTCCGCTCCCTAGGTCTCGCTAAAATACCCGAACAGGCGGTTGCGACGTAGACTCCAAGGCTCGCTCAAGGGTGCACCCGCGAGAGGAAAGGTCAGCTTAATCTCCCTTTTAAAACTTCAGCACTGGCTAAATTTGGGCTTTAATCAGCCGCACGTGCCACTTCGAACGTGCAAGAGGCCTGTACTGAGATCTTGTCAAAGAAAACTTTTTGCTCGCGCCACCGCACCACGTCTTGAGCATACTGCAACGATCTATTTCATATGGCAGGAACGTTTGGGTGTTCGTACAGTGGCTGTTTGATCCTGACAATAGGACATGCGCTCCGGTGATCGTAGTGGCTGGGAGGTTCCGATTATCCACATGCCTGGCCTCTCAAGCAAGAGCCATCCAAGGCACACGTGGCAGTGCCTGCAATTTCCCAATAAGACAATCCTCTCCCTAAACCTAGGGTGAGGCCACAGATGATTCGGTCTTCATCATGAAGCGGAGCCTTTTTTTCGAGATAAAAATGGGACAGAGCTGCCCAGCTTACACATTTGCCGAAGATCCGTTGATTAGTATCGCCAATCCGTCCAAATCATTTCCAGGGCTGGGGTGCTTTCCCTTGCGCTTTTGTTAAATCCTTGTTCGCATTGTTCGTGCTCTAGGAGGCAATCATCCCATTAATTGTCGCGGTCATGCGACGCTCCACCTCAGGTTTCTGTGGAGATAATCTAAATTCCAGATTCAACACAGCTTTGGGAGCGTTGTTAGGTACATCTGAAGAAACCTTTTGCCTCTCACTTCCCACGCCTTTGAGGGTCCCCTAATGAGGAAATAAACAACTATGAATGCACTCCCAGCATTTACAGCTAGCTGCACGTGGCATCTAAATCACCAGACAAGCACACAGGATTGCGTGTTTGTGTCCTGAGTTTATATAGCTCTGCAATGAAGAGATACAAACAGGCAAACTTAATGTTCGGCGGTTTACTCAGTTTTATGTAGAATGGAGCTAGTATAATACAAAATTCTTAAGTGTCGCTCAGCCCGCTACACCTTCTTCCGTCGATTTTAAATGCACGCCGTCACATTCCTGTATGTCGGGCTAATGCGTGCAGGACAAAATGGAACTGTTGGCGACTTGTCGCCACTCCGCAGGCAGGCAGAAAAGTGAAAAAAATGTATGTCTGAGTACTACAAATGTGTGTATCTTCCTACCTAAAGAAGTAGAGGGGCAAAAAGATGCACACACTGGCCAACAACGAACGAGGGATCAAATCCGCACGATTCTGGCGGCAAGATGGATCACTGCAGTCAGAACGCTGAAATCTAAGCATTCTGCTAGTAAAAAACAAAGGGCAAGTTTCAAAATTTTTCAGAGTAATCAAAATACACTCTAGTTTATCAATGCCCCAGCCCCTCATACAGCGATTACTGCATGAAGATACAGCCCGTGCACACGGTATAGTCGACCTAAAAGTTCCAAAGAAGCATGACAAACAAATAGGGACAATCTACATTAGAGCGGATGAGCACAAATCTGAGTGTAAACAGCATCTTGGGAAAGATAACCGGAAGCGTTTAGAGCAGCAACCATAGATGAAAGTAGCTAATATATGCAGAGCACGTGCTGGCTCACAACAATTACTACGTAGTACGGAAATCTCTCCCATGGCAAATGGAGTTGTCAAGCAATTAGCGCTGTGAATTTCCCTGCAGACAAGGAACTTCGCAGCCCCTTCTTTAACGACTTAGGCTGGTGTTTACGACTGCATTTCGCTGAAAATTCATGGTCAGTGTGTCTCCAGCGCTCAATTATTCTAGGATTTAGCATTCTTACGGCTCCCTGTGAAGCCTTCGCCTCCACATGGCTATTCAGCCTGGTCGGCGAATTTCGCGTGCACTTCAAAAATTTTAAATCTTCTTCAAGAAGCACATAATGGAAAGCTTGTGGCACCTCCAATTCTTCTAGAAATCGGTAAAATAAAATGGGACATTGAGACTTGGTAGCCGGATAGCAAATTGTCCCAGCCACCTGACCGCAAGCGTCTTCGTCTTGTCACATCTTACCTCATTTCGTAAAACCTGCCAGTGTACCAGGATCAAGTCTCCAGTCTCGAAACACCCAACTGCCCGCCGCTCACCATAATTCCCGTGCGCGTAGTCCACTCTGGCGAATTTACTTTCGTGCAGGCAACCATTTTCTGATTTCCTTCGGTGCTGTGAAGGGCTGCTTATCTCGGCCACAAGGCAGAGACCCGATTCCTAGACGGGGTCGTCAGTATATACCAGGGCTGCAGCACAGCAACGAATTGGTGAGTTAGCGGATTTATTATCCGTCCACTCAGCACAGGAAAGAGGCTCAAGCCAAACATATATATTCCTTTAATTATAGAGCCCCAAATTTTGAAAAAAAAGTGGAGAGGAGGTGCTTTGTGTGCTCATTTGCATCCGGGGTCGTGGTGGTCACATTATGATCGACGTGCAGGCGAGTCATAGGGCCACAACAGAACACACTAGCAAATTTCGTACCCCTGTCCGTCAAGACACTCCCGAGAAATCAGTGAAGCTTCCAGCATGGGGTAAGAATACTTGAGCAACTTTCTTGGCCACAACAAAGCTAGAGCAAGGGGTAAAGGGGGCATATCTTTTGGCTATGTAAACAACAATTTAGATTCTATCCTCACTCGTGACCTTGGGCAGTTTAGCAATAAAGCCACCAGCTAGATCGGGCCAGATGCTTTTGAAAATGGAAGGCGTTGCGAAAGGCCATATGTGTAGGAATTGCAGTTCCAATTACTGACACTCTGGGCATTACAACGCATACTCCCCTGCCGCGAGACGCATCACAGGCCACCAAAAGGACAGCGATATCTTTTACACTATAGTTTGAATTCCATTGTGGCCCGAATCACCACGATCACCTGCTTTTCACAAGCAGCATTAAAAGGCAAGACCTATATGTACTAATAACGGAGTCCTTGCTTTGTGTTGAGCCACGGTAGGCCATTCTCAACGCGGTAGTGCTTCACCCCTTTGCCATAGGGGTTGGGCAATAGAGGCATATGCATTGGGGCCAAGCGCAGAGGACTCACGCAATGTCAATCAATCCGTAAAAAGACACATACGAGAGGCTGCGCTACACAATGGGGAATTGCTGGGGTGTCAGGAGAGCGTGTCGGTGACCGCGTTGATTCTGCAAAGTCGCTTTGCAGGCGTTCAAGCCACCGAGCAACTCTAGGACTATCGATATCTTGAAAACTCTTTGCAAGATACAGTAAAAGATAGTAGTTGGTCTAGAGAGCAAAATGACTTTCACATGAATAGTGCTGGCGTTTTCCACGTGCCACCACACCGCGTAGAGTTTCTCCTTCCTCCTTACATGGTGCTTGGTCATGGTGAAGCGACGAGAGTGACAAGCAAATCACAACTCAAAGTCTTTAAGAAAGGACCGCACCTACCGCTACGCCGCTAGCGTCAGCTCTTAAAAAGAAGTGACATCCAAAACGGGGCAGTGCGATCAGGGGAAGAAAAAAACGGCGGCCAACATGCTTCCTTCGTGCGGCATCAGCATCCCAGTCTCAGACCGCTCTTTCTCTAGTAGATCAGTCAAATGGGCAACAATCCGAGCAAATCCGGGAATAAAATTTTAGTACTGAGATGCAAGCCTGGAGAACTTCACAATCTTTGGGGAGGAGCAAGGGCGAAGGCAGCCGGCTCTAACGCATTTCCTTCAGCCGCAATATGGAATCCTGGAGACAGTATTTTGACGAAAACAAGCACTTTCTTGCCTTTAGATGCAGCCAATCGACCGCAACATCTGAAGCGCACGTCATAGACATTCTAGAATCTCTTTAACCCTTTCTGTTAAATCCGAAAACCTCCTGCAAGTACACAGTCCCCCAGTTTTTTTTGGTTCCAACACGAGTTTATGCCAAAAAGCGCTAGTCGATTCTTACACTGCCGCCTTTCAACAAATCATTCGCCTACCGTTCAGTCTCCTCTTATACTGTGGAGATTGCTGATACTGCGGAATATAACTTGGGACTGACTTAGGAATTTGCTCAATATGGTGCAGTGGACGACCAGTAGGTTGCGAGCTGATACCAGACAATGCTGCACATGTATTGTCAATTCATGTGTGCGCCTGCCTCAAATAAAATAATGCACACGGTGCTTTTCTCCGTGGTAGTCTTTACCAGAGTCCCATATCACCTGTAGTGCAATCAGCAGGTTAGAGCCTTTAGAATATAAGTTACTGGTTGTGTTGGATCTGATCCACTTTATGAAACGCAACTTGCCATTGATTTTGAAAGAGTCCGTTGTCGTCTTGAACCTCCCGTTGAACTGGTCCTCAATTGACAAGTAGGGTCCCCATTGAGGCACTGGAGCTCCTCCATTTGTCCTCTACCATACCCATCTCCTTCAAATCGTTAAGGGATCCGAGTCCTCTGCTGCACATCCTGAACGGAGCGTTAGACATACGGAATATGTGATGTCCTTGCAAGTCCCGTCGTGTAGATTTCGACATTACGCAAGCAAGTTGTTTTTCAAAAAGTTGGGCTTACTCCCCAAGGACGTATCTTATTGACCGGAAACTGTGGCGAAGAATGACAACGTAGCTCTTGTCAGGACATTTCACTACAATTGCTACCTAACAGTCACTCTCTGGAAGGCATTCCTTAGTCCAAAAATTGCAAGTATGGGGCTTCTATACGTGTGTTGATTAGTTCGTCTGAAGATTCGAGGACCATTTCAGACTAGTAGACAAAGTTTTTTGTCTTGATATACCCTCTGCTTGATAGTAGTCTCAATGGCTAGAAAGGCCTCTTGCTCCTGTTAGAATACACCAACTCTTCTCTTTTATCGATATTTATCACAGAGCCCTTAGCACTTGGACACGCATAGGGAGGCAACCTAATTTAGGCTTATCTTTCGTTAACTCGCAATTTCAGCCCTCTGCTTGCGAGACAGAGTATCTCGGGTTTTCGGTTTGCTTATCAATGAAAGAAACTATTCCAATGCCCTTTGACTTCATGCCAAAAATCATGTAACGCTGCAGTTTTGCTGACGTACAACCAGCCCTTTTTGTTTCGAGCTCAATTAAAAGTCATAACTCCAGATATGAGCTCCTGGTTTTGAAGAGGCAAATATTTCTAGCCTTGATACAAGAGAACCATCCCAAAGTAGAGAAGAATTCCGGACCCCCGGGAAGGCTACTTCTGTATAGAAACGCATTCTGGATGCGCGAGAGCTCTTACCGCACTGCCGCCTGGTACAGTCAATTAGCGGTAATTATAGGGTCTTTCAAGTGGATAAAGGCATTCTCCTCAGTGTACTGTTCCCAAAACTCGGAGAGTTTCCACGCACTAGTTGTCTTCAAGTACGAATCACTGGAGAATTGACTGCGTTGGTTTTTCTGTGTGAAAATATGTTTTATCGCAGAATACTGATCACTTGATACTAGAAGACCTCACGTTGGGTGCGCGTGCGCTAAATGTGATGTGCAGCTAGCTGTGAATGCTCGGGGTTTTGGAGGTTGCAGCTACGCGCACCTTAGCTCTCCCCCTCCCCGCATGTCGACGATTCTGAGGAGCGTGGCCAGGCGGAGGCGTGATTTTTTTTGAGGCATACTCAACAGCTCTCTACTAGGTGTGTATAGAATGCGGAGTTGAATTCCTCCCAACGGAGAAGGATGAAGAAATACACCATTGGAAGGCTGCTGCTCTAGGCATCACTCCCCATCTATCAACAGTGTAGAAGTCCCTTAGGTTCAGTTTTGCAGGGACCATGAAAAGGGCCAGTATACAGGGACACGCAGCGTTAAGGGTACGTTGAAGGAGTCAGATCATCCAATGGAGGGCGTATCCTGTCTGCTCCCATTCACGCCTATCAAGGTGTTCGTAGACCTCGGAGAGTACTGTTGCACGTGCGATTTTTCGAGGCTTTTCTTTGGTTTGTCAAGGAGCAGACACAAAATTCTGATGTGAAGCAGCTCATAACGGCCAACCAGCTTCGCACAACGGTAAATGGATTGGAGAAACCCTACCAATTTTCGTGACAGCAGAATCCTAGGCGTCCTGCTGACCCTCTATACTATTGTTACGGGTGCATGCTTTAGCGCCCCTAGCGTGTGCAACTGTTAGAGTCCTGATGATTCGGGCAGTGGCGGGCACTGGGTCTTTGAGAGTTCTGAGAAGAATTGCCCGTTCGAGGCCCCTAGCCCTTCCCCTTGCCTTCACTATTGCATTGGTGCAAATCCAAATAATATCCACCAGGCTTTGTGGCGAAGGACCAAGGGTCTTGGATGCAGTGTCTGCGCGCAGCTCCCAGGGCCGCTGTGTGGGGGCGGGGCTGGGCCACCTCGCTGAACCCGAGGCATGTTGGGGTGTACTGCCCAAAGAAGCCCTCGCGCTTCGAGTTCGCCGTCGTGTTCTTCACTTTCTGTCCTTCTCTCTTTTCCACTTTCTGCTTCTCCTCGCTGGAGGCTGCTGCTGCTGCTGCCGTGTCCGCCACTGCCGCGGCTTGGGCACTGTTGAACTGGCACGCTTGGCGCTCCGGTCCGCAAGTCCTCTGTCGCAATCATGAGTAAATACGTGCCTCCCCACCTGCGCGTTGGCGGGGGCTCTGCAGCCGCCCCGGCGAGTGCCTCTGCGCCCTCAGGCGCCATCGATGCAGCAGCAGCAGTCAACAATCTTTTGCGGGCTCGTGCGGCGGAGGACGCGGGGGCACCCCCAGCTTTGGACGGGAGTTCCTCTGGAGCTGGAGGCTCTCCTGGGGGCGCTGGCCAGGGGGCTTGGGGAGCTTGGGGCCGAGGCGCTGCAGTCCTACGAACCAACAAGCCGAAGCCTCAACAGAGGAGCACCACCCTGAGGGTCGTGGAAGTTGATTCCCTTGTCATCATGAAGATTCTCAAGCACTGGCGGTGAGTGCTCTCCACATTGGGCTTAGGATCGAGCCTTGCCAGCGATCTTGTTGCGCTCTGGAACGCTGGGGTCGTCCCGCTGGTGTGCCCGTTCACGGCGACCTCCCCTACTGCCCCGCCCCCCTCCTTTTCGTTGGCTGTAAAAAGACTCTATCGACCAGCTGGCTGCACTCCTTCCTCATGCACCGGTTGCTGCGCCCCTGTGTCTCCGCAAACCTTCCCCAATGTATGCGCGTATGTGCGGACCGCGCTCTCTTGGTCATTCCCCCGATTTCACTGCTCCATGTGCCTATCCGCCTTCATCGCAATGTCGCTTCGTATTGCGCTTGGGCCGGCTGCCCTCCCTCCCCTTCTGGTGCAAGAGGGGCTTGGCTCCCATTGTTGCAATTTCCATTTCGGTTTATGAGGCGTACTGCCGGGAGGGCTGGCCATCAGCACTGAGCCCTTGCTAGCGCTCATATCGATGTTTATTGGCACCTTGTATGCATACGTCCTCTTCACGAGTTGGTCAGAGGTCTGTATGCCCTGCCTTCGTTTTCGCGTTCACTTTCCTCGTTTCGTGCTACTTTTCGTGTCTGCTGTATAGGTTCCCATCTTTCCGTAACGACCATCTTTAATGAACGCCCCACTTTTGTTCCTTCTTGCCGTTGCACATTTGCTACCGAACCGCATCACAAGGAGCTTTTGCGTCTTTTTGTGCGTCCAGTCCCTCTGTATGGAGCCCGCCGCTTCTTGCGCTCCCTTGCTGCCCTGCGCTCTGTTTCTTTCAGAGACTTCCATCCGCTGCCGGTAAACGGCCAGTTGCTAGGAACTGAAACCCGCGATAAACTGGAAGTGACAAATTGTTTCCCTCTTCCCCAGAAGAAGGTGCGCGCACATCTCACTGCCTGCGGCTCTGCGTCTCGCCCTCCCCTTTGCTCTTTTGCGTGGTCTCGAGGAACCCGTTTGCTCCTCATACGCCTCTGCTTCACGACTTCCTGAGCCTTTCTATCTTTTCCTCTTGCACAGCTTCCCGGTAGCCCCCCCTTAGCAGTGATCACTCTCCACGTTGTTTGCCACTGGAGCTGTCCATGGTTCTTGAGCGCCCCTCCCGGGCCGAAGGACTGGGAGAGGGGCATTGCCCTTCCACAGAGAGGGCGTCAGCGCCACGCTATCGCTGCTAGGCGGCATGCAGCGTCGTGTTCTTCTGCTTGAACAGTGCAAGGCGGGGTAGGGGGCCTCTGTTGAGACGCTTTGTAGCCTCTGTAGCTGTGGCACTGCGCGTGTGTGTTTGGGTGATAAACGCTGCCGGCTTACCGCCTAACTTCTCAACCAAATATTCGTTGTATCTATCTCCCTCTACTCGTTTTTCGCTAGTTAGTTGGGCCCGCGTGCGTCCGTCCCTGTGCGGCTGCAGGAGGTGCTATCGGCTTTGCAGCAAGAGAAGATTTCGGGAGACCTTGAGGAGCGGGTGGATGAAGAGTTTGATCGCTATCAGGACAGAATGGCGGAGTTAATGCACGACCTGAACGTGGACTGCTTTACGGTTGGCTGGTATCTTACGGTTTCCTTCTCGGAAGCGCTACAGAAGGAGATAATCGAAAGCCTCGTGGCCTACCAAGAATTGGTAGATCGAGCTGTACTGCTCGCGTTCGATCCCCAAAGGCTCTCGAATGGCCGCATTCCGTTCAAGGCCTACAGAGTGAAGCCCGAGTTTCTCCCACTCTTCCATGCATATGAAGCGGATGTCGCTCAATACAGCAAAATCACGGCTGCCGATATCCTTGTGGAGGTGCGTTGATATCCCTTCTCTAGTGCCGCTCTCGCTTTCTTCACCTCTTTTGCACGACTCTTTTTTTCTGTGTTCCTCTATTGCGCGCCCAGCAAGGGCGGGGCTCGTGCTGCTCACGGTGACCACTCGCTTCTGTGGTGCGCATGCATGCATGGGCACGATGCCTATATGTATGTACGTGTGTAGATGGGTGTATATATTCATGCATGCGTATAATCTTTATGTAGCCACTCATGTATGTATGTATGTATGTATGCCTATGCAGGTGCCGGTAACCCTGCGGAATGCCTTTTTATCGGAGGCATTTTTCCTTGAGTGGAGCAACAGGTCATCTTTGTCTGCATCCTCGCTCTGCTGGGGGACACCACAGCCTTCGTCCCTGGAGAGGGGCATTGGTCAGGTATCTTTGTGCTTGGACCTCTTGGGCGAGGAGCAAGAGAAGGTGCAGCGGTATCAGCGAGACAGCTTGCGGCAGCAGCAGTTGCAGAAGCAGCTCACCGAGAGGCGCCGTCTCGAGAACGAGCAAAGGAGGCTAAAAGGCGAACCACTTCTGCCTGCAGAGCCTGAGGGTCTATCCATGCGGCCTGTTGAAGTGCCTTCCCTGTTGCCCTCGCTCCTGCTGCAAGCCCAAGTTGGGCAGCACGTGCAGCAAATCTCCGATGCGTGTGGCGACAGCCTGAAAAAGATGTTCCTGCTGAACTATGCGAGCCAGCCGCAGAAGGAGGCTACGGAATAAGTGCGGGATTTTTCAACGCAGCAATCGGTTGAGTGTGATATGCGCGTGTGCTTGCATTTTTGTGCAGGCACATGCGCATGCACGTTTAGATCTGTGCTACGGCTGTTGTATTCGTTTTCTTGTGCACTTGCCTGCCTTCCTGTGCGCACACTTGTTCGCGTCTCTCCTTGGGAGAGGGGCTGGCTGGGGCAACGCGCGCCAGGCGTGTGCCGCGCAGGGCTGTGCTTTGGAATCTGGTTAACAAGGCTACTGGCATTCACATGATGCGCATGCCAATAAAGGAAAACCTTATAAAATTCTATATCTATATGCCTATCTCATCATACACCGCAGGCCAATCAGGGTGTCAGGGATGCATGCTCACAGCGCTTGCAGCTAGAGTCACATCGAGAGCCGGGGGCTATAGAGACCAGTGACAACAGGAGAGCCTTGGGGGCGATGTTTGAGGTAGAGGAGATGCTTTGGGGAGAGACCACGCCTGCTGGCGCTGCTGGAACTATGGCAATAGGGCAGGGCACTCAGTGGGGGCAGACACGCACGGATTAAAGCAGCAACAGATATCGACTGCTATAATGCGCAATCGCATCCCAATAAAACTGCATTTACGACGAGTCTGCGCGCGGAATAAAGCACTAGGCGGCGCCTAGCACTTCTAGGCACCACCACTTGGTGGCAGCAACATTGAGCGGCCTTCTCAACAGGCTACAACCAGGTGACCCTGAGATCACCGTGCTCTTGGCTCAATTCCCCAAGGCGCCTTAAAGTGGCTGGGGAAGCCGTACTGTGCGGGAGGCCCTTCTCCTTCAAAAGGACGGCCAACTGTGTGTCAGCTGAGGTTGCACAAAACAACCTTGTAGGCGTGCAGAGGCCCTCCTAGTTTACAGGGTGCAGAGGAGGGGGCGACATGCCTTGACTGGACGGGTAGACACTCCATGCACTACACAAGAGCACCAACCAGTAACGGCCAGCCCTTTCGTCGCCAGTGTGGCCTTCGCAATGTGCGTTGCATTACTTTTTTGCGGTGCCCGTTCCCATCTTTTGCTTTTTGCTTGGCTGGAAGAAGTCAGTGAGGGGCCTCGAGTTGCAGCTTGACCGTTTAGCTGCTGCTGCAGACGCCTTCGTTGTCGTTGCTGTTGCTGCTGCTGCCTGGGGTGCAGGGGTGCAGGGAGATACGCATATGAGGCCTTTCGTGCGGATGCTGCCCATTGTAGGGGAAACAGCATAGTAATGCACTGCCAGATCCACTGAACACAAACACATACACAGAAGAAGGCTCACCGACCTTAATGCATGAGGGACTGAAGCCCGAGTACTTTGCTGCAAGGCGACAGAGAGTTGCGCAATTCAGAAGATGCAGGCGGAGATCTTCTGGAGGCAAACAGAGAGACAGATCGGAGCAGGGGAACAATCGTAAGCCAGGACAGAAAACGCGCCATGGAATTGAAAACAAGGATATGCTGAAAAGAAGAGGCAAAACATGCAGCAGGTGTTGTGCGGTGTGTGCTGACTGAGCTGCTTAGCCTGAGCCTCAAGGTCTCCCCGAATTGCAGAGAAAGGCAGCGACATCTCCAGCCACATGGCAGCACCCTCAGGAGACAGCAGCAGCGGCATCCTGAAACACACACGAAAAAATATAAACCCCAAGAAGGCCTGCATGCCCTTTCTCGACTCTCCCGTCGCCCCTGCCGAGGAAGAACAACAAAAACAAAGACTTCTTCTTCAAGAAGATACACGAGAGGTCCAGTAGCAGGCTGCCGCTGCAACGCGCGACCACGAGGCACCGTCAGCAGCTGCTCCCCCAGCCCAACTGGTGGCAGCAACTGCACACGCGTGGCAACAGCAGCAGCACCATATATCCACGACAGTAGAGAATGCAGCAGTACGGGCAGTATGCTGCTAGACCTGTCGTGTATCTTCTCCATGGGAGTTCCCTTCGCGCTCATTGTGACGACTGCAATGGACACGGGACTGGGCTTGCTGGTCTGGCTCTTGCTCGTGAGGTCCTTTTCGGAGTATGCTGGAATGTACAGACACCCTAGGAGCATGGGGGCCTCTGAGGGGCCAAGCACGCTGGGGATATTGTTATACTTGCCACCACAGCTGTACTGGATGCCGCTGTGGCTGCTGCCGGAGCAGCAAGGCTCCTGCTTTGCATCGCCGTGTTTCACTGGCGCCTTTGTCGGCCTTTTAGGAATGGGGGTTTCTGCAACCATGACAAGTGTGGAAAGCGCAACCGATGAGATGGCATAAACAGCACCCTTGCCCGCAGCAGGAGACAAACTGCGCTGCGTGCTGCCGTCCGTTGGTGCGGCCTTGCGCGAAGAAAAGCAGCGAGAGTCGCACATGCATGCACGCGCAGCAGCAGCAACGCCGCGAAAAAAGCGCATTAGCTCCGCATGGCAAGAAAAGCATCACGAGCAGCGTCTGATAAAGCCGCTTCTTTGGCACACACTCGACAAGCTAGACTAGGTAGGGGGCCCCCAACTGCCACAACCCGCGCATACGCTGGAAGAGGCTAGTAAGCCGCAGTACGTCAACGGACTTACGAAGCAGCTTTTGCTTCATTCTGAAGAAGAATGGTTGCCGCTGCGCGTTCTTGTCTTTAGGCCTTAGCCACTCGAAGAAGCCATCGACCAGCAGCACGCAGCGCCGCCTGTCGACTAAGCCCCTGTGACACGAAGCAGCGCACATTAACAGAGGCTGCTGAGCTTCGGAATAACTGGATAGAAGAAAGGTCGCGTGTGAGCAAAGTTGCTAGCCATGAAACGCACTCGCAAGCTGGCGAAGAAACACTCTAAGTTCAAGGGCCTTGCCGACAAGGGCGTATGCTAAGGCTAGGCGCTACAGGCCTTTTAAAAAAACAGTGGAGCAGGAGATATACGTTGCTGCTCCTGATGCTTTCCGTACGATCACGCTCCAGCATCTTTTAAACGTCTGCAGGCCTGCGAGCCCTTAGAGCGCTAGCTGCTGCAGTCGCTGTAATACCGTTACCATTTTGAGGAACTGGGGCCGTGCATGGAGACAACAGACAGCAACTGCATGCAACATTTGTGCTGCTCGCGCAAGTACCTGAAGGCTCTACTTGTCTGAGCGGTCTCAATGCGGGCATTCGAGGGGGTGAGATCGCTTCCGTGCAGCTGGAGACCCCATGCAGCAGCCACGACACTCCTGCTGCATGGGGTCTTCCCCTCCTGCTGCGGCAGCTCCCTTGGCTGCGGTGGAAGAATTACCGGAAGTCTGGTGGAAGGGGGCAGATTGCAGCCGTTAACCGGGTACTGCAGGAGCGACACATCGAGGAGGCCGGCAGCTGCAAGGGATGCACAGCTGCTGCAGGCGGCAGCCGTTGCTTCTTTCTCTGTTCGTGTTGCTGCCAGCGATTCGCCTTCCGAGAAAGCCTTAGTCGTTGCTGCCAGTGTCAGGGCTCTGGCCGCTGTTCCTCCGTCCGAGCGGAGCTTTTGAGGCAATGCTCCCTCTTTCCCTTCATCGGAAACTTCGGTCTTTGAGCCCTTCTTCTGCACATTGTCCTTCTCCTGTTGTTCCTGTGGTTGCGGATCGCCTGCATTGAGGCCCGCTATGACACACAGGCGGTGAGTATGAAACGTGCAAGACACACGGCCGCACATGTTCTCGAAGCCCCTGCCACTAAGGCGTAGATTGCGTGTGTATATATGTACATGTACATTGAGCAGTGGTTAGGTCTGTTTGATGCGACCCTATGGATTTTTTGGTTGCTTAATATCTGTTTCAATGAATATCGTAGGAAAAAATATTGCCAGCACCCAAATTCGCACAGTGGCTGCTCGGCCCGCCACGTACATTGAGCAGCGGCTCTAACCGACGGCGAAGCCCCCAGCAGCCGCGTCAGTTGGGCCTCTTCCGTCAGTATATCCCAGATACAGAGCCTGAAAGCCGAGCCAAAGATCAAGCAATGTGTTCTAATGCGTTCGATTCTACAGTCGCTCCACCCGTTCTTCTACAACCTAAAAGAGGCTCGCCTGATAACCCAGCTGTTGAATCTCCCTCAGTCTGTGAAGGCCGCCAGGCATCTTCTCCCGGGCGATCTGAGTGCCTTCTCTATTTGCATGCGGCAAAAGCGGCCTTTTAGAGGCTGTAGAAACGTGCTAATCAATGCCTCCAGAGTTTCAACTCCTTTGGCAGACAGCTAGTGCAATGTAGCTTCCGTATTGGGAACGTCAACGGGGACGCACTGAAAGGGATCTTACTCTCAGGGGTGTGAGTGCACATGGCAGGGTTTTTCTTAAAGTACCTCATCCATTCTTTGAGGCCTCGCAGAGGAGAGTCTCTTGGGGGTGTCTTCGCAGGCGTCCTTCCACGCTTTGGGGCCCTTGCCAGCTATGAGCCCTTGTACGACTCCGCTAGCGTAGGTGAGCAACAGCTAAGTAATAGCGAAAGGGGAACACTAAGAGGGGAATGTAGTGAAAGAAAGAGAGGTCCACAACGAAACAGGGAATCTTGCCCGCGTTCGCTCGCTGTTTGTACTATTATATGGCACCTAATTCTTTTGGCCGCCAAAGAAATGTATGCGGCCAAGCCTTTGCCCCTCTCCCTATTGCACGTCTTAATTAGTGAGCCCTGGCAGTTTCTCCTTAATTCCACATATATTTCCATCGCGAATGGGGTGGAAGCGCTCGCCGTGACCCGTAAACCGCTTCCTGCTGACAAGATTTCTTTGTCTATAGCAACACGTTCTGTCCCAGTGCCTCCGGGTGACGCTAGTTTACTGTCGCTTTACGCTAAAGTAGCGACTTGGGCGCGTAGAGCCACATCCTGCTGCTAAGGCTCGCAGTGGTCTCTAGGAGCGAATGCTTTCATGGGTCCTTTCGCAGCTCGCGCGTTTGTGGGGGGCTTTAGGTGGCATGTGAATAGCACTGTAGGACAGCTCCCAGTACAAGAAAAATGGCGAGACCCCGTTACAGGCTCTGCTTTATGAAAGCTTGTTTCCTTCCTCCTGCGCCCGAGAGTGTCCGTAGATGAATTTGGAACCCACCGAAGCAACAGGACTTTAGTGAGGTTTTTCTCCCCGATTTGCCTGCGCAGAGAGTCGAGATGTTTATTTCCTTCCAAAATCTTTCCAACTTGGTGCTGACTCCAGCTACTTCCGGCAACACATGCCTGGCGCTCTCTCAGGAGGAAGATTCCTTCCTGTTCGCCAGACGGCCCCGTTCCGTGCTCAGTTGCTGCCATTTAAGATGTTACACGTGCCCCCTACAGAAACATTCTTTTCTCTGAAGTAAATGCCGCACCGACTGTGCGCAAGCCTCGCAAAAAAATGAGCTTTTGTTGCCTACAGATGGCTGTACTCACCAGGAGGGCTGACCTACACGACAACGTTGTTACTTTAAGCCCCCGAACGCCCGTGCCATGCTGCAGTGTAAAGGGTTCGCAGTGGAAGAAGGCAACATTGGCCCCCCTGTAGGAAGTGCGCTGCGCCATTTGTGCCTCCAAAAGGTCCCCCTCTGCTGCTGTCAGGCTATCCAGCTCCTGAGGCGACCGACGAGCCTCCTGCAGGGGAAGCAGCATGTTGTTGCTAGAAGCTGGACCGAAGGAACAAGCCTGCTGGGGTAGAGGCAGCACCGCCGTGTCGAAGACGCTGACAAAAAGAAGAAAACAGGTGTCTCTGCTGTATAACTTGCAGCTCCCTCACAGAGTGGGCGTCTTTGCAGAGCCTCGCGGGCCTTCTTATCTCTATGGTGTCACCCCCAAGGGTCACACCCACCCACTCTACACAGCAAGAGACAACCTTCCACTAGACTTTGGGATGAAGGGCTACTCTGGGGGTCACTCATGTGGGCATCCTCCAAAGCTCCGGACAGCAGAGAAAACCTCCTCACTTGCATGTCAGACCTACAAAACAAGAGTTGAATGTAAGAACAAACCGCCAAGATCTACCTATCATGCGTGCAAGAAAAAGTGTCCAATAAAGGTTCCTAAAAACTGCTTCTAGTGCGTCTAGACAGGAGGCATAAGTGAGGCGGAAACACGTGCAGCCCCACACAAGCGGCGGGATGTGGCGCTACGAGAAAGAAATGCCACGCAGCCCGCTGGAAGAGTCATATAGGGTGAATCTCTATGGCCGGTGTGTGGGGCACTTCTAGCAGCTCTAAACTGCTATCCTGTTGAAGATCCGCACTCCGCGGGGAAATCCCAATGGCCATGGCGTATCAGACCTCATCATCCTGCAAGAGCATGTTAGGGATGCCTTTCGAAACTGGGTATTCTCTCTTGCATGTGGGACATATCAGGGCCCCTTCCAAGATGTGGAGCTGGGAAGAAACACACACACAACTAAACTGTACGCCCTACACTCGAAAGACCCTACGTCATGCTGTGCGCTCACGTCAGGCGTCTACACAATTGAGAAATTGGGAGCGTGTGCTTTCCGCATTTACGTCCAACACTGCAGCCTGGAGAGCCCTAAGGAAGTTCTCGTCTGCCTTGTCGCTTTCAGAGAAGGTAGATGGCAGATCCATGCCGAGCTGCGTATACACACCCAGAGCAAGCCCCCTGAATTTGCGTACTCAGGCTCACGCCTTCGAGATCTAGAGAGGCGCCCCTACTACGCGAAAGTGTGCCAAGGCCTCCTTTTCCTCTCTTGTCCCCTACAACTCTCGATGTGGTTACCTTCTGCATCACCATCTGCGCATACATTTGTATCTATATATATATATATATATATATATATATATATGCGCCCTTTCGGCGATGCGACTACCACAGGCATGACCTGTTTTGGCAAAATTGCTGTGCATAAACATCGAATACTGGGGGCCCAAAATCTAAAGTACATTCGCACCTCCGATGCCGTTTGGACCAAGGCTTGCCAGTCGAGCTTCTTCAGAAGGGAAAGCAGAAGAGGCGTTTGTAACTCGGTTTCCTCGTGCTTCGTGGCGGAGGGTGCCTCTCCCAACTTGATGAGTAAGGGGTAGCCCCCGGAGCACTGCCGCCGATTGCTGCACAATCACATCTTAGACCTTGCGCCGGAACCCGTGAGGCAATAAGCGAGCAACTGAGGCACCTACATAATAGGAGTCCTGCTAAACTGCTGCAGCCCATTCGATGCATGGCCCTTTTCTCACTCCGCAAGCAAGCGTGTAGATTGCCGCTCGAAACCTGCATCTTTACAAGGTGAAGAGAGCCTACGTGAGGGAGAAGCAGAGGGGCAAGGCTGCGGCTGCTGCGGAAGGCGCCTTACCACATGAGAAGGTTGTGAGTAAGGAGCCGCATTTTCAGCGTGGCCCGTCAGGGCCGCACGAAGCAAGGCGGATCAAAGCTTGAACCCCTACCGACGGAAGCCTCGAGGTTGAAGCGGGGTATCGAGATATGTGCTTAACGGAGCATAGCCTAAGCCCGACTTCCGAGGTTCTAACTGTTGAATCTAGACCGTATCAGAGGCTTTGCAGAAAGGAAAAACGGTCAAAATTGAAGCAAAGGTCCGTCTTTTGTAAGGCAGTGGGCCATCGACTCTCTATGCCTTTGCCCGCTCAAGGCTGCGGGGGCCTCCCACTCACAGCCCTGAAAATTCTCTTTCTCATTTATCGCCTGTGATCGTGTATTTCGCTCCACATTTGCGTTTTAACATGGCAAACTCCTCAAATCAGTTGCTGCGAAAGATTGTGAGGAGCGTAAAACTTACGCCTTCAGCGGACTCCGCATTTGTCTGTTCTCAGTGGGCTGAGGGGCATCGAAGGGAGTTTCTTATAAGTCATTCTCCCAATGCAGTTTTGGGCTAGAGAGGTTTCTTGCGTGTGCTCTAAAAAGCTCAAGAATCCCACGTTCCCATTAGCAACCCATGAACCCCGAACCCTCGCGTCGACACACGACTTCCCTACAGAGCTCGCCGTCTGCTCACGTTCCATTACCCTCGCGATAAGTCCTGAACCCCCCTGCCTACAGCTAAACCCAACGCTTATAGCCTACAGCCTAGAAACCAGAGCCTGAGCTCCTAATGCCAAATGCTAGCGCTTGAACCCGAAAACACTGACCGTTCTGCCCTAAATTCTACGCGCAAGTTGCAACGCCCCCCAAGGGCTCCTGCAGGAGGGCGCTCTAGTAGCTGCACACCGACTACAAAATTGAATAAAACTTTATTGAGAGTGCTTTTACACAGCTCCCTTCCCTTTCGCACTGACCGCAGAAGTTTCTGGCACAAGAGAAGAAAGATCTAAGACTGGGGTGCGCAGGGCTGCACCGTTTAAACCGAGCGCGCATTCACACCTAGCTGCACATGAAAAAGTATAGCCTACAGGCAAAGAACATTGAACCTTGAAGCACTGGGCCAACTTTGCGTCAAAAGAAGATATAAGAACAGCCGGAACAAGCGGTAACCAAGATCAAGACTAAAGCTGCATTCGTGTAAAGTGCCGGAACGCAGCAAAACCAACGGTTAAAGTTGTAGGATAATAGGGGCACCGAAGAAAACCTAGTCTTCAGGCAAGGAGGCATCACTGTTTTGGCCTACCCCGAGCGCAAACTGCAGAAGCGGAAACCTGGGAAGCGCACTGCTCTGTCGGCGTTTACGTGTTACCTTTTTTAGGTCGGTATCAGCCGCACAAGCAGCAGTTCTTAATGCAGCAACAACCCCGCCCACCCGTCCTGCCTCTGTGTCTCTGAAGGCACGGACAAGGTCTCTTCAAGGGCGCCAAACATGTTTGTTGCATATTCTCCGTTCGCGGATGGAGGCGCCCATGACAGAGCCTGTTTTACTGCCGGAGCACAAAGAAAGTGCTCTCTCACATGAATACAACAAACGCCGTTCGGATTCAGCCTTACTGCTGCTTTGCAGCACTTCGCATTTGCATCTTCTCTGCAGCGCATACGCTGTCCCTATGTAACTGCTGCTCGTGGTCTGGCTGCCCACGCTACACAGTTCCAGCACTGGCGCAACGACTCGCGTGTCGGCCTTGAGTCAAACCCTTCGTCTTACTGCTTGATCAATGCATGCATTGCTGCCATGCTCTTATGTTTCACGGAATTTCCCGAGAGCAATTTGCCTCCTAAAAAAATGTTGGTCAAAAAAGAAAATGCCTCATCCACTTCGTCAGTGAAGAAGATCTGCTGCACCTCGTCGAAGTCCACCAGCCCGCACTCCACGAGATAATCGAAATTCACGACTTTCTGCACCAAACACCGCAAGCCACGCATGCGCGCACAACCATGCGATGGTCATGTGAAAGCTGTGCTAGCAGGAACCTGCAAGGAGGCAGCACAGAAGGCGTTTCTTTTATACGCCGACCAGCAAGGGAACCTGCTGTTGGAGCAATCGCACGGATCACACAGCACGAGGAGCAGCAGCGGAGCTAAAGATGCGCAACCTTGCACACCTTCCAGTAGCTCTTCCCGAAGAGAATAATGGGAATGTCTCTCTTGAGCTTCCTACACTGCTTGAGGGTAAGGACCTCCATCAGCTCGTCCAGAGTTCCTACTCCCCCAGGTGCCGCAATCACCGCGAGAGCGGCATACGTCATCCAAAACTTCCGAGTAAAGAAATAGTGGAATTTGAAGGCGAGTTCGCTGTCAATATACCGATTGAGACATGATTCAAAGGGCAGTGTCATTCCAAAGCCCACGCTTCGTGCGCCTGGTACATCTCGAGCTCCCTTATTGGCTGCCTCCATGAGGCCTGGACCCCCTCCCGTCCCTAGAGCGGCGGCACACAGCGCTCCAGACTCGAGACCATCCAGCTGGCTTCGGAAATGCAGCGGATCGTCTCCCGCAATAACCAGTGGGATCTCCCGCATTACATTGGCTATCGCCTGAGAAGGCGCCGCAGACATCGGAGCTACGACGCGGAACAGGTAGGTGCTCGACACCGATAGAAAGCACGTGTACAAGCATGTACAAGCACACGCATACATACTACAGCCGTTGGCTTGCTCTCAAGACTTTCGCTGCGCTGACTCTCCGTCTCTGTCTCTCTCTCGAGACCGATCCTGGTGCTTGCTGGGTGGCTCTGCTGCGGCTGTTGTTCCTGTACAGACGGGGCTGACCTTCCTTGCTTCTTGCGTCTGGACCCACTCCATGAGGCGCCGAGCAAGCTGCCGAGTCTTCTCGTACCACTCGCAGCACCACTCCAGCCTCCGTAATTTCTCAATACTCGCGACGGCCGCCTTCGCTGCGGCTTCGCTCTCGGCGGACTGCGCTGCGGCTTTTGCTGCAGCCATCCTGCAGAGGCAACAACACCACCAACAACGGCCATCTGGTGCAGCGAAAATGCACCAACGCCTTCCCAATCCGGGCAGCCCAATCGCCTCCACTACCAGCAATCGCGTTTCTCGGCCTTCCGTTCACGCAGACACGTACACCCGCGCCTTCCGTGCTGATAAGGCCTCACGAGGCGAGTGGCGGCAAGCACGAAGCAACACAAATTCGGAAGCTCAGTAGCAGTACCTCTCTTCCCAAGTTTGCCTGTCCATAGCCCGCGCGCTGCCGAAGACGACGAAGGTGGAGAGGATGCCGTTAGCCCTGAGGCGGTCCCTTACTTCCAAGTACTCGCAGAGAATGCGGACTTCGCGGGCTCCTCTGCTGTGCATCCATTGTCTGTTGTCGTAGGACTAGAAACAGAAATTCGCCAGCAATTCAGAAGGAACATGTGATGACGACCCAAAGGCTGCAAACCCCTCCTTACAAACCCTACAATGCTAGACGGGACCACCATCAACACGGAGTGCGCAACCATCAATTAGGCCATTAACCGCAGATTTTACAGGTAAGGCTTGAGATTTAGCATTCATCGTTACAGTTTACGGTTTCGTGCCTTGATAGGATCAGCAGGAGCCGAGGAGGAGTCTTCGCTGCTGGCTGATGGGACGTTCTGGTCTTCAGCGATCATCTTTAGGAAGTTAGGATGTAGGGCTTCAAGCTTGACAAGGATAAGATTCTTCTAAGTCTCGACACTTTAAAAAGGCTCATATAGATAAACTGGTGAGTGAGCTTTGAGGCGACTTGACACTTCACAAAAGTTCTGGCTGCTCGGGTTCCACTTCGTGTGAACCAAAAATAATGGGAGGCGGGTACTTCCACTGGCAGTCCCAAGCCCTACACTCTAAACCCTATGACAGACTTCCAAAATCCTGGATATTTAGGCTAAATACAAAAGCCCGAATGTTGCACTTCATTGTTTCCAGACACAAACCACATCTAAAAGCAACAAAACCGATCGATATGTTGTGGGGCGGCACATTCGTTTCCCCTTTGCAAGCTGTATTCGTACTTTGCAAATTCGTGCATACACGAGCCTCACTAGCTTTGACTGCTCAGTTCGCCATTATTAGCTGCTTTTCGCCTGCTGGGCCGTTTTCTCCTTCACTGCAGCTCCCTCTAGCGTGAATAGGTAAACGCACAATAGTTATGTAGCATCCCAATTCTGCATACTAACCAAAGGCTCTCAACCTACCCGAAACTCTAAAGGCCCTAAAATATCAGTTTGCGAAGTGCTTTCTCCTAACGATCGGTGGCTGCGCTAGAATTGTGCTCTATCTACACTAGCTGAAGCTAAAAACTACGGGAAATTGATCGTTTGGTTTGGCCATTCGTCCAACTCATGTGTCACACGGTGCTTAACTCAACGGAATAAGGAATAAGTTGTGTACCTGTGCGTTATAGGCTGCGATGCGCAACTAGCTGTGAATACGTGGAGGCGTGTGAAGGGTCCAGCAACGCCGACGCACCATAGCCCTCAATATCTCTCCCTTCATGATAGGACTCAGAGGGCTGGAGGTAGAGAGAAAGAAAAGCGCTGTTAGAGCGACTCAGTGTAACCTTCCATGCGTATTTATTGTGTGGTGCGGCTACTATGACCTCCCTACGGCGACCTTTATGAGAGCATTACACTTACCGTGACGTCACTCCGGCAAAATTCCAATGTAGGGGAGCCTGGGCTGCTGGAATACGCTTTGTTGCATCCTCTTAGCACTTCAACTATTCATTCGCACCCAGTTGGATAAGCTAAGTAGCGCTCAGGCCCACTGCACTTCTTCCTATAGCATGGGGCTCACTACCCCTACTCTGTAACAAAAGGCATGTACATTAGCCAGGTGAATTACTCAGTTTGTAATTAAGTCTTCACTGAAAAGGCCCAACGCAAGTAAAAGTGCAAAGATGCAGCTTGACTTGCTGTAAGCCTCTCCTCGAATACAAAATTGTGCGTTATTTCCGGCGCATCGCCCCTGGGGGAATGCAGTAGCAGCCAGTACCAAAACTTTTGGGGAGTCCCTTGGGGCCCTTCAGCAGTTACAAGTAGACAGGCCCGTATGAAAGCGCATAGGGCCAAGAATACAGACCGTCTGCCCAGAGTTCGAGACACCCCAAAGAGCTTTTATGCGAAGGCAAGGCTGTGGACCCACTATCTAATTTTAGCTGGGTCCACCTATCTACTAGAGATGCACGGCTTATGCTACAACTAGTGTAGTAATAGAAGGGTACGTCTTTATTCTTAAGATACCTTCGCAGCCAGTAGGATTTTCAGGTCCCTGGGAATAAAATTTCTACACAGGGACTCATACCGCTGTGGACCGCTGATGAGCGCGCCTCGAAACGATAAGACAAGAGTGAGAGGCTGCATTCTGACTCCAGGGTGTGAGGCATGTCGCTGCCCCTGGTTAAGGAGTGCTATTCCTCGGCTTTCCTTTAAAAGCGAATAAAAGACTGTTGGCCCCTGCTTTGCATATATATTGCACGAAGCCGTTGCTCTGATTCAGGGCTAAGCAGTGCCCAGTGGCAGTGGGTGCACACACTAACTCTCTTGGTAGTTCCTGAGCCGGGCAGGAGGAACACTAGAGCTCCAGAGACGCACACTGATAGAAGGAAAGGAGAAACGGTAGCACATACAGCACAGAACCAGAGGAAAAATGCTGCAAAGTCTGTACAAGAGACGCAGAAGTCACAAGACAACACTAAAAGAGGCCAGAAGATAAAATACGAGAAGCACTCGAAGAACGGATTGGGTCACCCACCCTCTCCTGGCTGCTACCCTTCTTAGACTCAACAATACCTGGTATATTTGCTGCACCTACGTCAGACAGGCGCCGAGAGCTTTATTGAAAATTCTACTGCTGGTGCTACTGCAGCTACAGAACGAAAAACTTAGCACCCGCTGAAGCCGCGGCAGGGCTACTCACGGGGTTCCATGTCTCTAGCCAGGCGACAAATACAGAGGGCGCAACAGTGAGCTTCTGCCTTTGCAGAGGCTTCCTTTGGTAGCCCCCAGTTGTTCTGCTACTGTTTCGTAGAGGGAAGAGCTGCTCGTCATGCTAGTGCTGCTGGTGCTGCTGGTGCTGCTGTGCCTCGAGAGCAAGCGCTCTGCCGAGTCCGCAGCTCTGTTGCAGGGGGAAGGGCAGTAGTAATAGTCGCTGCCTAAAGGGGATAAATGATGGAGCCCTGCAACAGCAGCAGCAGCAGCATTTGCTGCCTCTGCGGCCTCTGCCTCTACTGCTGCTGCTAAAGCCCAGGAGCGCCGCTCTCTCCAAGGCGAAACAGTGGCGGTTCCCTTGCGACATTTCAAGGCCGGAGCCCTTGGGCATCTAGCCACCGGACTGCGGGCCAGGGAAAGATGTGTTTTGCTCCGCCCTGGAGCGGCGGCCGCATCTGCCGCCGGTGCCCTTCCCAGCTTCCGTGTCTGGAGTGTTCTTTGGCGAGCCTCAGTAGCAGACACGGAGTGGTAGGCAGCAGAGGGAGAGGCTGGCAACGCAGAGACATTGGGGCTGCCAGTGGTTGAAGACTGAGGGCTCCTGCCTCTTGCCCGCCTTCCGCACTGCAGCAGCCTTTTCACGGTGTCTGATTCCGCCAATTTTCTGTAGGGCCTACTGCTGAAAATGCTGTTGCTCCGCTGCTGCGCAAAGGGGCTTTGGAGGCCAGAGGGAGACATGTCCGGGGATGCACAGGCTATGGACGCTCTTGATTTGCATGCAGTCCTCGCGGCCTTTGCTGGAGCTGCAGCGCAGTGCGATGATGCGGCAGAAGAACTCTGCCACAGCCGGACTTCCCTTGGGGAAGGCGGAGGCGCATCAAGCAGAGTACGGCACTCTGCTGCTGCTGCTTCACCTGGTTCGCAGCGTGCTGCGGCTGCAGAAGAGTTGCGCAGCTGCCCGCGGCCATCTTTACAGGGTAAACGGAGCCTCTCACGACACCCTGCTGCAGGAATTTCTCGTGCTGCCTTTCTCTCCGGCTGCTCTCTGCATCTTGCTGCTGGAGATGCACAGTATTCAGCTGCCCCACTGCTGCTGCCTTTGGCAGCCGCGGCACGGTGACCGTACCTGGTCTGAGGTCTGGTAAGAGGCGTATCAGACGGCTCATCAAGGGCAAGTGGCTCTGCTGCTTCTATGGCTGCTGCTGCTACTACTGCAGTGGCCGCCCGCGCGCCGTGGGAACTCTTCCACAGAGGCCCTCTAGGAGCAGCAGTCGGTGCGAGCAAGCCAGACCGCCGCGGGGGTTCGCTCTTAGCAGCCCCTTCAGCGGACGCAGCAGCAGCACTAACGGTGGCCTCTCCTGCTGCTTTCGTTGCTGCTGGAGGGGGCTTGCAGCATGGAGGGCAGGGTGACCAGTGCGGGGCAAAGGCCGTACTATGCGGCAGTGTGCAGCTTGCAGCACGCTGCTTTCGATGTTGCGTCTCTAGCAACTCGTGCTGTTTTTGCTGAAGCAGCCGCTGCTGCTGATTCTGGAGAAGGAGCAATTGGTGCTGCTGCGTTCGCAGTTCTTCCGCTGGGGTACTGCAGTATGGGCAGCAGCACGGAAGGCTGTCCGTCTCTCCTCGCGTACGAATAGGAGCAGAAGCATCAGCACGGGAAGATACTCCCAGCAATAAGGCCCGCAGCTGCTGAAGGTCTGACTTGAGGCTGCCATGTTTTGATGCTTTGGTGTTGCCTTCTTCTAAGAAGGAGCTGCAGCAGCTGCCCACCGAGTCGGCAGCGGCAGAGTGCGCTGCAGCAGCTACTGATGCTCGTGCAGCGGCAGCAGGAGTGACTCTGCAGCAGTGGCAGCTGTGAAGGCACGGCAGGCAGCAGCAGTGCCCTGAAGAAACGCCAGAAGTTCGCATGCTGCACCAACAGACGTCTCTGCTACCCTCGCAAATCTGCTGGTTGCAAGACCGCGGCTCCTGCTGCTGAGGGTTTTGCTGCGCTCCATCCGCTTCTGCTGGCGTACAACGAGCTTTCGAATGATGAGGAGAGTGCTGCGCTACAGCGCCCTGCATAGGTACTGCATCAGGGGCTGCTGCTTCTTCCCTTATAGCAGCAGCAGCAGCCGCTGGCTCCTGTATGCTACTTGGCTGCTGTCGCTGGTGCTGCTCAACAGAGGCTTCAGGCTGCTGCTGCGATGCAATTAGGTGCTGCTTCTGCTGTTGCTCGGGCTGAACATGACGTAGATTGTGAGGCTCCTGTGCTTGCTGCAACATACAATGAGACTGAGGCAGTGGGTGGTTTGTGTCGGTGGCTTGTTTTGCGTCGTTCTCTGGCCCTTCTTGAATAGGCTGTTGTTGCAGCCCCTGAGTCATTTCCTTCTGTGCTGCAGTAAATAGCCTTGTAGCTTCAGAAGCAATCGCTGCAGCGACCTGGGCAGCGCCGCTGCTATTGAGGAGGCCTGGGAGGTGCATCGATGCTGTCGACTGTGCAACAGTAGCAGCATCCCTTGATTTTGACGCCGCACCAACCGGAGCAGTTGCTGGTGCTTTTGTTGCTCCTGCTCTCTCCCAAATCTTTTGAGGAGAGCACCGTTTAAGGCTCAAGTCTATGGCAGCCCTTTGCAGCTCTTTAGAAGCAGCAGTTAACTGCTTGGTTTTTGCTGTTGCGGCGTTGCATTGGCGGCGGAGACGCGAAGAGATATCCTTCTCCTGTGTCAGGGCCTGCTCCCTTTGTTCAAGCAGCATCTGTTGCTCCTTAAGCTGCTGCTTCATCTGCTTTAACTGGTGTAAGTGCTCCTCAGACAAAGCCTGAGATTCATGGAGGTGCCGCCTAAGTTTTGCTACTAGACTTTCCAATTGAGATACCGCACGGGTCACCCGCAGAGCGTGCTGCTGTACACTGCCCGCGCAGAAACTGCTGCCATCGTTGCCCCCTTCGAAAGACGCATGAAGCTCCTGGTGGTGGCCCTCGTTATTGCTGCTGTTCTCACTGTTTTTGTTGTTGCAGCTCTTCTTGTGGGTGTTGCTGTTGCAGGTTCCGTCCTCAGCAGCCACTGCTTCTGCCTGCCGCCAAGCGGACTCCAGAATGCGGGCGGCCTCAAGCTTCTCAGTAGAGCAAAAGCGAAGCTGCTGCTCAAGCTGGCTGACCTGCGCTTCCGTCGCTGCTTTCTCGCGCTTTAGTCGTACCGTCTCTTCCCGCGCTGCAGCCAGCTCAGCTTCCATCCTGAGAGGCACGCACAGACAGATTCGATAACACACATAAAGCATTAAAGAGGAGCGCGGCAGTAGCTGAGGTAGCAATACCAGCAGCCACATCAGAAACAGTATGCCATACTTCTTCCGTCGCCTGTCCAGCTGCTCCACACGCTCCAAGGCTTTGGTCAGAGTAGCGTCTATCCGTGCAGCACGAAGGGCTCCTTGATCAGCCGCAGATTCCCTTTTTTTACATGGGAGGCAGTACGCCGGGGGTGTCTGTGCGTGGAGCATACGGCCATAGGCCCACGGACAAGGTGATTCAGCGTGAGTGACCCCGACCTGGGTGCCGTGGCCGCAGCAAAAACCCGAAACCTCGCCAGCTGGAGGCATTATTTGAAGCCCACTTGGTGGGCTTTTCTGAGGCTCGTGGATGGCATGCTCAGGCTGCAACGAAACTGGTTGCCGCTGCAGAGGGCCCTGCATCTTTTTCTTGCTTCATAGGGAGGCGCTGATGGTAAGGCGTGGGTGATGAGGCGCTTTGATGTACAGAATACGCGCTAATGGTTACTGTATGAAACTGCCGTTCTAAGGTCCTTGGCATGAATCTATGGTGCACATAGAGCTGCGTATGTGCTCTTGAGGGGAGAGACTGACCGTCAGGCCTTTGCTCTGATGCGGTGAGTCCCTTGGTGCTACACAGCGTCTCGGAGATGGATGTGTGCAAGCCCGTATATCAACATGCTTATATATTAGCATTGTACTCCTGAATTTTCGTGCCTAATGGCGCGTTGAGTATGCAGCGAATGAACGGGCCTGACAGCCAAACTTGCTCTCGCGCACAAGTATGCGGCCCCGGGTCCTCGGGCTCAGAACTCGTTTTCCGTAGCATCTATCTAGCAGACTCTTCCGAAACTTTCGACGAAGGCAGCCCAAAAGGCGTGACAAATTCGGAGAAGACGCAGCGGAAGCGGCAAGTCGAGGGCCCGGAAGGAGGAACCCCAAAGTGACCCTGGGGCTTATCTACATCTCCCAGCTGCTAAACCCTAAGGAAATACGGGCAAGCTGTAGATGCATCACAGATGCCAAGCACTAAGCCCAATGCATCAAGTGTGAAGCCACAGAATCAAGAGGCCTAATGGCCGTCAGCTCAGAGGACCGGTCCTTCGGCGACACCACGTAGCAACAGTCGTGTGTCGTCGGCCCTCTTGCACCTCAAAGTTTAACTCTGGGCCCTTAGCCCTAGAAGCTGAAATTCCACAGCCAGGTTTGCTGATATTTCAGATTAAGTATTTGTTGACAAAAAAGCATTTTAAACCTAGAGAGGACGCCCAGGCACCTGGGGCTCATCAGGGGACTGCGGTCGTGCGTGTGGGGCCGTCCGGCAGTAAGAAACAGCGGAGCAAAAGGGTCGCGCCCACATAAAATAGGGCTCACTGAGGATTACGTTTCTTAGTACACCTGAGTAAGACAGTTGGGAAGCCCAGCGGACCGGATGGAGTAGCAGACGGCTCCGGCAGGCACCGCGTGCCACTGCGGGTGTTACTGCTGTACAAGCTATTTTACTGGAGTTCCTGATTCCTAAGTCTTCGTTTATTTCCTTTTAAAGACGCAGCAAAGAGTTCGCAGAAGTGTCAGTCCTCATCCGCCTCCGCTTCCTCTACAGGACACGACACACGCGCAAACGACAACCTAGATTTTAGAAAACAAACCGCAGCGACTAAGGAGGCCTCCGCTGATAAAAGCGATTCCAATAGAAGTGTGCGACCTGTATATGTACGATAATTTAGGCTTAAAGACAAGGGTCCTCTACATCCTGGAGCTAGGGGCCAGGTTTTTGGGTGTGGCCTTACGGCGTTTCTTCTCTCCTTTGAGCTGGTCAGCCTTTATATGCTGCCCAATCTTCTGCGCCACTTCGCGTGTCGTCATATTCTGTCCGAAGAAATCCTTGAAGGAGCCGTCGCGTCCTGAAAGGAACCACGTTAGCCGTAAAACTCCGAACCCCAAATGCTCAACCCAAGTTGCGACAGTCTCTCCATGGTTGGTAAGCTGCGGTAGCACATCTACGAAAAGCGGGGAGAAGAGAATCGCAGAGATATTATCAATAAAATCCGAGATCTAAAGCGTGCAACTAAAATTACCCATGAAATATTGGATAATCGAGTGGTCCACGAGGTATTCGTCGTCGCCAGTTCGCGCAGTTTCGTTGAAGTACACTCTAAACTTCCGCGTCACGTCCTTTATCTGCCCCTAAAATTCACACATGCGAGACTTCACACCAGCAAAGTGCAGTAGCGAAGGGCCTGCAGCACCTACTGCAAATGGCGCATTCGGCGATACATCCTTTTGCGTCATCAGGCGCAACAGTCAACAGCAGCAGTAGTCGTCCAGGGGAAACCGCAGAAATAGCGATCTACGTGCAGCACACGGCGGGTCCTCACCGGCGTCCCGGTCAAGCCAATGAGTCGTGGATGAAACTCCTTGCAATAGTCGGCCACCTGAGCCACCGTGTCTCTTGCGGGGTCGACTGCGGGGTAAGAGAAAGCATAATAAGGAGGTGTGGGACTAGACAGCGGTCAGGAGGAGATAGGAGTAAACGCACTGCAGGGAGGAAATGAATCAAAAGATGCACTGGGAGACAGACAGGGCCACAGAGTAGAGGTGCACACGAAAGGAGAAAGATCTAATTCGAGGAGAGACACCGCTTTGCAGCAGCATGGAAAACGTGCAGATAATTCAAAAAGATGCAGACAGGCCACCTGAAACCCAACGATGCGATAAACTACAAGACTTCGAGAGGAGCAGAACCATATTCGGGGGTCGGAAGAGGAGACATTGAACGGAGGAGACAGAGAACAGGCAATGCGTGCCCCGACAGGCAGACACCGCAGCGCGTACAGCAACCGATGCTTAAAACGCAAAAGGCCAGCACCGGGGAGGTGAAGACTTGAATAGAAGACAAAAAGTGCGATCTGGAGGGCACCTGTAATGAAGATGGGCTGCACGATCTCCCCGTATTCCTTGTCTGCAACAAAAGCGCAAAGGAAACGCCATTTCCTGGACACCCCAAATCTTTTACCCGGGAAGCGAAGCCCCCACAGGGAGAGCCCCAGCCCCGAAAACTGGTACGTCGTCAGCACGAGGGTATTTTGTTGCGCTGGTGTATCAGAAAAACTCGGAGAAATGGGGGAAAGGACGTTTCATATTTTCATGAAAGCATCGAGTTTGAGGTCGGTGAAGGCTTGCGCATTGGCTCTGTGTGTGGGGTACATATATATATGTATACATATATGTATATACTGCTGCATTATTATTAGTGGCGGCGGTCTGGTGGTGGTAGCGCAGCTATAAAAATTCTGGCTTTGAAGAACCTAGCACGTAGGGTATAGGGTGTTCAAGAGAGTACCAATAATTTCGATGACCTGTGCGAGCTTCTCGAGCTCCTTGGGGCAGATATCTGGGCAGAACGTAAACCCGAAATAAACAAGCTGGTACTTGCCCCCAAAGTCGCTGCTGCTGCATAGAGCGCCCTTCCCATCCACGAGCGTCCAGGGGCCCCCCAACAGGGGCTTCCCAACAGATATGCTCTCCGTGATGGCTGCACACACAGGCACAAGCAGAGCGAGATAAGCAAACGTGAGCGGATGGCTAGCAGGGCAAGCCCAACGCAGGAGGCGGCAATGAGCCGCAGCAAGAAAGGAAGATGAAAGAGGTCACAGGAGACCGAGAGAGAATGATACGCGAGTGAAGGGAGGTAGACAGCGCATGCGCGTTCGTGTGTGCAAGGCAGGCGCTACAGATGTACGGCCAAGCCCCTTCTGCCGCTAGGAAGGAGGGTCCAACGTGAAAAGAACTTTGGTGCCTCTAAACGCGCAAGGAACCCCAAAGCTTTCAAGCACGGCAAGGGGCGGGGAGAGGGGATGCAGACGAGGTCAGAGGAAGCTGCGGAGAAGAGCAGCACTGCTGACAATGAAGGGCCGCCCGCCAGCGAAAGCGCACACGTTTACATGCACCGGAATAAAAGGGCGCAGTAATTAGCCACCTTGAGCCAAAGGAATTCCTAGGAAGAGCCCTCAGATTTACCCGCTTTCTGCTTTTTCTTCCGTTCCATCTGAAAAAAGACAAGCGCCGTCATGGCTCTGCGGCACACACCCCCTCAACAGCAGCGGCTGCAGGGCAACGATAGCGACACGCCTAACACCACGCGAGAAGTTTGGCCGCCAGACTCCCTCATAGGCGTCCTCCAGAAGCAGCAGAATGCCCGCCTAGCAGAGAGGCTGGTGCGGTATGCGTGTGTTTTTCCTAAGGAGCTGCCCGATACCTACCCGCAGACGGTGCTGCAGAGAAGTGCCACTCTCCACGTAACGAGGCGCGGCGATGAAGGGGGAAGCGACGCTTTGGGGGGAATTTGGCCCGCAACGGCAGTAGCCGCTGCTGCTGCTGTTGCTGCTGCCTCTATCTCATGGCGATGCGCAACACGAGCCGCTGCTGCTTCGACACTTGGGAAGCGCAAGGCATGCAGATCCGGCCGAGCAGCGGCTGCCGCAGCTGCGGCTACAGTGCGTGCAGCTGTCGTTGTGGCTGCCGCTGCAGGAGCCCCCGCAGAACAGTCGTTCGCATCCAATAAGGAATCCTGCGACTGCTGGCGCTCTGCTACCTGCTGCAGTTTTTCCTGCTCGGTCGCCTCCGGATGCTGAGGCTGCTGGCGGTGCGGCGGCTCTTGAGGGTCTCCTGAGGAAGGGGGCTGCGGCTGCCGTTGAGACGAGAAATCGCGGCTCCTGTTGCTAAGGCGCACCAATCTTGGCTGTTGCCATTGGGGGGGGTTGCACTGAGGGGCACTCCAGCGATTGGTGCTCGTGATGCTGCAATACCACCTACCCGAAAGCGGCGCCTTTCTAAAGGGCTCCCACAGAGGAGCAAATACACCAGACTCCCTGGGCCTTCGCCAGTCCGCTGCGCGCGACAGAAGACGCTTCAAACGGAGCCGCAGCATGGGGAGTGTCATGCTGTCTCCGTCGTCCTTCCGGGCGCTGCTGCGGCGGGCTGGGAGAATAAAAACTTGGAATGCGTGACTCCAGGGAGCAACACAAGTTTCGATTTGTGCCAGTTCTTGTCCTTGGTCGTGCGGTTTGTGCCTAGTGCAGCCACCAGCTGCCTTCCTTCGCGGTTGTTTGTGCTTGTTGTGCTGTATCTCTCATTCCTTTAGCTACCGAGTCCATGGCGCCCTTGAGTGTCAACGGTGCGGAAAATTGTGGTATTAAAAAGAATGCATCAGAAAGAGAGGGGCAAACTCACCGCGTCCGCTCAACACTCCCCTCGCAAAGGTGAAGGGGGGCCCTGGGGCCCCCCACCCTGGGGGGCCCCAGAGTTCCATGGATCGTGGAGAATCGTGAGGGGCTACAGACACGAATTTTCACCTCCCTAGCATTTACTAATACTAAAAAAACCGGAATAAAGAAGGGGATAAGAAAGAGGAACCATGAGTTGCTATGGCCACACGATGTCGCGCGAGAAAGTCTCCTCAATGTGGGAACATTTGACTTCACCTATATCTAGCGAGAAAGCAAACCTAAATAAGTAAACAGATGGTGCTGTAAACAGTGGCCGTCAAGGGCCTTATTGATTTGCAAGCGATGGGCAATCCTGTTCAACCTTTTGAGCCCGCGTGTTTACACAGGCATTTCATGGTTAGAAACAGCGAGACCCATTGGGATGGGAATTAGGCATCGAAAAGGAGAGTTATCATAGCAGGAGAATTGAGTGACGTGTCGTCTATGACACCTACCGGCGTGAATTTACCGTCAGCCTACAGCACGATGTACCAATGCAAGCCATCGCTACACTTCGACAATTTGCAATGGCCTCGCAACTCTCGAGAATGAGACCTGAAGCTTGTAAGCAGCAGATTTACCAAGGAAAATATATCACGTGCCTTGAAACAAACGTACTACAGCCCCTGTACATCCGGCCCCTCTTGATGTTCCAACGCAGCGCTGTGAGCAGGGAGTAAGTGGTTTGCGCTAGAGGCTTGAAGGCAGCAGTTTAAAGGACAAGGAAAAACAGGACACCAGCTGGTGTTTCTGCCAAAGTCAGGAATGGGAGGATCCCGAAGTATTCTACTTCGGCAATTTCCAGCCTTGGCTCTAACGAAGCATAAATTACACCAGTTTTGTACTATTGCTTCGTGCCGTCGTCAGGGCTGCATTAACCATATTGACATGCCTTTCCGGGGAGTGGTTGAGCCCACGGTACAGTGCAGAAGTCCCCAGGTCTTTTTTGGCTCCGAAGATTAGATTCCTCCGTGGTGGCCCTGAAAAAAAATGGGGTAACCAAGTCAAACAAACTTGGTGTTTATACAACCTTCGTGCATGGCATAAAGAAGAATTTTCTTGTTGAAACTTCGGAAATTGTGAGTCAATGAAGCATCTACATGGTGGTACACAGGGTTTCAAAATATGAACATTTTACTCCTACTCTGAGAGTGACCACACCCAATTAGTAGCTAAACTTTTTGAATCTGGAAGCTTTATGAGTTGCCTAGAAGGCTTACCACAGATAATCTGTGGTTTTTAATAAGTCATGTGTCGTGGTGAGCACCGGCCTACACGTTGACCATGGCATGACAAGTGTGAACCAGAGAGAGGCTTACAGTCAGACAGATCGCATTCAGCTCACTAGTTTGCACCATTAAAGATACGGAAACACGACTTTTCCAATTTAAGCGGTCCACTGTGTTTGTTAGTGCACATTTCTGGACCTGCTATTGCCATAACGGCCCGGCGTCACACTAAGGAATGCTTGCCTTCTACTGCTCCCCAAGGACACCTATCACCTTAAGCAGAGGCATTGTTCAAGGAAAAGCTGGGTGGTGCTTAGAGATGCGTGTAAAATGCTCAGGGTTGACAAACTTATGTAGTTACGACGCTGTCGACTATCGTCTTCACATGTGCTAGTGTGGATGTGGGAAAGCACTACAGGCTAAGGAGTGCGAAGAAGAAAGACCATATCAATACGTTTGCACTAAATTGGCTGGAACCTTCTTTGTGCCCTGAAACCATTAGGATTCTATGCGCAGAGGTTGCCTTCAACCTGTACTACGTGGAGAAGCCTATAAAGCCGTCTCAGCGTGATTCCTTGGTTTTTAGTTTTACTGTAATTACGATGCTCAAGAAGGAGACAGAGTCTTCTATTTTCGCTAAGGGATTGCAATACAGTTCTGCTGGTAATAGAAGGCAGAAGGCGACCATGGGTCGAACAACGCTCCTGCTTGTGCCCAAAACTACATTGGACAAAACACCACAACACTTCTTCTTAGCACGCGCGCATCACAACATTTCTTCTTAGCACGCGCGAGGCAGAAGTACACTGCTGGGGTGCTCTCAGAGTGCTAACCGCCCACTACGTTGCACTAAAATCAGGATTGACCACAATACATCGAGAGCCATGCCGTAAGGTCCATTCAATTTTCAATGGGACAGCGCCTCGTGCTACACAATTAGGATCTACAGCGTGCATATATGCGATAAGAGAAGGGGACTGTTCGAAGGTAATTGGACCGTTCTGCGAAATGGGTTCAGTCCACGTGTCCCTCGTCTTTAACCCTGGCATCATGGGGGAGGAAGAAAGGGGAAAGCGCATTCCTTCTTTTACGATATTAATTCAATTCCAGCTTCAGCTATGTCGGCTACGGGCCTCCTTATTAAGACGGAACAGTTCACATTACCTCCTTATTCATGTTCTCTACACTAAAGCTTTATCAAGGTCCCCGTAGGGAGACCCTTTACCCGAAAGTTAATGCAATTCAATCGAAAGCCACTGAGTGTTCTTCTATATTGCCCCTCCGTTTCCCTACCAGCAGTATTAAGATCTGCCCACATGAGGGGAAAGAAACACCTAGGGCACGCGTACCTGCCCCCCCTATGCACTCCGTGCATTCACAGCTAGTTGCACGCAGCATCAAATCACACGCACACATTCATTGTTTCCTTCTGTTAATAGTACTCTAGTATACATGGGATATACCAACAGGCAAACCAGCTTGCCAATACTTTACTGATTCTTATATGAAATAAATGGTGTAGTAGGAAGTGTTCGAATATATCGTAGCCCGCTACAACCGGCATATGCATGAAAACAACCAACAGGCGCGTTTCTGTGGCCGCCCCATTTCCACAATAGAGAAAACCAGCGATGAATTTAACAGAAAGCTTTAACACGAGGACTATACTACCCATACACCCTCGCACCTCCGGCGACTCCTCGGGGGCCCCGCCTCGGAAGATCACTTGCAACCGCGGAGCCCCCAAAATAGCCTTCCACTGAAAACCTCTCAGCAGCAGCCCCTCTCTCTCATCCTCTTCTGAGTGCCCTCATCCTCTCTCGTTCAGTTGCTCTATCTCTCTCCCCGTGTGTTGTTTCCGTGCGAAGCACGGAGCACACGAGTGCGCGGGAAGGATAGATACTACAGTATTGGAGAATAACAAACTCGTTTCGAGCGTAGAAGATGCGTATGTCGAAAGAATTGGAGTGCAGACACTCTGGGGTAATCAGTCACAAACGCGCAGCAAATGCTGTTACTGAGATTTTAGGATGCCATTTAGATGTCAGTCGCTCTTAACTGCATCTGGGTTCGCACAGAGGTGCGACAACGCGTTCGTTTCCTTATTATGCTGCTGTGAAAGAGCAGGTCCCCCATGATAACCATAAGTGCAACACGAAGACGCAACCAAGGATTGATTTAGTTCTCCATGACCCCCTGAAGCAACCCATAGCTGCTCCTGTCCGTATCTAGTGCCGCGCTCAGAAGGGAGTGACACTAGTAGCAACAAGCGGCACAGACTCTCTAAAAAAATATCGGTTTGCGGTTAAAAAACGCTTATTTACAACAAATCAAAATCAAAGTAGGAAAAGAACTACTAGAAGGATACATGACAGCAATCCAAACACCGCGCATCCTATAGCCTCTCACCCCCACTCTCGGGTACGGTCAGCTGCATCAGCAGTTTCTACTTTACTCACCTCTTTCTGCTCAGCAACTTGCGGTTTGTAGGTGATTTCTCACCGTTGTTGGCACTAAAGAGAATTGGAGCCCCACCATAAGATATGGCTCGGGCAGCCGCCCCAACTGCCATTCCCAAATCCCGCACGCCAACTGAGACGGCCTGCTTACTGTGCTCTGCGGGTCGCTGTTAACCTCTGGAGCTCGAATACGGCTTATTCTACAGCTAATTTCTATCCCTGTGCAGAGCTGCCTCCCACTAACTACCAAGCCCGTCCAATTTCGAAGACCAGTATAACCGGACCCCTTGGCACCTGTATGCCCCCTTGCAGAGACGGTCGTGCGGGGGCCGTGCAGCCTTGCCGTCAAAGAGGCAAGGTATAGTGGGCTCCTTCGCTTCCCTCGCCTTCGTCTTCTCGGCTTGCGGAGTCTGGCGCCAATCCGTTGCCTTCGGCCTTCCAGTACTTCCCTGGAACGCATTGCGTGTGGCTTCGCCCGTGTTTCCCAGGGCTTCGGAGGGGCCGGGCCCTTCCTTGCGTGTCCCCATTGCGTGTGTTCTGGGTGGCGCTGGTGTGTACACGAAGTCTTCAGTCATGTGTTTGGAGGGTCGCAACTTCGACCCGACTCCCGTCTTCTCTGTTACTGCTCTCTTTCCCCCGAGGCTTTGGACTGGCGCAGAGCCGCTGTAAGGGGCCCTTGCGCCTGTTGGTGATGGCGCCTTTGGGTAGCACGTGCCTCTGTAGCTGCAGAGGCCCCCAGCCTCCCCCCGGTCTTCTGAACCTCGGGAGAACCTGCAGCTTCAACGTGCTTCTTCAGGCCCTCGCCGCCACCCGCACATTCTCCACGCTCTACGCGCCCTCTCTAGAGGGTCAGCAGGGAAGTTGGGGGAGCTCCGACTGTTGTAGTATTGGAACGTTTGTGTCGACCGGTGGTTTGGAGAGGAGGGACAAAGGGAAGGCTCTTCTCGTCCATGGGGTACCCCCCACCGCCTGGGGCAGCAATGGGTTCTGCGCTCCCAAGGGGCGCATTAAGGCAGTGGATGCTGTCAATCCACAGGACACGTGAGACAGCACTTCGAGACTATATGTTTTTTCTGGGGGTCGCGTATTAGGGGCTCTGTGTGGGTACGCGTGGAGAGGGCTTACTTGAACTGTTTTGATACTGGGAAACCAACCAACTTTGGGGGTTGTTCTCGGGATTCCGGGGTCGTTAGAGTTCGGTTTTGTTTTCGCAGGCCTATCAACTTCCAGGTGTCTCAGATCCTAGCGGAGATGACTCAGGACTTCCAGGCACACGAAGGGAGCAGCAGCAGTAGCAGCAGTAGCAGCAGCAGTTGTAACGGATATGGGGGGGGGCCTAGGGAGCCATTTGCAGCTGCGGCAGCAGAGCAGCCTGCTTCCTCGGGGAGGCCCCGCGGCCGCCGGCGGGGCTGCTGGGGGGCCCCCTCGGGGCCCCCAAACAGCATCCAGCGGTCTCGGGGTTCGTGGGTGCCTCCTGTTAGCTGCAGTCGGAGGCTTCCGCAAGAAGCGCCTCTAAAACGCATGCGGCGAGACCCCGTCCACAGGATTTTGAACCCGATAGCTTTTGTACAGCAAATGCGTCTTGTTAATCCAGATTTCAAGGAGGACAGAGAATTGGTGAGCGGGGTTTGGGATTAGGGCTAATTTACTGGCTGTGGGGCATAGAACAGTGTGGCGCTATCTGTAGGCCTCGGATTTTTCGGACGCTGTGGTGTAGGGTTGGTGTACCTAAGAGTACCTGTAGCTTAGAGTTTGGGGTTGAGGGTGTTCGTGTAGGATGTGGAAGAGATTTGGCGGTTTCTGATTGAGCAAATCTTCGCGGAGCTGCAGACCCCCAAATCCTCTGCAATTGGTGAAAGCAGCCACAGGGGCGGCAGCAGCAGCGCAGTCGCAGGAGTGGCGCCAGGGTCTGGCAGCAGCTTGTTGCCTTCCCTGATTATTTCTGCCAACGCAACTCCAGTCAAGGGCGGCGAGAGGCGTTCCCCCCTGAGGGGCCTACAAGACGAAGGAGGACCGCAAGGGGCCTCAGCGGTGTCTCTCTCATCCATCCGGCGAGGGAGGCCCTTAGAAACGGCAACGAACTTGCTGCCCAGCGGCTGCTTAGTGACAACCTGCCGCTCTCCCTCTAGAGGCAGTGGCGGCAGGAAGAGCCAGTCGTGGAGGGTTGCTGAAGGCCCGCCCTCCAAGAAGAGGGATATAACTTCTCCCGATGTCGCGACAGCAGGACGGTGCTACTCGCATTTGGGTATCTTGGATGGCAAGGAAGGAGCCTTGACGCCTTCCTTGCAGTGGGAAGGGGAGGAAGTTCGCGGACTGGGGGCCACTGATGAGGCTCCTGTGTTTGCCCTCTCTCCTGAGTGCTCCTCAGTGCGGGTTAGTAGCACCAGCAGTAGCTGCAGCAGCAACAGCCGCTGTAGCAGGTCTGCTTCTGTTGCTGCGGCTGAAGCTGCTGCGGCTTTAGCGGCAGCTGAAAGGCAACGGGCGGCGGGGTTGCTGGCTCGCCGACTGCACTATGCCCTATCTGGGGAGCTCGTTCACATGGCTGTGCCCTGTTGTTGCTGCCCGGAGCAGCAGCACGTACAGCAGCAAGAGCACCAACAGAAGCAAGTGGAGGCCTTTTGTGGGGTCCTGCCGCTAAGGATGCCTGAGAGGAGCAGATTCATGGGTAGCAGGTGCAGCCTCAGCAGCAAGCTCCAGCCCATTACCCTGGCCGAATGTCTTCATTTAACTCTCACGCACGGGTGTGAAGCCGCAGAGCCGTCCAAACGCGCGAGTAGAGAGGGGGAGGCTGATGAGTCCATTGAATATCTCATGGAGGCCCCTAAGATTCCATCCAGTGCCGGGAAGAGAGATTTATCACGGGGTGGTGAGCGGTCCGAACGCGTTGCAGAACCCTGCGATGCAGACGCAGGCCTGAGTCGGCGGCATAGGGCCCCCCGAGTGGTTTTGACGCGACTGGCCACACGCGTGCGGACGAGGGAAGTGGCAGCCGAGGCAGCAAACGCTGCTGCAACAGGAGCGCCTGCTGCAACAAGTGCCGTTCCACAGGAGCCTTTTTACTGTCGGCGTTGCAGGGCACCTCATCGCAGGACCCTCCTTCAGCGCCTCCCCCCTTTGGTGTTACTTCAGCTGCCGCGCAGCACGCATCCGCTGCGCAGCAGCAGCAACAACAAAGCATTGTTGAGGCTGGGGAGCGTAAAGATTAAGGCCCACGTCGAATTTCCCCTCGAACTGCAGAGTCTTCTTGTTCCGTATTTGGGGGGCGGCGCGGCTGCTCCTGTTGCACGAGGCAGTTGCAGCAGTGTAGGAGATATGATTGAGGCGTCCTCCCAGCAGGCAGCAGGGTGTACACCATCCGGCTGGTTGTGTGACTCCGGAGGGGATCCTCCAAGCGCACTGGGGAGGTATGCGCTGCGTGCTGTAATTGAGCATCAAGGCAGAAGCGGCGATGGAGGTCACTATGTTTGCTACCGACGCGGGTGGGAGCCTTTCGAGGGTCCATCTGAAGAGGAGGATGTATGGTGGGTAGTGAATGACGTGTGCGTGAGGCGGAGCTGCTGGGAAGAGGTGAGGAAGACGCAAGCCTATCTTCTTCTGTATGAACTTGAAAGCGATCGAGTGCAGCACCAGAAGCAGCGGCGGCCACAGCCAGTGGGAGGGTCGAAGGGTAAAGCAAGGGGCGCAAGAGTACTTGAGAAACGCCAAAGGAGCGCTGGGGGTACTCCCTAGAAGGCCACTTATATACTGCGCATCCGACGCTCTTTGTGTATGGGGGCATCATGGGGTGCCGGGCTGGCTGTAGCTCCTGCCCCTTGCCGTTTCCCCCACTTCAATGTCCGCTTCGCCACCACTGCCACGCCGCTGTGTGCTGGCTCAATTGCTGCCAAATCACAGCTTCTCTTTACCCAGTGTCATCCTTATGCGCGTGTCCAGAAAAAAGAATCTTTTCAGTCTCCCTAGTTCGCGCCCATCATCCAGTGGTTTGTTGCGAGTTGCTACCCAAATACCCGCATTTTCGCTGCTGACGGCGCAGTGTAGCAAGCAACTGCGTCAAGTTTGGGTGTGCTGCCAGCAGACCTAACGCGATGAGGATTCTCCGTGCTGTAGGGTTTCAGGCCTCGGTATAGGCTCTAAGGGTGAATGAAGTTTAGAGACGCTTTCACTGGCAGGGTCCGAGCATGCGCACAAATTTTTTTGCTGAACTTAGCAGCTGAGAAGCCTTCAAGGGCAAAGGTAGATGATAAAGACTCATACACCGAATTGGTGCTGGAATGCTGTAGCACGCTTGTGCCTTGTAATGTCTGTATGAATACGATAGCAAAGGGAAGTGCCTCCTATCCTGCTCTTGCCTCTTATTGTGTCATATGTATACTAACTCTAAGCACAATACCCACAGAGCGGGGAGCTCTAAAAATCTACCTTCACCATAAACAGTATCACCAAGCAGATGACTGGCCTCGAGCTCAGCATCCACTTGGCAAAAAAGTGCGTTTTAGTTTAGACTCGTAACGGCACACACTGGAGTGCCTTGCATATCGAGCTCTTCATCAACTCCTCAACAGGAGCGTGCACCCAACAACTGAACAGGATTTGTTGTTTGGGGCATATACTTCGTTGTTATTGTAAGTTGCGCTGTGTCGAGGCTGAGGAAGAGCTTATCAATTTGTGATAGTATTTCCCTTCGCCATCTATGTTGAAAGGGATGGTTGTTTTTCTTCAATACTCTTGAAAAAGGCTGCACGTGCCTCATCCACTGCTTCCTGAACAGCAGCACTCCGCGAACGAATTGACGGCTTATCATCCTGCCGCTTGCCCTCTGTCTGCCGTTTTGTCATTTCAATGTTTTTCTCTCGTCTCGCTTCCCGTTCAAAGATTGATCCAATGGCGGCCTTCTCATTGGGTGCGCAAATATGCAGTCCCTCGCAAAGGCTGAGCACTGTCACCCTCCCTTCAGCATCGCCCACAGCGACAAACTCGCCTTGCGATTGAATGGAAAGGCACGTCAGTGGAGCACTTCCAATCTTGTGCTGAAACGCCACTTCGTTTTGCTTGTAGTAGTAGTCCCAGAAGCTGAGGAAGCCGTCGCTTCGTGTAACAATGAACAGGCCAGGACGGGTGGGGCTCCACTGCCCGTCAGTTAAAGTTGCTGGATGATTAGGAGTTGTAGTTAGTGGTGTGCGCACTTCTTCCATCCAAACTTTGGCAGTCCAGTCACCGACAGAAAGGAAGTACTTGCTGTGGAACGGGTTTCGTCTAACAGCAAGCACGGGCCCATAGTGCTGTCCACCTTCGCAACCAAATCGCTGGCTAATCTCAGGAGACTTTTTCGGCCATGTTTTCAGGCCCAGTATGATACCCTGTTCAGTGCCCAGGAGGAACTTTGTTGGTCCTGCTTCTACAGACCACGCAAGGGAAATCGCCCCTAATAGCTGGTCACTCGCGCTTTCATCTACTTCGTTTTCGCCGTTGGCGGTTCCTGCCGATGCTACTGCACTTGGTTGCATTCCTTTAGTAAGCCGGCATTCCTCAATTGGTTCTCTTAGGCTCCTGCAATCCCACCAAAGAACCCGACCATCTGTGGAAGCCGACACGAACTCACTGTTGGTTTTGCTTTGGGTCCATACGACCTCATACACGGGATCATAATGGCTGCTGGAGGAGCCAGAAACTTCTACAGGCTTCATCCCTTTCCTCAAGTCCCACAAGCATACAACCCCGTTATAGCAACCACCCACTAGTAAATCAGATATTTTCGTGTTAAAGGCTAAGGACACTGCTGGACTCGGAGATCCCAGCTCTGCTAGCGGTTCGTTAGGATGGCGCGGATCCCAGAGCAAAGCAGATGCAGGAAGTGACTCAGGTTGGCCTTGGAACTTCATAATGCCATAGCCAACGGCCAGCTTTTGGGGGCCCTCCGGATGCCAGGCAGCGCACGTCACAGCTCTCTTGCAGTCCGCAAGGGGGTCTTTCAGTAGAGCTTTTGACTTGATATAGATTCGTTTCTCGTTCCCCCGAACTACTTCCGTCCCCTTAAAGTAGTCCTCAAAAAGGTCCACCACCAGATTTTGCCTCAGCACGCGACTGCAATCAGCAGTAAGCTGTTTAAGACCCTGCAAAAGGGCCGGATCTCTCTCAGCCCTCTTCTTCCACGTGGCCACCTCTTGCGGGTCTGTAGAGTCGACTTCTTTAGGCCAGCCCCCTTCAATGTGTCGCATGCCCCTTTCGCACACACTTACACTCCCGGTATTCACTGTGTGCTCAGACAACTCTATCATGGTGTCTCCACAAAAATTGCGTGGATTCTTCGGGATAAGATGCGCCATCTGATCTGGATTAGGTTCTATTATCCCCAGTGTGCGGGGCTCCGTGGTACTAAAAGAGCAATGACGTCCAAATTCCTGACGGAGTTTGGAGTACGAATAGCAAAATTCATTCATTTTAAAAATAAATTTGGATAGCAGGTACACCGTTTTGTTGCCACTGTCCAGCCTTCTCCCTGCCTTACCACCCACAGCAACTATTCTCACTTTCCTGTGTAAATGAGTGCGCCTTTTTGCACCCAAGCCTTTTTTGTTAGCTTGTCCGTTTACTGTATGTAATGCACTGAAGGCCAATGGTTCATTTGTTGTCCATAAGCTGGCAAAGCATTCTAGTGGCGGCAGCCCAGAATGCGCCTTGGTTGCCACCGCAGCTCTGACGTCAAGATCATGTCAACTAAGGCCTACGTGTGAGGTTATGGCGTCTCCTTGTAAATAGATAAGAGCGTGGAGCGCCCTTACAATATCACCTATACTACAGAGGCATCCGGAAGCTTTATGTGGAGGCTCATTTTTTCAATGCATACAATGAGACGGCTGTGATCACCTCCATATCCCGCTCTGAATAATTCAAAGGTGGAGAATTTTAGTAGATCGTGGCGTTGTTTCTCGTATTGTCATTGAAAACGCATCCATCTATAGGCTAGCCCCAGGGTTCACACTTGACGCATGCATGCGCCGGCTCTATTTGCATGTCGAGATTGCTCCATTAGCACCGGAGATACTGCTGAAGTAGTGTGTATCTTGATTCCCCTTACAATTTTACTTCGCTTCCGTTATCCCTCAGCATGAGGCTCACAAATTTCCACTGTTCTAATGACACCAAGCCATCCCACCACTGCGGTCGTGTTGGTCTGGTCCCTATTGGGTTGGTGGCTAGTGCGTGAGTCTTTCTTCCCTTCACTTTAGCTATACAGGCTAAAGCACACTTCTGCCTGTATCATGTATACTAATGTAGCGTTTCTGCCTTCCTGGAGAGTGGGTTCGTAGCGTTTTGACCTAACTCTCCATAAACAACAAATATGACATGCGAGTCGCCAATCCTAAAAGACAATATCTAGATGAGTCTAGGAGTCTCATTGGTGTTCTAAGAGCCATTGAAGCGTAGTTCGAGCCGGTAGCATAGAGCTCCATGTCCGTCTCCTGTTTCTGTCGCCAAGCACTTTACTGGCTTAGATGCTTGTGTGCGTATCATAATGGTTTAGTCGGGGAGTATTTTGGAATGTATTGCCTTTCCACGCTGGGCATCAGGAAGCCTACTGTCTTCCATACACCAGATGCTTCAGGCCGCTCTCTCCCCCATCAAGGAGAGAACGATAATGCAGGAACACTCGAACAGAAATGGGATATGTGCCTATCTTTCTACATTCTGCATATGTCCACCTGCTACTTCTAAAAGCTGCCTTTTCAGTCTCTGTACAAATTGGAACATCCAACACGGGCAGCGTAGGGACTGGCCCTGCTAGCCCCATCGGGTTTCCCTTGGAAGGCACTCATAGGAGGGTTGCTGCCCCTTGCCTCCTGACCGTTTGGTGTTTTGTCACATGCAATCCCGGAAGATCTCTAGAGGGGCTGATAGGGGATTCATACAACCACAGCGGACAGAGCTGCCTGGCATCCGGCCTTGACACAGTTCTATATCTTGGGCTTCATTACGCGCAGATCTCCCGTGTTTCATTCACACACCAAAAGCCCCAGTAGGGGCAAAGGGGTTCTGCTGTATGGCTGCAACTTGCTTCAGCTGGCAGAACAGGATTACAAGTGTAGAAGTACCTCCGTGTGGCAGTCTGTTTGTCCGCCTCTGCAACAATAGTTTAATGAGGGAAGGCATGCGCCTACTGGTGGTCCGGTTCCATATGCGTACCCTTGGGTACAGCCTGTACTTCTGCCTCTCTCTTTACCTCGTGCGCCAACAATGTTTCTCTGCCGCCCTTTATCTAAGTGGGTTTTTGTGATGGCTTTCGTACTGCATGAGTCTCACTTCACAACCTTGCTACATAAGTCATGCCCCAAGGCTGGCTCATCCTCGCCCATTAAACTTCACTAAAACACCCATGAAGATGGGCGCACCCATAGCCTGCCCCTGTGGCTGCAGTGAATCTAGCAGGCTAAGGCCTTAAAAGTTTGGGGTCGGCTCGATGCGCTCTGCTGCTCCTGTTACTACACCTCCAGCGTGTCACTTCACGCGTAATGTTGGGCTTATAACATAGCGCACGTCATGAAACACTCCTTTTCGTACAGCGAAGGGCTGAGTCTGCAGCACCAGAAGTCGAAAGAAGAGAAATCAGCTGCGTTCAATACGATGCTTGCGTCTATACTGTCTAGCTAGCTCTCTGTCTGCCGCCATACCCCTGCGCCTTCTCGTGAAACCTCTACCCTTTCTGTTCTTCCCTTTGAGATCGTCACTGCTGCTGCAGCGTACATGGTCCCCTCGCCCCCTGCTGCGGCTACGGCTGCTGCTGCTGCTTCTCCTGCGTCTTCTCAGCCGCTCCCTACTGCTGCCACTGCCGCTGCTGCTCCTGCTCAAGCTAATGCTGGTACTCCTCGCTCTCATGTAGTTCCGTACCTCCCTCCCTCTCACTGGTCGGTCTCTTCCTCGGTATCTCTCTAAAGTCCAGCTGCGGCTGCGGTGTCTGTGAAGGACACCCAGGGGAGTCTCCCTGTGCCCGTCCCGTGCTCCCCTGCGGCCGAGCTCGGCTGATCTGTGTGAGGCACACAACAAGACAATATAAGGAATGGCTATCATCCCGCATACCCCATAGCGCAAGAGTTGACCGCAAAGGCATGAAAGTCGCATGACGCAACACAATGCAACGCAACCAGCTCTTGTGAAGGCCACAAACAGAAGCGCCATAGAGAGAGGATCGATCACATGGACGCAACTCGCATAGTCGCGCGTTCTTCCCACGCTAGAGCCGAGATGCCTTCATCCCTTTTGCGCAGGCAGGGCAAGCACGAGCGTCCAACTAACTTTCGTGTTCGAGGGAGTCTGTCTTCAACGTGTTCCCAAGGAGGTCCTGCTTCATCTCTCCGAGGGGGGCTTTCGGGGTCGAATTGGTGGGGCCTCCCTGAAGGCCCGCCCCTCGAGGGGCCCCCTGCTCGAGGCCTATCGGCGTCCATCTCCGCCTCTGCTCTGGGGGTTAACCTGCACATGCACAAGAGAGACGCCACGATGGTCGAGATGCAAGGCCAGCCAGCCAGCCAGAGAGGGAAGCGCGAGGAAGAGGCGACCCCCACGGAGTCTAGTACGCCCCTGAGGCAAGCAAGAGGGCTGCAACGCGGAAAAGCGGAGCAGGAGAAAAAATAAGCCGGTCCTTCATGCACATGCGGAGACGGGTGCACAAAGCGCGCAACAGACCGGCAGGCAGGGGGTGCAACGCGGACGGGTGCTGCGTCTGTCTACGGGAGAGCTGGCAAACGCAGAAGACGCGGCAGCAAGAGCAAGAACAAGGCACACACACTGCTGAGACACACAAGTTCGGATCCTGAGAAGCGAAGCTTCTCGGGAAGCAGTGCATGTATGGTATGACCCACTTGACACGACTGTTTTCTTGGGAGCGTTCGCTGGGGCCTTCTCCAGAGTCCACTGTTCCCCGCAAAACGAACGAACGGAACTGGCCGCGGCATGCCTGATTACAAGGCCAAGCAGCAAAGGAAGCGCAGCAACACTTCGAGAGGAGACCTCGTCTCGACACTGACTGCAACCCCACTCAGCAGCGGCAGCGAACCATGAGCCAGCGTAAGCGACGGCAGCAGTCAAGGCAGGAGGGCAGCAGTCAAGGCATAAGGGCAGCAGTCAAGGCATAAGGGCAGCAGTCGGCTGACCTGCACAGCGACTGTGTCTTGCAGCAAGGCCCTCTCTTCTATCCCGGCTGTCTCACTGGGGGGGCCAAGGGGATCCCCCGAAGCAGCGGCGGCTGCCAGCGTGAAGTTCAGAGTAGACCGAAGCTGCACCACTCTTGAGGGATCTGCTGCTGCCTCTGGTGATGCAGCTGGAAGGTCCGCAGCAGCTGTTCGCCGCAGCAGCAGCTGGTAAGACTTGCCGTCGCTGCTGCTTGCCACTGCGACAGTCCTGCAAAGAGACCGCAATTGCAGCAGCAGCAGGGATGACACTCCTCACACGACGACTCTCCCCCTTCAATTCAATCTGCACCCGACACGAACTGAGAGCCAAGACTTCTGCAGAAACATAGACACAACAGGAGCAGGGGGCATGCGCTCGTTTGAGCAGAAAAATGTGCTTGCCTCCTCCACTGGGCAAGCTGCTCAAGGCAGAGCCGGAGGCCACGATCTTTGTCTGCATTCTGTTCCAACTGATCAATATTTGAGAGCTGATCCTTTAGTGAGGCCAGCTGCTGCTGCTGCTGCTGCTGCATGTCAACCTCCCCCTCCTCTGCTTCCCCTTCGAGCAGTTCCTCTTGCTGGCGGATCGCCAGCTGCAGCTGCTCCTTATGGCGTTGCAGCAGAAAGTCACACGGGCTGCTGCGTTGCTGCAGTGCCGAGGCAGCAGCTGCTGGCGAAGGGAACACCACACAGGCAGTCTCAGGCTGCTGCATCCCTGAGGGCCCCCCTTCCTGGAGGCAGTTCCCCTCAAGATCCACACCTCCATGGGGTAACAAGAATTCGACGTGAAGAGGATTAAACGGCAGAAAGAACGAAAGGATATCCCGAGGAGATACAAGACCCCCGGTGACCACGAACAACGAACAGGGTGCGGGCTGCAGCAAGAGCCAGCAAGCACGCGCGCAGACACACGTACAGCCACACGCAGACAGTTGAGGGAGTTGGCAATCGACTAAGGACTCGTTAGGCAGCGAGGTAGCCGTGTGGCTGCCTAGCGGGATGTGCAGGTAGGCAGCTAGCCACGATGGCAGCGAGTCGAGTTACAAGGCTTGGCTGCAATGGCAATGACGCCAGCATCGACACTTCCGCCTTGAGCGGCACTAGCAGCGCCAGCAATAGGAGCAGGAGCAGCTTACGGGTTCCGTTCGGCTGATGAGCCTGACTCTACTCCAGGCGACATATGGAATGCCGAGGGCCTCTACGCAAATAGCGCGAAGCAGGTGATGCCATCGGCTGCTCGCTTCCTCTAAGGGAGGCACTGTTGAGGGGCTGGGCCGCAGCAACACGCGACGCTGGTGTTGCGGCTGCTGCAGCTGCTGCGGATGGAGGACATGTTGGTGCTGCTTTCGGTCCTTTTCGCGTTCAATCACCTCTTCCAGAGACATATGCAAGAGCGGATTCTCTTCCGACTTCCCGTCGAACATCTCAAGAGGCCCTTCAGGCTCAGGGGCCTCCCAGGTTATCAGCGGAATGGACATGGTCTCGGAGGGGTTCGGCGAAGGGGTTAGCTGCCAACAAGGCCCCAGAACGCAGCAGCCCCTCGAGAAAGCCGCAGAAGACGATAATTTTTCCTTGTTCGCGCTGCTGGAGGAGCAATTGGTGCCTTTATGAAGGCCTACGCTGGTGCCGCTGGGGGCCCTTGCAGGGGTCGAGAGGTCTAAAAGGAAGGGCAGCAAAGGCAGGTACACCTCTGATGCACTTTCTCCACATCTCTCCGAGTTTGCAGCTGATGAAACACACGTTCATTGTACTCTTGTGGAGTGGCAGCCGCGGCTGCTACACCGCGGCTGCCATCGAGGGTCCTTGATGGCGCTGCTGCATGCAGCATGACCAGCGACTCCTGCTGTGGCTGCGGCGCCTGCGAGTGTCCTTGGGCAAATGCACATAGCGAAGGTATTTCTAGACTAGTCGTGCCGTGTTGTGCATCTGTGGATAGGCGCCAGGAGCGTCTAGAGAGGATAGTCACACCCAGTCGCTCTTGCTGCCCTCATCGCTGCATGCGCATTCTGCTTTAGCCGGAAAAAACCGCATTCCCACCTCCTTATGGCGCTCTTGACTTCCTTCGGCAGTGTCACGCGACGCGGGGCTGCTGTGTTGGTGGCCTCAGGCACAGCATTGCAGCTGCCATGCTGTGTGCGTTCGTCTGCTGCTCCATGGCGGAGCTGTGCATTTACACCCCGCAGAGCTAACAGCAGCAGCCTCAGCAGCGCTAACCAGAGCGGCAATCCTATCGACAGTGTGCGTCTGCTGAAGGACGAAGTCGTGTACAAGGGATGGAGGACGGGTAAGGCCGCGCAACAGCACCATGGGCTACCTCAAGCATGTCGACCTTCTCCTACCTCTTATCCCCTTTGCAGCCTTTCATTCATGATTTCGGGTGCACTTTGCACGCTCCGCTTGCGTTTGACTGCTCTCGCGAGGCAGCGCCAGTCTGTCGGCTGCTGATCGTGATCACGCGTGTGTTTTTACGGCGCAGTGAAGCGCCGAACCGTCAGCTTCCCCGATGGGTCTGTTCATGAATTCGATGTAACCGATGCACCGCCAGCAGTGTTATGCCTTCCCTACAATTCGAAGACAAAGACATTTACGCTTCTTAGGGTGGGTGTGCTTTGCCTGCCTGCCGCTCTTCTTGCCGTTGATTTGGGGCCTCCCTTGTTCCTCTCCTCTCCGCCGCCTTTACTGCTGCCTTCCTGCTTCTTCGCTTCTCATGCTGCTCGAGCTTATACGACAGTAAACTGTGCCTCGTGCTCTGCCTCTATACACATATGTTTCTCAGGAATACTGTCCAGGCCCGCACTGCGGGATGTTTTGCGTTGTTGCGGGGCTCTTGGAGCCACGACACCAAAGCGTTGAGCATTGCGTTGCATGTGAAACAGAAGAGGAAGCTGGGGTGGTACGTGTCTTGTTCTGCCCGCTTGTATATGTGTGCATGCAAGTAGGGCTTTTTTCTGTTTCTGTCTTCGACGCCTTCTGCCTCACACTCCGAAGCATTTTTCTGGCGTTTGCTCTCTGCCGCTGCCACTTCCACGTGCTGCCTCAGGGCACGTAGTGGAGCTTCTGCTTGTTGCCGTATATCTGCATCCTCGCAGCGTGGAGGCCGTTTGGTGCCGATAATGGAAAACGCAAACTTGCAGCTGCCCGGCGCGAAGTATACTGCCCAGCCCTTCCTCCCATTCCTCGTCATCGATGGCCAAAAGGTAACTCAGGTGTTTGCGTCTGTGACTTACGGTATTGCCGGCGAAAGAGGTTGGAGAAAAGGGGTTACGAAGGGTCTGTCCTGTTGCTTTCTTTGGGGGAAATGTTGTTGCCACGGTTTGTCTTGCTCCGACAGGTGTCCTCGGATCGTCTTGCGGCAGACGCTGACGAGCTGATTGAAACTCACGAAGCATCTACTTCAGAAGCTCTGGATATCGTGTATAAGGGGCAAATGACTAGCACCGGCAGCATGATGGTTCTACTAGGCATTCACAAGCTCAGGCAAATGGGGCTTCTCTAAGACGCAACTCAAACGAGGAAGCGCATAACAAGCGCGCGGGTGTAAAAGCCAACCCTGGAGAACGTGTTCTGGCCCCAATGTTGAAGGCAGAGGCTCCAGAGAGTGCAGTCTCGATGCAGCACTGAAGGGATGCAACAGGAACACAATAGCATGCTCAGGCCGCCTCACTCTACGCCCGCATCCTGGCAAGCACCGGAAGAACAGCGTCGTGTGTATCTAAATTCAGATGCAGCTCTTCACGGAGGTCACTGCACTTGACGCGGTTACATAAGCAGCTGCACGGCTGGAGGACAGAACAGCCATCGCAGCAGTCCCCGTACAGCTGCTGCTAAGTCTTGCCGCTGCGACGCAACAAAGGTATCTTTTTATGGCCTTCACTGAGAAGGGAAAGGGTGGTCGAGAGGAGGAAGCCTGCCCCCAATGCATGCACTGGGAGCGACGCGGAGGAGCGTAAGGGAGCGTTGGCGCAAATGGCAATCCTTGGTTTCTATTCGTGTGCCCTGACCATCAGTGTCGGTGTATTATGAATTGAGGCACTCCTGGGCACACTGCTTGCTGGCTGCCACAGAAGACCCCTTGTCTTTGCACAGCATCCGCCACGGGCTTGCCACATAGGTAAGGTCCAGCGAGCCATGCACGGAAGGACTGGAGGAGGTTGGAGCTGTGCGTGGTCGCATCTGAGTGATGGCCCCCCTTCGGATGGCAGCAGCAGCTGCGTACGTCTCGTCCTTGCGTGCATGCGCAAAGAAGAGTTTCACACGTGGTAGTTGGTCTATTCGTCTCGCATCTAGTCATTCGCTCCGTATTTTATGGGTTTGAAGGGATTTATATACAGAAGAACACATGTGCGTGCATGTCTACATACATATATATACATAAGAATTTCTACATCTAGGTATGCGTGTATACCCTTGGAATTTTTGAAGTCGGTGGCCGTGGCAAGAGTCTCAAATAGAGATGGGGACCCTTACAGGCTCCCCGAAGTTCTTGAAAGCCTCAAGTGTCAGCGCAGACTGTATAACTGTCACTTTGCCACCGGCATGAGTCCATGCACGACGGCATGATTCCATGCACGACGGCATGATTCCATGCACGAAACAGGACACCTGTCTGGCTTAAATGGATAGTGGCACATTGAGCCCTCCCTGTTGCAGTTAAGGCCCTCCCCTTCAAGGGCTTGAGAGGAAAAGGCTTCTTTGAAGGTTTCTGATGTAGTACAAACAAAGTTCCGGAATTTGGAGGCCATTCGCCGAGGCGGGAGGCCTACGCAGTGAAGGGGTGGCGAGCGTAATACGCCTCGTTTTAAGACCCATCAAGCTCCCCTCCCCCCAATACCCTTCGTGCCCCCGCGCCAACCCGCGTGCGTTTTTCAGTAAATTCGCCTCAAGTAGTTGGCGCCGTGAGAGGGGCCAGTCAGGCCCTCATGGGGGTCCCTGTGAAACTCTACAGGCCTATCGTAATCTCGCCGTAAAAACACCCCTTGAACCACCGCTCACCCTCGTCGGACATACGACTTTTAAAGGCGCGAAGCGGCAAGGCGGTGGCAGCCCCTCAGGGTGCTGCTGCCTTGCGCTTCCTCCCCGTTCGGGCTCTAAGAGCCTCAATGCCTCCCTCAATCGTGGGCTGAAATTCACTCGGTAGGAGGTGCTCCGCGACATCTAGCATATCCTTGCAAATAGTTCGGAGAGTGTGCTCGCCTGCTCCAGTCACCGAAGCAATCTCCGAGGCCTTAGGAAGCAGCAGCGGCTGCTGAGGGTTGCTGCTACTGCTCAACAGCTGCACCACTAGCCAAATAGCGGCGGCAGCAACCGAGTTCGGCCTGACAACGACGTATGCAGCAACCACGCACACACACACACACACACACACACACACACACAGGAGCCTTGGAGCTTAGACGTGGTAGTTGAAACGAGACACGTGTATTTGCAGCACACTTCCAAGGGAATTCAATCAACATGCAGATCGATATTCAGTGTGTTGCTGTGCCGCGCGCCGCGAATAGGGGTGGTAGCTGGGGAGCCATTTTTCGATACATATATATATATGTATATATATCGAAATCTATGCATATATAAACCTAATTGCATGCAAATAAAGATGGGTGCCTACGGAGGGAGGGCTTGTCCGGTTGTTACCTGTGGCTGCATACAAAGATTTGTGTGGCCCTCTTGGCGACGTATTCCGCCACATCGCTAATATGCATCGAGAGCTGCAGCCTACTGCAGTACCTTGGAAGAAGGTGGGTGGCAGTTTCTGCATTGTTCGTCCCTCCCCTCATGGGAAGCTGGCGTTTGATCCTGTTGATAGCCTTGCCGAGTTCCTTCTCAGATATCGAGCGGTCGTAAACCACCAACTCACGAACGGTGCGGGTTGCTCCAGCCTCCCTGCAAGCCAAGTAAGTAATTGCCAGCATTGAGACGGCCGTGCTCCGCGATCGCAAGTGACCTGCGTCCTGCGGGGCAAAAGCGACAGCAGCAAGGAGGTAGGTGGTTGTGGAGATCGGAGGTTCGATGCATGCATCGTTGAATAATGGAAAAACTGCATCTTCCATGGAAGCATCCACAGGGCCAAAGGGCCGCATGCATGCGTGCCAAGTCAGAAAGACAGCATCTTATCAAGCTGTCACGAAGAAGGCACACCTAGGGAACGACGATCATCAAGAGATAATATCTATACATATGTAGCACATAGAAAGCCCTCCCCCCTCTCTCTCCCCCCTTAAGACAGCATTCCCAGGTCTGCAATGAGCCCCCGCCAACACATTTTCCCGTGCGAGAACACACCAGAAGTTCCTTGGCTATTTCCTTCGCCCGTTCAAGTACATGGTCCCTAAAACTGAAGGCCTCCCCAATCAGGCGGAGATACGAGAATGCCGCTCGCAGCTGTCTATCCCTGCTGCCACTCTCTCCAGCGCCACTGCCTCCAGTTGCTGCCTCATGCAGCATCTGCAGTCGCCTTCCCGACCCCAAACCCTTGCTGCTCGATCCGCCGCCAATCAACATGGAGGTTCCAATGCCCCCATCTTCGAGCCAGCCGTCTAAGGCCTCGCCGACTCTGTTTCGATCTGCGCCCTTCGGAGCCCCTCCCGACGTCTCCGCACTAAAGGAACGCCACTCTTGTTCTTCGTTCAAGACCCTCTCTTCCAAGACATATCCGCAATCTCGGCACAGCTGATCGCCGCTGCTGCTATCCAAGACTATTGTGCTGCCACTGCCTCCGCTCGGAGTGCAGAAAGGGCAACACAGGTTCCGCTTTGACGATGCGTAAAGGTTGAAACGACGCCGAGAGGCAGCGGCCCCTGCAGAGGGTGCTCCCGGGGAAATACCAGCAGGTACTCCTGAAGCTGCAGGAACGCCCCGAACGCCAGAAGAAGAGGCACCTAGAGATGAGACGTTCCACAGGCCAGCAGGCACTGAGGCCGTGCCATCGCCACTGCTGCTGTTCACGCTGCTTGTGCTGTCTAGACGGACGGGAGGAGCAGCCGTTATGACACCTGGAATGGGGGAAACTGAGAAGGACACAGAAGTCGTCGCAGGGGGCCCCGAGGCTCCCCCAATTGAACCCGTCCGCTGAAGTTTGCTTGGTGGTTGCATACTTTGCATAATTGCGAGCTGAGACCCTTGGGGATGCAGGAAGCGGCCCCGATATGCGCTATGGGAGGCGCCTCTGTTCTCTGTAGAGACCCTCCGTGCCGCGAGAAATGTGGCAAGGCCCTTTCCCGTGTTCCCTGAACGTTGGGAGGCAGAGAGGGTGAGGAAAGGCGGAGACTGATGAACTGGCTCCAGCGTCACCTGTAACACTGCTGTCAGTTGCGCCACGCCTACCGCAATGGATCGCTCGTTTTCTGCTTCTCTGCACCAAGTCTTCCTCCGCCTTTGTATGCGTCAATAAAGAAGAGCCAAGGGGGGCACTAGTGGCGGCGCGGTATTCACTGCGGCGGCAAGTCAGCCCCAGTGCATGCAAGACGTGAATGTGAGATTTTCTGTGCTCCGTCCGTGTTGCCCCTGGTACTTTGAACTTCGGATTTGAAGGAACTGAAGAAAGCGGAGAGATAGTTGTGGTTATCCAAGGGGGGGAGAGGCCTTCGGAGATGGCCGCAGTCCTGTGTACTTCCTGCTAGGCGTATAGGCTGGGTCGTCCCTTTGTCTCTTCTGTGTGCTCTCTGGCTAGCATTGATCCTACTTCAAGAGCTAACAGCTGAGGTGTGCGTATACTTAAAAGCTGCGTTTATCTGCCCTGCTCTGGTTCTCACAGTGATCCTCTTACTTTAATGACCAGGCCAAGGGGGCACACGGAGGGTTCCTCCTCCGTCCCGCTCGCAGACCTTGAAGAGCTCTTGCGTTTAAAAAAGGTTCTGAGCAGGATCTTGCCCGCAGTTGAAGAGGGGGCACATGAAGGGGCTTCTTCTCCTTTTACGGGGGCCCCATCCCGTAGTGTGGGGGATCCCGTAGGGGTTCCCGGGCAAGGAGCTGGAGAGAACAATGATATAGAGACCGTTTTGAACGCCTTCGGTATCTTGGAGGGCTTCCAAATGACAAGGAGCCTTCTTGCGAAGTCTCGGATCGGCCTGTGTGTGGGCGCCTTGCGGAGGCACCCCGATGGCCGCATAAAGGCGAAGAGCACCGCACTTGTTGCCAAGTGGAAGAGCGCTATTGGTACACAAGCGTCAAAAAGCAGTGCAACAGGCGGTAGCAACAACAAAGAAATTCCGGCAGCAACAGCAGGTCGGGGGACACCGGCAGCAGCAGCTTCAGCAGCAAGCAGCAGCAGTGCCCCTGCGCTTGAGAGCAATTCTGCAGAGGGGAGACAGGCCCCCAAAATGACCACAGGCCGCTACCCCGGGCCCATTAGCGGCGACTCCACGAGAGATAAGGCGCGGACGTTTCTCTGGAGGGCACTAGTTGATGGCTTGGAGACGGCGGCTGCAGCGGCGGCAGCAGGAAGTGCCACGGCGGGAGAAACTGGGCGTGTTGCTGCAGCCATTGAGGAAGCCTTGTGGTCGCGCTTTATAGTGGACAGACAAAGCACGAAAGAGTATAATGCCCAACTAAAGACACTGAAGTGGAACCTGGCAGACCCGAAGAACCCCGACCTTAATCTAAAGGTGTTATGGGGGATGTACACTGCAGATCAGCTGGCCAACATGACCAGCGCGGAGCTAGCCAGCGAGGAGAAGAAGAGGGAAAGAGATAAACAAAAGCAGGAGAGCCTGGAAGCATGTCAGAGCGACTGGGAGGTGAGGCGCATGATGAGCAGCGGCGAGGCGGCTCAAGGGCAATTCCCTTGCTTCCGGTGTCGAACAAACAAGACAGTATACTTTCAGATGCAAACTCGCAGCTCGGATGAGCCGATGACTACATTTGTCACGTGCCTCGAGTGCGGTAATCGGTGGAAGTTCTAAAGGTGCATAAGCAAGCAAACACCAATGAGAAAGCTCCTAATACGGAGAAAGCGCCTCTGCTGCAGAGAAGGCAACCGGCCAATGGCACTACCCAAGGACGTGAACGCCGCGAAGAAGACTTTCTCTATGAGCCAGCAGGCGGCTTTCTTGTCACTCCAGGGACGCACCAAGTGGAAGATCCAGCGGCTACGCACGAAAGGGTTCGGAACTTGAGAGGTGTCTGGACAACTCTCAAGCTCCCTACGCTTAAATACACTTCACAATTGAAAACGCGTAAATGGAAATGCGTTTTGTTGCAGTGAACAAAATGCACTACATACCTTCACGGGTCTGTATGTGTCTCGGTGTATATACGTATTATGCGGCGCAACGGGGTCCGGTCTGCCCCTTTCTTTAACCCCTTGCCCTAAAAGATGGCACTTGCTCTTCATATAGTACGCAGAATGTTCTGGGGGCCCAGGCCACACACAGTCCACTCTGGAGGGCAAATGGCCCCGGAGCTCTTTTTACGGCGGTCTAAGGTTGCAAAGGACGCCGTGGTGTCTTTGGCTTTCCAGCTTACCAGTGCCTTCAGTGGTACCTTAAGATTCAAGAATCAGATTTTATTGAGCAGCGCAGCACAGCAGCTGCCCCCGACCCATGTGGGTGCAGTTAAATACAGTACTTCTTAGTCTCCAAAGCCTCCACGGCCAAATTAAGGCTTATCTATCAAGACACATCACGCCTCCCGCTTACTCGTCTGCGGCTCTAGAGCAGGCGTGCAACCTGAAGCCCGTAGCAACTCCCCCGTCAAGACAAGAATTACGCATTTTGGCACAAGCTGGGGAACCCCTCTTGGGCCCCCAAAGCCTCCCAGCGGCGGGGTTGGGCGCCTACCTAAGATTGAAACCCCTCACAGGAGGCTGGTACCACCGTCCCCTCAAAGGGTGCCGCCAGGGCCCCCCTCCGACTGCCCACATTAAGTCTGCTCACTAGGCGGGGCTGTGGGGCAACTGGGACGGCATGCATCGCTGTCTGCTGAGCTTGCTTCTGCACTTGACGCCTCTGGTGCCGGTTCAATAACGGACTTGGCAGCTTCCTCGTCCACGGGTTCCTCTACTTTCGCAGCTGAGCACATAGCCTCCCGCTGGGAATCCTCAGAAACGTCTGATGCTTCCGCCAATGCGCCTGTTGCAGCGGTAGCCTCGTTCGTGGTAACGGCTGCTGCGGCTTCTGGGGGATCCGTAGCCACCACCTCAGTCTTAGAGCGCACTGCCCCATCGGGAGGAGCAGCTGGAGCAACTGCCAGCGCAGCAGCCGCGCAAGGAGAAGCACCGACCGGGCTGACAGTAGAGGCTGGGAAAGCAGGCTCTACTGTAGCAGATGCAGCAGGTAAGGGAACGGCGCCAGCAGCTGTTTTGTGGGGGGCCAAGTTGCACCGAGCAAGGAGTTTTGAAAAGTGGTTATACGCGGGCAAAGACCGCCGTTTCCTGCCCTCTTGCTGCAATGTTAAAGCCGGTAATACGCCTGAAGAAGGAAGCTCCACTACTCCCCCCTGCTGAGGTTCCTGCTGTGCTTCGAGCTGTCCTGTTTGCTGAGCGGGAAGACCACCAACGGCGGTGGGGGCCGCTACGGGCCTCTCCAGCGGCTGCATGGCGGAGCAGGCAGCAGCTGAAGATGTAACTGGGTGCTTGTTGGAGTGCTCTCCTCCAGCAGGCACGGGGGCCCCACGGGGGCCCCCTGGACCTTGAGAGTGGCTTGGGGCTGACTTTCGTCGAGCCGCTTCGCTGTGTGTGCCTCCACACTGGGCCCAAGCCGCCAGACTTACGGGTTGCTGGCGCTGTGCTCCAGGGGATCGGCCAACACTACGTCTGCCCTGGCTTAGGCGGCGAGCCTTCCGCTGCACACAGCATCGAAAGTAGCGGAATCCTCAGAAGGACTAGACACGCAGCAGCGCTGGCAGGGAAGAGAGCTAACTGTGAAGCCCGCTGTGTATTCGCCACCCCATGAAAAAGGTATCGCTGCTATTGTTGCTGCCGCTCACCCCGCCTGCCAAGTCGAGTTCTCTCGCAATGCTCCATACACTGCCCTTCCGGACGTGCTGCGGCGCATACCGACCGAGTGCTCGTCGAGTCTACGATACGCGAGGAAATAATTGGTGCTCTTAAGTTCCAAAATGCTCTTATAATCAATTATTTACATGCAAGACGGAAGAGGGGAAGTAAAGAAGCGCTTTTATACCTTCAGAGGCTCGACGTAACAAGAAGCCATTTCAGGTGACCGGAGCCGGAAGACCCAACGGTGCTCAGGGTGTCTGAATCGCTCAACTACTTTCGCCCTGCAAACGAAGCATTGCCATGAACTTGACAGAAATTAGTAAAATGTGGAAAAACTGAGAGGAGAGCATGAAACAAAAAAAATCAATCATCGAAATTGATGATACCTGTGGCATGGGTCATGCCCGCTGTCTGTGTATCGCTACTGTACTGGGACTATCCCAACACGTGCATGGAGGCCACAATGCTGCCAGGACAGGAGGTGTAGAGGCACAACTCATTGATGGCGAGTGCATGCAGCCCCCTCCGGCCCACAACAACTTGCTATCGAGAGTAGTAGCACCCGGGATCACCGCACACCATTAGTACAGTTTGTACACCAGCAAGAATAAGTAGGATGCGATAGGCTGTGAACAAAACCACATGCAGATGCCTTCTAAGCCCCGGTGCACGACAGAGCAGGCGCACCTAAATATCTGAGCGTCCTGGTGAGCCGCTTTGCTTTCCACCCACTCGCCCACTGCAGGAGGTGGCAGCTCCTCGACAGGACGTGCCGCCTCAAAGGCCTCGTAGGCCATGTCCACCACTGCAAATAAAGCATTAAAAGGTGCGCAAGCAGCCCGAAGCGTGTAGACATTCCACGGCTGTCCAAATGCCAACACGTCCCCCCGTCCACTTCCCCCAGCCAACCGCTGGCACTAACATGCCGTGTCTCATGCGGTACCTCCTTTGGTCGCGGCAAAGTAGACAGAGCATTGCTTTGAAGCATAAAAAACAGAGGCCCGCTTTCGGCTGATTGACACCAGCCCTTCCCACCACTGTGTCCGAGACAAAGGGCCCAAAGCGATCACATAGACACCTCTGTAGACTCGTAGCTCTCTCCCCTATATCATCCCCAGGAGACCTCCACATCAAAGGGTTCTAGCTAACTGGGTACAATCAACAAAAGGGGGGCAAGAATTGGAGTGCACGTACATCCATTAGCCACAAGCGAGTAATCTGCCGAAGGCCTCAGCTCCTCGTTTTGAACCTCCTCACTCTCATTCTTCGTTGCTGCTTCTCCTGGTTCTGCTACCGGCGGCTGGTGAGCCGCATCTTTTGATAGCTGAGTTGATGCCGCGTCTTTATCTGCTGAGGGTGGTGTCTCATGGCAAGAGGAGTCAGGGGCACCAGCAGATCCTTCGTGGGAAGGTGTCCGATCCTTGAATACAGACAGCATGTTCTCATCGGTCTCGAGCAAACCTCCAGGTCCCTCGTTCCCATGGGTCTGTATAGCCCATTCACATTACAGAGTAATTGTTCTTTATTATTTTTTACTCTGGGAAAAGCAGCGGCCAAGACCCCTCCCACACACCGAACCCGATGCAGCTAGCAAGAGCCATGCACGGCAAATAAGAACCAGAAAGTGATGCGGATAGACAGAAAGCCAGTGAGACTTACGGGTACACTCTGTGTAAAGACAGCGGCAGTAACTGCCTCGGTCGCCCCAGAGGTCAGCAATTGTTTGTGCTCCACCATTGGGCTTAATGGTTTGCCTTCCGCGATCCGCGTATCCACATGTGAAGTTCGATGTTAGATTTTGCGTCCACCGAGTAAGATGCCTCGGCAGGCTTTGTCAGTAAAGTTGGTGTTATTCGGGTGGACGCACACCCAGGACCGGGTTATGACGGTTCACGTTAGCGGCGACCAGGGTTGAGGGTCCCGATGCACATTCAGCGAGGTTACGGGCCCCCTGCGGCCGCAAAGGAGAAGGTTTTACGAAAAAAAGAATTTTACGCTAGGCATGCGGATACGAAGAAAAATGATGCACTGGAGGAAACGAGACCTTGCCGCAGGAGTGTCGTACAAGGACGTCTTGTACTGGAGGATCTTCGAAGCAGAACCCTCTGGTTCCCCTGTTACACAAAATTATACCAAAATTGAAAGGCGTCCTGTCAGTATGAAGCCTTAAAACCTCAAATAACGACCCTTCCCCAAGCCAAACCCCACGCGGTGTACCAACACAGCCACCACCGCTGCTCCACGCATGCAGTACAACAGCCCACCCAAATCGCTCAAATAATTCAAATGACGACCTCCAGCAGTAGCGTGCTCCACCATAGCAAATCAAGCAGTGCTCTTCAGACAGAGTGGATGCTGATATTACAGCCGAATACACATAAAGCCTACTAACACCGCAAGCCTCCTTTCCGCTAACTCTTACGTGCTTCGTGGTCTTCTTTACAACTAACGTTGCATGTACCTGTAAGATGGTCATGAGAGAGGCAGACCGTCTTCGCATAGATATAACTGAACAGTGTTAAGCATTCATCATGCAAACTGCTCCAAGAATTTCGAGAAAGAACGAGCCACGGCGTAAGTGCAGCGGGAAAGTTACACAGTAAGCACTTTTTACCGCAGTAGTTCTGTTGATCTGCGGGCTAGTAATGCACTGATTGATTTAAATTTCTGTGTGTATTTCGTATTTATTGCATAGCACTGTTGGTTTGATTAAAGAAGACGCACTGTTCTGTGCATGTACGCTAGGTCACATCTGCACAAGTCGTGCATGCTAGAAGTTCTTAAGGGGTGCAGCTTCGTGTACTCCCTAATTTTACTCTGCTTTTCATGTGGTGAATTGAAGGGCCACGAGCAGGAAAGAACAGAAAGTTTTGAGAGACCCTTGACTTTCTGTCAGCTTTGCATTGAGCCTGGATCTCAGTATCTCCATGCAGACACAGTAGATGGAGCGTTATATTTGGTGGTACCCCATGATTCGATGTAACTTTCCACCATGAATCCACTGGCTGCGCATGCAATCGGATGTCAGGCTGGCACACAGCAGTTGTCTAGTTTCGGAATAGTTTTGGGGTAATTCAGTAACTCGATTATTTGGCATCTGCCTTGTTGAAAAGCTTTTTGAGGATGGAAGTTGGGGTAGGCACAACCTCTTATGAGGCGGCAGAAGCCAGCCTGCAAGGTGTTGTGAACGCAGTAGCTCCACAGGTAGTGAAGAAGCATGATTTCTAGGCTGATAAAATGCTAATGGATGCATCAGTGAGGCTATGCAGACCAGAAAAGCTTGGCAGCAGCAAACAAGGGAAAGTAGTCGGAGAGTCCATAAGCTTGTGATAGATGTACCTAGCGTTCGTTCTCCCTGAGGAAGCCGAGAAGATCATCACTTTCTTTATGATTATTGGACAGAAAAGCTCTGCGGTGGTGGATCTGCTTATTGATAGGAGCTTTCCTGCCTGCAAAGGTTATCACACTTCATACTTTCATCGGTTTATGCCGAGATTAGCTCAAGAACAAGCTGTGGGGTATATGGAAATGCTTTGGCAACGGGGTCTAGCAATAGATCGATGCTTCGAGAAGTATGGAGCTTCGTTTGCAACAGTCACAACGTAGACGAACAGCTGCTTTATTAGTGATTCATATCAACTCTTACTCGGAGTGTCAAGCCAGGCCATCGCATGGCCAGCAGCGACTCAGTGAATAAGCAAGCAGCCGGTGGGGCTTTCATGAACGATGGACTATTTGAGGCTTTAGAACAAAGAAGAGCAGACCCTGTATCTTTGACTTACTTGGAGGATCCAAGTCAGGATTTAGAACCTGTGGATGTCGAGGCTGTGTTAAGCGACTTTAGCCTACAGCCTAATATGAATGAACGAGAACGCCAGAGGGCACCCGCATATCTGGGCAGCCACAGATAGTCCCCCGACAACATCCTGGTTGCCATTGTGGAACACAGGGTGACAATGAAGAACTGCGAGCGCATGTAACAAGCCAAAGAACCTGAACAACGGGACATGGCCCAGTGAAAGAGGACTTATCGGCGAGCGAAGACAGCGCACCACGGGAACGCGAAGCCCTCTACGCAAGCTGAGCCACAATGAAGGGGTTGCAGAGGGTAGAGCTGCAGTCGGGGACCCACCACTGACCGATTCTGCGCTCATGTAAGTTCATGTTAATGTCCGAACGCCGCTGATGTTACTGGACACTTGGTGTGAAATGGATCTGTTATCCGAGGAGAAGGGAAAGATACGTAGTGTGCCTGTTCACCCGGTAACGCGGTCCCTAGGACTTATATTTGCTCAGAGGTCGCACAATGCAAGGACCAAAAGGGCTGTGGTAGTCAAATGCTACTCCATATCTGATTGTGGTCGTATAAGCAAAGTCCGAGACTTCTTTAGTGGGTCTGTCCACTGTAACGTGAACTTAGGGATTTCATGGGTCAACTAACGAAAGGCGAGCACGCAGCCACAACTTCGCGCTGCGAGGGCTAGCGAGATGCTGCAAATCTACAGCCCCTGGCCTTCTCATAAGCCCTTATTTCATCTATGGTAGCCAGAGTATAATGGATGACTCAACATGATGAAATAGGGCATTTTTGTGGGCAGCTCAGCAGAGCAATAAGACAGTTCTGAGCATGCAAACCCTCTCCTCACCTGTGATATTGGCTCGTTATCAGAGCGTTCGGTCATGGGAGAGCCGAAAAAAGCAGGAACAAGCAAACAGCAAGGTAGAGCTTGCGGATGTGCTAAATTATGACGGGCTGCCAGCAAGCTGTCCATTTGCTGATGATTCAGCGCAGAGTGTTGAGCTAATTTCTGGGTCAGCACCAAGCTATGTTTCGCAGTGAGGGAAGTCCGAAATATAAAGAGGAAGTTGCAAGGCAGGCAGACGATCACTTGAAAAATTCAAAATGCAAGAGTGAAACAGCACCTGTGGACACAGCTCTGCGTCGATGCTGAGAAAGAAGCAGAGGTGGCTCACGCGTGCTAACTTTACTTTAAGCCCCTAAACACGAGTGCTGTAAGCGAAGGCTTCAATTCCTCTCATCGAATAGGTACTTGACAAGGTACAGAATCAGTAGTCCACTCTTCATTTTAATTTGCAAACGCCTTCGTACAAATCGTCATCTAGCCATGTAGAGCGCAACACGGCGTTCGACATTGGCATTTGCAAACTCGAATGTACCATGATGGCATTTGAAAATGTTAATACCCATCGAGGTACATAAAAATGTCAACAAGGACGACTATGAGCCTATCAAGGAGGGTCGCATGGCCGTCTACAAGAGCGATGCCTATGCCTTAAGCCGAACCCTTCCAGGGCACCTATAGCATGAACGGCATGCGCTTCAGCTATTGCGGAACAAAACGTGGCATTTGGAGACACGAAAGGTTTTGCTTTTCGTGCAAACAGCTTTGCTTCTGAGATTCTGTCTGTCCATTCCAAGAACTGAGCCAGATCCGAAAAGAAATTTGAAGCAAGCAAGGCTTGGTCTTTGCCATTGTCCACTGCCGAGGAGGCTGAGCAATTTGTGGCCCTGCATCTGATCACCTAAATTCCGTTTCCGTATCACGGATTCCTGCGATTTTGATTGCTCTCCCTGAGAAAAGGCAGTCTGCGACGTGGATGGAGGACGCTGACGCGCAATAAGGACGCCTATTGACATCCTTACAGCTTTTCTGGCACTCTCACTGTCCGACAATGGGCTCCAGTTCTTTCTATGAACCGAGGCTAGTGGCGTAGCGGTGGGTGCTGTGGTCTGTCAACAGGCTGCGGTACTATCTCCAAAAAACCAAAATGGCAAAAGGGTGACCCACTTCACACTAAATATAAGCTGCGGTTAAAAACGAAGCAGAGACTCTATCGTTTGGGCATCTCCACTTCATTTTGCAGTGCCATGTTATGCGCTAGCACATGATCATTTGTTTTGGGCCATAATCAACAGTACAGAAGAAAGCTCTCATAGTCCTTCTTGTGGCCTGAGATACTCCCGGCAGCAAGATAGTATGCGTTCTCATGCCCTTTAGCAGCTGAATCCGCACTATTCTGCTACACCAGAGCGTTTAAATGTCCTTCTGGCTATTAAAAGGATGTATGCTTGTCTGGCTATGAAACCTAATGATGGAATATCGAAGGTAAAGGGCCAGAATATCTACGGCGTTGCTGACAGACTGCGAATATGCTCACTCCGTCCCTTGCGCCAGCTCTGTCACGACTGAGGAACTCGCTAAATTGATGCTAACTCATGTCCGGAAGCTTTGGGATGAAGTAGCATTACGTGTAGGAAGGCGCACAGCCACAGATACAAATTCAAAGTTTGTTATTTCCCTCTGGCTTACGTTTACAACCCACCAATACACATGGCATAATCTGAATACTGCGGAGCACCCTGCTACAGGTGGACAAAGCAAACGCATGAACCCCAGTTCTCTGCATTACTTGGGACTTGATGCCCAAAAAATGCAATTGGTAGACTCGAGTTGCTTAGACACGCTGAGTGAGGTTGTACTTGAACAGTATCCTCGCCAAGCAGCGGCTTTTCTGAATGTATGATCTGCACTGAGGAGCCCCTTCGGCGATCTCGGCCTGGGCCAGGGTATGCAGTCGTCCTTTGCAGCGGAAGGATTCACAAAATAGCTGCCGGGTCAACGTGTGCGTTACGTAAAGCTTGACAGAAACACGGCATTATGATGAGCGGCTGTCGGCTCTGCTTTCCGAGCCTCGGTCTTGGCATGGTGAAGCCATAGTCGCCACAAGGTGCCCTGAAGTTTGACTAGAATAACACCTTCGCGGCCAGGGAGCTGGGAGCAGTCATCATCATCTTGCGAGTCAGTCACCTTGGTCACTCTCTTGATTATCCTTAAAAAAAAGCTGTGCTGCAGACCTATTACTGCCGGATCTCTAGGGAAATTTCACCCCCCCGCATTATTCGTAGCCTTCGCCACTCAGGTATGGGTCCCGCGGGGAGGCGGAGGATCTGCATGGACCCGTTTCAGCTTTGCATTCGCTATTGAGTCTCAGATAAATACTATATGGGAGCTTCCAGTAAATCTTGATGGGAAATGCCAACGATAGTGATTAAGGGAGGTGCAGTTGCTGGCGTTTTCGCTTCGAAGGGCTTGTGCTGCTCTGCTTGCTTTGCAATTCTAGTCTTCATGGACAGTGTGCTTCGCTCTTCTTAGTAATTGTTCTTTTCCTGTGCTCGGCCTAAACTCACTGTCTTCATCTGTGATTATTGCCTGCAAAGCTCCCGATTTATTAAGATGCTTATTACACTTAAACTTATGGGCAGGCACTCTCAGGTGTGTGAGCCGTGCATTCTTGCTTAGGGCTCTTTGGAGCTTCATTATTGGCTGTGCGGCATATTCCGGCTATGTCTGCAGCAGACGCTGGTCTATAGGGCGTGGCAACCGTGTAGCCCTCCATTTCAGGTATCCAAAAAGAGGTATATAGTTCCAGACTCATTACAAGCATGATTGAAGTGTGAGCGCTTTCCCTAAAGAAGCTCTCTAAACACCCGCTTGCAGAGGGAAAAATACAGTCAGCTTCTGCGTTGCTGCAGCCTATATGTACTCTGACTGTTCACAGCTAGTTGCTCATAGCATCCAGCGCAGCCGCTCATTGCGGTATGCTTTACTGTATGGAGCTTGGGCTAATATGCAATAAACACGATACTTGAACATTTAACCCCATTGTCGCATTCGGTCTCAACAACCAATTAATAGAACTACTGTAACAGGAAGTGCCTATCTGTACATATACCCGCTACAGGCACTACTGATCGGATCTGTACGTTGGCTCCCCATGCACTTTTCACCGTTTTTCTTTGTTAGATAGCACAAGGTTCACACTTTTAAGCGATTCGGTGGCAGTTAAGCATCGCACAGCCGCGCTCCTACTGGTTTAATTTCCCATTTTGTTGCTGTCTTGTGTTTAGATATATGTATATACATAGATTTCTTTCTCCCGTACTATTTCTCTTTAGCAGCTGATAACCGCTTCGCTTCTCTCAGTCGCACTGATTCTTACGCTTCTGACTACTGGGGTAGTGGTGATAGAGCAAAACCTCTTACGCTGCCCTGCGCGTTGTTGTTCTCAATTGACATCTACGGAGTACGATGTTTGTTTTGAAATGGGGCTGAGTCACGCTTACGCTCCTTCCACTACAATACGTATAGCAATTGAAAATTAGTAAAACATTTACCCCTCTGTCTGGCTGTTCATTTGTACGTGTTGTTGCAGAATACTGTTAGCTCGAAAAAAATGCGTAGCGTGGTGTGCATTTGCGCTCGATGTTATGAGCAAATAGCTGTGAATGCTGGTGCTCAGAGGGTGCCGCAACTCGAACCGTAGTTGTTTCTCTACCCTCGTGTGGGAGCTCTAAGAAGAGTGCCAGGGGGAGACGGGATTCCTTTTAAGACAAATTAATTTTCATTATGCTTGTGTGGGGTCTGGAGTTAAGTTTCTCCCTACGGAGATCCAAGTTAAAACGTAATATGTGCTGCCTTGTTTCTTATTTATGGGTGGCTAGTTGAAGGGCTCTGAAACGGAGATGCGCATCCTTAGTCACTTAACGTTCGCTATAGATTACTCTTAACACTTTGCAGTCCGAAGCGTTGGCCCCTTGCTCTTTTTGGCCTTGAGCCTTGAGGCATTGATTCTGCTAATCAGAGAGAGCATTATCACCGGCGGCTCCTGTTGCTGCAGACTTAATTGCAGGACAGCAGCTAACACCTCACTCTTCAAGCGAAAAGGGCAGAGTAGAAAGGGCACGAAAACAGATTGTAGCTTCTGAGCCAGGCCTTTACACGCAAATTTCTTGCGCAGCAGAGCAAGCTGATAGTTACCATGGGGAAAAGGCTGTCCAACGTATCCTATCTATTATCTCTACGTATTGGGAAGCTCAAAATATGTAACAGGGATACAAGCGGATGCGCGAGGAAATCGCTTGTGCTGTTGTGGCAGAAAAATGCAAGGAGCGCTGTTTGGATGCAGGGGCAATGCAGATGCCTGGTAAATGTCGCTTGTTCCTAGCCAGTCCCATTTCCATTTCCTGTACCTAAGTAATCTGACGAGGCGCACAGGAAGAATTGATGCTAGTGCACGCTTAGGTGTACAAATACATGGCGAGGAACTGAGACACCTCGAGAGCTGCCCGTGTTTCGTACTATTAGTTTCCTTGGCCATCGGGCTTGTTTCGCTGGTTTCGAGGTACCCTTTCCTAGATCACTTTTCAAGTATATAACTGTCCAAAACAAAGCGGCTGTAAAGCATAAAACGGCAACCAAGGGTTGTTCAAAGGTGCTCCTCTCACCGAAAAGGCGGATATGACAAGGTGACTTCCCGTGCAGCTGCCGCTAGTGCATCTAAAGTTTTTTCGCTGACGCAAATATAGATCAATTGCTTTACCACGAATATGTAGAAGTACAGGCATACATTTTCTATCAGTTCAGAAGAATAAGTCCTCTGACCCGAGGGCAACACTATACATCTTAGCAGCCTTCTACAGCAGGGATCCATCGTAGGGTCCTGTTGAAGCCCTTAGGGGGCTCCGGGGGCCTACCGCGGGTTTTTCCTCTCTTTAATTTCTCCACTTAGGTTTCAAACACTCTGTTTCAAATAATTTGACGGCTAGATTTGCCATCGAGTCTCTGTTGCCCCTGTCTTCCAGACTTGTGCTGCAAATCGTGCAGACAGCGCCGCACAGCCACGCACATTAACCGCCTTGTAATATTGATCTTATACAGAGCTCTTCACCATTTTATGATGCTGTTGGTACATTCTGATTTGGGCACACTTCATAGACTGACGCTAAACGCCGCTCGTCCTCTCGTAAACACCTGCCTTCATGCGTTCCCATCGTGGAGCCCCCTTCTAGAATCTCCCTATTGCTCTTTATTATTTTATGTTTTCTATGATAGTGCATGCTCTTTTGAGCTATGCAATAGCTCGCCTACTGGGTAAAGAGACAGGGCAGTAAACGGAATGGAAAGCAATCAGGAACACGAACATCTGACAGTAGAAATAATCCGTGGAGTGACTCAACAGGAGACTAATGAAGCACAGAAAGGGGATCTTTTCGCACCCTAAAAGCTGTACCAGCAACTTAGCTCACCGCCAAAGAACTGAAAAAGCGCTTGTTCCTAAACAGCACACTGCCACTACACCAATTGTCCCCTCAGGTGCTTGCCATATAAACCCCTACAGGTAACAACCTCTGAGGCCTTTTAAAAGACATTTCAGAGCCTGTACTAAAGGGCTTTTTACGCTGGGACATAGGGCTTTCTGAGATGGCATCGAACCCAGTCCTGGGAGACACTACCCCTCGGCGGCTCGGCCTTAGTGCCTTTATGCGGCAGCGACTAGGTCCCTGTTTTCCCGTTCACATGAGCGCATGCCTTCCTTTCCTTAAAAAGTCCAAGCAGCACCTTGCAACTCCTGAGCCGGATCAGTTGCATGTAGTTCCTCCGCGCACCACAGGAGACGCCGCAACAGAGGGCGAAGGGAGACTCAATCCTTCCATCTGCCAAAACGCACCTGTGGCAGCACAAACACCTATCAACCCAAGTGTGCATCAAGAAACAAAAATATCTGAGATATCTGCTGCAAAAGCAGGGAAGGAAGCAGCTGGTAGAGGCATCCAAAGCACCCACTCGTCACCCACTGTTATTCCTGCTTCAGCTACATTGCCGGATATATCCTTGGACGCTTCGCATCAGCAGGCCATTACTGAGGAGCAAATGCAGCTACAGCTGCGTGAACTGCAGCGGTCTATTGCCAAATGGTCGGCCAAACTCGTTGCAGCTCAAGCAGCAGCAGCAGCAGAACTGCAGCAGCTACTTAGAAGAGCAGAAGTTGCCGCGCTGCTTCAGGAACAAGATACAGCAACATGCAAATAGATAAGCGCTACCATAGCAATATCGGGCATAGCTGGGGTTTCTAGGGATGGCTCAATGTCTAGAATGAAGATTTGTTTCTGGAAACCAGCTGGTTCGTAGCCGTGACCCACACGGTCCATGCTAAGGTGTCCGGTATCTAGCAAGCTCAGCATTTTCCCCAGAATTTCGTGCACAGTTTTCATCTGTAGAATTCATTGAAACTCGAATTTGATAACCGAAATAAGCGCATTAGTTTGAAATGGTGCCATTTGTTTTCGTGCCGTGGTTTTTATGCATTGCTTTCTGCTTGAGGTTGAGGGACATGGAGCCCGGAACGTATGGGTCAGATAGTCTAAGTTTGGGCTGTGCACACACTATTCAGCTACCATGCAAGTCTCCAAAGGCCTTGACGGGCAGAAACAAAGAGCGAGTTCACTTTTTTGCAGCTCGGCAGCCAAAGTGTTTATGTTAAGTGAGGATACCTAGCAGCAATTGCGGGGTGCCTTCATTGGGTTATTTGGTCCTACTACGTGGATTAAATGCTTTAGAGTATACTATAGTCTCTAGCACTTGCTTTGGCTATAGCAGATCGCCCTTTGCCTGCACGAACAGTTTGTTCTTAGCTGAAACAAGCACACTGGTGGGGCGAACGTCAAGTGGCGCAGCGAGCACCTATTTGATTACAAAGCTGGATTCAGTGTTCCTTGCCTATACTTAATTCCAAAAACAAACTCTAAAGGAAATCTACAAGAAGCAGATACTACTAGCGAACCCCCGTTTTCTGCACGATGCCTCGCATGATGTAGGGGTAGGAAAGAGGTTTTAAGCCTGATGCATTTAGCCGACAGGCGGACCATGTAGCTGCCTTGAAATGAAAGAAGCATCATCGTACTGCAGCGGCGAACAGCTTCACCAGCTAAAAATTGTGAAACCTGACAAAATCCGACTCATTCTTGCAACAACGAACACGTGTTCTGGGCTTTCTGATTCGAAGCCGTTTTTCATTAGACATTACGAGGAGCATGATGTGGTGCTGCATGCCTTTTCTTAATCGCGGCTGTGATTGTTCTCATTATATGCTCTACCAGTTCCACTGATCCGTAGCCTAGTGTGCACAACGATATTATGTGCATCCCTTTGTGTGCAAATTGCCCCTGTGCTGCATTATACAGTAGCCCCAGAGTGACCGTGGGCTAAGTCGACTACAGTTGAAAGGTCTTCTGCTATTGAAGGATAGCCCAGGAAGCAAGAGGTCCCACCTTGTTGGCTTTCCTGCAATGCCTGCTAGCCCCACTTTTCTACTTGTTGTGCGCAGTCAGTCTACATCTGTCCGAGTTGTAGCATGAACAACACTACTCGCAGCCACCAATACGATAATTGCGATGCCGAGAGGCCTCAAGAGCCCGTTAAGCAGTGTTCTTGTTCCATAATATTGTGCGGGTCTACCTAGAAATCAAGAAAAATGTACCGTTGGCAATCTTCCTTTCATCTGCATCTTTGCCAGTTCTTTTGCAATGATTTGCTTTTTTCCTTCAATACAGGCACGTAGAAGCAATTAGAAGGCATGAGCGCTAATAGGGATGACAGAGAACGTTAAGCTAACCATCTTGTACCCTGAGCCAATGAGCGGCAGGTGACCAACTGAACTCTCTGTGGATGAAAGATGGTTTGATCTGTTGAGCAGATAAAATACCAAGTTCGTGAATTAGGCAAAACGACAAAATTTTTATTGCAGGTTTAACACGCTCTTTTCTTTTCGGTGTGCTGCTACTATGCCCGGCCCGACAGAGAGAACCACTGGTCTTTTGCGCATTGTTTGTCCGCTGCTCATTGGGGAGAATTGCTTCATTTGTTCCTTTGCATTCAAGTGATCAAATGTTATGAAATAGTAATGACATGCCTATGTATGCACAAAGGAAGCCCGATGATCTGCTAAGGGTCTGGAATAACCCCTAGCGTAGCGGCATTTTCCTTGCAAGAGGTTTCCGCAAGGGTTAATCTGATGAAAAAGCTAATTTGTGAGCCAAATGTCTTTCTTGCACCCGATATACATACGGCTTTCGGAGTAATGCAGCAGTATGGTTTTTCAGCAGAGCGTTTTCTTCGTTAGGGGACCACTTAACACATCCCATCAAGCAAGAAAACTAGCGGGGCAGCAAATAGGCTGAAAAGCGCTCCAAGTAGCTACCTTCCTGTCAGGATCACCTTCGCCATTATGTCGGGGTGGCTGTTCACGCCGCAGACGCATGAAGATACGCAGCAGGAAACCGATCTCAATGAAGACGCAGAAACAAGCATCCAGCCACGGCTTGCGGCAACAAGGAGCAGTAGAGAGCAGGATGCCAAGATAAACTTCACGAGGGGCGAGTGTCACTTGTCCAAATCCACCGCTTGTTTGCCATCGCAGCCATCTGTGTGTAATTTGGTCCGCAGTGCCGCCATGCAAGGTTGTGAGGCGAGCCACCAAGTGGAAGTGGAGGACACGCAGCCAGAAGGATCCAGAAATGCCCAGGAAATACCTGAGCAGCTGGACGAAAAAGCAAGGGAGGAAATGTCTAACGGGCTATCTGAAAAATGTTTGCCGTTACGGGGGCTATTTGTTGAGCTCGTGGCAATTGTCTCATGCTACAGACAGTTGCTTAGAACAGCCGCTTCCTTCTGTTTGCCTCTCCTGATTTTCGTTGGTTGGAGCGCTGAAGACGACCGTTCGCGGTGTCTTTACGTTATTTTAGTAATGGTCCTGTGTTGGCTCTCAAATTGCATGGATGCGTACACCGTGGCTCTGTTGCCGTTTGTATTGTTCCCCGTCCTTCATGTGGCACCTGTGGGTGACGTGGCATCTTCTTACATGAACTCCGTCAGTTTCCTTATTTTCGGTGCCAGTATGATGGCTGCTGCCTTGAGACGAGTCAAGCTGGACGTAGCCACAGCCAACTGGCTCTGCCGCATCTCCCCAAAACACCCGGAGGACCTTGCCCTGTGTCTCATGGCAACATGCTTTGCTATCTCCACTTGCCTGAGCAACACTGGAACAATGCTCATATTTTGCCCAATCATCGATTTGATGGTCCAGGGGCTGCATCCTGAGCCTATAGGAAGCGAACCTGCTCGAATCGATTCGAGGGAATCCAGGAACTCGCATCACTCCTTCACAGCTAGCCTGTCTAAGTCGGGCCCTTTGGACCACCCCGCCGGTAGTGACGGTCATTTCTTCTACCAAGAAGAACCTCCACTGTTGCCTTTATCCCACAGAGAGAGAAGTTTTGCAAATGCTGGTGACATGTTGAACTACTTACATGCTTCGGAAGGCCAAGGGACACAAGGAGAAGCTGCAGCGAGAGTCTGTTCTATTCCGGTGAGCCTAGACAAAAACGGCTTGAAGCCTACTTTGCCTAGGCCCTCTTGCGTACCTTCTTCAACGACAGAGTCTATAGTGGAGCAGAACGACGTGCTAGATCGGATCGCCGCAAAGATACAGCGCGAGTCGCCGGACCTCAGCTGCATTCGCAGGCTTCTTTTCATAGGTTGCGCCTACGCTGCTACACTTGGAGGCTCCGTCACCGTTACCGGCGCAACTAGCAATGCTATCTTCTTGGCTGTCCTCGACGCCATGTATGCCACAATGCCTGGCGGCTCAGCAACCAACCCGGTAACATATACCACGTGGCTCTTGGTGTCCCTGCCGTTGGGGGTGGTGCAGCTCTTGTTGGTCTGGCTATCACTATGCGCCCTCTGGATGGGACCTAGAGCAACGGGGCGTTCTATCACAAGGATCGCCGGTTCGTGTCTAAAGCTCTTGCAGATCTGCCGCTGCAAAAGGCGCGGTAAAAAAGCAACTCGCCAAGCAGCAGTGCATGCAAGTGAGGGTGGCTCAGATGCTCACAATGTCGTAAGGCCCTCCTTCGCCGAAGCGCCGGGACCCCAGGCAGAAGCTACTAAACGGGCTCGTGCGTCAGACGGCTTGAGGCACTGCGCTGAGCTGTACTGGGCCAGAGTATACGTAGTAGTGGCGTGGTTACTGCTTGTATGTCTGTGGCTGTCACGAAGAACAATTTTGGCGGCAGTGCCCGGCTGGGGAGCCAAATGGGAAGGCTCCATCGATGACTCTTGGCCTGCGGTGTTGGTTCCCATGTGCCTCGGGTTCGCTCCACTATATCCCAGACGATCTGCGCCTTCATTCGCAAGAGCGGTATGCCACGAGCCCTGCTAGCGCTGCTGCGATAAGCTTCAAGCGGCTCGGTCACCCGACCAACATGCTAAAACAAACCTGACACCTGAAAGAACCCAGGAGGTAGCTGTAGCTCATCCAGAGGGTGCAAGGGTGCGTGTTAGCCTTGGTGGCTAGGGACTGTGTTTTCCTCCTTGTTTGTCCTGCTTGATTTCTATTTGTACGCTGTCACTTACCTCGCTTTGCACAGGCATCGGCAGCTATGCGCTGGAGAAATAGGAGGCGCAGACGCCGGCGACTGCTCTGTGGAGGTGGCGCGGCTCCCACGGAAACCCATGCCGACTGTAGTGGGAGCGGCCATCGGCAAGACAGGTTTGAGGGCATTTTGACCTTTGCCTTGGTGGAGAAGGAAATGGATTGGGGCTTACTGTTCCTGTTGGGAAGTGGTTTTGTTGTTGCTTCTGTCTCTCATGCTTGCGGCCTCGACAAGGTGATGATAGAGAACATGGACTTCTTGACACGGCAGAGCAAGGCCGGTCAGGTCGCATGCATCATGGCTATGGCCGGCCTAGTCACCCAAGTCACTAGCAATACGGCAACTGCCAGCATTCTCATGCCGCTCCTCTCTACTGCTGCGAAGGGACTTCCAGGAAATCCTCTGCTCTTGATGCTCGCTGCCAATGTAAACCCAGTCGCACGACCTCACAACAGCTAATGATTGTTTATTAGGAAGATGGCTTCTATAGGAAACACCACAGCAGAATAACTAAAGTATTTTACACCGTTGGCGTCAAAGCATTCCACGTAATCCCGGTCATTCTCTTGCATACGCACCGCCCCGAAATTATCACCCCAATGTAGCAACGCCAAAGTGCCATGCCTCTCTTTGCTATATCTCTGATTCATGCAATTAGCATGTTCCTGCTCCTGCGGTTTTCCTTGTATGCTTCGCAGTTTGCAACGACACTTGGTTTCCTTCTCCCGGTTAGTACGGCGTCCAATGCGGTCATAGTGCGGTTCACGCGCATCAGGACTTGGCAATTCTTTCTCAGCGGCCTGCTGCCGCTAGCGCTTTGCCTGGGGGTTGCCTATGTTGCGACTTTTACTTGGGTCGCTGCTGTCTTCGGGCTCATTGAGCCTTACCCCAACGGAAAGCAAGTGCAGCAATAGCACATTAGTTTCTTTGCTTTAGGTTGTTTTATAATATGCGCACACGAGTCGCTTGGTCTGTTATGCCGGCACTTTGCAATAACTATTTGGTTAGTAGTCCACATTGCTTTTTTATACTCTGAACAGAGGTCATAAACTCGCCGCATTCGCATGTGATACGTTCATTGACGGGACAACTCCTTTTTCTTCGGACAAAGGGAAGTATAAGAATGGTTGCATTCTGAGGAGAGACCGGATAAGTCGAATATAGATGCGAACTGCAGAACAGCGCAACTCCGATGTGCATCTATATGCATTTAGAGACCTAGCAGGCTGATTGAGGGAGCTGCGCTCTGGACAAACTAGGATCGAGGTAGCCAAATTGAAGTACAAAACTTATCAGATACAGTTTTTCCAAAGGAAATTAGACATAAAATTGCGGCTCCGGATTTCGATGCCCACTAGTTGTTACTGTTGGCATACAAAGTTCACCATTTTCGGCCTAGCTAGGTGGCTGTAGTGGCTTCTGCACGTGCAAAGAATGCATCAATGTCTGAGTTATGGAAAAGACCGCCCCACAAGGTACTCGGGTATCCGTTCACCTTTAACACAAAACCTTTTTCGTTTTCACTGCCGCTACTACAACGGTGCGCACCATCTGCAAACAAGAGATGTCTCGCCTAGCTTTCTAGGGTGGCTAGCAGTCAATGCGCATGATGCCCCAGAAAAGCTATATTTGTTGACTGGTTCAAATCCTGTTAATCCGTTCATCTTGTAGCATGCCACCTAGTTGCATCTTTAGAATCGCTGTGTGTATAGGGACCGCTACAGCCGTCTGGTGCAACAGGAAATATAAGATTACGCGCGTGACACGAATGTTAGCGTCCAGCTTACACTAGACTTTGTCAACAATCCGATATTTTCAGCGTACTGAAACAGCGATGGGAAGCGTAACTTGACGAGGAAGGGGAACATTGCTCCACTGCTATCCCCGCATCAACGCGTTTTCCTCTCGGCATGCAAACAAACTACAAGGCAGCGAAAAGTGAAAAACAGAAAGCAGGGTATCAAAAAGGGAAGGATGCAGGGGCCAACACAAAAATGCGAGATGTGCACTAGCACCACAAATAAACGATATGCTAAAAGAGACTCATGAAGAACAATGAAACGGATGAAGGGGGAGGCAGATATGAACCAATGCCGAGGCCCTCGAACAGGGAAAACTCTGCACGATTTCGCTTTGCTTACAGTCAATGTTACACTGCAACCCTCAAAGTAGCAGGCACTGCGTTGGGAATCCTGGATTTAGGCTAGCACGTAAGGCTCTGCAAACGTCCGAGAAAGCGGCGCCGTTTTCGCGCCATAATCTTTTGGAGTCGGAAACAGCGATATTCATCTTATCTCCTGCCTTCGCTTGCATAAGGTCAATAACTGGTCCAAAACCTCTCTCACCAATCCTCTGTCTCTTGTCCTTTGAAGGCGTACGTGCCTGTGAGTTGAGGCTTCCGTTCCCACTTTTCCTTCGTGTACATGCTTTTCGTTTCCCGCTGCTTTCTGTCCTTCACCTTTTCTAACATTGTGAAGGGCAACACGTCATTCCTTTTGCTCTGATCCATATCGTTCTGCAAGCGATTTCAGGCGACTATCATACCAATCGTAGAGTCGCTTGAAGGGCCCGGGGCTTTCAGGGGCCTGCAGCTCTGCCTCTGCATTTTCAATGTCACCTGTAAATCTCCCTCTATTCTTCTCCTGAACCTCGCGAAAAACAGTCATCTCGGTATTGTAGATGCCCATGCTGTTGTTCAGCTTCCGCTGCAGCTTGAGTTCCTCTTCCCTTTTCTTCTTATCTTTCTGCTTTGTATCAAACTTTGGCACCGTGTCAATAAACTCCTTGATGTTTGGGTCAAAGCGATATTCTTCAGCGGTGAGAAGAGAAGTGTCCAGTTCTATTCCATCCTCGTCTTTCGTTTGTATAATGTGACCACTGAGCTGCTCACCGATGCCTTCAGCACCGCTCGGTTTGGGATCCACAGTATCCGGAGCCGTGTTCTTTAATGGCTGTTCCACTGTCATATCAACATCTCGATCCTCAAGGTCCTCTAAGCTGTCCACAAGGTCGATATCCCCTCCTAAATCTGCCACCTCAACCCCCACTTCTTTACTCGTCTCCTCCTCTAGCTCATCGCCATCGTCAACATCAAACTGTTCGGAGTAATCTGTGGTTTCCTGGTCATATAAGTTCTTCTGTTTCTCCTGCTCCCTCGCTGCGAGTTCAGTAGCAGATGGTGTAGCAACAAAATCTTCATTGAGGTCTAGATCCGCCTCATCCACCTCTGGCAAACCCTCTCTTTCATCCCAACTGGCTGCAACAGAGACGGGCCCCACTTGAGACGTAGAAAGAGTCGCGACAGCCAAGCAAATCAAAGCCATACACCTAGACAGACACATTTCCCTTGATAGTATGGTAAAACACTCATTGAGCTCGTCAGACCAGGATATTACATAACCTAGCACTCGACAGGTAGCCAGGAATTTTTCGCCTAGCAGCTGAAACCGCCAGAGCTTTTGTGAAAGCAGAGAAGGCAGGTGTGGGAAACGCATGCACTATGCTGAAAATGCTTCTACTGAGGGCTGAGGAGCCAAAATGGGATGGTTCAAGACCGCGCTAGTTGCAAGTGTAGGTGAGAAGCCATCCGAGATCGATGATGACACAGCTGCAGTGTCGCTGAACCACCGAAAAATAATGAGCATTAAAACAATACCAAAGCAAGAAAAAACTCCAACACTTTTTGTAATACCAGGTTTGGGGCTGTTTCACCGTGGTTCCTCATGCAAGCCAGTTTGCCGTTTCCCCAACGTCGAAAAGCAGATTATGCCATGGGATCATAACACCCACAGCAGCAGAATGAACGCTATCCCTCCCATGCTGCTTACGAGTGGGCTAATATACATATGTCACTAAGTTGAGGCATTATAAGGCCTTGGAAACGCCCACTATAGCCCAGCCTGCCCTCCCCTCTCTTTAGTAACTCGATACATTGGTAGCTTTTGTAGCAGTCCACCACATGTTCAAGGCGAAGTAATGCTTCCAATCACTGTAAAGGGTTATATAGAAAAACAACAATTAATTGCTATTCGTAGACTACTACCTACAGTAAACGAGCCACTTTTTATGCACAACCATTAACGTCTGCTACGCGTGGGCGGCTGTCCATTTCCGCAGCTACAAATACGCCATTTTTTCTGCATGGCCAAATGCAAACGCGCGCAAGGAGCCCTTTCACATTAGATCATTGAGGATCCCTTACTCACAGAGTGTATTAGGCAGGGGTTGTTTAATCAAAGCCAGTTACGCCCGAGTTCCTGAGAGTGTAGCTCTATAATGCACAGCCACACTATTGGTTGGGCGTGACGAAGGTGTGAATATGACGCCTTATTCATGCCTTGTTGCCGCAAGCTATGATGCTATGCTCAATATGGGGTGCTTGCCCGCGTCCGAGCTATCTTGTCAGGTAAGCCGATAAAGCCGGCAAAAGGAGCGTTTTGGCCACTTCCTCCAGAAGAAAAAACATAAGATTCGAATGAATTCGAGCTATTCATACAAGCAGCGATCGGCTTTTCCCCTAGTTAGTGAGTAAATATCTCAGCTAAACTTGTCTGTGTAGTAGATCTGGCTCGACGGATACTGCGGGAACAAGAGCAACAAGCGTTTCTGCTCCTTCTCACATCACTTTCTGAGATCTGATTCCCATGGCCTACCACCATAATTCGGAGTCGCTGTTGCACCTAATAGGCACGTGATCAGGAGTCGCTGAACAGAACTAAGCATTGCACAGGCTAGAGATTCAGAGTAAACGGCTTTAGGGTGAACCCTTTTACTCGTTGAAGAATGCTGGCTGGGTCTGAGTTAGTGAGTCCTCTTAAAGCTTTATTAAAACGTGCTTTGGCCTGACGATGCTTACCTGATTTGTGTCCATCCTACAGCCCTTCCGTAACGCTCCATCTGAGGTTTCCGTAAGAAGGCATGGATCACCACACAACGAAAAGATAATGGAAAGTTGTTTGTTGTCTTCTTCAAACCTTCCCGCTATCGTTTGCCCACTCGCCTTCGACCATCCATCTTGAGAGAGAGACAAACAGCTAGGGTGCGCGTAGATGTACCCTCTAAGCATTCTGAACATTCACAGCTAGGTGCACAGAGCATCTAGCGAAGCACAGCATCTTCTTGTTCGAGCTAGCATTACGTCACAGTAAACAAGGCATCCTGACAAACAAGCCAACAAGTCACTTTCTTGCCAGTTTAAGTAGAGCGTAGCTAATGTAGCAGAAAACGTTTGAGTGCAGACTAGCGCGCTACATTATCGCATCCCATATCAAGCACATGCCCTTGTGGCTTGCACTTCGCCTTTGGGATCAGCTGCATGCACGACAGCAAAAGACTATTCGCCCTACCGCCACTTTCCACGCAGGCCAAAACTCCGAGGCGCTGCATATGAGAAAATCAAGATATGCAGCAACCGCTAGTTCCAAATAGCTCGGGGGAAAAGATCGACACATTAGCCAACTTGAACGAGGGACCCAACCAACAGGACCAAGGCGGTGGGATGGGTCACTGTCGCCAAACCGCTGAAATGTCCGTGCCGCCTGCTTATAAAGACAAAAACCAAGTGAGCTAAGTAGAAGGAACCAAGAATACACGCTAGTTTAGCACTGCCTCTGTGCCCCATAGAACGGCACCTGGATGCAAAAACAGCAGGCGCGTGCTGCATAGTCAACAACTAAGCCCCAAAGGTGCATAAGTAAGAATGCACGGACAGCCACTCTCAAGTGTACCTGTTCATAAGCCTGAATGTGGAGTATATCCGTTCCAAGCAAGACCCACAGTTAAGGCAAACATGTGCTGGGAACGGACAGGCATCAAAACTCTCAAGGATTTCGTCCATGACGACTAGTGTTGTTACTCAAACGAGCCGCACAATCCCGCAAGCATGGAAGCCTGCACCTGCTCTTCTGTCTAAAAGTGATTTGGCACTCCGTACCCCATTACACTAAAAAGGTTTGTTCAGTGTCTTTGAGATCCTGAAATCTTGCACTTCTGCAGCCGCCTCTGGATCGTCTGCCTCCACATGGGTCAAAGAAAACAGAGCCAATAGCTCAGAGAGTTTGAGACTTTCTCTTAGAGCCAATGATGATAGTTCTGTGACGCAGAAAAGGGATAGGGTAAGAAAGGCCACTGATTTGTGAGAGGATGACACATGGTCCTAGCCATCTGGTAACCGAAAATGCTCCTCTTGTAACCTTGTAGTGTGCCTCATAAGGCCTAACATTACACTAAAACAACAGACCAGCGTCGGGAAGCACAGCCTGCCGCCGCTTATCATAATTCCGTGATTATCCCGCTAAGGAGTTGGATCCGTATCTTTAATGATACTCCTTCGTACGCTCTAATGATACTGCACTGCAAAGCTTCTAGACATGGGTTAAGCTTTAAAAAAGCAACTTTCTGCGGCGTCACAGAGCTGGGGCCAGGGATGAAGTGGGCATAACTGCTGAATATGTTTGCCATGGAGATGTTATCTTGATCGTCGACCTCTGGGAGTCCAGCAAGAGAAGTCGTGGTGGGAGTAGAAAAATCCCTTCAAAGCTCAAAACGTTTTGTGAAAGACTCAGTTAAGAAGACTCTTGCAGCTTTAGCTACAGACAATCTGGGCATGACAAAGCATACTCTTCTGCCACAGGACGCACCCTAGGTCACAAGAAGGAACATGAGAGCTGTCCACTGTAGTGCGGATCCTACCATGGGCCAAAATAACATGATCACGTGCTTTGCACAAAACATCACTGCAGATTGGAGTTGAAGTTTCACATGTGATGGCGTCCCCACTTTGGGTTACAGTGCAGGTCATCTCTGCATCGTGCTAGTGCTTCACCCTTTGGCCCTTTTGGATTTTGGTGATGAAGTCGCGAGCAATGAACTGAAAGGCATACGAAGCATCCAAATTTTTGTAGTATCAGTTAGCCAGCACAGACAATGGCGGTTTCGTTGCACAAACAGTGAGTCGCTGGGGCATCGCGAGAGCGCATCGGCGACCCCTTGGATTTAGCGAAAAACTCTGGGGTTATCAGAGTCCTTAACTTCTCCGTGAAGCACATCGAAGAGTATACTGGAGGCTTAAGATCGGTCTTAATACTAAGAAGATACCCACAAAAATGATGCTGCTTTTTCTACACGCCCCACCACACCGCAAAGAGAACCTGTTCTCTCGTTACATACCGTTACTCAGCTTCGGAGAAGCGATGAGAACGGCAAGCAAGCGACTGGCTCTCTAGGACCCCCGCAGCGTACTAGTAGATAACAGCACCCTCTACTACATCAATAGTCTCAGCACGGGCGTGCTTCGCTCGCCGATAAGTTTGCATCCGTTGGAGCCCTTCCTGTTTCAGGTTCTTTGCCTTCTTGCATGCGCTGGCAGCTCTGCATTATATTACCCTGTTTCACACAATTATAGCGAATGCGTTGTTGTAGGACTCTCTGTGGCTAGTTAGGAGTGCAGGTGCCCCTTGGCGTTCTCGTTTACCGTAAGCTGTAGGCCAAGGCCGGTTGACACCGCGCCGACATACACAGCTTTCCCTCAACTACCAACTTTGAGTTTTTCTTTCACACATCGACACAGGATTTGTTGCACTTGCTCCGCAAACCTCGAGAAACCCATCATTTATGAAAGCCCCAATGGTCAGCTGTTTTTATCAATGATTTGCTGCCCACCATGAGACCATCTGACGTGATACTCAAGACAGACCTCAGATGAATCACTAGTATAGAAGCTCTTCATCTACGTTGTGGCTGTTGTGAACCAAAGTTCCATGCTTCTTCATACACAGAGCTCATGATAGGCTTCTGCGCTTAAGTAACCTTAATTAGATCGAAGCTTGGTGTTAAGCTGAACTCGGGGAAAACGGTGCGTCACGGCTTGTATGAAGGGATGAACTGTGGTAATCCCTAGAGGCAGGCTATTTCCCCTACTCGAATAAAGTAGCTGCTTGAGTGTTTCCTTAGACATGCCGCATAGAAAAATCAAAGCATAAAGCGCGGTACATCCCCAAATAGTTTGTGGAATCCTCGAATACTTGCCTATCCTTTCACGCATTTTTCCGCATGTGCAATCGTATAAAACATAAATAGATTCCACCGGCAGATGTTTTGTGCCTTTCGACTAGCTGTAAAGCTAGTGCGTTCACATCAGCTTGCAGACCATCCCCCTCCACCTCACAGGCTTTGTGCCACAATCAACTTCCATCGTCAGAGGGCTCTTCTTTCACACTGTTGCCCACGAAAGTCAGATTACTGTACTACCAACTAGCTTGATCAGAGCTAGACGACTGTTGTGTGGAAGCCTGACATCCCACTGCACCCACAACCAGTAGCCGAGCAGGGAACAGCTACATCGAAGCAAGAGATGCTACAGACTGTTAGCGTTCCACCTATGGTTTCCGTGAGAAAACATCCAATCGTAACTCGATGTTACTTGACAATGCGTTTCTGGAAGCTTTGTAAACGAGCTTCCACCCTTGCCTACCCGCTCCATGCAGAGTTCTAAAAGGAGGGGAGAGGGCCAACCAGGCACACAGCGCAGATGCACACACCATTGCGTCCTTGTATGAAGCTAACAACACGGTGCGACATAAATGCACGAACGCATACATAAAGTAGTTGATTGTTTGCTGGTTCTATGAGAAACAAGACTAGTGTAGCAGAAGGTATCAAAGTTTTAGCTGTGCCCGCTACACCTTCACCCTAGCGAAGCTGCAGCCTCTAAACATCTAGAGCATTTACAGCTAGTAGTCAATAGCGTATGGGAGTTCGTGTACATAACCATGTGCCCTATTGTTTCGGACTAACACCACTCTTCAACAAGCAAGTTATACAAGCAGGCAAATCACGAATTTATTTTATCTTGCAAATTCTTAGCATAGTTAGTAGTGTAGAATGTTGCCAAGTGTGGTTTAGCTCGCTACAGCTTCAGTGGCACTCTCGGCGGTTTTGGAGGGTAACAGCGTAGTATTAGCCCTTCGACAGGTTCATGCAGACGCACTCTGTTGGATTTTTCGATAGATTTTCAGGCTCGTCATCTACGACTAGGACGGACATTGGCTTTCATTGATGGGAATCCTTCGGTGAGTGACAGCTTTGTGCCACCATTAACCTTACTTCGCCAAAACTAAATACTACGTTTTACTCTTAAAAAACACATCGTTTCTCCTATCCCTTTATTCCGTTTCAGAAAAGGGAGGACCAGCCAAACATTGGCGCGAAACTACATACCAGCTACATGTTTAGGGGCTCGGGCTGGTGTTGACGACCCACGGTCGTAGCAATATGAAAGCAACAGACATTGTACGAGATACGAAGGTATGGCAACAGGTGTGGTAATGGGCTGATTTTCTGGGGGAGAAGTCAAACAGAGATGCATGGGAGCAGAGTCTAGATGAAATGCGTAATCAGATGCTGCGAGAACCCGCGAGAGGAAGAAAGTTTTCTTGTGCTTATTGTGAACGAGTCTCTGAGACGTGGACAACTGGAATGCATTGGAACGCTACGCTTTGAGCTATGCAGACCTTGCTTGCAAAGCAAGTCGCCTTTGATGAGCTTTTTTCTTGGTGGGGCTCCGGCACCACCTGAAAGGCCGAAGGCGCCAGGCGAGTTCCTCAGCGAGTACTTTTCTGTGACAAGCATCCCTTTTATTGGTTACTGGCTTTTATATTCTACATTTTTAAAGGCATTGGTTTCTATAGTAAGAATGCCACATGCGCACCTCAGATGATGAGTAAGCTGAACGCAGCAAGGAACGTTGCCAAAAATCCCAAAGCCTACTACTTCAGGGGCTCGTATTTGGCTGTTAGCCAGAAATCCGAGTGTTTGCTGGACTGGGTTGGTGACAGGGTTTGAGCTAAATGTTTCCGTAGAATTATGAGCTATTCCTGAGAACAGTAGTTTTCAAGGTACAGCTGGTTCCAGCGGAGCGGCACCACGCCCTGCAGGTCTTTACTCGGTCGACGATCCTTACAGCTTATTAGCACTTTATGCAAACGTGGGAGCCTAAGCACAGGGAAACCTAGGCAAGCTTTTTTGTTGAAAATAGGTGGGAGCAGGCAGTTAGGGAAGCGTTCAAGTAAATCCTCAACACAAAAAACGCCGAACAAACAGGGAGTTGCAACGTGTTTCTTTTGGCACTGATTAAACGGTGCTACAAAAAATGCAGTTGTTGTACCCATGGTTGCTGGTGGTAGAGATGCACCTATCTCTTTGCATTGCCCCCACCGTTGGTCTATGACCATAATCTCCTTGCCGAAAAGGGGCTATGGGTAGTCTCATCGCTTTCGTCTATGAAGCAGCGAAGAAGAGGAATGCCCATTCAATTCTGTAGCGACGGAAGTATTAAGTGTCTAGGATGCAATGTCTAATGATGGGAACGGGGCTGGAAGGAAGAATGCAACTGCCTTGGTGGTACCAAAGAACACACGTCTCTCTGTGCTGCACTTCTCAACCACTCCACAAACAAAGCCTCATCTAATGAGCGACCATCGGCCACAAATATCTCCTAATGCAGCTAGTAAAACATGAGCATACCCCTAGTACACGCGTGCACTATACGTACAGCCATGCGCTCTTTTCTTCAAGCTTTACTGCTGCATCATTACGAGCCAAGAGTGTAGACACGACGGCGGGGAGGAGGAGGGGACACAGGGGAATCGGTGTAAAGCCAGAGGGAAATGGCTTGCGGCGAAAGAAATAGACTGTGTTTCACTAAAAGCAGCGAAGGTCCTGACAGCTGCTGTCATGCGCATGCCTCAGCCCCTCACAACTGAAAGAATCTTCCTCTCGTCTGCAGATGATTATTTCGTACGCTGCCTAGAACATGATAGCCCCAAAAATACTAGTGTATAAAATTCAAGAAGGAACAACGGGGGCACGTAAACTATTGGGTAAAATACTTGGCTTGGGAACATGGAAGAACAGGTGTGAATGAATTTTTCTCTATTACCCCAGGCCACTGTGGGGCATTAGTATTACAGCTGCATGCCCGAAAATCGTACGATAGGAAAATTGATTGGATTTCGTATCTGTCTAGCTGGGCTCCGTTGGGCCCCGATATCGCTCTGCGCTTTCGTACTCAATACCAAACGTTTAACGGAAGAACGCAGTGAAGGCAATCACAATTAACTAGTAAAAACTAATGCCAAACGCAGCAAGGTTTGGGTGGGGAAGCTTGTTTCTAGAAATGTGTCCCCCCAAGCAGAGCGCAATCTGTACCGAAAGCGTTTGTTATGTATGTTAGCTTGAGCAAGTAGACATGGGCAGCTATTGGGGATGTTTTCACCCACAGGTGAGAAGATGTGCTCGTATCGCAGCGATTAAAGCGCTCTACAAGATTCTGTGACAGCGCTTCGTGCAGTTGACTAGAGCGTGTCTGTGCCCTGTCAACGGGAGCGGATCTGATTCATCTCCCCAAATGTGTGAAACTAGTCATTGGATATTTTGCATCCAGGACTTTGAGACATTGGATAGCATTTGTTTTATAAGTGTGTTGCATGCGTACTAGGTATAATGCATACATGGCATAGAAATGCCGCAGTTAGTTACTTGCGCAGATACGTGCTGCACTGGTGATGAGCTCTATTCTGCTACGTACGAAAAGTTTAGGCCTGTCTATAGAAACTCCTGTCTTGGGCTTAACTTGAAAAAAACTGGTAATCCGACTTTGTTTAGCCGCGGGGGCGTCTTTTGCTTGCTCATCTTCATCCTCGACTTCCTCATACCTGGTGGAAAAAGCAGCGTCTAGCGCGTAAAATGAGTAGAAAAAACAAGCTACGGATAGGTAATAGCACAACAGATGGGTGGAGAGCGTGCGTAAACTCCTGTGGAGAGAGTAATGAAGATCCCATGAGGAACGAAGAACTCTACCAAGAATACGAGCACTGCAACAAGCGCCCAACTCGAAACGTGATTCAGGTTCCAACACCCCGAAACAGGTCATATAGTAAATACGCAGAGTACACGCATGGCGTGACTACCGGACACATGCATGCGGTCGACTCAATTGCTCATGCATAGGATCTAACCACTCAATTTACACCGTATCACGCAGCTCAAGACACCAATTGATTCGCCGGAAATGCGTGTAAGAAAGACCTTTCTATCGTTCAAGCCAGATGCACTTGAAATATGATGACCCGAAGGCGCCCTAAACAACAGCAATACAGCAATAGTGTCTCAGCAGCAGCGGCGACGGCAGCAAGACTGCTTTTCTTTGTGCGTTGCCTAAGGACAGGTAGAGTGTGTGCCTCACCACTGCGTCTGCACTCCCTCCTTTTCAAATAGGTCTTTTGCTGTCTGCCAACTCCAGCGAACGATTTCCGGGAAGCCAAAAACGGGATCCATATAATCCTTGAGAAACGCTACGGTGATTCTGTCTGAGGTGAGAACAAGCGAAAAAAATGCATGTGCAATTAGAGCTCTAAAAGGGACGGATAACATCTCCGAGTGCTAAGGGATACAAACAACAGTGAATCACCTCCGGGATAGCCGGTCCCGTAGACTGCCTCCTGCGCTTCGCCTTGTGCCTCCTCCTCAGCTGATACCGCATCAGCTGCAGCACTTGTGTTTTTCGTTCCTTTTGCCTGGTGCTTCTTCTCTTGGTTTTCTTGTAGCTGCTTTAGCCTTTTTACAGGGCGCACTGGGGCAGGCCAGAGCTTCAGGGCCCTGTCCCTGGTAACTTTGGCGAGGATCGAGGCAGCACTGACAACGGGAAAGAGTGAGTCCGCCTTCTCCCTAACCTGTGCACATGCCACCACACAATGTCCTCCATCTTCTCTTTCCTTCTTTTTACACCCCATACAGAGAGAAACAGAATTTTCGCAACAGCTGAGCGAGAGCACCGAGCCCTTGGACCTCAAAGTAAGGTGGGGCTAGAGTTTGATTAGGAGCGTAAGTCGCCCGTTTGAATCAGAGAATTGCAACTGACGCCGCCCCTCCGTTTGCGGGTTTGCACGGCTTCTTGCGTAAAAAGAGGGGAAGAACGAAAAACGCGCACCGTAATCTTTACAGATGGGAAAAGCTGCTGCAGCTTCTTCTCGTAAGTATCCGCTTTGCCCACAGTGTCAACATACACCTGATGCTCGTAATGACAATAAAAGGCCACGCCAACCGCGCAAGTTCAGAACAGAATCCATAACCGCAAACCGTATCTGCATGTGTATCCCTAGCTACGGATAGATCCTCACTTGGCACGACAATAATACCCTGGTGACTCCCTGGTCCCAAAATCGTAATATCAAAAGTTTGCTACTTTTACGCGCACATTCATGTAAGTCTGCAGGTGTTAGATGTAAGGCCTTAGGGTCTAAATTTGCGATGCACCTCGGATACGCGTACGCCCTGCTTACAGACAGCCGCAATGAGGTCCGTTGCAGCGTCGTGGGATATGTCGTTCAGACTGATTTTGCGCCTAAGAGAACAGCAGCACCTTAGCTTACCAAATTTCGAGTCTCAGAGCCTAAAAGAAACGCTTTAAACCCCATGTGCCCACGACTGGGGGCAAATACCTAGCTCGTCACTGAAGTGCAAAACCGGCTAGCGTGAAGCCTAAAGGGTGTCAGGGACAAACTTTCGCAGCATCTTGGCACTGATCTCTTGAGGTGAAATTGAGTGGATCCTCCATCTGCGCAGGCACAGAATCACGAGGCACAACTTAAAGGACCAAGCAGAAGGACAAGGCCCCCGCTAAACACGTTATCAGCATTCTCTTCCAAGACTCCAGAATTAAGCCCCGCAGGAAACGTAGACTTCATTTAGCGATAGAATCCAGCAAGAACACAAAGCTCATGAGCCATGCAAACACAAAGGACTTGCACACGGCCCTTCAGAAGGACGCCACCCTACCCGAAGGCCTCCTTCTGCTGCATGCACGATTCAAACGCCGCCTCCCGCTGGTCCTCCGTTAGTTTCTTCGAATCTGAACAACGCATAGAAGGGCCAGGGCTTCCACTACAGGATGGGAGGTGGGAGCAGCACCATAGAGACACCCCAAAAGGAGCATGCCGTGAGCAGCTCTGTCATTACCCCGGCAGAAGAGGAGAAAGCCCCTGTGGCAAATCAACCACTGCGACAAGCGAAATGTTGGCACAAGGAGCCGAACAGTGGTAGGATCAGCAGTTGCACCAACAGTAACAGCATCCGTACCGTCCACTTTCAAGGCCTTCAGCTTTTCCATACTGTCTTTTGGACAGAAGAAACAGGCGTAGACCATGGCCCCCAGCACGCACCCTCTGCCAGCCTCATCAATGCCTAAGGGTTCAGCACGTGAATGCAGCTGCCTCGCCCTATTGGGTGTTATCTAATCTGCACAGTGCAGCAGCCAGTGCGGATGCCCGTGAGGTGTTTGGGGATGGGGATGCGCTTTAGAGGACGGGGAAGCGAGACGAACCCATTGAAACCTCCTTTCCCCCGCAGAGATTAAAGTTGGATTCGTATTTAGCCTCAAACATCTTCGCAAGGTCTCCTTCCTCCGTTGGTAGGGCGCCAATACAGAGAAGCCACCTAGCAGAACGCAAAATATAATGGGGGTTTTATAGAGAAGTTGATGCACAGCGCAACCCCATAAGACCCTTTTCCTCCGCTGGTCCTGTCGGAGGCTCCCAGAGGGGGGCCTCAACAGGAGCTCTCCAGACATGGTTCTCGAGAGAAATCCCCCCAAGCGCCTTTCTACTGAAATGCCTTTCAGGTGCGCAACACAATGCCGGCTGGGTCGTCTTACCTTTGCTATAGAGCAGGAAACTGCTGATGAGCACAAGGAAGACAGGAGAAGACACGCAGCCACAGCCGATGGTTGGTTTCGCACACGACCTCCTGCACGGTACCGCCAGTCTGCAGGGATATGAACAAAACAGCCTTGAGACAAGCCAGCTGACAAGTCCCGTAGTACTTTCTTTATCTTCGGCAGGAATGAGACTCTTGTCAATTCCAGCAGCACCACCAGTAACTGCAACCCCACCCCCGGGGCCCTCCATGGGGCCCCCAGGGTCACCAGGCTATTCCTTAAAAGCTGCTGCACGGAGGGCAACACCACTTGTTTTGTGGCTCGTGCTAGTGCTTTCTCTATCGTTTTATGAAATGCTGCATATTTTACTGCTGGATACCTAACAGTTCATTCTGTAGGTGTTGAGGGGTTCCCCCCTCCACGTGCCACAGGGGTTAAGAGGTGGCACTCGCGCCGCCTGCAAAGCTCCTCAGCGACTATGAAGCAAACATCCAGTAACTTTTGAAAGCTCCGAAGCAAACGACTAGAAGATCGGGAGCTCAGACGCTCTAGGGGCCGTTTTACGTGACCAGCAGGAACAGCACGACTACAGGCCGCACTTGCAACAGCAACAGCCACCTCCTATGGAGCAGCTACAGCTGCATTCTTCCAGCTGTACACCATGCAGGGTTCGACCACTGTGCCATCTTTTAGCATACATACTTTGGCAAGGGAGCGGGGACCAGCCCTCAGGGGGTCTCCCCAAGCCGCTTCTGCGGAGGATTCTGACGCCCTCCGGGTACTGCTGTACAATGGCACTGCCTACACTAACATCCCCGTGAGGAGGTGTCAGCTGTTATCAGCTCTCCCTGAGTCAAACTACGCGGCCATCCGAACCGTGAGAAGGGGAACGCGACTGATTGGCGCGAACACGAATATCGATAGGCTTCTGCTCTCTGCAGCTGTTCAAGGAGAGCACTCTGGTTTGTCCGCGGGCGGTTCCACAGCCGAAGAATCTGTCTTGAAAGCTGCTTCTCCCACTTCCGCGATAGAGGAAGGGAGGCGAGGACCATCCGCTGAGGAGTGTCAGAAGTTCAGGATCCGGGTGTGGCAGGACCTGCGGAAATTGCTGCGCCTTTGTTATTGGAGTGCAGCAGCAGCGCCAACGAAAGAATTATCAACAGCTGAAGCAGAACGAGCAATAGCAGCAACAGCTGAAGCAGAACCAGCAACAGCAGCGGCAGCAGCCACAAGTGCGCTGATGCTGCCTGAAGGTATCGAGGCTTCCATAACGCTGGTGCTTACCCGACTGGTCTTGCCAGATTTACTAGGAGCCCTCGGGTTACCGCCGAATCCAGTGGAAAACACCTCTGCTAGCGCAGCAACAACGGCAGTACTGGATCCGTTGGATGTGACAGCACGATCACCAGACTACTTGCCGCAGCTAACCTCAACAGACATGAACTGCAGCAGCCTCAACCTCGTGCTGCTCGCAGAACCGCTTATCCCTTCCCCTGCAATATTTCATTGCCTGCAGGAGCAGGAGGAGGAGGAGGAGGAGCTGCGCGACTCACTGGGTGCACTTGAACACGGGTTGGGGAGGCTACGGAGGAACCACCAAGCGGACAGCAGCAACTTGAGGCACAGCAACAGCCTTCGTTGGTGCAACGCCCTCTTATTGCCGCACAGGGGACGCGAGAACCCCGAGGTAAAGTCGACTGTGTGGGCCTTAGAGAGGCAGGAGCTGTTACGGGAGGCGCAAGACATTGGAGCTGCCCTGAGCATGCCACTAGAGGAGGTCATATTGGAGAGGCAGAATTCGCTGCTTGAAGGCAAGGCCTCCTTTTATGTCTGTTTGCTCCGCCGACGATCGAACTGGTACTACTATCAGTCCTGCTGCTGCGCTGGGGCACACCCATATCCCTGGATCCAAGGCCTAGTCGCTGCTGACCCTGTTGCTTGTGTGGCTGCTGCGTTTTAGGATGCAGTAGCAACTTCTTGGTGTTCTCGGACTCTCGAAAATGCGTATTGACTGCTCCGGAATCTGCATGTCTACCAGGGTGTGTGAGGGGCCTTGCCATAAAGGCGCTTTCAGCTAGAGGCATAAAGACAGTCTATGAAGCGCCTAGGTGGGAAGAGAGGGAAACAAGCAGCTGGAAGGCTGCGTGGATCTCCTCCTCAAGCAGGCTGCTACTTCCGGTCCGCTCCTTGATAAAGGTCAAGCACCCGCATCTGCGCAGCCAGAAGGCAAGCGAACAACAGCAAAAGGAGAAACAGCAGGCGCTGCCACAACAACAACAGCAGCAGCCCCCAAAACAGCCAGCAATGTGGGTGGCTGTCCCATCCCTTGCTGCTACCAACTCGCCGGCTTATTCGCAGAGTCTGGTCGAAGATTGCTCGCAAGGACAGCACATACTGCAGCCACTGTGCGATGAGCAGCAATTACCAAAACTACCTGCCTCGGAATATGAGGAGGCACTATTTGATGTTGGGCCTGATTCACTAGCGGCTAGGGTAGCGCGGTGGACTGCGGAGTTGGCAGAACAAGAAGCAGAAGCGGTTTTCCCCTGAGATAGGTTCCCTTGCTGCTGGGGGGCATTGTCATTGCTGGATGCTGTTATGCACGCAGCTGCCGTTCCACATATTTCTCCAGGTTGAGGCATCCTGGCCTCGCTGCACGTCAGTCCCTCCTAGAATATGGCGGGGTGCTGTTCTCCAACTGGTGGTATCCCCTTGGAGACTCATCAGGCAAGATTTGATAATGCAAATGAAAGGACCTCCCCCAGCTGGCTTTTCAGGAAACTGCTTTTACAGTGGAGATGGAGATCACTCTACGGTATCTGCGCATCTGCATAATCGGAAATTCTTGCTTCTACACTGAGTTGTGAATTTTTGCACTACGTTAGTTACATTAGAGCAGGAATTGAAAACGAATACATCAATGAGTTCGGGTGCTTGTATATCTTATTTACTGTACATTAGCGCGGCTAGCTACACAAAGATGCAATGCTGTGAGCGTGCGAGCTGGATGCAATATATGCAGCTAGCTGTGACTGCTCGACGTGCTTACGGAGCAGCTACGCATTCTGTAGCTGGCTCTCTATCCTCATGTCGGGAAGCTTAGAGGGTGCTGGCAGGAGACAGCAGGATTACCTCAAAGAAGCACTTAACAGATTTCTATTTAGTTTGTACTGAGTCTGAAATAAGTATCTAGCCATGGCCACCACGAATAAAGAGATAAATCACCCAGCTTTAACCCGTCTACATTTGCTCCCATTGTTGCTGGTTGGTTTAAGGCTGAACTCATTGAAATTCTTCAAAAAGTTTCCATATGCAGACACTCAACTTTAGGCTCAGTACAAAGTCAACAGAGAGTGACTGCAAGTACTAACAATGGAGCTTCCTTCTTCTCTACCCGCGCCCCTCAGACTTCTCGACATGAGGGAAGACAAACATCTGAAGGTACCCTTAGCTGCATTATATAAGCACTTCGAGCATTCGCAGCTAGTTACACATACCTTCAGCACGCATATTCACAACATTGCACCTTTTTGTATCGAGCTCAAAGGACACTGCAAGAAATAGGACACATGAACACACAAATCCAGTATTAAATTCTTCATTATTCGTAAATGTAACTAAACAGTGTTGTAGAAAGTGCTTAAGCTCAGCTTTGCCCACCACCCCCGTTCTCTGCTCTGTCTCCTTACAGTCAGCACGGGGACACTCGTGAGCGTTCAGTGGTGGGGGGCTGCTACGGTGGCCACAGTAATACCGGATATTGCGGTTCATGTGAATGAGCGAACTGGGGCTTCGGCTTGTTAGAAGCCTCTGCAATTCGAAGCGTAATGAATTTGTTCCAAAAACATCGAAACCACGAGGGAAAGCGACGCTCTTGCTCCGAAGCCTTTTAGTGAACTTCGTGCAGGCATTGTGTAGGCAGAGCAGCTTCCATGGGTGAGCGCACTAAGGACCTTTGTTTCGTGCAGTCTAGGGATCCTGCTGAGCGCTGGGCGCAGGGGCCCCTGTACAAGATGGGGTGGTGAGGGTGGTGGGGTTGCTGGGAGTGACTAGGGTATCAGGTCGTCTGAGGCCACAATATTTCCATGCTCAGGCTTGAATATTCATTGGTATCAATGCCGCCTTTCCACCCTTTGCCCTGACGGGCCTCTTGATCTTCAAAACTCCACCCAGAGCCACCCGTAGGGGGCCTTGGTCAGGGAGCTCAAGCGGCTGTGTCACACCATTGCAGGCTTCTGGAAGCACTCAAGAGACCTCCTTGGGTTAATTACGTTGAGTTCACTTATTCTAAGGCCCCTAGAGTCACACCTTTCCCGAGGGAAAGCGTTCCCACTGACCCCTCATGAGGCCGGAAGATCCCCCAGAGCGATAGTCGAGGGCCTTCTCCCCACTCCTCTATCATGGTGTGGGTGGCTCAAGGAGAGAGGGGGCCCCTTCCAGCTCCCCCCCGCAGCCAATCTCAGTGCACACGGGAGATGGGGAACCCCGACGTCCCCGTGCCTCCTGAAGTAGGTGACGCATTGCAGTTTCTTGAGGAGGCTTCGTCATGGGCGGAGACCTCTGCAGGCTGGGCTTCTTCCACATCTCCTTCGGATACGGAGAAGTACCTGGGGGCCCTGAGAGTCCTCTCACACGCTTGCAGACGGGCCGAAGTAAGAGACGCGGTGCTGCACTGGCATACCAGCCATAAGATGCCCTCACAGATGGAGGGTCTCCCCGAAGAGCTTCCCATCCTAAGGCACTTTTATCGTGTCTTCTGTTGTGTCAGCGCGACTTGTCTAGCCGAAGCGGGCATCGACTATAAGGGGCCCACCCCCAATCCAGCAGTCGACTTCAATGGGGCCTCTCAGGGCGGAACCGCGGATGGCGGCTCCTCTGCTGAAGAGTGGCTAGCCCGCGGTGTTTCGCTGCATGCAGCGATTCAGAGATCAAGTCTCGCCAGCGCCTCCTTAAGGCAGGTCGTGATGGCGCTATATCCCTTGACGAGCTGTCTCTGCAATTCCCGCGACGCAGCAGACGCTGCTGCCCTGCTGCAGACGCCAGAAGGATCACACTGCTTTTCCCTCCTCGCCTCCCTCGCAGCAGCCGCGTCCGAGGAAGAAGCGAAGACTCTGCCTGCCTCAGCGGCAGCAGCACCAACGCCTGGGGCTTCCACGTGTGCCTCCGGCAAGGCAACGGAATCTCCTTCTGCGGCTGAAAGCAGCAGCAACGACAGTGCACTCCTGCTAGCCGTGTTAGGGGCCTATGAGGGGCCCCTTGCTCTCCCAGGGATAGCGGTGTCGGTGCGCTCTGGCCCCTTGAAGGCACTCCATAAAGCAGTGCAGCGAGGGGCAGCACGGCTCCTCGGGAAGGCGGCGAGTCTTCCGGATGCAGCCACTGCCGTGGTAGCCTGGCTGGTGTATCGGCGGCTTTCCAGCAGCAGCAGCAGCAGCATCAGTGGAGGCGATGGCTCCTTTAGCTCTCCAAATGTTCGCCATCTCCTGGCGTTGCTGATTGCGTCTGTCCGAAATCATCTTAGGAGGCCCCTCGAGCAGAGGGTGTCTGCCCTCTGCCTACGGGAGGCCCTCAAGGAGCCGCGCATGCTGCATGCAGTGAGTGGTCCCACCCAAGACGCTGCCTTAGCTTTCGCAGCCGTCTGCTTGCAGTCCCTGCAGGCTGTGGCAGCTGCTGCAGAGGAGGCAGCTTCAGAGGAGCTCCTAAAGCATCCGCCAAGCGACTCTGAGAAGGCAGCTTCTGTCCGAAAGCAGCAACTTGCTGCTGCAGCTCCAATCGCGGAAATGCTAGCACTGCTGTGCGCAAGGAGCGCAGCCGTTCGAGATTCCGTCGCCTCACGGCTAGACATGCTGCCTTCAACGCAGCAAGGCCCTGCTGCTGTTGCTCCTCCTCCTCCCCCTACAGCCACTGGCGACGATGGAAGCACTTACTCCAACAGCGACAGCAGAGAGAACCCCGCTGAAAGGCAGCAGCAACATGAGCACCAACACCAGCAGCAGCCGCCTGTTCAGCCCTCCCCCGGGAGAAGCCGCAGCAGCGCTGCCCTGTCTGCTGCAAGCCTCCCCGCACTCTTTTTTGTTACGGCGCATGCAGACGACTTGGGGTGTGCATATACGGCGGCCTTTCTGGAGCTGTGCCTAAGGACTCGGTCGAACCGTGGAATCGGGAGATTCCTCTCCTCAGAACAGAGGGAAGAAGCCGTCGTTTCTTTGGCATCCAACGCCGGCCTGCTGAGTAAGCTCCAAAAAACGCGAAGCATCTGCTGCAGGAGCTGCAGCAGCAAACTTCGAAGCTGCGGCTATGGTCTCACCTATTAGTTGCCTGCGTCGGTGTACCCCGTATAGGCTTTGCGTGTAATGCTGCAGCAGGGGCTAACAACGCAGCGAGGCACAGCACGCGGCGGGGAAGGGGACTTCGCGCCACTGCGTGCATGAGTCTTCTTGCTGCTCTATGGGAAAAAACAGACGCTATGGGCTCTGCAGTAGAGACAGTATGCATCCTCCCCCTTGCAGCCGACGGTACGCTTTTATTGGAGTCTTGTTGCTACAGCCGCTGCTGCCACTGCTGCTGCTGCATGCACTCGCCTGCAGCAGCACCAGTTGCGGCAGTCTCGCTGCCGCCCTCTTTACTCCCATACTTCAGCGGCTAGGAGCTTCATGGGCCTCTTAATTTGCTGCAGGACACCATAAATCTGCTGCTCCTGTGGCTGCTACTGCTGCCGTTGCTGCTGTTTCAGGAGAATCAGCAGCGCGGCGCGGAGACACCGCGTTGCTGCTGCAATTGCTGCACGCCTCGCTGGATTTCAGTGCATGCACTAAGCGTCACACGGCGCGATCCATGCGGCTGCTGCAGCAGTCTGCTGCTGCTCTGGCTGCCGGGCCTCTCGGCTCTCCGCAGACTGCTGCCGAGGCTGAGGATGCCCTTCTTCTTGTTCACAAGTGCAGTGCCTTGGTAAGCGCTGGCGTCTCCGTGTTGGACGCGGGCTTTCCTTATTCTACAGCTGCCGCCGCTTCAGTGCTGCTTCAGGAGGAACCAAGAACCGTATTCTGCCTTGTGATGCGCTGCTTTTTGTGCTGTGCGCGCAGTCTCTGCCTATCCCATGGACACAGCTGCAGCGGATCGAGAGTCTGTTTGTCGGAAGCAGCCATGCAGGAGCGGCAGCAGATGGCGTTTCCACATGTGAGGGACTGTATTCGTCGGGGAGCAAGAAATACGGCTGCCCCTTGTTGGACCGTCTGCAGGGCCTGGCGCCTTTAGGTAAGCTCCAGGAGTTCTGTGTGTCTCAGAGTCTCGAAAGCGATCTCCCGCAGACACCTCTGCACTGCAGTCTGCTCTAGCCGTTCCGGTGCTCCTCCTGTTGCAGATAGAGCAAGCGCCTCTATGGACGGCTCCTGGTTCCTTAGCGGGCGGCCCTTGGCTACAGCGCTGGCTGAAGAAAGCCGCAAGCGGAAAGTGGAGATGCGGGGGCTCCAGCAGAGCAGAGAAGATGCAAAACTTACCGTGCGGCATCTGATGCTCCGGCTGCTGCTGGTTATGCTTGTGCTGTTGCTACATTGTCGCCATTTGTTGGCTGCGTAGAAGTTGGGGGTAGCGCGTTGTCGTGCCTGGTGCTGCGAGGACAACGCCAGCAGCTGCGAGGTTGTGGATTCTTGCTGCGGTTTAGGCTGCTCAAGCTGCGCAGCGTCTAGTTGTGACGAATGAAGCCCACGAGGTGCTGAACGCCTTGTATTTTTCCAGATTAGAAATTGGGGATTTTCAGGTGTCATGTGCCACTGCACTGGCTCTCTGGAGACTCCGACGTCATAGAGTAGAAACGGGGGCCTTCACGGTGTAGGGTGTGTTTGGACTCGAGAGTCTTAGGTGTGCGCGTTTTTGTGGAGTCGGCCTTAGATGGAGTTGAGTCGACTCAAGGAGGCAGCGGAGCGGCAAGAGTGCCTGCATGCCACAGAACAGCAGCGCCTTGCTGACGAGGCTCGCAAGTCCGTTAGAATTTATAAACGACGGGTCTCTGTGTGTATCTTCTCCTCTTGATACCAAGTTTGATCATCAGACGCTGGTGCATGCATGCATCACACGGTGGCGCAGCTCTATCCCAGTGCTTCCCTTTCTGTATGCCCTTATTTTTTGCCGTGCGTGATATACATCTAGCGGTTTTTAAGGGGCCCAAGGAATCCATAGGGCTCCCCTGCGAGCGACGTGCTTTCTACGGCGGTCCGCCATGCCCCCTACCTGCTGCTGGTTGTTGCTAAACTGAGCTGCAGACTGAGGCGCGAACTGGAGATGGAGCAGCAGAGAGGCCGTGACCTCGTTGCTGAGTTCCAACGGCTTCTTGACGCGAAGGAAGCGGCTATCGCGAGGTACAGATAAACATGGGGGCCTCTGGCATCCAGTAACACACCCTACTACAGGTTCCTTCCTGAGGCGCTGCAAGCTACCACCTGAGAACTTCTTAAGCAGCAGCGTCGAGCACGGGGAAGGGGGTGGGGGTTGGAAGACTGAAGGTATGGGGCTTTTGCGATACCCCTCCTAGCAAATGGCCACAAGCATCTCTTCGAAGCGCGCGTAAAGGGAGGGTCAGAGGCACGAGGTGCTTGGCGAGTATCCTGCTGTGGGGGGCTGCTGCAGCCTTCAGTTAAGTTTAGGCGAGGGAAGAAGCCTCCAGGGATCTAAGGAATCGGAGCTTTCGCGTGAACTGCAAGTACAGACGGCTATAAATGTCAAGCAGGTGTCGTTGCTGTGATTGCTGTTGTTCCTGCTGCGTTCTCTACTACTTCCCCTGCTCCAGTGTGTGTATTGGAGGTGTTACGCAGTATAGCCGCCGGTCTGGACGGCTGAGGGTTACCAGAGTCCTTTGATGCCTTTGTATTCATGAATTATTCATGAACCATGCCATCTACGTCTCGAAGGGTATTTAAAAATGCTGTACAATCGGGATGCAACGGTCCTTTTTAAAAATGCCTTTCCGGAGTATCCTTTCCCTCTCTGTCCCATAACCTTTCTGTCTTCCAGAAAGAAGAGCTCGCTAAGCAGGAGGCAAAGCTGCACGCAACGTTGGAGAGACAGCAGCAAACGGCTAACAGCCTTACAGCGTTGACTGCAAGACACCGGCAGCTCCAGGTAGGCTGAGCGGTCTCACTTCTTTTGAAACACCAGTAGGCAAGTCGAGCTTTGCTCTGTTCCTCCGCGTCTTCAACAGATAATCCGTCAGATATTAGTAGAAGAAAATAGGGCCGGTTGCTTGGGCGTGTCTGTACTTTGTAGGAGGAAAAGAGCAAACTGCAGATTAGCTACGAGAAGGTCCAAGAAGAAAACGAACAACAATTCAGGTTGGCATCTATGCATGTGCGGCCACTGATTGTGCCGCTATTGCTCTTGCTGCTGGAGTTTCTTGTGGAACTGAGGCTGCCAGTAGTTTCTTGTCTGCCATGTTCGAGAGGAAAGACTTTGTCGGGGAGGTACTGGCATTGTCTGATGTAGGACGGGTTAGCGTGTGGTGTGGACGGGGTGTCCAGACAGTTGATATTGGTTATGAAGGCCCTCGCCGAGCAGCAGGCGGCAAACGAGGCCCTGAAAGAGGCGCGAATGTGTTCGGAGGCTCAGGAAGAGGAACAGACAAAGCTCAAGCTACAGAAACTGGAGCAGCAGCTACAGCAGAGCTCCAGAGAGCAGGAGGTAAACCAAGAATAGCCGTATGTGTGCCGCATATTGACCCGTGTGCTCTCTAGGCTTCATACTCGTTCTCGACTGTACATACCTCCCTCGCCCTTTTGCGAAAGAACTTTGCTTGTATCGGCACAGCGCCACTGCTCTCTAACGGCCTGGCTTAAGGAAGCCTGCACTCACACGGGGTCTCAGAAGCGGCCTTTACATGCATCCGCAACAACAGCAGGCGTAGACGCTCCCCCTAGTCTGCTGCAGTACATGCTGTGCGGGTGCTGCTGTTGCTGCAGAGCCAAGCAAGGGCAGCGTCTCTCCGCCAGGTGTCTCTTGAGGAGCAGCTACGGGCTTTTGAAAAGGAGAATGAATATCTTAAGGCCATGAGTCGGCGCAATGAAAGGTCACCGTCTTACACGCGATTCCAAACTTTAATGTCTCTGTATGTACTGCAGTAGCATACCTGCCTTACAGCGAGAGAGCTGCGACAAAATGAAGGTTGAGGGCGTTTTGTGCGGCGTGCAGCACTATCGAGGATCTCGAGAAGAGGCTCCAGGCCGCGGTCGAGACAGCTACCGGGGCAAAGGCGGCAGCAGCCGCTAAGACGGAGGTTCTAAAGAACATGCAAAAGGTCCAGATATACGTCACACAATCCCCTTTCGGCCTTTTTGCCTTCGCATTGAGCAGCTGGGCTTCTCGGGATTGCGTGCAGCAATCAGGCCACCCTACCTTTCAGCTGTAGTAACTCGCTGCCGTCCCTAGCCGTTAGCTCGCCCTTCAGTCTGCGAAGGGAGCCTGAGCGGAGCCTATGCCTTGTTTGCTCTTTCGCTGCGGTGCCGCTGCACAGGAGCTGAAGGAGAAGGAAAATAGACTGGCAGTGATCAGCGCCGCATTGCGAGGACCCTGAGGGTGCGCTAAAAAGGGAACGGCGGTAAGGGTGTCCCTCTTCGATCCCTAGTTGCACCGGAGGACCAATGTGGGTGCATGTCTTAGTCCACCAATTCCTCAATGCGTCTGGGGGCGGCGACAGAGCGGCTGCCCCCTGCCTCGTACCCGTGGTCCCCAACTCCCTGTGTTTCCGGTCCCCTGTGCCTCTGTCCAGCGCTTGCAAGTTGAGAGAAAAAACCTTCTACTTGAGTGATCGATACAGAAAGCAACATTGATAGACGAGCACACTAACCTAGGTTCTATTGCCCAGATTGCCAGCGAGTTAGCCCTTTCGGAGGGTACTGTAGAATAGTGCCGATCGCATCGTACTTCTAGGTGTCTAGACACACCGACAGCGTGAAAGGAACTTAAAGAATCGGTCTTTGAAATACAGATAAGCAGACCAAAAAGTCCGCTAAAACCACCAGTGCAGTTCCGTACAGGGCCTCAAGCTAAACGCCCTCCCCAGAAGCCCCTGACCCCAAACGGATTCGTTTTTTAATATTCTCATCGTCCAAGCTGAGAATGCAAGCGGTCGTACAACTGTCCGGAGAGGCCCCTGTAACCGCGGGAAGCAGAATTTTTTTGCCCGTGCTACCAGGGCCCCCTACAGAGATTCTGGAGGTGTCGGTAAGGGACGCTGCAAGGGAGCTGCTGCCTCCACTATCTTCGAATGTCCCTTCAGCAGCAAAATTGCTTGCAGACGGGGGCGGCAGCACAAGTGGCCTCCTCTTCGGCTCGAAAGAAGGCGCCTCGCTGCCAGAGGCCTCCCCTTTCGATAGCGCGGCGGTGACCCCTGCACTGCTACATGGCGCCTCTCCGCTATCCCTAGGGTGCCCTTGTAGCTCCCTTTGTGCAACATGGCCATCCACTTCTCCTGAGACCTCTTTCCCTTGAACATCCGCCGTTTGCCTCTGAATCTGCTGCATGCGGATTTGCCTCGCCACCTCGCGCTGCAGCTCTAACACCATGTCTTCTGTGGGCACACTAGGGGGCTTTTCACCCCCGTGCTTCGCGTTAAGAAGTTCCCAAGGGTCAGACAGGGCACCTGGGGGAACGGGTAGATTTTCTAACGAATCGAAATGCCGGCGGAGGCTTCCTCCTCGGCCACCCCCGCGACCCCCCCGAAAGCCCCCCGAGGGCCTTCTTGGGCCTCCTCCTCGCGGAGGAAGTTCTTCCCATCGTGGATTACCCCCAACGTAAACCGGGGGAACTTGCCCAAGTGTCTGCTGCCCCCATGGGGTCTGTCCTCCATGCCACATTGGTGCGCTCCCTCTCTGCAACACAGCCTACGGAAGGAGAGCCTTCCTGCTTCGAATAGTTGAAGGAAAACCACGGACGGGTGTAGCACGGATGGACCAAGCGACTAAGCCCAGAAATGCCAGTCGCTGCAGAGAGCCGCAGGCAAAGTCTGGCACCAGTGAGTTGCCCTGCGGTGTGTGAGTCAGAGGACACTACTGCAAGGGGTGGGACGCCCTGGACGGTTAGGCGGAAAGCCGTGACGCCTGGCTCTCCTCGGAGATCATAGTCCTGCTTAGTGAGCAAGAGAGCCCTTCATTACTTTGAGGCCCAAGAAAAATACCGAGGGGCCCCATCACAGAGTCGCCTTACGTACCCTGTGTGAGCTAGGGTGTCCAGCTATTTCGAAGGCAAGTCCCTTACTGAGTTGCATCTGGAAGGAGTAGGGAGCATCAAGAAAGTGACAAGGGTTCATGATGACAAAAAAGGGCTCTGCAGGCCTGAAGGGCCCCATAGGGTGCCCGCTGCTGTACTGGTCTACCATGCGGCATCGCCGCTGCTGAGGGCATGCGGTGCTGCAGCAACGGCAGCAGCTGCTGCAGCACCTCGAAAGTAAACTTCCAAGTTGTTTGTATGGTTTTGTCGTTGAAGGGCCCTAAAGTGGAGTTTGTTTCTTGTAGGCACGGCGACAGCGAGCAGCCTCCAGCAGCAAAAAGCCTGAGGCTCGAGATAGGGCCCTGGGCAATGAGTCTCTTTTGAAGGCGTAGGCCTCAAGGCTTCCTTCATTTTTGCTGAGGGAACAACGAAGAGGCCGTCTGCGACGCACAGGGGCCCATCAGGTACTTTGTCTGCTATGCCCTAGAGCACGAGTCCGCGGCGTGCTGGACCGTATCATGCAGCATTCAGGACGCTAGCAGCAGGGGCAGCAGTAGAGGTGCACCTGCTCTCCGGATCTCCATGCCGACTCGAGTACTTGCGTGGTTGCCCTTCGCTCACCGGCATCAAGGCGGCGATTGGGGTGTCCTAGTGCTCGCACCGTCCTCCCCGTAGGCACATAGCCACGGAGGGTTCTTGGACCCGCAACGGAGAAGAGAAAATTCAACTTGTTTCGGCTTCAGGGTGCGAATAGGTGGGATTTGGGGGCTTCCGTGGTTCCGCCCCCCAAGGGGCTGGAGTGCGGATGAGTGACGAGCCTCTGAAGGCCCCCCATAGGGCCCATGGGGCTCAAGAGGGCCCTTCGGGGCCCCCTAAGAGCTCGGGGCCCCCAACTCAACATGGGGATGCGTCTGCTGGGGGTGGCGGGCAGGGAAAGGGCGACTCTGCCCCCAGACGCAGTACCAAAAGGGTCAAAGGGCACAGCAGCAAGTACAAAGTGCGTAAGCATGGAGCTCCCGCTATGGCTAGCGCAGGGCCTTGGGAAGGCCACGAGGGGGACGCCGGTCATGCAGCAGAGGCAGGCACAGATGAAACTGCTGCCCGTCGACATCATGGCCGCAGGCGACCCCGTTCTCAGTACGCGGTGCCTGAGCCTGAAGACGCAGGGAGAAAGCATGCTTCTAAAACAATCATTGGAAAGCTGGGCATGACTGCAGGTATGCACTAGGTAGCTCTTTGGGCACGCTTTCTGGCTGCCTAAGAAGCTTCCCAAGTACTGTTATGCCCCTACTTCCTCATGCCTTCTTGGCGTACACCCAATTTCGTCTGTGTTGTCTGTAAACACACAAAATTTCGAGGTTCATTGGAGGGTAGCCGTGAAAGCAGCAGCATCTGGGAAGCTCTATGTGACGCCTCTTCCTGGGCATTCCTGGGGAGCTTTCTGTTAGATGCTACGGCTGGTGCGCCTTGCCAGCTAGCCAGGCGTGGCACCCCTTACTGGCTGTCTCGTGTGGAGCCGCGATCGGCTTGGCAGTGCTTCAGTGTCAGACTCTTGCAGACGCCCCTGCTGTTGCAGCCTCAGGTGGCGCCTGTTGGCTGCATGTGTCGTGTGGTCATAGGGCTGCCACGCTAATACTAGGGGATCCTGCTGGATAACGTGGGAATGGCATGCGGTGCGGTGTTTGTTCAGCGGGAGCCGCAGGACGTACTGCGCTGATGGAGCAGAAGAGAAAGCTCTACAAGGATACCACACAGCAGCCCCTCTGGGGTATCCGCAAGCTCACTATCAATCCAATAGATAAGGACGATCTGAGACGATTTCCCGGGAACTGTGTTCATACAACTAAGTACACGGTAAGCAGTGATCTTGCAAAGGGGCTTTTAGGGACTCGCGCGAACCCGAGTGACGGCCATGGTGTTTTCTTGTACGTAGCATTTTCAAACTATCTTGTGAATGCCTCTGGAAACCCCAATGACGTCTGTGGGGGAAGGAGGACCTTTTGATATCCTGACGAGGTTTTAATGGCTCAAAATCAGTTGCTTCCTTGTTGTCCCGCACATATTACTTGCGTGAAAGCACTCTGTACTGCGGGTGGGTGGCGGGCATACACGCAGTATGAATTGTAGCATTAGAAATGTTTGCGCATCCTCTCTGGGGTGATCGCCGATGGTGACGATTTGAAGGTCCGTCTGTGCGTCCGCTGCGGGCTTCCTACAAGTAGTCGGTCCCTCTTGTGCGCGGTTTGGTGCGATTTCAGTTCTTCTCGTTTCTTCCCAAGGCATTGTGGAAGCAGTTTCACCGGCTCCCTAACTGGTGGCTGGTGCTGGTGCTGATTCTTGAGTACATTCCCCTGCCACGATTCCACCCTTTGACACCGTGGAGCATACTTTTGCCTCTCGTTTTCAGTGAGTCTTAGAGATGTTGAACTTGGCAGGATACTGGGGCCTCTAGGGACAGAGGTGCACTAACAGAACTTGTCTTGCAAGTTGCCTGGTGCTGGGCGTTAGCCATGATGAAACTGGTTTCGTGATCTGCGTGCCGGTTGTGGCCATTTCGTTTCAAAGTGTGGCACCTAAGATGTGCACATGTTGTGACCCTGCTGCGATTCGCGCCTCCTGCAGCTCTGGGGCTGTGCCTTGCCAAGGAAATGCTCTTGGACCTACAGCGCCGTGCAACCGATCGATGGCGTAACTTTCGTGTCTGCACGATCATCGATGGTCGCCGTCCCCAGTTGCGGATGGTGCACTGGGGTGCTTTGCGGGTTGGGAACATTGTTCGGCTGACAGACGAGGAGGAGGTGCCTGCTGATATAGTTGTCTTGGCCACATCTAACCCCGAGGGCATTGCATACGTGGAGACCTCCAAGCTCGATGGCGAGACGACCCTTAAATTCAAGCAGGGAGCTAAGGAAACTCGAACAGAGACATACCCCTTGGCCATTGCGGGCATCCGGGGGAGGGTGGTGTGCGAGAAACCCACATCCGCTATGGACCATTTCAGCGGCAGCCTGAAACTGGATGCACACCCCCGTGCCACCTCGCTGGATCTCTCTAACTTTATTCACCGGGGTGCACATCTCAAAAACACCGAGTGGCTTTACGGGGTGGTGGTGTATACAGGCCACGACACCCGCACTCTCCGCAGTGCTAAACACCCAAGCCTAAAGTTTGCACACATTGAGAGCGAAGTGAACTCCTACACCATCGTGTCATTTTTCATTGTTGCCCTCCTTATTCTTATATCGGTCATGAGCAAGTCCAGCGTGCAGGTAGGCGCCCAATCCCCCCGTAGAGTGTCTCTTTCTTCCAGTGCCCCGAATAGTCAACAGATGCTCCGTAGATGGACGCCTGTGGCTGATGTGATAGCTTTGACCCGTAGGGTAAGGGGTGTGCCATGGTCTTCCGCTGTACTCATAGTGTCAAACAATGTGCGGGTGTTGGCGCTTCAGGACCGAGAGAGAGTGAACAATGTGCGGACAGAGTTTCCGAGCTCGATCTCGTTTATGTTGGGTACGACTGAGGCCCTGCAGAACCCGTGGCTATCTATCATCCGGTATATGACGCTCTTCCTGGCGGTGATTCCAATCTCCCTCCCTTTCGTCCTGGACTGTGCATACTGCGTTCAAGCGTGGCTTATTCAAGGAGACTCTGGAATGACTGTGGGAGCTCCTCAGCAGCCCCTGGGTTCCACATATGCCGTTGGCTTCGGGTTACCCCCCTTAAACCAACGTGCGCAAGAGCAGTCGCACCGTACTGGCTTATCAGGGGCCGACCCTGCTCAGAACAACATTACCACTTCGGCCGAGTCGCTGGACGCTGCAGCGTCTCTGGACCGACGCACGAGCAAGGCTACTACGTCAAGAGAGGGAACGAGCGCCGGAACGCTCCGGAATTCTAGCAACGATGCGGCGCGTACGGAGCTCGATCCGTTTATTGAGTCCCATAGTTCACAGACAATGCAAAGCTTTGCCCAGGCCAAAGGAGATAGCACTTGGCCTTCTGTCCACACTCCCAACATCATTCCGGACTTGGGCCAAGTGGACTTTGTCTTTATCGACAAAACCGGCACCCTGACAGGCAACGACATGACCTTTTCCATGTGCAGTGTAGTGGGGCGGTGCGTAAATTCTCCCTTTTCGAAGGTTCCTGAACCCCTCTTCCGATGCTTCCGGATGTCTTGTTCTGGTGGGGGAAATTCGGTTGTGTGCACTGGAGCAGATTACGAGGCTGCATGTCAGCAGAGTTGCGCGGTTTTCGCTGTGGTTTGTTGGTTCTGCAGCATTTATGGGATGACGAATTATGGTGGATCTATATGGCAACAAGACGAGTGCCGGACACGTAGTGGGCTAGTGGATACTGCTGGGGTAGAGCAGACGCGAGCTAAACGTGCTGATAGCACAACGAGTAGTGTCAGGCGGCACCATTCAGCCCGTGGGCTATGGACCTCGAGCCACGTGCATCATGGCCGCCTACACAAGGGTTCTGCCCAAGACAGCACATCAGTAGAGACTTCAAATGCGGCCTTTCATCAAACGGGGACACACAGTAGGCCTATGAGACGCCAGGTCTCGAAGCGTCAGCCTTCAGCCGCGAGCAGCGACTCTCAAGAAGGCACTTCGCTCTCCACTCCGTGTAGGTTGCCATCATGTACGGCTATAGGCACGTGGCCAGCGGTAGAAGCATTTTCTAGGTTGTGCAGTAGTGCATTGCGACACCGGCTCTTTAGGTAGTGTCTGGCCTTCGCGGATGTGCTTTGAGCAGTGCATACTGTTTTGCTTAATTTCTGTGTCGCCCTGTCGTTTCTTCAGTGGCTAGCGATAGCGGCTCGCCATTCATCTTTCGGTGGGAGTCGGGGCGACTAGACTGCATCCGGACTCTTGATGACAACAGTATGCTTGACCCTCTCTCCCCAGCTTTTAGCCGGCACTATATAGGCGGGTATATTTAGGCTTGGGCTACGAGGAATTGTATGGCAACACGCGACAATCATGCAGCACGCAGGATGCTGGTGTCTCACGACGGCGTTCTTTGCCAACCGATGCTCCTGTTTCTGCTACCTGCAGGTCCTCGAGGTCGCTGGCGCCGTGGGGTCGATCGCCGCCCTGGTCCATGCCGGATAGAGTCGTGCGGATATGCCACGCTGTCCGACTCCTCCGTAAGCGGTGGACCCTGTTACCGGGTCTATTTTGCGTTGGCCTTGAGTCCCTTGGGGGCAATTATTAAGGAATGTTTTGAGATCTCCGTGTCTTCTTACCTCAGTGCTTCGATGAGAGAGTTCTGCTATAACGCGCTGGTTTATCTACAGATATTGCATATACATGTATATATATATATATATATATATATATATATATATATATATATATAGGCACCAGTCTGATTTTCGCAATTCATATTGAATTGCGTCTGCCAACCGAAAGGCGCATGTATCTAGCACCAGGCAGGTTGGTTCTTGTTCTTCCCAAAGTTCATGATAGGTTGGTCGTCATGTTCGGTTTGGGCGTTGGCCTCATTAGATATCGCCCCTTTGTGTTGCATTGTGGTCGGCGCAGTCTCCTGTCCCTGTGGATGAAGGCCTAAGGGCAGTAGCCCCCAAGCCGGTCAGGAAAAATATCGCGTTTGCAGTTGGTAAGGCGCATGCTTAAGGTTTTGTGTGGGGTTTTCTACAGAAGCCTCTGGTGTTGCTGACATTACTTGTAGGCCAGCAACAGCCTTTGTAACATGGCCCTCTATGCTGTCGGAGTACCTCTGAGCCGCAGCTCCAAACCTTAATACGTGGTGCCGTGTGAGCAGATGAAATAATCGAATCTGGGAATGAGGAACCAGGGTGAGCTGCGGAAACAATACCTTTTCGCTCATGTGTGCTAGTATGAGCTAGTATGAAAGACCGCATCTAGCACACCGCCAGTCAGGTCGTTCTGCCATGCTGTAGTGATAACTAGACGCTTGTCTAAGACGTAACTCTTTTGCAGGCGGGAGGGGTCTCGCACCGATTCCGAGGGGAGCTATGGTCAATCTCTTCCTGAGTCGTCTGTTTCGGCTACCCGAGGCGCACTTACAGCGATTGGCGAAGGAATTGGCGATGACTCATCCGAGGCAACTAGCAAGAAGGACGACAAGCAACGGCTTGCCTTCCTATGTGACAACCTAACGCTGCCGAGCCATTTCAGGGGTACGGGTCACTCAGTTGTGCTTTCATAGAATAGCAAGTGTTGAAATCTTGGTATTCGTTTTTCCCAGCAGGGGGCCTCCTGGGGCGTCTTGCAGTTACCTCCTGACTCTTGCGTTCCGGAGTGCTAGGGGTTTTGACGCGAGATTGTGTCGCCCTTCATTTTTTTGAGCGTTCGTTTTCCCACTGCAGCCTCGCCTCCTGATGGTCAGATTCGCCGCAACTGTGACTTCTATGACACACAAATCTTTGAGGATTTAGCGAATGGCGACGAGAGGAGTCATCGAGTCAGCGAGTTCCTCAAATGCATGGCTCTGTGCAATACCGTGGTGCCGCATTACAAGGGCGGTGTAGGAGGCGTTGAAACGTTCCTCCCGTCCACCCTTGTGCAGAGCTGGGTGACCAGCGCAGGCACACACACCGGTGCCAGTGTCTTGGCGCGTTCCATCGGTACAACTGCAGTAGTGGGGCAAAGGCCAAATACCAGAGCCAGCGCCATCGCACTGAGAGAGGCAGGAGGCAAGATCAGTGAGGAGAAAGGACAGGCGTCGGTCGGGGGATTATGGCCGCTTAGTTCAGTGAGTTGTCGCCTTTAACAGGTCTGGCAGGTGTACGTACTCATAGAAGTTCTTTTTCAGGTGTTGTGCATGTAGCTCAAGCCCATGTGATAAAAGGGTTTTATAATACGCGAGTGCATTCTTTCTCTGCCTCTCTGTGAGTGAAGCTTGTGTGGCGTGATGCCTCTTGCTTTCGACCGCATATCTGGCGAAGGGCAAAGGGATGGCTTGCCAAGTGTATTTACGCTTTTCCTCTTCCGCACAGAGTCAGTTTATTCCGAACCCACCGCTCACCGTGAACAGCATTGAAGCGAATGGCGTGCAGGAACAAGCGGTAGAGCCTCAGCCGCTCTTCGCTCGCGGGGACTCCGCCAGCAGTGGCCAGCAACGTGAGGCCACTGCAAAGTTGGCCAAGAAGCGAAAGAGCCTTGGAAGAGGTACGATGCTCCTCAAGACCGTGCATTCTGGCTGCGAGTGGCCTAAGCTTCAGGTGCCGCGCAACGCCCTTGCGCACATAGTGTGTCTGTCCATCTTTTTCGTTGTCCGTAGGCGTGTCATTTAAGGACACTCATGAGGAATACAGCTTCCCCAAGGACGGGTAGGCGGTCACTGTAGCATGCCCGAGTTTCCAGGCTCTCTTAGAGAGCCTTAGCGTTCGTGTCTTGTGGCTTGCTGTTAAGGATGCTTATGCCCTGAGCTTCTCGTAGCGTTTGCTGTTTAGGGACGAAACGGTTATCGAAGATGGTGCTCAAAGTTTTTCAACAGCAGGCATATCCAGCAAGCCAAGTGGAGAGTTCAGTTCTATTGGCCGATCCGTACTGCCAAAGTGCGTCTCTTGGTATTTAATTCCTTCTTTGACTCAAGCATTTGCAGTTCGCCTGAACTGGGGACTAAATATTGATAGTGACATTTCATTGTAAAATTTTATTTCGGCTTTTGTCTGGCCTGTGGATTGCTACTGTGTAGGCTCAGCCGAGTTTTCACCAGTGACCATGCAGTGAGTGGATACACACGCTATTTGTTACATGGTTAGCGTCAGGCAGCGTAGTATAACGACTGATTATTGAAGCGACCGCCTTCAAAGCCCTATACGAAAATTCCCCCCTTATGATATGTTTTTGTGATTCCTGGTTTTAGGAAGATACGCCTGCTCCCCCGCGACAGTCGAGAAGTGCGACCTACATCAGCAGCGTGGCACACACATTGTGTGACTGGATTTTCAGTGGGGGGCAGTTTGACATGCAGATATTCGGTACAGACATGCAAGCGGCTAGTTGGTTTTGTGCTCCTGTACGCTTCATGCAGGCGACACGACGGCCCGGGGGCAAGCCTGGGATGCAGCTCGGTTGCTCCGATCTATCAAGTACCAGGCCTCATCGCCAGATGAAGAGTGTCTCGTCTCTGCCGCAAGCCACATGGGCTACTCTCTTGCGTCCAGGAGCCCAGCTGCTGTTGTTCTACAGGTTTGCATGTGCACGCGCAACCTCTAATGCTAGGAGGATCTTTGGCGTAAACACTGTCAGGACTCCAATGTACTTGGAGATGCTAGTTCTGCCCAGTTGCTGCTTCATGTGGCTGCTACGGTGGACGCATACCGCGTGTGTGCAATGCCTGCAATGTGCTGGCTGCTCCGTGCTGTGTGTGACGGGCATGTTGCGCGCTTACCATGCGGACAACGCTGCAGATTAATGACCAATTCCGGAGCTGGCAAGTTATTGGTGTTAACGAGTTTACCTCCAAGAGGGGGCGAATGAGCATTGTTCTCCGCCCCTCAAGTTGGACGGAGGGAGCCATTATGTATGCTAAAGGTAATGCCGCACCATAGTGAAGCTGTCGATTGCCTTCTTCCACCAGTAGGCGCATCCTCGCGCCAGTACGTTGCCCTCAGCGGGCCTCCAGGCTCTCTTAAGTGGCACTTGCCTTCTGGCTGACATTTATTGTTTGTCTATTGGACCAGCAGGCAGGAAACCATTCGAGTTTGATCACAGTATAGCGTGTTTGGTGGCTTTGCATTGGGTTGGTGCCGTAGGGGCTGACACGGCAATGTTGCCGCTTCTCTCAAGCTTTAATGGCATGCTGCAAGAATACAAGATGGGCAGGAATTACGAGGGTGGCGCAGACGCATCAGGCGATGAAGCAAATCTCACTCAAAGGGGGTTAAATGCCCCAAGAAACGGGAACTCGCACCCAGGCAGGCCCGTACCCCACCGGGGAGGCCCTGGGGACCGCGAAATCTCATCGCACACAGGGCACTCAGATCCAATGACGTACGACACATTTTATGAAGCTTACCACAACTTATACAAATACAGTAACGACCCTGGGCTAGCGTTCAAAGGAGTTCCTGTTGGTGGAAGTCGTGGTGAGGGAAATATCGCCATGGTAGAGCAGCACCTTAAGGTCTTTTCTCTGCAAGGCTTACGTACAATGGGTGAGCTTTCTAATGCTGCACAAGCGGTGTCCTGGTAGCGCTGGACAAGATTTGATCAACTGTATCACAAGCGAATGACCTCCTCTTGATCACACTGTAGAGCCCACTTGCAGGAATCATTGTATTAATTCCCTGTACGACAGAATTCGTGTACCAGGCTGTAAAGCCCCATGTGGGCACGTATGTATTTCCTGCTGCTTTCGTTGCAGTCCTGGCATGCAAATACATGTGTCAAGATGAAACCGACGCCTATCAGAGGCTCTACAATGATGCTTACGCCTCGGTGTATAGCCGGGAAGAACGCTTGGAGCAGGTAAAAGGCTGCCACGGGACACATGTTTAGCGAAATGACTGCGTTTAGGAATCGTTAAGAGGGCACGCATCAGTGCGAAAGGAGCACCTTTTTAAGGGGCGTCTGCTTTTCTCTCCTTCCTGGTGTTGCAGGTGGCCGAACAGTTTGAGCGCGACTTGGAATATCTTGGCATAACGGGGGTACGCGACAAGCTGCAAGCGTACGTTCCGGAGACACTGGAACTCATGATGGAGGCAGGAATTCGCGTCTGGATTGCTACAGGTTCGTGCTTCTCATGTTGTTCTTCGATTCACATGCTCACTCGTCTTTCACCTTGAGCGGCCCCTTAGTTTGGAGTCTGTGCAGTGATGCTTCTCAATCAAACGGGAGCACGGCTTGTCAGCTAGGGTAGTTACGAGTCACATTCAGCACCTGCGTTTTCAACGAATTTCTTGTGCTATCATGCTTTAGGCGACGACGTCGAGTATGCACTGCATATATGTCATAGTTGCCGCCTCCTTACGAGCCATACAAAGGTGTTTCATGCTGCCCTCGCCACACGAGGTCAGTTTTGTTCCTGAACCTATACCTACACGTTGCTACTCATGGGCGAATAGGAGGCCTTCTAGGGCTGCAGATTGGGCTGATGCACGTTACCCTGCGCTGTTTGCACTCTTCCTGCTCAGGCAAGAGAGCCAAACGGGAAGGGATGCTTCTCTATGACATGTTCCGGGAGGCTCGAATTTTGAAGAGGGCTGACGAACACATCTGTCTTGTTGTTACGGGACCTAATCTTGGGGCCTTTCTGAACCATCCGGACCTTCAGGTACCCTGCAAGCAATTCTTAAGACTGCCCGAGCCCCCTTTAGCTATTTTTTTGGGCTTCTGTCTAATTTACCGGGCAAAGGGTTTGGCATTTGGATTCTTTTGCCTTCAGACGTGCTTCCTGAACATGGCGTGTTGCTGCGATGTCGTCGTGGCGGCGCGTGTAACGCCGACGCAGAAAGCTGATATGGTACTAAAGGGTTAAACAGTTATACGCTTTAGCTCATTTAAAGTCACTCCACAAGCGGATCGATGTGGTTGTTGGCCCATCCTGCTTGATCTCCATCTGGGCAAGCATTCGACCACAGTGAGGTGCTAACCGTTACATACCGTCCGTCGCTATTCTGCCTCATGTCTCCATTCAGGTTCGGCTGGTAAAGAAGCGACTAACTCCACAACCTATTACTCTAGCCATTGGTGAGCCCCTAACTGCATCTCCATCCAAATTCTGAATACTCCATACGACAGGACCGTCCCTATGTAGGTCCACGTTCTGCGGGCGACTTCTTGTGTCTCCTAGGTGACGGAGGGAATGACGTGCCGATGCTGCAAGAAGCCAGCGTGGGTGTGGCTATCCGCACGGAGCGCGGTGCTTCTGTTGCCGGCTTCGCGGATTTTGCTATTTCCGAATTCAGGTGAATTGCTGCCCGTGTGGGTCTAGGCAGACAGGACAGTTCCTTTTTTACAACTCGCTACCCATGGCTGTAGGCATTTTGCGTCCTTTAGTTTCGGTAGTTCAACTCTCCTTAATGCATCATGTGTGGCTCCTTGCATTTGCAGGTTCTTGCAGCGGCTGTTGTTCGTGCACGGACGCCTGAACTTTTTGCGTATTTCCAAAGTCATTCTGTGGACCTTCTTTAAGAGCATTTTGCTGGCTTTTCCGGGTTCGTTGCATTACGCCAGTTGTGGTGTTTAGTGGTTTCCTTTGTTGGTTTTCTTGCCATGGATAGGGGGTAAATGCGTATAAGCGTGCAGCCCTGACGTCCAATGAAGGCTTCATAGAGGAGTGTGGTGCACATGTCTATCGTGTCCTGCAGTGTTCTTGTTCCAACCTAGTTCTTTTTGGTCGGCTATTGAGGTACGCGCGACCGGATGTGGAGCTCCTGTTCGCCATGCGAGTTTGCGCATTTGCCCTCTATTGCCTTTGCCAGAAAACGACTCCATTGAAACATCGCGCCTTGTGCCCTTGGGCACCTCGGCTGCATGTGTGTGCCCTGTATCTTCAGATCTTTGACCCTGTACTTTACATGTTGGCCAACTTTGTGTGGACAACACTGCCATCAATTATGTACTCTTTTTCGGAGCAAGACTTACCAGAGCACCTGTTACCCTCGATTCCTGTTTTGTACACTTTGGTAAGTCCCTTCTCGAAATTAGTTGCGGGTGCCTTGCTTTTACTCCGAGTGGCGTAGTAGGAACGGTTTTCGCGCCTCCATTGTACGCTTGAGCTCCAGAGCTGAGTTTTCAAATGCTTCCGGCTCTTGACCTGTGGGCGTATGCGCACTTCTCAGTGCACGGGTGTTGCAGCTGCGTGAATGCCTGTTTGGTTGGTGGGCTTTCCAGATTTAGCGAACCTTGTGCCTTTGGTATTGCTAGACATTTACCGTTACTTTGCTGCTGGCTCTGCAGGGAAGGCGTCGCTTGTATTTTAATGGATTCACATTTAGCTTTTGGATTGTTGAGGGAATCATTTACTCTTTGCTAACTTATTACTTGTTACAGGTAAGCATTTTCAGAGCCATCACTGCAGCCGAGTGGCGAGCGCCCAAAGTTTTTGACCTTAGATCTTGAGCAAAATCCTAGCCGCGTGCGCGCGGTTTTGCGTTTGGCGTACAGGCTGCATGGATGGATTCTAATGCACTTTCGGGAGGTCCGAACATGGGCTTCTTCTCCTTCGGCGCTATCCTTCTCTTTGGTCTGATAATGCAGAGCAATCTGCGCATGTAAGGCCGTTTGCTGAGCTTTCGCCCTTAAGGATAAGAACTGTGACAGTCTGCCAGGTTCTGTATGCAGAGATTGCTGCGTAGTCTGAAGTGCTGCTTTTGGGGTTCTTAGCTTTTATTTACGCCCATTATTAATAGTCAGCATTTGCATCGTGCACTGCTAGATTAACTACTTTGTACGGTGGTGCTGGTTTATAGCTGCTTCGGTAAGTCCAGCCGGGGAGATCAGGACAAATAGTTTGCCGCGTGAGCATGGGTGTGGCTCAGATTGATGGAGACGCACTTATGGACGCCGACCTTTCTGTTGACCACCGTGGGCCTTTGCACTCTACTGTACATCCCCGGTACGCATTTGGCTTTCAGTCTTTCCATAAACGGCCAGCCTTGCTCTTGAAGCCGCGTTTTTCAAGGGGGGTCCGCAGTGGAGTTTTCTGGTATGTGTTTTCTCCGCAGTTTTGTTTATATACTCCGCCACTGGGTGGCCTTTCCCGGGCATATTTGGCATCGCACGAGGCATTTTCGCCTGGCCTCTGCTCTACTTTGTTGTGCTGTTGTGGGTTGGAGTCGGTGAGCAACACAATATTTTATGCCTGCTTGGAAAGAGCTGTGTCACTGCAACCTCGGGCAATAAATTCCGTCAGCCAAGACTCCCGACGGAGTCTTTGATCAATGCTTCCAATTTCGCGCCCATTGCGTCGAGCTCGTAGCTTTTGCATTCAGTGTATCTGCGTGCCGCGAAGTTTGGCACAGCTGCGTTGCGGCTGGTTTTTTACCTTTCAGGCTTGATGTTACAGGTCTTGCTTGCGGGCTTTAAAGCGTCACTTTTTCCCAATATCGCGTACGCAGCTTTTCAGTGCATATCCCTGGAGTCGAATTTGTTTCTTGTGTCTAGTGTATAGTGTGGGGTTATATGGGCACCTTTTAGTCTGTTGTACCATTTTGTTTCCTGGCAGAACTAATGTGAAGCAGTGGCTGGCTCAGCGGCAGGTGGAGCATGACAGGAGACGGCGAGTTACGGCTTTGCCATTCGAAGAGCCTCGGCTTCGACTTCTTCCTGGTAGGTGCGAGGATGCTAGAGAGAATCATGAGTATATCACATTTTTGATGCTCCCCGGCTGCGTTCCTGCCGCATGCCTATCGACATCTCCATACGTCGTCGCTGTGCACTGGTTTCCCTAGGTGGTCAGGACGAATACGGCTGCTATTGTGGCAGAAGCAGCCTTATTTCTGCGATAAAAAGGCTCTTATGGATATGCGGATTTGGCAGCTGCCTTCCAGCTCCCGGCCCTGTGCACCAGCTTGTTGATCCTCGCATCCTCGCCTTCCTACGTGACAAGTTCAACCCCTTGCGGCATAGCGACGTGTCTAGCAAGCTGCCACCCCCCAGACGATTCCGCGTGAACGAGAACTTTGTTACTTACGGAGGCGAAAAGAAAGATAAAGACGTTGGAACTCTAGGTGATCAGTGGGGGAACGCATATGATTAATTTCGGGTGAAAGGGAGTTTAAGAGCGGGCTTAAGTTTGTAGCTTGGCATCTGTGGTTAGTGGTGTGTGAGGCACTTCCGTAATTGTCCCGCGACGTGCATACCCCTCTTTTCTTGCATGCTCTTCTCTAGGGAAGCAGATTGCATTTGCAAGGCCCCTTTTACCCCAGCAGTAAGTTCAAGCTGGAAGCTTATACTCAACTGACATGCATCGAGTGCGCTTGCGTTCAGAGAAAGACGGTGTAGGCTCACATGGCAGAGGAGGAGGCGCTGCGGTGAGTCACGCACGCATCAAAACTCCGGCGTAGAACAGCGGAATAGTGTTGTACCGCCTCTGGTCTGCTCTCTGTGGTGCCGGACGCATTGCAGCGTAGGGAATATATGGGTATGCTCTGCATGATGCGTTTTATCGCAAAAGGCCGTTTGCGTGCCTGCGCTTCAGGATGATGGCTCAATTGACACAAATTCTTCGGGGATGTCATTTGATGGCGATAAGGCTCGGGACCAAGTGAAGCTTGTAAGTATGGTAGCTGGGTGCCTCAGATGCTTTCCGTATGACCTCTTGTGCCCACGCAGCTGGAGGTGCTGTAGCATATCTGCTATGTCATTGCTTGTTCTCAATTCAGGTTAAAGTATCCCACCTTATCAATCGGTTTTCGCTCAAGTTCAAGGACATGCAACTCGAGGCAGACTATCAAATTCATCAGAAGAAGTCCTTTGTCAAGCGCCTAGTGCCTTGGTAATTTTCTCTCTAGTGTCTACCTGGATTGAGTAACCCACAACTCTCTGCCTTCGTCGACATTACACTGATCTCCTCATTTATACATAATGCCTCTGCAAACATACCGAAGCAATCAACCAGGGGATTTATGGAGCGGTGTTGCACTTGTAGAAACATCTCGGCAGCTGCAGGGTCAGCAGGTGCAGGGTGTAATGAGACGTGCACTTAATGCTGTGCAGCTTGTGGAAGTTATGCTCATTTCAGGTACCGCGTCATTTTTGTGTTTCTGGGGATCTACCGCATCATGGCATTTCTCGCCGAGTACTTCATCGACGTTTATTGGGGAGATGCGCAGCATGTTCTGCGTGCGTTGCCACTATCCGTAACCTTGCAGCCTGCCATACCTTATGATTTTCAATTCAGCGGTGCACAGCCTATTCATCTAGCGTCAAGCGATGCAGATTCAGAGGATGGAGAAATGACTACCACAAAGCACACAGAGGTCGGACTCCCATGGCGTCGATGAGCAATTCGTGCATTGTGTGATTGCTTTGGTGTCCGCTATTCAGCATGGATGTGCGTTCCAACAGTCATTGTGGTTTTGGGATTTATTGGCGCAACTCTTTCGACGTTCAGCCATTTCTTTATGGATCATTTTTCTGTGGTTTTAAGTTCCGTCGTGTTCTTGATGCTGGCCGAGCACGTCACCTTATACGCTGCTGCGGTGGGTTGAAAGCGACTCCAGGATTCCTTCCTTGCTTTTTGTGCACTCAGATGATCGGCGATAATTAAAATTGGGTGTTTTATGCATGTGCTGTTCACACTGCAGAAAATGGATGGAATCTTGAGTTCCGTGTTGTTTCCTGTCTTCACTTTTGTCATCCTCCGTATTTCCTTCTTGCAAGCCGTCATGTGGAACATCCTCTTTGTCTCGGCCTTTACTATCAGGTGAGTTAGCTCCTTGTGGCAGCACTGTTTGCTCACTTGTTGTACGGCGGGCGTGGCTTTGCTCTTGAGCCGTTACTTCGACTTGGCAAGCGAATCAAGCGTTTACTCCATACCTGCAATTGATGGTGAACGTGGGTGCGGCCGCCTTCGCAGATATATTATTGGACAGAGCCACAGTTACCTCTACCTTTCAGATCTGTATGATCACTTGCCACTTTTCCTTGGATCCATTGTATTTGTCGGTAAGCATATGGCATCCTTTCGTTCGTCCCTCAGAGGGCCCCGTCGCCCTTCATGCATGGTTTTCTGGTGATCATTCTTTGTGTGAAAGCTACTTACCAATGAACCAGGACGCATTGACTGCTCTTGTAGGCTTCGTTGGATACCGCTTAGAGTACAACCAGAGGAAGTCTTTCTTATTAGACTACAGCGTGGAGGCTAGCAGAAGAAAACAACGCGAAATTCTTAACACTATGCTTCCCCCCTTCGTCGTGGACCAGATGATCAATGCGCCATTGAATGAAGATGGGTAAGCACTTTCCGAGTTTGGTTACACATCTAGGTGCCTAGTTGTACTTCTCTAGGTTCTACATATGTACAAGGCCTTTGCCGTGTAATTCTCAGCATGGGGGAGACTGGCATGTTACCGGGGGTGTGGCTGCAACGAATCATCGAAGGTGCATCGATTATCCTGTTTGTGATCTGGCTCAGCATCCCGTCAACTCTAGAAGCCGATGACCGCGGAACAGTTTCTGTCGTATTTTGCGACGTGTATGAATTCCAGCAGGTGGTCGCGTCAATCGAGCCCACACGGCTTGTAGAAGTACGTAAATGTCTTTTGGTTTCGATGTAGTGTCCAAGCCCGTGTACATGCATGCATGCACAACTACCTGAGAACGCAGCTAAACCGCCCTTTTTGAAGTGTGACCTTGTCGGGGTGCGCTAAGGTTTTGGATTCACTATTCCTTTGCTTTGATAAAAGCGCTGAACAGTTTGGCTGCACAAAGATCGAGACTGTCTTCGAAACGTATCTCGCGGGTGAGTTGGTGTTTCTTCCTAGAGAACGATTACACACCAGCACTTCTGGTAGAAGCACCACCACATGTGGAGCCCTTGGTGGCCCCTGGTCAAGGCTCGTACTAAAGATATGTTACGTATTCTGATGGGTTGTGGATCGTGATACCATTGGTGCAGCTGCTGGCCTCCAGCCCGGAAAAGGAGGCGAGTCGGATACTTCCCAGACGGACGCAGGAGATGCAATGGAGTGAGTCATAGTTCGGCCTGCGTGTAAAGGCTGCAGGGAAGCACTGAACTCTAGTTTGCCTGAATTGGGTATTCCCATGAATCATTGTAATGCCTTGGTCTAAGCTTTGGTATGAAGGACCTGCCCAACCCCATAAATGTTGTGGTTGTCTTTGGCATATGGGCATGAACACCCAGTAGGCATCCTGTGGCACCTACAGCAAAGGGGCCCTCACAATTGTGACTGCTGCTTCCTCATTGGTGCTGAGCTTTGCTGGGCTTAGTAGGTTCTCTCTGCAGTCATAACGCATTAAGCCTTCTGCTCTCTCTGTCCTGTGATTTAGTATGGCATTAGCGATGTTAGAAGTCGCAGCTCAGATTCGCTATGAAGTGACGCGCGACCTCACCTCTGTCGTCGCCAACGTTGACGATGAGCGTAAGCTCGTTTACGATATTAAGATCTACACATGGCGAACCCATGGGCGCGGGATGTGGGCCATTGCGTTGTTGCATGGGAACATCAGGCCTTTGTGCTCCACCCTTAATGGCTGGCCATTGGCATTATTCGTTTCCGCGGCATGTCCTTTGCTTATAGAACTAGCACCAGCTTCACGGCTTGGAAGCACTGCAATGGTGCGGCAGAAGACGTCTACTCTCCGAACAGTCCTCAGATCTCGACCGCAGCGCATTCGTGTCAAAATCGGAATCAATTCAGGTCCGTGCTTAAAAGGAGTCGTAGGATATTTCAATGGTCCCGCCCTGGTGCTGCTGGATGTGGGCGCCGTGGTTGTTGCGGTGAATTGCACAACTGGTAACACTTTGTGCCAGGTGCCAAGGAGTTGGTGTCTTCAGGTCGAGTTATTAGTGGAGTGGTCGGAGCGAAAAAGCCTCAGTATGCTCTTTTCGGAGACACAGTCAACACGGGTAAGGATTAAGGCTGTTTTGCCCAGGGTGAAGCTTTATGACAGTGTCTAACAGAATGACGTATCTTCACGGCATTCGTCGTGCACCTGTCTCGCCGTCTGCTTTTCGTGGAACAGTGGAACGACAGATAGAGTAGCTCAGTACATCCCCACCTATTTGTGCACCGTGGCAGTGGGTATTCAGTGTGCGAAACAAAGCTTCTGCAGCTAGAGGGCATAAGAAAGGGACTCCCACGTAAAGAAGGGAGTTCTGTGCTGTCTCGTTCAACGGATGCGCAGCAAGTCGTATGAAGACAACCGGCCAGCCGGATTACATCCATATTAGTGAGAGCACGTATGGTCTAGTCAAGGAGGACACCACGCTTATCTACGAGTCGCGGAAGACAACTGTGAAAGGGAAGGGAGATATGAACACATACCTCCTTGTGCGGGTGTTAGGTGAGATACTGGTTTCTCTCGGATGGGAATGCTTCGCGAGCCAGCAGATTTTTGTACCATTGTATTAATGTTTGACATAGGCATATGGCTTGTGAGTATTGCCGCTCTGCTCACGTACATTTCTTTTGCGTGAAGCATCGTCTTAATCGTTTTGCCAATGGAGCCATGGGCAACGCAATGTCTATGGTTCCTGCGGGTCCCTATAGACAGACGCACGCGTGTAGGGGTCCCCTCACTTGATGAAAGGGTGGTTCTGGGGATGACTTCCGTAGGTTCATCTTATCCAAACTTTGGCGAAGACGAGCCACCTCTCTTGGATCCATTGAACAGCAAAGAGGAGTTGCCAACGCATGACTTTTTGCAAGCTTCGGCTTCAAGTGCGTGGTCCCTATGTAGCAATCACTAGCAATCACTCGCACTTTTCAAACGGAAAAGCGTTAATGACGGCATGCAGAAGCCCTGCATTGACTTGCCCCAAACCAGTGATTCGACAATATTAGCTTTGTGTGCTGCGCTTTGTACAGCGGTTGGGAGGGACAGGCTCCCTGGCTATTGGGTATGTAACTGCCATCCCTTGTCATATGTTCAGCTGTGCTCTTTGGTAGTCAGCAGACACCATGGGAAGGCGCACTTGACTCCCGCTGCTTGTGGTGGCACGATGTGGCCTCTGCATTGTGTTCATATTTTGCTGTCTCTTGCGCTTGTGTGCGTGCAGACTGGGAATCCCGACGCCGCTCTCCATTCCAATGAGGCACTGCTACAGAGCGCAATGTCATTCTCGCATGAGGAGAAGCACACATTGGAAGCCCCTGGCGTGCAGGCTCAGTCTCTTCCGTCAACGCCACGTTTGACACCTGGCACGCTTTCTCGTTCTTCTCTCTCTGAGGCGTTATCACCTCCTGAAGGATCCAGTCCCAGGACACCTTCCATCAATTCTCTCGAACGCACATCCTCTCGTAACCATCGTAGCTTTTCAGCGCTCTCAAACGGAGAGAGCGGGGCGCTGAGCATGACACCACAACAACTGACACGCGCCTACGCTCGACAGGAGAGTGTCTCTCGCGTATTGGCCTTCGCCAGAGATGGCCTCCAAACCGCTGTGAAGGAACCATCAGAGTTAAAGCGGCACGAAATTGCCCGCCAAGTGCATGCACAGATCCTGCGCGAGCAGCTGCACCACGGCAACAGCTCTGTGTGGTCCTCTCAGGAGGACATGAGCGTTGCAAGCAACTGCATTCCTCCTAGCGTAGCCTCCTTACCGCAGTTCCGATATTCTGTGTCCCATACCGCCGACATCCGTAACAACTCTCGAATTGGCAGGTCCATTAGCAACAGACAGTCTCCCCGCCCACTTGTGGCGAAGCAGTCTACCAGCGAGGGCCGCGCCGTTGAAATGCGAAAGCGCCAAACATTTCCAGCTGGTCAGGCTTATTCTATTGGGTCCCATTTTCCACAGAACAAGCTCTGCTACCTATGTGGGCAGCGCATAATAATTATGCATTGCCTGTCTATGAGCGTAGCGCTCAAGCGTGTGCTCTTCAGCATCGGTCGTGTGCTGCGTTGGGCGTGCTGCAGAACCGTGTCTCACGACACAGGGTTCGTCGGCAGGGCATGCCGCAAGCAGGTGGCGTGCGGCAAACGACTTGTTTTTCCACATAGGAACAGAGGCCCAAGCCAAGTTCACAGGCCTACTAAAGGTGCTGGGAAACAGCAGGTAAGGAACGTATTATGAAATCTGGGGGAGGCTACAGCTTCTCGTTGCAGACCGTATGTGCTGACTGAGTATCGAAAGATTGCTGCAAAACGCTTCATGGGGAAGCGGCTTTCTGCCTGTGCACTTGCAGCAAAGAAGAAGAGCATACCGTAGATTTGGGTATGGACGACGAAGACAATTTTGGTAAGCAGCTGCTGTCCAAGGATTTTAGCGCTCATCTGGCGAGACCTTTCGTTACGTCGTGCTGCGTTGAAGTAAGAGCTGTAGTTTGGCTAGTAGCCATTGTGCAGATCTCTGTGACGCTGTACAGACCGTGCGGCACCTGCTCGCTTGCTGCGCGTTTCGCTTGCAGAGGCGAGAGAAGCTCGCATAGGGGTGTCTCGCGAAAGCTTGTTGCTGATGAAATTTAAGGACAAGAACATGGAGGCCCGCTACAGGACTCACTTTTACAACAACAAGTCAAACATCAATACTATAGAGCAGGCAATCATCATTTTTCTGGTCGCGTTTGCAGTGCAAACCCTCGTGCGGCTGTGCATGCCTTGGCAGTACATCGAAGTAGTTGAAGGCGTCAAGTATACGGTGGAGGTCTCTAGCGAACTTTATTGGGGCGTCCGCGCTACGTATACGTGTGCTGCGTTCTTCTTGTGGATTCTCTTTCACTACCGCAACAGAGATGAGGTGGGCTGCGCACTTAGTGTCTCCTCTGCGATCACGCACTGAAGCTGGTTTGGAGCCAGGGGAGTGTCATTCTACAATTGCGATAGATGACTGCGTGAAGTACCATTACCGCTGTATGCGTTATGCTGCAGCTGATGTACCTATAGTGTGGGAGTGCGTGGCTTTGATTATCCTCATGTGCTTTGCATTTCATATGGATGACAGCGGCCCGCCTGTTCTATCTTGTTGTGCAGGTGGCGTCTCGCTTGGAAATTCGCTGGATGGTATTTTTGTTGAATGTGTTATTTATCTCGGCGGCCTGCGTCTTTGCACTAAGCAATAGTTGGAGTATTCAGACTACGACGCGGGAGCCGCAGGGGGGTGGGGGTGTTGCCACTTCCAGTTTGACCAGCGCTTCTGTACTCTCCCCGGGGGTGGCAATCCAAACGTCTACCTTGGGAACGGACATGCTGACTTACTTAAGAGGCGGCCCCACAGTGCGCATGCCTGAAAACGTTGATGTGCACTCCCCTGTTTCATTCCTTTCATCTAAGTCAGTGACACCCGGTCAACTCGTCGAGGCTATGGAGAACTGCCCATATGATGTCTGTCCCGGCTCTGGCGCAACTACCCCGACGGAAGATTTACCAGCGCTTTGGCGGCGGCTGTCAGATAACGTGCCACCGAAGGCTATTCCCGCATCAGATGTGGTAAATGTGCCGGGACAACGAGGAGCATGTTTCTGGCTTGTTTCGGATAGCGTTGAGCTCTTCTTTTACGTTGTGATTCTGCATCACAATACCGGACTTCTCTTCCAAAACTGCATTCTCGTCGACATCCTACTTCTCACCACGTGCCTCACGTTCATCCTTACAGCAGCTGTTTCCTCAGCCAACACCATCGGGTACACTCTTCCCTACCCGCAGTAGCAGTCCCAGCACGGAGCAGCAGAGCTCGACAGACAGGCTCCTAGTGACTGCATCCACCATTTCGTGATAGGACGAACACAATGTCCGTTGCCTTTTGGTTGCTGTTTGCGTGCAGGATGGTTGTGAACTTCCCGTGTTACGTCTTTTTCAATCTGGTGCGTGGACCACCCGTTTCACAGTTCCATGAAAGTTACGCTTTTCCCCTTATTAGCTTTCGAAATGCTCCTCTTCACGATGGGCTTTGCGAGATGGCGAATGATATCTTCCTTCAGGTCAGCGCCTACTGGAAGGAGTACATTGACCGCTTGACCTTCTACGTCAACGAGCATGCGAAAACGACGGAAGGTCGCGCCACGCAGCTTCTCAATGACATGCTGCCAAAGCAAGTACGTCCAGCATCTGCGATTCCAGATAACAGGGCACTCTGTATGTACCGCCTCTTTTACGTGCGGTGCTAAGTTTTTGCAAATGAATGCCACTCAACGAGGCTCTGCCGAGTGGTGGTGTAATGCCGCTGCAGGTGCTGGAAGAGTTCCAACAGGACAAGCTGCGGCTCGCATACACCCACGATCGAATGACTTTTCTTTTTGCTGATATTTGCGGGTTCACGAGTTGGGCAAAAAATGTGGACGCCTGCGAAGTAAGCGCGCTGACCCGTCGGGCACTTTTACCCCTTCATGCAGGCCTCTTCCTGATGCCTTTTATTGGACACCTTGTTCTAGACGGCCTGCTCAACAACGCTGACGGCGAGGCCTGGCAGTAGGGGATTGCCTACTCGGTGCGGCAAGGAGGGTGTGCGGGACTGCTGTGCTCCGCAGGTGGTTACAATGCTGCAAAAACTGTTTGCAAAGTTTGATCGTGACAGCACAAAGTACAAGCTCTATAAGCTGTGCACAATAGGTGACGCGTACGTAGCGGTCAGCGAGCCAGTTACTGAAGATAACGAGGTATGTACGGGGTTTAACATTTCAGCTCGTGGTGCCTGAGGCTAGTGGTCTTGACCTGGCAGATTGTGACAAGTTTGAACGCTACGATTGAATTCACCGGATTCAGACTGTTCGCTGTAGGACGTGTGAGAGTGCCTACTCTGTACAACATCCCTTCGGCAACGCTAGCGAGGGAGCTGTAGCACCATACTCTATTGCGAGCGTTCGGGTTTCATTGCGCCATTGCAGGACTATGACCCCGTGGAAGGCACCGGTTTGGTGCTGACCATGGCACAGTCCATGATTACGAACATCCTCGAAGTCCGCGAGAGGCTGAGCATCCCAAGCTTGAACATGCGCATAGGTACACCTTCATGGTTCCGGCCTTTGCTGGTGCTCGCCCTCCTAAACAAGCCAGGTGTCCATCCTTATAGCGATTATTGGTAGCCTTGTGGTTTGTGATAGGTCTACACTACGGAACTTGCGTTGGCGGGGTGATTGGCTCTGGACGGTTGCGGTGAGCAGGATATTCACGCTTCAAGCCGCTCTGAGCCGAGCGACAAGAACCCCTTCACCCTATTGCCCTTCAGTAGAATTGAATGTTACGACTGTTTTCCGCTCCCGCTGTAGGTTGTTGGCTCCTCTGTGTTTGATCATACGCAAGCTCACCATTTTATCTTGCGGAAACAGGTATGACTTGTGGGGAATGGATGTTCTCACGGGAAATATGATGGAAAGCAACGGACAGCCTGGAAAGGTCAATGTTAGTGCAGTGCTCCGTGACTTTCTTCTGAAGCACTTCCCAGGGTACGTTACCACAAGAGCTTTTGTTTCTTGCCGTGTCCCAAAGATTCCGCAATATGAGGCGCTCCTTTTATGATTGGGGGCTACATAGCGTCTACGATGGTTTCTATCGTGTAACCGGTGCCTTTGACAGTTAGCAGCAGCATCGCTTCGTGTAAGTTGCATAGGATGGGCAGCATTCCCAGGATCTGACCTTCAGCCTACTGATCCTCGAGGGCTCTCCATCAGTTCCTGGCAGTCAAACTTGTTTACTTGCAGGAAGTTCCAATTTCGCTTTAACAAGACAGTTTGCGTCATCAACAAGACGGTTGATTCCTACATCATCCACCCAGCGTAAGCACTTTCGGCAGTGCAACTTGCCCCTGTGGATGCTCCTTGTGCCATGTTTCTCATATCCCACGTGCTGCATATTCGCGGAGAGTAAGGCAGGTCATGGCATAAGTGCGCACAGGTGTGTTGCCTCTCCGTGTGTGTGTGTGTGTGTGTGTGTGTGTGGATGTACGTGGATGTACATGTGTGTCGTCGCCTTGGTGAATACGCGTGCAGAGGAGAAGTGACGGACGAACTCGCTGGAGACCAAGCAGGACCCGAGCCGCCTTTAATACCACAGCCACCGGGGATGTCTCCAGGTCCAAGCCGCGATGACTCCGCGTGCGCTTCATTCACAAAACAGCAGAAAGCTTTATGGAGGGCGGTCATATGGGTAAAATTTTTTGAGCTTTCCGCCGTCGTGCGGACGGCATTGGCATACTGCGGAGGGACACAGACATGCACCTGCTGTATCGTCATTGTGCTGTGAGTGCGTATCGCGCAGCAAGCCAGAACTCCGCGGGAAGAGATCTCGCAGAGGATCGATCATGGGAGTCCATGGTTCTGTGGGACGGCGATACAGCGTCCGCGGCAGCGCTGAGGGCAGCTTACCTGCAGAGTCCCCTCGTGGCAGTCTCCCGTGTGCCAGCAGGCCTGGATCGCGAGCCAGCAGCTGCCGCAGCTCTGCTCCGCAGGGGGAAGTACAGGACAAACTTTTGGCTAGCCAACAGCTGGACGCAGAGACACATGCAGGTCAGCTACAGTGCAGACCCGCATGTACTCGATTACGTGCCATCACATTAGGGCTATTATAACTTTCTCAGCAGTGCTTCGGGCAGTGTTGCACTTTTTCACCTGTAATTGCTAGAAGTCAAAAGTATCGGGCCCATCTTCTGCACGCTTTTGGCGAGATCAACGGCTCTTTGAATGTCAAGGGGCTTCTTAAGCCCAGGAAAAAGGACTATTCATGTGATTTTGTTCATAGGTAGTCCTGCAGCTGGTGGATGCGACCCAACCGCGCTGCAAGACTTCAATCGCTCGGGCAGCACAGCCCACACAGGCGCCGCGCCGATGCACCCAATAACGGTAAGGCCACCTCCGTCGATATAGCAGAATCACAAACATGGCTTAGGAGGCAGACTAGGCGAGCAGAAGGGTTGGATCCCCAGAGCTGCTCTGGACAACCAGATGTGAAAGCTCTTTGAGCATAGATAATTTTACACCGCAACTTCCAATGAAGCTTAACTCATTTGCGATGGGTTGTGCCTTTCAGGAGGAGAAGGCGGCGCCGACTTCAAGTCCAGATGTTAACAGCGATAGCTCTCCAGAGATATATTGAAAAGCAGAAAGCAAGCTACACAGGCCTGCCCTGCTGAACAGCCAGTTTCGAGCTGTCCGAATTGTCCAGTCTTTCGTGCCACGCTTGAATGCACCAAACCGTGCCCGCCGTCAATGTGTGATGGCTTAAATGCGCATTCCTCTTGATCGTTCAACTCAACACTCGGCACTTATACTTTATAAACAGTCTCTCTGGATTACACCTGAAATGTTCAAGTTAACTGCAATCGCAGTTCCTCAACTGCGATTCCATTTCTTTAGCAGGTCCCCTTAGGGGATCTGTCAAGCCGATCCTCAAAGTGTTACGCTGCTGCAGAAAACACCCTTGTTCGCAGGGTCTCTGCACGCGACCTTTTCTGGAGGCGCTGCAGTGCCAACACTTATGCGTCAAGTCGTTTGGTACACGCGCGGCAGTAAACGGATAATGCGCCACAGGCTTTAGCTATAGTGCCGTGCCAGCAACGCATCTAGAATTTCAGCTTCAGCGACCGACATGCAACCCGTCTCTGTCACTAGAAGGCCGAGTAATAGTTTTCTACCGCCTGCTAAGTCAACTAACACCTCTATGCGGCGCACTGCTCAGGTGCAGCAGCAAGCGCCCCTCAGACAAAGAATGTAAGTGTATGATCTTATTCAGATCATGACGCCTAGCAGGAAGGTTGCGCGTCACCAGAAAGCCCCAAGAGCATTAACCCTGTTGCGCCTGAAGGGGCCTATTATTCCTGCGTCGTACGAGCTGCCGCAGTTTTCAGCACCAACTCATCGCTGCCAGGGACACCCAGGAGCATCCAGCCGTCCTCAAAAATAAAACACGGCAACCCCGCTGCCGTAGAAGCAGCTATCAGTTGTTCATAAAGGCTACAAGAGGCCCTTCGAGGTCTTGTGTCCAGCGACTCGCTGCGAATTGTCGTGGGAGATGACCTTACATTTTCACTACCTGGTGGGAGATCCTCCTTGGAGGGGGTCATGGCCGTGCTCCTTCTGCTGCCCGAGCACCGTGCCACGGTGGACTTGCTGCAGATGGGTTCAGCACTGTCACGCGGAGGAACGCCTCTTACGTAGAGGAGGATATCAGCCTCCTTGAAGTGGCTCTCCATTTGCAGCCGAAAGGCCCTCACAGCAGCTCTTGCCTGTCGCAGCAGAACCGCCTTCGTGGGGTCTCTCAGAATTGTGCCTCCTGCAATGCGTAGATCCATGCAAAGAAGCTTAAAGGTTTGTTTGGTGATGCGCGTGCGCAATGCTTGCATAATGCTACGCGTCGAGCTAAACTTCTGGCTCCACTTTTGCTGCATGCTATCCCCCCTGTCCATTTCTTCTGCCAATGCGGAAGTCAAGACACAAATGAACTGTAAGTCGCCTGTGTGCGTTCCTAAGGGGGCTGCCTTTTGTCGGTGCTTCTGAGTCACGAAACATGGAAGTCTCTCCCGCTTCCCCTAGTGTACTAGCACGCAGACCTCCCCATCCCGTCTACCCCGCGTACCAAGTAGCAGTTTGTGCTTTACCGTAGGACTAAAGCACAATGCCCTCTCCAAGGAAACTCTCGCTGCAAAGCTCTGCTCATGCATCTGCTGCTCCTCCTGGTTGCTGCTTCGGTGCGCTTGCTGCTGCCTGCGCGGGCACACAGAAAAAGATGCCGCTCTCATAGACCCCGCCATAGGCCCCCTGCGCGGGCTTCTCTAGGGGCCTCATGAGAGCCAAGAGATCTTAGAAACAGACGTACCCCGCCAAGCAAGAGGAGGCCGCCTCGAAGGCGCCTTCGCCAATCCTCAGAAGAAGTCCAGCAGCTTCGCAGCACTGCAGCAAGGCCCCTCCAATAGTTGCTCGCTCGAGTACATCCGCCTGTAAGGCCACCGAAGAGCTTTCTTGAAAACTCCAACTTTGTTGCTGCTGCTTCAGGCTTTCCAGCAGGTGCTGATGCCCCCATGCAGACGCTGGTGCCGCCGAGGCCGCCTCGCTGAAGTCTCCCCCGTCGCCCACTGTGAGCAGCGCCAACCGTGCAGCGGGAACGCTTTGTTGTGGCTGCTCTCTCTCCCTCTTCTTCGCGTCTTCCTGGTAAAATCGCAGCGTGTGGAGATCTTTGGGGTCGGGGCCTCTAAGGGCCTCGAAGGCCCTCCTCAGCAGGGAGGCCTTGCTGCCGCACAGCCACATGGCAGGCGCTCCCGAAGACGCCAGCAGGAGGGGGGATAGATGCGAAGAAGTGGATCGTGCAGCCTCTGACGCTGCCTCTGCCTCAGCGGTTGCTTCCGCCACAGGGAGTGCCTCTAGAATAGCCGCAGCAGCACCGAAGCATCCAAACCAGCTGATGCTCCCCCTGGAAGGGGCAAATGCCATGGTGTGCTGCTGAAGCAGTCCTTGCCTGTTGTCTGCATTCCCAGAGCGCGGCGCGACACTGTCGGTGGTACTCGTACTGCTGCTGCGGGTGAGGCCCCCAACGGGGGCCTCATGCTCAGCCGCAGGATCGCGTAAGGGGATTGGCGGAAGGGCTGACACCTCGAGGTGAAGCGGGGCAGCAGATCTGCTGCCGCGGGGGGCCTCAGGAGGCCTCACAGAAACGGATGCACCCGTGGCCTTAAGCCGAGCCACTGCCGTCGACTCGTATGCTGCAGGGCCCCTCAGGAAGCCTGCATGCACCCTCAGCAGCAACTGCAACAACAAATTGGCCACCACAACGCCAGCGCCGCACGCCACTTCGGCACGGCAAGAGGAGGGCGTCCCACTCATGCAGATTTCTGCCCTCTGTCTGCAAGCGCCAAACAGTGCATGCCGTTCCCCGGGAATTCAGGAGGGCTGTGGACTCGTGCTGCGCGCTGGAGGCTCTGTAACTCACGGGGCCTTCTATCCGGTGCCTCAGGATTGCTCAGAAGAGGCGAGACGCACACGCATATTCCGTGGAGAGGCTGCGAGCGTTCTTCGGAATCTCCTTTTGGGAGAGTATTCGATGCGTTTCCAGAGACTCGGGTGTTCCCGTCCGCAGGCGCTGCAGTTGCTCTTCTCGGTAACGCAGTCCTTTCGGCGGTAGAGTCCTCCAAGCAGGCCCATAAGAGGCCCCCAGGGGGCCTCCTTAGGAGGGGGTATCTACATGCAAACGATGGCACGCAGGCTTGAAGGGGTCTTTCGGCCTGCAGTTCGCGACGGATCCTGCCCGTGGTATTGCGGCTGGCAAGCTGCAACGGTCCGCTGACATCGCAACGCCGGCTTCGGCTGTTGCACGTCCCGCTGCTAGCCGCTGCAGCGCTCAGGCGATGAGGCACCTGTCGCGGCTGTAGCGCAACAGATCCGGGGATACCAGCAAACAACAAGACCAGCCCAAGACAAACGAGGATTGTGAGGCCCCTAACGGTTTGATCCTTTCCACCTTGGGGGCCCTTGACAGCCCTAAGAGCAAGTGTAAAAGCTTCCATAGAAGTGCGCGAGGCCGCCCTTGCCTCGGCACAAGGCGGTAATTCTCCCGGCAGCCCCCCTCTCCCCTTCCTCGGTGGAGCTCGGGAACTCGTGATGAGGGAGTGCAGGGACGCCCCGAGAGATGAAGGCGGTGTCGCGGTGTCTCACTGCGATTCAATGGGGACAGCGCTGCGAAAGTTGCAATACGAATCGCATATTGGCATTGCGCATGCCACAAGGAAGGGCTCAGCAGGAGGCCCAGGGGGCCCCCAAGAAGCCACCGTTGTTCCGGTGTGTGTGGGACTGCATGTATCGCAGGCTGGACGACAGCCTGTGCTGTGGCATTTTTCCTGAGCATCCTCCCCCAACATGACCTCTTTTGCTGCTTTATTTTCATCCATAAATGTCTGTGTCGAGAGAGAGGGAGAGAGAGAACGCCGAAGAGGCTGAGGGCCCCCGGTGTCGTGCAGCCCGTCCTAAGCTGCGGCGAGCACTGCCTGTAGGAGGAGCCTCAAAACTGCTTCTCCACCTCCATACTTGCCTAAGGTGGTGCGCCTCCTCCCCTGGTATGGCCGAGTATCTCTAGCAGTGTAAGGGGCCTACCCTCTCTTCGTCAGTTGCGAAGATGCAGGGGATCCCCCCGAATTCCAGCCCGTGGAGGGCCCCCGGAGATCTCTTTGGTAAAGCAGCCATGCCCGCTGAGGAGAGCCGTGGCAGTGCTCTTTTTCAAAGCCTTTCTACGGCGAACGCAGCAAGAGCAGCAGCAGCACCACCCTCCCTCTTTGGAAACACCCCCGGGTCCTCCGCCTCCACAGGCAGCACCTCCACGAGCACGACCACCCCCTTCAACGCAGCCTCAGCTGCTCCCTGGGGGGCGACGACAAGTCTCTTTGGAGCTTCTTCTGCGGCAAATGCGGGTCGACAAGTAGCCGCGTTCGCAGGCATCGCGCCATCTGCGGTTCCCAAAGGCACTGGTGGTAGTGGACACATACTGTTTGGAAGGGGTGTCGGAGTAGCGGGAACTTCCTCAGGTCTCGTTGGAGGCGGCAGCACTAGCAGCAACAACGCGGCCTGTAAGTCTGGAGCTTCTGGCGGGGAGTCGGGCTGGAGCTTCGGACGGAGTGAGCTCCTGTCTAATGCATCTACAACTGGCGGGATGTTTGGCATCCCTCAGGGGACAAATTTCGCGAATGCTGCTGCCGGTAGCAGTGCGCTTGATGGTAGGTCTACGGAAGCGCTTTCGCCTCCCGCAGCCGTCAATTCTCTGTCCAAGGGACAGGGTGGGGTTGCTTCAAGTGCCACGCTTGTAGATGCCGCCAATACTTCGCAAGGCTTATCTGCCGCTGCTTCTTCTGTCTTCTCCAACACACCGCTACGGGCTCCCGCTTTCGGAGCAGGCGCTGATACGCGTGGGGTATCCGGCAGTACGACGGCCACCGGTATTTTGTTTGGGGGCCCTTCGAGTGGATCTGCCTCGGGGGGCCCCCTCTTTAGGGGCCCTTCGAGTGGATCTGCCTCCGGAGGCCCCCTCTTTGGAAGCTTCGCGAGTGGATCTGCCTCGGGGGGCCCCCTCTTTGGGGGCCCTCCAGCTGCTAGGCCCTTGCCTAGTGGCGGCTTGTTTGGCAGTGCAGTTGGGGAGGCCGCCGTGCAGGAGGGCACTAGACAGGCAGCACTTTCGCATCAGAATAATAAAGCCGCCAGCAACCGCGTTGGTACTGCTGCAGCTTCCGAGGGGCTCCTGGCTTCTTCCTCAAGCAGCGGCTTATTCGGAGGTGCGGCAGCGCGGGGGCCCTTTTCTGCAGCTCGCTCGAAAGGCAATTCTTTGCCTTCTGAAGTCTCCAATGGGTGCCCCCCAGCCACACGTAGCGGGGGCCCTTTCGAAGGCACTGCTGCTCGAGAGGCTTCCAGCTTTGAGGCGGGCAGTAGTCTGTTTGGGGTCGCAGCTGCACGACGCAGCAATGCCGTGAACGGGCATTCTGGGGGCCCCCCTGAAAGATCGGCCTTGGGGGCCGCTCTTACCAGCAAGGGGCCCCCTCCTGGACACTCCGTTGGCGGATCGAGCCTCTTTCTCGGCAGCGTGTCTGCTGCGGCTGGTACTGGCGGCTTGGCAGCAACAAAAGCGACTGCCGGCAGCAGCGGCAGCAGTGGGGGCCCCTCCTCGGGGCCCTCGGCCGCGCACGAGGGGCCCTCGTTTGCGCTAACTGGCAGCAGTGCCTTCCAGAACGCAGGAACGCCAAGCGAGGAAGCAAGCAGCGGCAGTGCTAATGGTGGCAGCGTGGTGGCTGTGCATGGGAGAAGTCGCCTCTGTGCAGCGGAGGGCCGCGCGGTTCCTCCGCCTTTGCCGCAGCCTCAAGGCTCCCACGCAAATCCAATGCTGCAGGCGGATCTTGAGGATGGGGCCTTAATTCTGCGCGTCCAGGTAGTACAGCAGCTGCAGCAGTTTCTACTAGACGGCTCGCAAGCGTCCTCACCCACCGGAGGAGGTGACGGCTCCCCGGGAGGTGCCTTTGTAGGCCAGCTTTACGGCTGCTGCAGCCACGAGGAAATGCTGGATAAGCAACAGGTTTCAACGGCATCAGACTTCGAACGCCTAGACGCAACGGTCCCTGGAGATCCAGAAGCACGCATTGTAAGCCGCATGCATATATACATATACATACAGGATTCGACCCCTTCCTCCCTTCCCCCTCATAAATCGCTTTTTCCCTTCCCCTGCAGGATCGCTGAGCTGTTTAAGGCCTACTTTACTCTCCAAGGGTATATCCAGCTTCTCAACTACTAGTGCTTCCTGCTCATCCGCTGCGCGGCGGCGCCTTTTCTGGCTTTGAAGTCTCTCTGTCTCTGTCTCTCTCGCTCTCTCTGCGCGCGCAAGCTGTGGAGGCCAACAGGGGTCGTTATCTATCACCATCAACTTCGAGATTCTTGACGCTGTCTCGCCACCTCTCCTCTTTTCCTGTGCGGCTCAGGTCAACGTACACCTCGCCTTCTCATCCTTCCGCCGCAGTGATGCGGGCAAACCATTCAAGCAGTCAGACACTCGCCCTGCAGTTTGGTGCCGGCGAGCGGTGCATGCACTCCTAACATACTTTGCTGATGCCGATTTGACCAATGGATGCATGCAGCAGCAGCAGCAGCAGCAGCAGTGTCTGCCCAGGAAGGAATACCTTTATCCGCGGCCCAGGCCGTACGCGTATATTGACGTCTACAACTTTCTGAGAGACAGGCTGAGGGCTTGCTGGCAAGAGCTCACCGTGCAGCATGTGTCACCCCATAGAGCCTCCATAGAGACCCTTGAGATTTCCTTCCGCTTCCTTGTTCTCTCTGAGGAGCTTTTGGCGGGAACTCCTGGCTTCGATGCAGTCTCGAACCACGGGCTCATGCAGACATGCCTTGACAAGCTGATGCAGGGATACGAGGCGACTCGCGCATTTCGCAGCAAACGCGATGCTGCCTCCGCTGCTGCCACTGCTGCTGCTGCTGCCGGACCAGCCGCAGCAGGGCTTAGCGCGACGGACCTCATGGATTTGCTAGTTTACAGCAGCCCGTACGAAGGGGAGTTCTGGGGGTTTCGTCTGCTGATGCTCTTGGCTCAGGAAGCCAGCGACACTGCTGTAGTATCGCTGCTGCAGCGGCTGCCGCAGCAGCTGCAGCAAGACCCCTCCGTGCGGTTCGCACTCTCCGCGTACAAGGCCTTCAAGGCTTTGGATCTCCGGAGATATGTCAGATTGATGCGGGGGGGGCCGTATCTGTTGTGTGTGCTGTTGCACAAGTTTCTTCCATTTGCGAGGGCCCGCCTGCTCGCCGCTCTCGTCTTCAACAGACTGGCCGGAGGCTCTAGAAATCCCATCAGCCCCCAGAGACTTGCTGTCTTGATGGGATTTGACGGAGAAGATGGTAATTGCCCGTTTAGCGTCAATCCCCATGCTTCGCCCTGCCCTCACGGAGTGTATCGGCTCACCTCCAGCGACTCTGCTCGTGCGACTGCCGGCGAGGGCTTTACGCCTCTCGCGTGCTCGTACTGCCCCCCGTCCCATGCGCACTTCTTCCCTGCACTCGTCACGCTGCGGTCTTGTGTCACCTTTTCTTGCACGTGCGCTGTGTGGCTGTGCCTCAGAAGATCTCTTCCTGCTGTTTCTGAAAGCTTACGGCATCGGCACGTCAGTGACGCCTCGAGGCCTGCCAGTCTGTCTTTTAGAGCAGACGGACAAGTCGCTGCTGCAAGATCTCTCTTCCTACAAGAAGGCGAAGGGCCCGAGAGCACCTTCTGCGTTTCTCGCCCCCCCCTCATGCTCCTCGAGAAAGCAGCTCCTGGATCCGGATTACCCCCCCGAGCCGCCGTTTGCTGCTGCTCCCCCGCCGCAACAGCAACTCAGGCCTTCCGCCGCAGCCCTCAGCAAGGCGTTCTACCTCAAGCAGCAGCAGCAACACGCACCGGAAGAGCCGCAGCGCCAGCATGGGCTGCAGGGGCAGCAACAGCAAGACGAACTCAGGAAGCTGAAGCGGCTGCAGCAGCTGCGGCTCCGCCAACAGGCGCACAATAAGTCTCTAGAGCGGCCGCAAGAGGGAAAGCAGGAGTCGCAGCACGAAGCAGAACAGCAGCTGCCCCAAGAGCACTCCACAAAGCCGCCACTTTTCCGTTTCGCAGCAACCTCCGCAGCGGACGAAAGAGTAGCTGCACAGCATGCCGCTTCCGCAGCCTCAGGGTCCTCTGTCTCCACCCCAGGTGTTCAGGAGGGCTATGGGAAATCTGGCGAGGCGCAACAGCTGCGACATCCGCAGCACCAGCAAACTTTGGAGGACTCTCAAGGGCAGCAACAAGAGAAGCCAAACGGGGCACTATTCCAAGTGCAGGAGCAATTCGAGCAGCAACAGGAACAGCTACAGCAGCAACGGCAGCAAGAGCAAGAGCAGCATCAGCAGCAAGAGCAGCAACAGCAACGGCAGCAACCACAGCAACTGCAAGAGCAACAGCAACAAGATATCCAAGGGGCAGAGCGGTCTCAGGGGGGGGTGCAGGCGTCTTCGTCTGTTCGTATAGGTTCAGCAGAGCGCGTAGAGTGGCTGCCTTCCTCTGTGGACGTTACTATGGCAACGAACGCAGAGACTCGTCAAGCACTTGTAGCTGGACAGGTCCCTTCAAGGGGGCCATCAGATACGCAGGCAAGCGGAGTGGCACAGGATGCAGCTGCAGCTGCAACATCAGCAGCAGCAGCTGTCGTGACTGCTGCAGGGGCTTCTCCCCAGAGCCCTCTTGTATGCGTGCCGACGGGAGTGCCGCCCATCTTTGGAGGAGCGGCGGGAAACTCATCAGTAATCACGCCGATCTCCTCGACTGCTTCTGCGACGGAAGCACGTGTCTTCCCTGCGTCGGATCTGCTCGGGGGAGTTGAGGGAGGCCGCAAACTGCGGGTGCTTCCCACCTCTCCAAACCAAACGGCACTTCCACACAGCCCCCAGACGGCGATGCCTTCACCTCCGGAGTCGACGCCAGCACGCTCCCCGCCAATGGCCAAACTGACGTCTGAGGTATCCGAGGCTTCACCGCAAGACAGCGCTGCCGCTGCGGGGGATCTGGAGGCTCTTCCTGAGGGCATCATTGGCATCCGGAGGTGGAGGCGGCGACGGGCGAGCAGAGGTAAGCGGGTCTAGACTTCTTAAGCTTCGAGGAGAGCATGTCGGTGTTCCCTCCACTTGAGGGTGCTGCTCCGCCCCGAAAAGCTGTGAATCCCTGCCTGCCTGTGCGCTGATGCGCCTTGTTCTCTGTGCGTTTGGCCGCTGCAGCAGCGTCGAATGGAGTATCCTGTGAGGCGCTTCCCGCTAAAGAGACCTTGAAAGCGGAACTGTCCAAAGAAGACGACTCATGGAAGGAGAAGGAGGGCCCTCACGAGGAAGAACACTCTCCGGCCAGGACGCGCGAGCTGAAGCAGCTAGAAAGACAGCAGCAGGAGCACCAAGAGCAGGAGCAGCAGATGCAGATGCAGCGGAAGAATCAGCTGCAGCGGTTGCAGCAGCCCTCACGGCAGCAACAGCCGGCTCAGCTCCAGCCGCGTCGGCAACTGTCGCCTCAGTCTCAGGCCGCAGATGACTTGCCCGAGAGCTTCCTGAGGAGATCCTCATCAATCAACACGCGGGAAGCTCCTGAGGAGCAGACAACCCCAACAGCAGCAGCAAGAGCCGCAGCCTCACTTTCTCTGGCCAAGAACTTTCTGGTTGAGGGAGAAATCGAGCGCGCTCTTCATGCTCTTAGGTCTCCCGAGGAAGACTTTTTGAGACTGCTGCAGCACCAAACAGAGTGGCCGCGGCAGCCGCTTCCAGAAATGCTTGCGGCTGCCATTGCTGCAGCTGCGTCTGTCCTACCGCGAGATACCCTGGATGCCATTCTGGCTTGCGAACAACAGCAAGACGAGGATCAGCATGAAATGCAGCAGCAGCTGCCGCTGCAGTACGACTCGCCGCCTCGCCTCTTCTTCAAGGTCGTCTTTCTGAGCCGCCGCGCCGCTGCTACAGAGGCCCTGTTGCTGCGTGTGATTGCTACGGCTGCACACGGGGTTGCCGTGGGGAGCAGCAGCAGCAGCAGCAACACTGCAGCTCCCGTGCTTCTGCGGGGGTGTCTTACTGCTGCAGAGACACCAGCGCTCCCTCTGGCAGGTCACTTGCTGCTCTGGCCGCAACAAGCTCTACCCCTTCCGAGGGCTGCCTTGCCAGTGCCTCTGTTCTGCGCATTGCATGCAGTGGGCGGCTTGGCTGCGCCCAGTGCCGCAGAAAAAAGTCAAGGGGAGGTCGCGTATGCGGTGGCAGTGGAGGAGGCATTGAGTGGAGCAGCCATGGTGCTATCGCCCCTCCCTTTCCTGGTGTCGCTTCCTTTTGCAGACGCAGAAACACCTGTGGCAGAGACAGGACTGCATGCACCAGCCGCATCACATAGCTCCCTCTGTGCCGTGTGCGGCGGCAGTCGCCCCGACACCGTACAGCTGCCATGCAGGTTCTCTGATCCACACACAAACCGCGAAGGCGCAGCCGCAGCACAGCAGCAGTGGACTGCAGCAGCAGCGGAGATCGCACATGCTCTTAAGATGCTGCAGCAACAGCAGGGGCAAACCGACACTGCTGTGGTGTCTGTAGTCTTTGCACTGTCGCTGCCTCCGCAGTTCTTTTCTAGGCATGCAGACCAAGCTGCAACAGATAGCTCCTGTCATGGAAAAGGTTCCTTCTTACAGTATTCGCAGCACCAGCAGCTAGCTCGCCCCGTAGATGACGAAGTTCACACTGCCTGCGCAGCTGTCCGCACGCAGCTCTTCCGCGCCGTTTCCTCGAAGTATCCAGAGTATGCAGCTTCAGCCTTAACACCAGCAGTAGCTGTATCATAAGCAGCACCAGTAGCAGTATGAGCCACCGAGTGTTGGACCTGTTTAGCAAGCTTGCGTATATGTATATATATATACTGCATGGCATGACCCCATGCTGTGCTGCTGTGGTTGGGGTGTCTACAGGTTTAATCTCGCAGAAGCCGACGTGCAAGTGCGGTGCATTGCAGTTGTCGGGTCGGGTGGGGTTCGCCGCAAATCCAATGACGGCTGCAGCAACAGCACCAGTAGCTGCTACTGCATGCAAGACGTCCTCCCTTTTGCCCGAGGCTTGCTACAGTGCCTCTCCCTTGATCCGTGGGAAGCGCTGCGGCGAGGCCCCCTTATGGAATCGCTGGTGCGACAACGCCCCATGCAGCTGCAGCGACAGCAGCTGCTGCTGTCTACATGGATTCGCACATGGAATCAGGCTCTGAATGCTGCCACTCGCGCGGCAGCAGCTCGTGCTCGGGAGTCCTTTAAGGGTCTTCTTGTAGCAGAATTGCAGCAAGAAGGCGATGTGCTGCTTGCGGAAGCTCCGGAGCAGCTTTTCGATGGGCCTGCCGCTTTACAGGTGGCACAGGTAGCCGCTGATGCAGCATTGTGTATGGAAGCCTTCCAGGCAGCAGCGGCAGCAGCCGCGGGATTTATCAATCGCTGCAGTAGCCGCTTGTGGCAGCTGCCGCCAGCTGAATGGTTACTGGCCCTCGAGATGCGGCTGCTACACGGAACCCAGCAGTTGCAACAGCACGCGCTTTCTCTTGCTGATGCAGAATTTGCAGGCTGCTTTCCCTCAGTAGACTGTGATATTGTTTATGAACTCGCCAGGCCGCTACTCCAGAGACATCATGAGAACATTCAGCAGCAGCGACAAATCCTGCCTTTCCTCCGCCGGGTGTACAGTAAGGCGGCGGCGTTGTCGCAGCTTGTCGACCTGGCCACTGTTGCTGACGCGTGCCGTTCTGCAGAGCAGCATCCGACGCAAATGCAAGATAAGTACCACTCCCTACAGACTGTATATGCTGCGGCACTGGACACCGCACGGCGCAATGCAGCAACAGTCATAGCAGCAGTTGGAAGCGAGCCCATGGTCTTCCCCTTCTCTGTGTGGCACCGCTTCGCCGGACCGGCATTTCTTCCGTGGTCTCAGCTGTCGATGCCTCCTTCACTTGCAGCTTTGGAAGAAACTTTGCGAAAATACAACGACAGCGTGCAGCGCCAGAAAAAGAACCGCCCTGAACGTGAAGACGAAGAAAATGATGAAGAGGCCTCGGTGGTTGACTGCAAGGAGCAGCAACAGCACTGCGTCAAACGGCAGTGCCCGCAGCCCTCAGATGAAGAACCGCGGCAACTGCGGCGGCGACTGTGCTGCAGAAACCTTACGCTTTTAGACGAATGCATGCGTTTCGCTGCAGAAGAAGCGCAAAGCACAAAAGCCCTGTTGGATCGGCTGAGACTTTAAAAATTTTGGTTTGGGAGGCCGTTTTTGCTCTTCCCTCTTCATTGCCAACTTTGTTTATTATCGAAACTTCTGGTGTGTTTTAAGTCCTGAGTGAAGCCAGAGGTGAGCAGTGCACGTGTCCGCTGCGCCTATCTGGCATTAGAAAGGCCGTTTTTGTTATAACTGTACACTTCAAAGCGCTTGTGCTATGTTCCTATAACCTTGACCAAGGGGTCTTTGCATAAGCTGCTGCCAGTAGCTAAATTGCCGTCATACTGTTCGGCTGTTGCCTTAAGCTTCAGTCTGTAATGTACTGTATTTTACTGAAGGAGCAATGTACAGCCATTAGCTCCGGGAGAAAGTCATCAGCCTATCCCCTTGAGTCCAACGTCCACGCAGCTCAGACGCAGCATCTAGCAGCAAGAGAGCCGAACAGCCATTGAGAGCAGCAGATGACAAGAGAAAAAGGTGTACGGCAAGTAGATGAGCACCTGAAAGAGAACCTTAGGGGTACTTTGTCTTTTTGAATGAGGCTGAGGTCGTCGCCAGTAGGCAGTCTACTCGAATTATTAAATGAACTCAGATGCCGATAATACATTAAATGCCTCCTAAAGCCCTACGAAATCAAAGCTAGCACATATTCTTTGAGCCTGTAAGAGGACAAATGTGGCCACAGAAATACGTCCTAAGGCTGACGCTTCAATAGTACCATTGCCATTCCATGGAGACATGTATAACTGAGGATGGGCTAAATTCTAAAGGAACGGACCGAGAATGGTCAGACAAAGCAATGCGATAGGTATGGCCATGTTCGGTAATAAGGAAGATCGGGACACTTAACCTCCCCAAACTCGGCTTTTCGTTTAAAAGGGTCAGTGTCAGTAGTGGCCACTGTGAATGGTGACGGAGCTTTCACGGCTTACTTGTAGAATGTCACTGTGGTCGTTTCCTGCACTGCCTAGGGCTAGTACCGAGCTTCTTTAGTGGGTGGTAGCGTAATGCGGTTGCTATGACTGTAGAGCGGATTCAGTGGGGATTCGCGAGCTGGCCTTCAAACCTACCAAATTGCATCATGGGAAGCCATGGATGTTGCCAGTTTTGAAGACTGTTTGGTTGTCTTATTAATGGCAGCTTTGCATGGACTTGTCGGAGGGCTGCAGATTTAGTTTAGTGTAAAGGAACCTCGTCACAAAACAGCACAACCTCCTTTAGAGCCCCCGCGTTGCATCTTGTTAACAGGCTTTGCAGATTTTGATTATCTTGCCAGTTAGCACCGGTATGCGGGCAAATTAGATTGCTGATCGAGTCTTGTATATATGCAGCTAGGCGTTCAGTGATAGCTAGGCTGCCGCCTTTCCCGGCCCCACAGGCGCTTGACAGAAGTTGAGTTCCTCCCTCGTGGCGCTTACTAGATGCCCACAGGCCCGAAATTTCCTGTAGGAGTAGCTTTAGACGAAGTCCTCATGACGATGCTGTACTTGTCGATTGCTTAAACAAAACACGAAGTATCCATTTTCTTCTGCCTTATACATGTGAAGGCTCGCTGCCTTTATTGTTATCCTGCTGTGTGCATGTTCATACGCATTGCAACCCCCAACTGTGAATGCTCGGACATCTTAGAGAGTGTAGTAAGTCCTACCCTAGCTTGCCATATCTACTCAGGCTGGAGCCTTGAGTGAAGCGGGCGGAGGAAGGGGAAAGCGTGTTTGAAAGTCGCTTCCAGGTATGTATGGATAAAATCTGCATGTAAGCGTCACCCAACGGATGCCGTAGATGGAACGTTCAACACATAAATGTATTATATGTGGAAATCCTTTCGCATTTTGTAATGGTGTCAGTTGGGTTCTAGTGAACACGACACAGAACGTCTGCACTAAGCATAGGGATGTGGAGCTTGGTCAATAGGGGGAGGGATTTTCATGCATTAGAATGCCATGTGCGATTTCCGCGGAATTGCTCTTTCACTCGTAAGGCTCAAGGTGGAGGGCTCACTGGGGTCCGTAACAAGAATGCAGTGCACTACAGTCTTATCCATAGCTCTATGGATCAGCCCTGTGTTTTCCTGCAAGTATTTGTCTTCCCGTACTTCGTATTCATTTGCTCTATCCAGAGAAGCGCAGTTCTTACCTTTGCCTTTTCGCCTGCTTCTTGTGAGAATGGTGAGTTGGTGAAAAACGGGACTGCTCCGACAACGCGGGTATAAGTACTCTTTTTTACCAGGCCGCTCACAAAGAGGCGTGTTTTTTGAATATAGGACGGTAGTGTAGCACCTCGGACCGCTACCGGTGCAAACATGTATGGATTTACTGAGATAAAAGGCTTTGCCGACATGTTTAACTTGCCTAGAGTTTCTTCCTTGCAAGGAAAGACTTACGTTCGCAGTATAAGGGACACCGCTTTGTGTGTTTGTGAAGGAGTGGCGCATGACTCTGTGCTCAGTTCTGAAGATGCAGCTAGCCACAACGACTGCAGCTTCTCCCCCTAGAGGCCTGTCCCACTTATGTGAAGTCAGAGTAGGATAGGGATGTTTTCGGAATATATACTAGGTCTCCCGCATCTAGCAAATGACATTTATAGCCAGGTGTCAAGTCGCCTTTAGAAACACTCCGTGTGGGTGCCACACTTTTGTGAGAAGAGGCAGCTCTAGTCAACAAGGCATGGAGTACACTAACACCACATAGACACATCTATCCATATGCACCTTTTATTAAATTCAAGCTAGTACCTCCTTAGGATCCGAAGGCCATTTTATTCAGCTACTCACGAAAAGGTTGTGCGTCTGGTGTCCCAGCTCGATCCACTCTGCCTTAAGCCATTGTCATGCACCTAAGAATTCTTCAGTGCCTGCATATATGTGGTGCTAGTTGTTTATACTAGGCACCCATTGCTACGAATTGTGTATTTGCAGAGGAGCAAAACAGCTCTTGTAATCAAGTGCACGCAAGCTTTATTTGGCTTCCTTCTCGTATTGGATTGCATTTAGGGCTTTTATGGCGCCTTTCCCATCCGGGCACCCCGGAAGTAGATAATTTGACTCAAACTTATTGCATATAGTGCGAAATCATGCATCCATTAAGTGTGTGCGAATAGGAATGAAATCTGGGGCGTGGACACCGCCTGTTCCGTAGATCTTTTGTGGCTGCATGCGTGTTCGCCAGCTGTGTGGGGCTGTTGAATTGTGGCACACGAATGCGCACAAACATTGCACTTTTGTACGTTGTACTAGAATGAGGTGTCTATTAGGAACCTTGACGAATCTAGTGTCACCCAAGAAGTTGATGTGCACAACTGAGCACGGGTCCCCTTAAAGCGCAACAGCTGGATCCAGCCACTGCATCCCTTGCAGATCAAATCAATTTGAATGAATCCGTAATGCCTAAGGGATTTTCGAAAGAAGGCTTGGGGCTCAGCGGCTGTGATTGTTCACAGCGGTTTTCCCTCGCTGGTTTGGCACAGTGCCGCGGAATGAGCAAGCGGATGAAGTTCGAAGAAAGCACCCAAGGTTTACCGGCACCAAAGAGGGGGTTTGAGCCTGTAATCATCAAAGACAGTAGCGCTCCCAGCAGAACCTCAAAAGTTTCCTAGCAGGACGCGCCCCCTGTGTCCCCTCAACTTCTTTCAGTCTCTGCGGATAGCGAACGGCAGGAGGCTGAAAGGTCTGCCGACTGCTTTCGCATGGTAGCATCTAAAGGGCCATGATGGCGGAAAATATGGTTCATCTGGATGTGCAGAAGGCCGGCTGCCAATCAATTCTGTCTAGCAATGGCGACCAGCTAGCCGTAATCGTTAGCGACTCAGGAGGCGAGGACAGTTCCGAGTTCTGTTCGGATAGCTCCTCCCCTTCCAAGAACATTCAGTCAAGCAAGCCTGTAGTTTCTGGCCCAATGGATCACTGCGGTCTTCCTGCCGGGAGCACGTGTTCTGTAGCACGTGGATGTGGGACTCTTCGAATTTCCACTTCCAATCTAGACAAAGAAGCATCCGTATCCCGCTGTCCAAGATCAGTATTCAAAGTCGAATCCTTCTACCAAGCGCCAGACACCTTTTATGCCTCCAATTCAGTGACCTCAAATTGCAGCGTAGGGGCCTTCCTAAAGCGACAAGCGCTCCTGTCTGCCATTGGCAGCCTAGACATGGGCCCACCTGGCAACGACCTAGGATTCAAGCCTCACACATCACCCATCCTCCACTATACCGGTGCGTGCCTCAAGGTGTAGGTGCCAGTGGATGCTGTCCCTCAGACTCGTGCCTTGGAATTGCACGGTACTTACGAAGGCTCTTCGCAACGGCCGCTGGTGCTGTTGTTGCTCAGGCAATTTGCTTCTATTACAGAACACAGCTGCAGCCTGTGAAAAACCTTCTATTGTGTGCTATTGCGGGTGTGCCTCAGCCCTCTTGCTTTCCTTCGTGATGATAGTTACCCTATGGGGTTGCATGGTAAGGCCAGCACTCACTGTCCCCCGCGTGCACCTTAGTCTCGAGGATAGCTTTGCTTTTTCGGTGTCTTTCTGTATCCTAATCACATATTCGTGATCTTTCTGTATTCTTGTGCTTATGCACCCGCACCGCTGCGGCTTGCAAGGCCCATGGCGGAGGATAGAGGTACGTATGTTCTGGGTTGTTGCGTATATTTTGTTCCCTCCAGGATATTGTCGTCGAGTTGGTGTCGGAAAGCAGCTCGATAGAGCTTGTCTACTCTTATGTAATCGCGCTGGCAATCGGTATTGTGTTGACGATCCTGCTGAAATTAATGGAAAAGCATGGCTTCACGTTTCTCGTTTTTCCGAGTAAGTGGAATAGGCGTCTGTGTGTTGCGCGCTTCCTTTTTTCGCCTCCTTCCCTGTCAGTAAGGCACCTGGAGACTGCTGAAGTGTTCGTAGCTGTTGAGCATTTCCTGTTTGTGGCCGCTGGCTTTGCTGGGAGTTGTCATTTGGCACTCGCTGCTCAGCCTTGGCTCCTAGTTTATCATTTGCATGGTTGTGGTGTGCGGCTGAGGCTTGAGCCTCGGGTACTGATTTTGCGGATATACGTTGCCAGGGTGTGTTTTGCAGCAATGTTCGTGTCGCTTATGACAATTGTCGCTGCGTGGGGCATTATTGTAAGTCTTCGGCGTTGCTATTCTTTGGCCCCTTCCACTTAAGGGTAGTTTTTGATGTGCGCTTGCCTTCAGATGTGTTCAGACGGCTGTTGCATCACCTGTGTATTTGTGCACTCAGGACGAGCTCATAGATATCCTTGCCTGTGGGGATCTGTATATTGCTGGACTAGTGTATTTCGTATGCTTTCTCCTGGCAGCGCTTCTCGTTTTCATCCATGCGTGCTTCTGTGATAAGAGCTTTAGCGCGGAACTTCGTAGGCTCGTTTGCTACTAAAAGATATGTGACTGAGCCAGTATCCAGGTTATATGTACGCGGCTGGGCTCATCCTAGCGGATTGAAAACGTACTTTAGATGTTGTTGTTTCCTTCGTTTTACAGATTTTAAGCACGCACAGCATTCTTGTGTGGTTTTGGTTAGGCAACGAGATCGAACTCAACTTGTGCCAATTCGTATTCGCTGCCGGGTTGCCCATCATGTTCTGAAAGAGCACATCCCCTGTGCCAGCATGCCAATGACACGGCTTTCGTTTCGCACGTTCTGCTTCAAGGATGCAGACAATGCCTGTGTAAGCATTTCGCGTGTTAAGGCCTGACTGCCTGCTCTCAAATTTTTGATTTATGGTGTGACATTTATCTAGCAACCAAGAGCTCAATATTTTTCTAGGCCTACCCCTGCCTTCAAAATGCGCATCTCTGCTTCGCTGCAGCTGATGCCTTTTGTCGCATTGTAGTCCGAAGGCATTACATGAAGTTGCTCAAAAATGGGAGAACAAAAGCCTTCCAGAGACTTGCTGCTGTTGGCATGCGTCTTGTAACGTTAAGAGCTTCATAGGACCTTGGGTCATAAAGTAGTGCGTGTGTACAAACGACCCTACCATGCATAAGAGACTGATGACAGTAACGAAAGACAACAGGAAGGTTAAGTAGGATTGCCTGTGTGTTGTTTTCATAAAGTGAAATACGCAGCTGATGCCCACCGCCCCGGCCACAAATGCAGTAAAGAAAAAGCAAATTGAATCCGCTAAGTCAAGTCTACCCAGTGTAGCATACTGCAGAGTATTAGCCGAGGAAGTGAAGAAGATCATAAAATTGGCGGTGCTGACAGCGGCCAGTGGGGACAAGCCGATCTCAAGCAATAAGGGCCCCTTCACGAGCCCCCCACCAATGCCAATGGCCCCAGCAAGAACTCCTGCCATCATAGAAAGTAGAGGGTACACGAAAGCAGTAACAGGTGTCAACCAACCCAGGCCCCCAGAAGCGACATCCATGCTCTTCTCGCCTGCAGCTTCCAGCTGTTTCCGCATCTTTATGAGCCAACGCGCAAAAAGAAATGTCCCCAGGACGTGAATCGAAAGTAGCAGGTAGATACAGCCCTGCTGCCACTGGGATCCACATAAGACGGCCACAGGTCCTCCCGCCAGTATAAGTAGAACAACGTTTACAACCGAGTCAAAGACCAAATATATACAACTCACTTGACACGTCCGGCAATATCCCACCACATCTGCTGCAACACGAGACGTAGGTGTCACCGCGACAGCATCCTGAATATCCAAAAGGCTATCAGATATAGGGAAGTAAGTTGTGTCCTCGGTTTCTGTACGTTTGAGTGAGCGCTCCAACGAAGCCCCGCCCTCTGTGTGACGAGAATCCTCTTCCATCGGAGGAAGCAATCGTTCTAGTTCAGATCTATTTTCCCCTTGGACCACAGGTGCAAGACTGCCTAACTCGTTGTCCACCTGCTCTTTGTACCGCCGCTGTTCAAGCTCCTTTAGAATTCGTGTTTCCTCCGCCCTCTGGGCGAGACCCTTTCTAAATGTCTTGTAGCTAGTGAACGAGAGTGTGACAACGAGACAGACAAGGATCTGCAGATCAGTCATTACTATATTCAAGAGAACTCCGATGATGGCGCCTAAGAGGGTAAACGGTTCCATCAGTGCAGCGAGTTCGTAGGCAATCATTGGTGTGTTTGACTTGGGATTGCGGCGGCGTATATTTATGAGCACCGACACCAAGCATCCCCCAAATATAGTTACCTTGGACAGAGGCACCGCCTTGTGAACATCCTTGAGGGAAACAATGTATCCAGGGATGTACAAGGCTCCACCGCCAGTGCCTGCCCCTGATGCCATTGTGGCTGCCACAAAAATGACAGCTACAAGCGCGATCCGGACAGGCAGGTCCATCTTGCCTTTTTTCGGTATCCTAAAATCTCCACCCTGGACACTGCAGGACTCGTAGAAAAGCCAGTGTGCTGGCGGGCCGCTTCAGCGAAACGGCTCGCCGAAAGAGCCGACTCTCGTACAAGCATATAGGATTACAAATATATAACATATTAGGCCTGAGGGCACTTAAATTCAATGTAGATAAGCCCCATCACTTTTCGCATAGTGGGTCGGGAAAATTGTTTGACAACCTCGAGCCTTTGGCTTCAAAGCTGGAATAGGTTTCGAATATATATAAATTACTTTTCCCAGACAAACAGAATAGCTTTTACATACAGAACCTACGGCCTCGAAGACTTTGGAATTCTTCAGGAGCCACAAGGCCTCAGTCCTGAGCCGATTGCCGCGGTTGAGGTGCCCAGGGGTCAACAAAACCGTGGAACCTCTCTCCGGCTTGCTTCAAATTAATCACTTTGTTTCACGCTAATTCCCCAAAACACCCTCCTCCAGCCCTAATCTATTTAGACAAGCAGCACAATAGTATCAGGCTACCGCCACCAGCTGCTTGACGCATGCGATGCCCCAGCAAGAAAGCCGGTCACTCCGTTTATTTGCTCCAAAATCCACATGCATCGTGCTGTGGAAAACATATGGGTACACAAGCTTTCTGGCTGTTTGCAAGCCATGCTGATAACCTTTTATGTGAGTTCACATCTTGTGGCATATCCTCTAGCTGCAACCACAACTGTCCTCTCAAACTTTAAATACACTCGGTGCCTCAACGGCTTGCATATCCACAGTCTGTTTCACATAGACTGGAGTCTCCAACGATTGGAAGGGGTTGTGCTTCCAGCCGACTTTTGCTGGAGATGGCTGACGTAACCCTTCAAAGATCTCATGAAGACACGCTCAACTTCAGACTCAATGCAGAGTTATTCATAAGTTATTGACTGCTATTATTCGGAAGTTATTGACTGCTCTTACAAAAACCCCCATTCTCCCTTGCCCGCTACCTTAAAGCGTTGTCATGAGGAGTGAGAATCAGCTATGTGGGCGTTACTGCACCCTCTCGGCACCCGCAACATGCAAAGTTAGCTGCATAAAAAGCATAAAAGCGCAAACGCATCTAACACTGCGTCTTCTTCTCTCGAAACAAATAGTACTTAGGGTGAAAAACGAAATGCAAAGGACCGAAAAAATTCGTAGGTCGCGCTCTAACTCCTAGTTCGATTTAACTAATGTAAAGGAAAGTAATCAAATATAGCTTATCCGCGCTGCACCTTCCCCCTATTTCCAGCACACATTGTCGTGTTCTAATATATACAGATCGAGAACGATTCTCGCAGGACGAAGGAAGAGTTCTTGTTCTACTACCACTTCCCCAGAAAGGCAGAAAGGCTCTACGTGCAAAAGGGAACCACAAAATGTGCAGCAAAATTTGCAGCAAAGTTAAAGGGAATAAAGACACATCCACTGGCCAACAGTTGACGAGGAAACAAAGGAGCATTACTACATCACCGCAATGGATCATTGAAGCTGGAGCGCTTAGATGTTTAGCCAACTGACATAAGAAAACAGAAGGCATGTAAAAGGTGTAAAGAGTAAATAGAAACAGGGGTCAGAAGTAGTTCTTCGCCTCAGAGTAAACTGTGCATGATAACCCACCCGGTCCAGCTTAGTGGATTTTCAAATACCCAAAACGATACCAAACAGGATGTAGACAGCATGCTTGTGAGTGGCTGCGCGAATCTGAGTGTAGAGGAGAACTATTCAATGACAACTGGAAGGCTTTCGAGCAATAGAAATATCCATAGTTGGAGGAAGCTATATCAGTTAGGGAACGCATTGGGAAAGGACATTCACTATGTAACGAGATGAGTACTGTTTATGGCGACTAACGTTGTGGATTTAACAGAGGAACGAATTTCCCGGCACGCAACGAGGCCCGCAGATCACTCAAACCCACTACGGTTGCAATTTCCCAGCCGATGGCACTGTAAGCATCCATCAAGCGTGTTCTCGGTCTTCATTGGGCCTCAAGCTTGAACAGTTTTACGGCTTCCTGTGAGTTTATTCTTTCTCGCCAGCCACTTGCGTGCGCAGCCAAGTCTGCGCAAAACTCGGAGCGGTGAAACTTTTTCAGGTGTCACTACTGATAGTTTTTAGTAGCTCGAGCATTTAAAGAATAAATTGAACCGTGCAAGTGCGCTGATTTGTGAAAGAATCGAGAATTTCCTCAGCTTTCTGGTCGCAAACACCTTCGTCTTGTCACTTTTCGTGCACCTCATAGAGCATGCCTATGTGACAGAACAATATCTTCCAACTTGAAAGGCATTGCTGACTGCCTTCAATCATGTCTAAAAGCGTATCTTTCCAGCTTCGCGCATTCGTTCAAATACACCAGCAGGCTGTCCTCTGAATCCCTCCGTAGGTGAGTGTAGCTGAATATCTCAGACGACTGGGCTCAGGCCCGTATCGGAGAGGAACTCTTCACCGTGGATCAGAGGTGTTGAAGAATATTGAAAAGACCTCTGCACTGTTGTATTATAAACGCACTCAGCGAAAAGAACTTTCAACCCAGCAATTGAATTCGTGCGCGTATAGATCCACGAACAGCGCAACAGAGTGCCATTGCTGCTCTTGTTTGTCCTTCTGTCTCAGGGTGGTTCGTAGCGGTTTTATTGTGGTCGGTGCAAAATGGGGTCGTAGAGGCACGCATAAAGGCAAGACAAACTTTATATCCTTATCCCTTATGATGCCCTTGAGGAATGCGTGAGGCGCTTAGATATGAGACAGAATAATCAAACTATTTTCCGATCCGGGGCAGAGTTGGAGCAAGGGATGAAATGGGCACGTTTGCTAAGCTTGTTGACGGCGACATACAGGCCTTCGTAACTCTTAAACTCCAGCCGCTCAGCTATAACAAGCATAGTCAAATCATTCTTAATCCGTTTAGAAATCAAAGGCCTTTGCAACAGGTCGGGTTTAGGAAAAATCTGTGACTCGAGCTGCTAATGCCCTGGGCACGACACCGCATGGTCCTTTGCCGTGGGAAGCATCCCGGGCAACTAAAAGGACCTTGACAGCTTTTCCACTTAGGTATGGATGTTATCGTAGCTAGAAGAACACGATTGCTAAATGCTGCTGCAGCGCCAGAGTTGGCACGCGACGGAATCCTCCCTTTGTTTTGAACCACAACCGATCATCCTACTGCCTCACCTTTTTGTGACTCAGTAGTAATGCAGTAATAAGAGCTTTATTAGCTTTTTAAAATTGTAGATACGCAAGTTTGGTAGAAAGCGTGAATTATCGCAGACAAAGACGGTTACGCTAAACAATCGTGAATAGTTGGGGCCTTGCACATGCGAGTCGGTAATCACATTGGTGATGCCCTTGATGCCATTCATTGCGTAGCCTTGCTTCAGCAGGTGCCCAAGTCAGCAAATAACTCAGATAGCTCTTCGTAAGGTCCACTAATGTTTGGTTGTCGGTCGACAGTAAAATGACACGCATATAAATAGTGCCGGCATTTTCCACGCCCCTCCACACCTCATATAGTTCCTTTCGCCGCACTAGATATCTAAAGTTCCTTTTTAAAAAGTGTATACCGATGCTTAGTTTCCTTGAAGCGACGAGGATAATCACCAATAATTTTGGTTTTTCGGAGACACCCTAGCCTTTCGAGGGAGTAGCAGTTGCGGCTACGCCAATTTGCACGGTTGTAAGACAAAAGGATACCGCTAATCGAGCGATTCAAGTACTGGCGAAGCTGGAAACTGGCCGATAACCGGCGTTGCTGCGGCATCAGCCTTTTTTTCAGTTAATAGACTACGCTTTCCTACTTGACCAGTCAACGGAGCAACGGTCCGGAGCAAATGAAGGAATGAAATCCTGGCAAAAGAATGCAGGTTTAAAGAGCTTTTTACCGTTTTTATGGATGCGGAAAGGTAAAGGGCATGCTTTACGTTTTTAGCTTAGAGGGTGACCTCGAATGGGCTTAATCCGTGCAACTAGATCAGGGAATCCCAGGAACACAGTTATTCCAAAGAAAGCACAATCAGTTGCGTGCCTTCGCGTACTACTCTTGCATCTGGCACAACTGAAGCGTGCTTCGTAAGTGCTGTGACTGCTTTTAAACGTTGAGCTAAATATTAAGTGGTCGTTTACCAAGAGAGCCATCCAGCGCTCTGTGTTGGCGCATTTGGATCCCGACTAACTTGTCGTTACCCTTCAGATGTGGCATTAACAACTATAAGTACCGTGCGTCTATACTCGGATTTGCTAGTCCGGGCACGGAACGCCGTCCCCTGCCTGTAATTTGAGTCAACGGGGGTCTGTATCAAAGGGTCTCTGAAGTTGGTTGTTGAGTAGAGTGTTGATTCGTGTGCTTTATCGCGTAATTCGATAAAATAAGGCGTCAATCTTCTGTTGTACATAAATCGTATCAGGAAGCTTGAAACTAACGTGCGCGTAATACCTTCCGTCCTTTATTGGCACTAGCAATGGGTTACGCATAAAGGCGTTGGCAAATTCCTGCACTTAACTTTTTCAACAAGCCACTCCTGCGGCTCAATCTACTTGTGCGGCTAAACGCCTCGAAAAATAGACTGGAGCCCTGAGGGCTAGCTTACTACGGTGCATTGGGCGACCAGGTGGCCAGCCTGCTGGCAGCATGGCTTTATTAAGCTTTTCGAGCTCTTCGATGAATACCCATTCCTGCACTTCCGGGGCTTAAGGTCAACCGAAGTCTTTGTGGAAAAGCCAGTTGCTGAGCCATGAGGACGTGACGGATGCTCAGTACCCTGCTGTCATACTGCGCTGCTAGGCAGCCCGAGTGGACACTCTGCCTCACCTTGTCGAGCCACCGAATATACTTCGATCATTATGAATGGAATGCGCGTTGTTACGGAGGACAGGAGTTGCTTTACCCTAGAGTATTCGGGTACACCCACCTCCACATCACGCCACTGTTCCTTCGTGCACACCTTCCATTGGCTCACCCACGGCATACCTAGGATTACGTCATGTTGCAGGGGTTCAATACGAGGACCAAGGACCACGCCGATATGACCCAATCTCGATATGAAATGGCTATTTACTGCAGCAGCCTTGACAGACACTGTGTTATGTTACTAAACGGCAAATGGGTGTGAGGCTTGAAGGCTGGGCTAGCAAGTTTATAGGCGGATCGCACTTCTGCGCCGCCTCCTCTGGTGCCTGATTTGCTTCATGTCCAGTGTCAAGAGAAGCAAGTAGTTCTTAACCACTAATGTGAGCTTGTTACATCGTAGGATCGAACCGTTGAGAGTCTTTAACTGCTGTTGGGCCCCCTGTAGCCCCTTTGGCTACGCCAGAGTCTGCGTGGGCGGTTTTTCCGTTTCCTTGACGCGACTTTTGTGCTTGCCAAGCAACCTGTTTGCGATGGGTTCACTCCCATTGTACAAGTATTTTGGATTTTCGCACAGGCTTGTAGCTCTGGACTATACGACCAAATATTCCAGGTGCACTGCTGAGGGACTGTTTGTGACTGCTTAAGGGCGTGATATTCGCTTTGGGCTCCTTTTCTGATCCACCTTAGACTGTAGATCAGTGCCAGCCAACACAGCCCCGATATACATTGGTTCAAGATCACAGTTTGGCTTTTCCTTTTGACCAAAGCACGCAGGAGTGGCGCTGATTTGCCCTAAATCTCATTGTGTATGCTCCACAAGTCAGCTTTCCAGCTACAAAGTCGCTGCCTAGCCTGCCACCGCCCTGAAATGACACTTCGGTTAGAGAGACACAGGCCACTGATAAGAGTGGCAGCTCCAAATTCGACTATGTACAAGTCTATGGTCCCTCCGTCTAAAGCTTGCTCCAGGGGCTGTTTGAAGGCTTGAACTGTTGTGATTGATGCTAGCGAATCACATCACAAGAGCCATCAATGGAGCATTTCTAAATCCAATGAACCTGCCACGAGGAGCACTCGTTTGCCTTTTTCTAATGCCTTCAAAGAGATGTGAATCTCAAACACTATGGATGTTGGAGCTGTGTCAAGAGGCTCTTGTTTAGACTCTAGGGTGAATGTGAAGCGAAGACCAGAAAAACTTGCCCTTCTAGGCACTCTATACATGCCCTCACAACGCTTAACAAATCCTCGAATACTTGCACACACTTAAGGGTCATTATACTTTTCTGGTCTGCGTGACGTCATCAGTTCACGCATCAAACTTTTTCAGCTGAGAGAGCACGACTTCTTAGCAGCTGTCGAGCTACCTCGTTTATATAAGGCTGTATATACGGCCTCTGCCAGTCTAAGGGCGGTTGTCCCAAAGTCTACTTCCAACGCCATCGATTTTTCTATGGCACTTTGCAAAGACAAACAGTTTCTGATTCAGCATATAGCCTGCTCGGAGCTAGACGACTGCTGGTATTTCACTTCAGAAGTAGCCAGTGAATGAATGAGAGGAAAACAGCTGCACTGAACGATGGGGTGCTATCAACTAAGTCCGTCCATTTGGGTCTTCCGAGGAAGACATTAAACTTTTGACTTGTACAAACATAATGGAGAGCTCTGAACTCTTTTACAAAAAAGGATTTATCCCTCCCATAGTCGCGCCCCTCAGAATTCCGACACGAGGAAAAAGTACCAGCTGGGGTCCTCATTGCTGCCTTCTCTAGTCACTCCGAGCATTGGCAGCTAAATGTACCATCTAGCAAACACGTACCCGGCATTAGGTCCTCTTGTTCCGAACCAACAGTACCCAGCAATAGCTCGGATTTGCGAGCATACCAGTCGTCAATTGATCTTTAATTCTTACTTGGACATAACTAGTGCATTAGAAGGTGTCTAGTTGTAGCTTAGCCCGCTACACTGTGGCCCTTGATTAGGTCTCGCCCTGCATTGATAGACTGTAGCTTTGGTAATATTTTCCCTCCCTTGAGTACGTGACCCAGAAAGAGTAACAGCGAGTAAAACTGTACGAACTAAGTGTTTCTTCTTCCCATTCATCAGCTTTTCCAAGTCTTACCAGCAATATGGGAGCTTTGCTGTCCAAATGCAAGCTCTGGTTGCCTTCACGAGCTTCGTTCAATGGCCACACGAGGCGGCACTTTAGTTCCTGGAAGGAACAGCAGAAGGGATGGCTTTCTGTTAAGTCCTTGAGACTCTCCCGAGTAGCTGAGCAACCGCTTACTGCAAAGAAGTGAGGAGTGGCTTTTCAGGGTCATCAAGGGACCGAGAGCAGTTAAAGCATAGACGAACGTAGGGGTTGAAGTGGAGGCAAACTAGTCCGCATTTCATATGATAGTGTGGATTGCCATATAGGTGACCCCTGAAGTTGAACTTAGTCCTTGGTGGAGAGACCGCATGACTCACCTTTCGGTACTGCAAGGACTAAGCACCTGCTAGCACTAGACAGTACACCCTGGATGACAGCTCCATAATGTTCGTTCACACAAGTCGTCTCTTGACTTTACTGAGGCTGATCAACGCTGTGGTTTATGATGGGTGCCTGATGGGACATGGGTTATAAGGCAATAAAGCGGGAGATATTAGTATAGCCTGCTCTTAATGGCAGGGGGCACAAATGAGCTGGCCTGCTTAATAGCTCAGGCGACTGGACCTCTGGACCCTCCTGTGCCTTTCTCGAGTCAAAGAGATCTGAACGCTTGTGCACTGGTAGCAACAGCTACCTGGGAATGTACCAGACGCGTCTGAGGATTGTGCCGGAAGCAGCAGCGCTGCAGGCCCATACCAAAATGTGGGCCTTTTCCCCGCGATGTGGTTCAAGGAGGAGAGGATAGAGTTCCTGCGCATGTCCTGCTCGCTCACATTAGGCACTCCAGTAACACTTGTGCTGTAAAGTCCTAAGACACGGGGTGTCATTACATGTGTAGCGGCTGAAAACGGCAGTAGCGATGGCCTTCCCAGCGCCCCTCTGCAGTGCCGCTGAAGAGTTTAACGAGATACTAGGGAAGACGGTTCAATGCCAGAGTCCTCTTCTAAACAATCGAAAGGGCTTTGCCTCCTGTAGGTTCCTGACTGCGCAAAGCCGCAGATGGCATGCGAGTTTCACTAGGTATCGAAGACCTGCGGAAGACTGGAGTCGGGTCGGATAGCCGAAGCCATCTTTGAAGCTCATGCTATGATTTAAGACATCGACCATCCCTAGTGATGTCTGCCTATAGGCCCCCATGGCATTTTCTCATGAATCATCAACGGCACTACGTCGCCTGCCGACATTTACACCCCCAGCAGATGCACAGCAAACCAGGGAAATGCCGAGTTTCTGCATGCAGCTCCTTGGTGGGGAGGTGCGTCGTGGAGACACATGAGCTGTCAAGCAGAAAGCACAGGCTTCTTAGAATAGCGAACGGGAGTAGGGGCTTTCGGGAGGCTGGATAGATGGCATGCATACTACAGCACAACGCGACTGGCAAGTACAAAGTTGGTGGAGACCTCAACGAATTCCCACTTGGCCACCCCGTGGACAGCAATGTGCATTCCGTCCACTCCCCTGCTCCCGCAGGACGACGACACGAAGCACCTGGCAAATATGCAGGCGGCGGCGGTGGTGCACATTGGAAACCATGGTTCCCTAATGGTTCTTTTCTTAGCGAGACTTTGAGGATCAGGCCTCCAGGAGGCACATGGAAGCAGAATAGGCGCTCTGCATGCTGCCTTTTGGAAACGCCACATTGCAACTCAGTCAGTGCTCTTAGCCTATGTCAGGCTTGGCGTTCGTTGTGCACTAAAAGAATGGGCTACACGCTGCACCACCCTTTGAGAAGAAAGATTCACGAACTTTTGCTACTCTTGGTCTGTTTACTCTCGACGTTGCACTTGACTACACAATTATTACGGGCGTATACGCCCATCAGCCTATCTCGGAGTAAAGGTTGCCCCCGACATTAGTGCCCAAGGACATTTAAAAGACTTCCAAGCGGTGCGTGCTCACCGTTGAGACTGCCAGCAGACGCTTCCCCCGCCTCCTGAACGCCTTTCCCACGTAGGTCGCCAATGGCCTCCTGACATGGTCGCAGAGAACGCCACACCGTAAAGCACTACAAACGCTTTCTGGTGCTGCGATGGAAGCAAGACGGATGGGCCCTTCTCTGAATCGAGGGATGTAGCTCGGCGTGCCATGCCCATCGTATTCGATGTATCGGTGTGAAGCGGGATGCTACACCGTTATGTCTTGTGTGTGTGTTCTAATGATACCACACAATAATTCCTCCTACAATCCTCTCATTGCCTCAAAACCATCTCACCTAAGCCATCACCGCGCCGCCGGGGCAGAGCATACACCCTCGCCTACGTGCTCTCTGTAACATACGCGAGTGCCTGTCCTCTGCCGGTCCTATCTGGGGTCCATCAATCCCTTCGAAGCTATACTCAACTCTGAATCGGGTGCTGCTCTGCCGGAGTCCGTGTAGGAGGCTCGAGATGCTAGGAGGGTTCGTACGATCTGAACTGGATGTGAAGCGCAAAATACAAAACGCTATAGGGTACAGACTAGACTACCAAGGGGGAGAGGCCAAAAGGACTCTGTCACCCGATTGAGGCTACACTGCGCCCTTAGGGCTGATTGTTCTCAAGGCGGGCACTTTTCGCAAAGCACCTCGAACGTTACTGGGTGCGTCCCCTGCATGCGAAGCCACTGATCTGCCAGTTTCGCGAACGAATCCGGGCATTTGTCCTTCGGCACGCGTTGGTGGTGGGGGCGGTTGGCGCCGCTGTCACCCTGGGCCCTGTCTGCTATGGGGTTCGGTGCTGCTGCTTCTTCTGGAAGCGCTGCTACTATTTTTGCGGCTAATTCTCCTTCCGCCACTCCCCCTGTATTCTCTGGTTCTGCCGCCGCGGCCTCTCCGTCAAGTGACGTCGCGTCAACCTCCATTAGCCGCTCTCGTTGAGTACGGCAGCCCTGAGTGTGCGCTGCGCCCCTCGCAACCCATCGAAAGCGCTTGGTCTCAAGGTCGAGATCAGCCACCTGGAGACTGAGGAGAGAGGGACAGCAGAAAGACACCTGAGTGGATAGGAGAGAAGAGTGGCAGTTCTGTGTAAGGCAACCTCACTGGCCCTTGCTCCGCAAATCACTCTCGCACGGGCGGTGTGGCTCGCTGCTTCCCAGTCATTCCAGCCAGCAGCGACGGGAGCAACAGAAGAGGGGGCGTCTAAATAGGAAGGGAACAGGCCACGCAGGGACGATATGCGTTTGTATATGAGGGCATCACGGGCACGACAGGCTTGGTTCGGGAAATGCAGGCGAGGGAGCTGTGAATACGAAATCAGGCTGGCACGCGATCTTACTGCATCACACGGGGATGTGTCAGTCCCGCAATGCCGAACTCGTGGGGGTCTACTTGGACGACAACGAAACCTTCTGTAAGACACAAACGCAAATAGAGGTAAATCAGATGAGCATTTCTGTGACACTGTCCACTGCAGTAGAAATTCGTCCTCCCCAAATACATCCGCCCAGCAGCACACCCACTTCCCCCCTTGGCGCCGGCAGGTTCAGCAGAGCTGCGGACTACTAGCGAAGTCGCACCCACAAGCCGAAGAGGACAAGAAGAATAGAAGGAGGACACAAAAGCCGCGGCAGCAGGTAAAGGAGCACCACACAGGAGAGCTATCGGGCTGACCGCTGCTGCAGATTTCTCCATTGGGGTGAACCAGCAAGAACGTATCGACCGCCGACTGTCTGACATTTTTCTCATCGAGGGGAAAGCGCCTGACAAAGCGATGCAACAAGAGACAAGGCGTGAACTCCATGTCTCGACAGCAGTTCTACACCACACGCAGATCTACGGAAAGAAGCCCTAATGGTGCCCCCTCCCTAAAAGGCAGGATACACGTCAGCCTAGGACTGAAGCATCCACACCCCGCCACGCTATCGCTCACGAACCATGCGCACATGCGTATGCAGCAGCCCCTCCGGCCTTTCCGCGAGGGGCAGCAGCCAGCTAGCTACGAAGCAACTGAGCCGCCAGTCGTGGCTACCCAGCTGGCGGCTCAGAAAGGAATATTCACAAAGCGACTGACGAGATGCGTTCGTCTCTCCAGCACAGGACCAAAGGATGTGTCCCGCCAGTGTGGGGTGCCAATTTGTGTTGAAACACAAAGCCGTCCGGCGGGTAGACGAATGGGCTGCGGCAGATAAGCGACGTTCAGAAACACACACCGGACCGAAGGGAAGCGTGAGGCACCCAGCACGTTGACTCGCCTGAACGCCACAGAAAAACGGGTGCAGATAGCCCCCCAAAAGGAGGCAAGCGGCAAGCTCAGAGAGGCTGCACAGCACGATAAAGACAGTTGACGACGAAACCCCCCAACGTCCAAGAAGTGCGCAGTGTGCCCCTCGCTGCAGCTGGCTACGAGGCGAGGTGGAAGACTCTCAGAGAATCCAGAACAAAACGCAGACAGACGCGTGGCAACTCAGCACGGCGCGCCTTCGACAAAGAGAGACGGCTGCAGCGTGCGAACTTGCCCGAGGCACCCCGAGGCATGAGAGCCACAAACATCTCGCTAAAAAGCCGAGGCAAGTCGCAGGCATAGAGTAAAATGAACATAAACACACAGCACCGTCTGCCGGCACAAACCGTAGCGGGAGCTGCCTCCAGCCTCTTTGCAGCTGTGCGCCTTTCTTTCGTCGCCTTTACGACTTGCAACGCGAAACCTCTGGCCTCGAAATTCGCAATGCAAGCAGCCTTTCTTACCCAGCAGCAAGCGTCTGTAAGTGGGATGAAGAGGCCTCCACAAAGGGGAGTAGCTGCAAGGGAGCGAACATGTGAGGCTTCTCCTCTATCCTAGAAGGCATACAACAACAGAGACAAGCACTAGAACCCAACGTCTACTACCCTTGATGTGCGGAGACAACACCGCTGGGCAAGGACCTCAAAGGCTCCGCATCAAGGCTGAAGCGATGCCCGTGCACGAGTGCAGCTCACTACGAGGACTGCAGATTCGCGTTTAAGGAGAGTAAAATGCACCAGTCAAGAGGGGCCATTCGCGCGAAGCATGGAGCCACAAAAAGAGAGAGAGGCATAGGCACACGGGAAGCGCATCATGAACACGAATGCAGACCATAGGAGATTGATGAAAATACCCTCGTAGAGCCACGCATCCGTCTGCAGGCACATATCCATTCTATGAGTGCAAGCAGGCTGCGACATCGACCCAAAGCCCCCATGCACTTGCAAGTATTATACAGCGTGCTTCGACCTCTCCTGCACCGAGATACCAGCAAGGCGCGCACTGACGGCAGGCAGAAATCAAGCACAAGCTCTACAGCATCGCACCTACATGCCTGGACGTCTGAATTTGCACTTTAGACGCACGAGCAGATCAACACAGCAAGTCAAAAGGCAAGAGATGCGCAGTGGCGTGCAGATGGAATTTCCAAAAGGCTAGGAGTGAAGAAACTGCAAAGCGTCCAAGGCCAAAGCTTCGTACATAACTCAAAAGCCTGTAGTAACGGCAAGGCGTTCTTGTCCTCTCTTTCTTTCTGTGTGCACCTATCTGCTGTATGTACCTGTTGTGTGTGCATCTGTCTGCTGTGTGTAATATCTGTCGTATGTGCATCTGTCTGCTGTGTGTAATATCTGTTGTGTGTGCATCTGTCTGCTGTGTGTAATATCTGTCGTATGTGCATCTATTTGCTGTACGTAATATCTGTTGTGTGTGCATCTATCTGCTGTACGTAATATCTGTTGTGTGTGCATCTACCTGCTGTGTGTAATATCTGTCGTATGTGCATCTATTTGCTGTACGTAATATCTGTTGTGTGTGCATCTGTCTGCTGTATGTATGTGTGCAAGTGTGTGAGACAGTGCAAGTGTGTGAGACTGTGCAGGTGTGTGAGACTGTGCAAGTGTGTGAGACTGTGCAGGTGTGTGAGACTGTGCAAGTGTGTGCCAGTGTGGTTTCAATTGTGGGGCCTGCGCAACCTTGTAGATTTTGTGTGTGCGCCGTTTTCTTGCGTCCACTGGGAAAGCAATTACCTGCATTTGAGGAAGAAGTGGCGGCACTCGAATTCGCAGTGACCCAGCATGAGGCCCCCCAGAAAGAGAACATCCACTACAAAAAGCACCTTCCACAGGGGGGATTCCGCTGTACTGCCACCCCCCGCTGCGGCTGGAGCGGTGGCGGCAGCCGCATTCGCTGCTGCCTTCTCCTGGTCGGTGGCATAGCACGTGCTAAAGTGCTGCATGTTCGCTGAGGTGTAGGGGCACAGAATGCACTCCAGGAGGGTTAGGCCCTTTGACAGCATCCCTGCGGGGAGGTGCAGCACAGGCAGATGCCTCTGCTGCTCCCGCTGGTGCGATTTTTGACTCCCTCTCTGGCCGTCTTCTGGAGGAAACAGCGACCCCTGGGGCGGCCAAGAAAAGCTGCTCTCTGCCGGCAGTGCTGCGAGCGCGGCATGCGCTGAGCAGCGATCCGCGTCTGCAGAGCCGTACAGCGACACATCGAAGGGCCTCGATCGCAGCAGCAGCAGCCGCTGCTTCTCCTGGGGGGGCACTGCGAAGTAGTGCTCGTTTTCCAGCTCGCCTTGCAGCATGTCGACCCCCAACGGCAGGCTGTAAGGGTCGCCGTGAGGCTCCAGCAGAGCGCCTGAAACTCCACACGGCGCCGTGCATGCAGAGGCAGCCAACACGCTTGTTGCGGATTTCCACTTGCTGCTGCACTGCACCCGAAAGAGGGGTCTGCCCGTCTTGCCGTACAGATGACCTCGACCATTCTGCAACAGCAACAAACAGCTCTGCCCCTCTGGTCGCAACGCCACCATGAACTCCCCTGCACGGCAAACACGCACACGAAGCAGCAGCTGCTGCAGGAGCTTGCTCGCTACGACGGCAGCCAAGACGCGCGTACCGCCGACCTCCCATAGTTCGAGAGAGAGAGCTGCGTTCGACGCAGTGCCTGTCTGCCTGCATGCAAGCCTGCATATAGGCCTCTGTCTGCATGCATACATGCATGCAAGCCTGCATATAGGCCTCTGTCTGCATGCATACATGCATGCATGCACGCATGCAGCAGCAGCAGAGCGCGCACCAGAAACACTACTCGGTGGAAGCAGCAGTGACAGACGCACGCACGGCCCATACCGGATTCGAATTCGTGGGGTATCTCGTAGATCGCTTGCGGATGCGCTATAAGCTGCTGCAGCGGTCTACTGTCCATACACTCCGTGGAGGGATTCGTCGGTGCATCGGGAGTGCGTCTGCGGTAGGAAGTCTTCTTCCTGTACAATGGTCTCTGCGGAATGTCTTCTGGCTCTTGCTCCAGAATCTCCTGCTGCAGAAGCAGCTCTCGCTCAGCCTCCTCGCGCAGCCGCCGCAGCAAATCCACACGACTCTCCGATCGGAGCATATCATTGAGCTCCATGCGCTTCTGTCGGTTGGCTTGTGCTGAGGGGTGCCCCTTAAAGACAGCCTGCCGATGCGCATACTGCGGACTGCAGCAGCTGCCACTTTTGCCGCTGCCAAGCAGGCGGCTGCTGCTGCTGCTGCTGCTGCTGCTGCTGCTGCTGCTCGCAGTACCTTCTTCCTGCTCCTTCCGCTGCAGCGTGTGAGGCTCCTGCTGCGCCGGAAACGCTTCAGCACAGCCCCTCTGAGCTTCGGCCCCGAAGACGCCTCGAGCTGCTGCAGCTGGCAGCACCGTGTCGTGCGGCTGCATCTTCCAATTGCATGCTTTGCCGAGTGTTTGCATGCATGCGTGCCCATAGGGTGCTCGGTTCGAAGGGAAGGATGCGCTGGGAGCGCAGGCAAAGGCCTCTGACGCAAAGGACGCAGCAGAAGCCGCTGCAGCCGCAGCCGCCACTGCGGCAGCCTTAGGGCACTCGCTGCTATGCAGTGTCTGGACTTTTTATTTGGCTTCTGCACGGCATGCCAAGCATGTCAACCGCGTTATTCGAGTTACCTGCACATATAAAAAATAACGCCACCATAAGCAGAAAAATCACCAAAACAGACAAAGGCACAGCAGCAGCAGCAGCTGCAGCTGCCGCAGCCACCAACAACGCGCTGCAGCCGGTGCATGTGTCATGCTGCGGCTGGTATAGAGTTACGGCCAATCTGCTGCTTCCCAGCGTAGAAGCGTCACTCTCCGTCTGAATGCGCTGCTGTTTTCTCAAGGAAAGGGCACCGGTTTCTTGCGCTTCGTGCTTTACGCGTGGCAGTTGCAGCACACCAGTGCAGAGCCTGGTCAGGGGCCTCTCTCGGGGTGGCTGTACACTGGGCAGTTGGTAGCAGTTCCTGGAGCTGCTCACGTAAAACAGGGACCAAGAAGCTGTGCCCCCCAGCCTCACTGCAGCCATTTGGCGACTGGAGGTGTAGCTATTCGCGTGTAGGGTTGCCTCCCCTGCACCGCCATCAGACCATCTGTGCTGCTACACGCCATGCAGCCCACCCTCCGGAAGGCGCGCTGCATGGCTTGCTGCAGCAGCTACCCTTTCTCGCACGTTTAGGGGGCTGCTGCTTGGCAGCCAGACTCCAGTTCTGCAGCAGCAACGACAGGAGAGTTTTTCCAAGCGCTTGAGGAGCGCGCAACGCCCTGGCCCCTACCGCTGCTTCAGGAGCGAGAGAGACAGAAATAGAGGGAGAGAGGCATTGGACGCAGCCGTGAGTGAGCGTGAATCCTTCCCCTTGCACACGCCGTGTGAGGGCTCCTGCTCCTCAATGACTGCCGGAAGGCAGCCGTGCACCAGTAGATGCAGACTTTGAGTGCTCCTAGGCTCCCAGCAGCAGCAGCGGCGTGACAGCAGCAGCACCAAAGAATCATGCAGAAACTTCCGCTGCTGCACGTGCTGCAGCAGCCGCCTCGGGAAGCCCCACTGCTGCTACTGCCAGAGCTGCAGCAATCCTTTGGCTCGGAGAATCCGCAGCAGCCTCTCGCGCTGTCTCATCCGCAACTGCCACGGCTTCATGGCAATCCCCTGCTGCTGCCGCAGCCTGCTCCCGACTCCGCGTCAAGGCAGCACAGTCCACAGGAAGCGCAGCTGCGCCTTCCGCTGCAGCCTCAGCTGCTCGCCAACGAAGTGCCCCTTCAGCCACCCTCCCCCGTGAGTGGCGACGACAGGAGCATATGCGCGAATTTCGCAGCAGGTCCCTTTCAAACTGCCGTAAGCGCATGCAGCGCGACTGCAGAGCCGCCTCCACTCGCGTGTGGCAGCAACAGCTGCGGAGAGAAGCCCGCCAAAGACGCTCCAGCGGCGCCTCAACCGCTTGAAGCCGCAGAATCCGGCGAGGAAGGCTGCAGCGGCAGCAGACGCACAGTCGAGCAGCTCCGTGTGAGTGGTGGGGCCGAAAACAGTCTTGCTGCTTCAGGTAAGACAGTCGCGGAGAGCGACGTTCCCGATGTAGCCGTGTCAGCGCTTGTTTCAGCGCTTCCTGCGGGAGAAGACTCGGGGGCGGCGGCAAACAGCGATGCGGCGGCGGCTCCTGCAATTCTCTCGAGTTCAACGGCAGCTGAGACTGTCACGCTTGCTGATGAGGCAACAGCAGTGGCACAAGCAGCAAATGCAGCAGCAAATGCAGCAGAGGAAGGACGTAACACGAGCCGCCGCATCCATAGAGTTCGGCGTCGTAAGGGCATAAGCAACAAAGGGGGAACTAAGGGCGCAGCTAATGCTGCTGCTGCTGCACGTCGCAAGCACATTTGCAGCAGTACTGTGCTCTTGCCACCCTTTCTTCCCCCCCCCGCCTCTCTTCTGTACGGAGAGCAGGCGCTACTTGAGCCGCGTGAGCATCGCAGGCAGCTGGATTTCCCTCTGCTGCAGGAACAACAGCTGCTCTATTCTGACGAGTTTGACGCTTGGGGGGGTAAGCTGCTGCTGCTGCTGCTGCTGCTGCTCCTGCTGCTGCTGCTGCTGCTCCTGCTGCTGCTTCTCTCTTCTTGCTATGTGTGTGTGTGTATGTGGGCCTTTGCCATGGCTGCTTCTGGAGCTGCTGCCTGCCGCTGCAACGTTTCACAGCGTCTCAGTAGGGAGGCTGCTGCAGCTACCCACTGTGACGGATATCTGGAAGTGCTCTCTTCGAGGCGGTGTGCTTTGTGAGCTGCAGATGCGAATCCGCTTGATCTACTGCTTCCAGATCCTGAAAGCCCATTCTGTGCGAACGCGCTGCAGGAGGCTGCAGCTGGTACGTTGTTTCGCTGCTGGTGCAGCTGCAGCAGCAGATACGTTGCTGTGCTCCTGTTGCAGCTATGGCTGCAGCTGGTATGTTGCTTTGATGCTGTTGCAGCTACAGCAGCAGCTGGCACGTTGTTTTGCTGCTGTTGCGGTCAGAGGTTTCGCCCTCGAATGTCCGTCTGGCTCATATTGCTGTGCGGAAGCTTGCGAGACATGCAGAAAAGATCGCCCAGCACGCTTCCTAATAGCTCGTGTCGCTTGTGGCTGCCGTTCTCGCAGGCGCCACCGTTGCACATCGCGAGATTCTTTCATGGTTTTCGAGGGTGTACGGACCGGGGAAATTGCAGCTGCGCAGCAGCAAGACGGTTGAATCGCGTGCTGCGAAAGCGACGGCAGTCGAAGCGAAGCCTCCAGGAGCTCCTCCAGCTGCGGCTGCTGCGGCAGCTCCAACGGAGTTATTTCAAGGTCCCTCCCCGCAGACTGTCGTTGCAGCAGCAAGCAAGAGGAGCACTGCGACCAGCAGCTCCAGCTGCAGCCGCGCAGAGGAAGGCGGTGACAGAGCGACTGCTACGGCTGGACGCAGTGGAGCCCCACAGGGGGGTGGGAACGCGGAGGGGGGGGGGGTTGTTGTGTTCGACACAGTGACTCCGGCGGCTCCTGAAGAGGATGCTCCCGTAACCTGCGCAGCAGCAGCAGCTGCTGCTGCGGAGGCTGAGGAGATACAGGCGCTCGTAGAGGCGCTGCCCTTGCTGCGAGCGCTGGAGAGTTTGCTGCATCGCCACACGGTGCAGCTGCAGCGGCACAGGGAACCTTTGCTGCCGCAACAGAAGCGGCAGCTTTTGTTGTTGCTCTTGCTGCACCTCACGCATGTGCGGTCCGAGCTCATTGCGCCGCTGCTCGACCCGCAGATACCCGTGCAGAATAAAGAACGGACTCTGTCTCTCCTGTTGGTCGAGGTGCTGCTGCTGACTGGCGAGCAGCTTCAGCAGCAGTGCTTTCAGACGGCAGAGGCAGCCAAGGAAGCGGGCAGCAAGGCAGTCGCAGCAGCTGCCGCAGAGGGCACAAAAATGGGCATTCGGCTTCTCCAGCTGCTGCAGCGACTCGGATCGCGCGGCACTAATGGGGCTGTTGTGCATGCGGACGTTGCTGCTGCGCGCCAAGCCCTCTTGCATGCGGTGGCTGCTCTGTGGAAACAGCAGCAGCCGAATCAGCCGCAGCATCACCATCTAGCCGCGCGAACCCTCCTGCAAGTTGTGCCACGCGTGGATAGTCTGCCTTCGCATCTCGTGATGCAGCTGCCAAAACAGCTTGCCGCTGTATGTTCCTCGCTCGTGCCTCTATCCTTCCTTTTCTTCCTTCCTCCCTTCCTCCTGCCTTTTCTTCCTTCCCCCTTCCTCCTTCCTTTTCTTCCTTCCTCCCTTCCTCCTTCCTTTTCTTCCTTCCCCCTTTTCCTCCTTCCTTTTCTTCCTTCCCCCCTTCCTCCTTCCTTTTCTTCCTTCCTCCCTTCCTCCCGCCTTCCTTGTCTCGTCTCTTGCACCCTTGCTCCTGGCCCTTGCTCTGGCGCAGTCTGTCTGCCGCTTGTTTTCGGCATGCACTGTCTCGGCTCATGCAGCAGTAGCAGCAGCACAGCCGGCAGCAAGCCTCGCTTCAGTGCCTTTTTTCGTGGCTGTGTGTCTTTGCAGCTGGGGGGACAGCCGCACATGCTGCAGCACTTGGGGATTCAAATGTTGCTCGTTGAACGGCAGAAGACAACGGAAGGCAGCGCTCCTGCCGCGGGAGGGGGGCCTGCAAGCTCCGCGGCTGTCTCTGCTGCACCCCTTCCCGCTGCTGCAGCTGCTGCTGCCGCTGCTGCTGCAGCAAAGAGCGCCACGTCAGCAGCGCAACAGCCGCAGCAGCAGGGAGATCGCTCTGCTGCCTCGGGTCTTAGGATGCTAGATGCGAATGCGAAGAGCAACGAGCAGCACCAAAGCAGTGCCGCCAACACCAACAGTTCTGCCGTGGGAACGCAACAGAAGAAGACCTCTCGCAAAGGTCAGTAGCAGGCAGGCAGGCTGCTGCTGCTGCTGCCTCACTCTCTCTGCTGCCTCAAGGGGAGGATCTTGAAAGGGAGAGAAAAGAGACTTTTGGGGGGGGGGAAAGAGGGGGGCAGAACGTGTTTTCTCTCTCTCTCTCGTTTGCCCCCGCAGCTGTTGTTGACCATGGGAAGGAGCCTAGTTGTTGTCTGCTGTGCTCCTTCCTTGATGAAGTCAGAACTCTATGCGCTGCTGCCGCTTTGGGGGGGAGGGTGACGGGGCGGGGGGGCGGCTGCACTGCTTCTATTCTGCTTGATTGCAAGCAGCCTTATCGACAGATCTGTCGCATGCTTCGTTCTGCGCGAACTAGGCTCAGACTACTCTACATGTGCGGTTGTAGCGCCTGATGTGGCTGCAGGAATGGGCATGTCTGGATGGGCCTTGTTCGCCAAAGAGAAGAGGCTGGAATTGTTGCAGAGCGGACAGCTCACGGGAGAGACACTTCCCGAGCAAGTACGTTGTGTGGAAACGGCGCGTCTCTCCCTTTATCCTCTTCAAACATCCCGTTGCTGCTTCTCCCAGCGCCTGCCCTTGCGGCTTCTGTGTGCACGCTGCTGACGGGCGCAACCTGCGGCTACGGCTGCGTTCTTGCTGCTTTCGAGACTCCTTTAGCGCGCATGCGTGTGGGGCTGCTGTGTCTCAAGACGAGCTGCGTGGCGAAGTTTTGGCATGCCCTCTCAAAGGATAACAAGGAGGCATGGGGACGTCGTGCAGAGCAGCTTAACCGCCTTGCAGGTGGGCTGCGCGAGGCCTTTCTATCCTCGTTCTTCGTGCTGCCGCTGCAGCAGCAGCCCCTAATTGCTGCCTTCGGCTAACCAGCGTGTGTTTTCTGAGTCTCTCTCTCTCTCGAGTATGTATGTATGCACGTGCCTTGCTTCGCCCGTGCAGCGGGAGAGAGGGAGAAGGAGGACGAACGCAAGGAACAGCAGCAGCAGCAGCAGCAGCCTGCTACGGCATCAAGTGGCGGCAACAGTATGGCCTCATCGCAAGGAGTTGCGCAGCAGCAGCAGCATCAGTCGCCTCTGCAAAAGCAGCAACAGCAGCAACAGCAGCAGCAGCAACAGCAGCAGCAGCAGCCGTTGCCGTTGCCAACGAAGCACCAGCAGCAACAGCAGCAGCAGCAGCAGCAGCAGCAGTCGGCTACTCCTGCAGCAAGTCCCGTAACCCCAGCAGCAGGGCAGCAGCAGCAGCAGCAGCAGCAGCAGCAGCAGCGGCACCGTCAGCAGCAGCTGCAAGCGTTGGCGAAGATGACGCCTCCTCCATTGCCTCCTCCAAGAAAGCGGAAAAGAGGCGGTCTAACGGACAAGCCTGGGGGAAGTCGAGGCTACACAGCCTTCACGCTATTCGCGCGAGAGACTCGCATCAACTGTCGAGAGTTGGGCATCGACTGCGGTGCCTCTCTGAGCGAGCAGAACACATTCATCGGAGATCGGTATCGCTTCCCCTCAGTGTTTCTAAGGCACTCTCCGGTCGCTAGCGAACAGAAGACGCGCTGCACTAGTCTCTGAAGTCATGGGGGAGAGGCTTATACAGCGAGAAAGAGGGCCTTCGCTAGCTCGCGGGAGCAGTCATAGGCAGCAGCACGAGTTGTGGCAGGGGATATGCAAGACATATCTGGCTAAGACACCTGCATCGCCACCCACGAAAGGGCTGGCGTGGCTAGTAGAGCGAGCGGCAAATATATATATATATATATATATATATATATATATATATATATATATATATATATACATGCATGACATAGATACTTAGTTCGCGAACGCCTCCAGAAGAGGCAGGCAGGCAGGCAGGCAACACAGAAACACCACAAAAACACTCAACACCAGCTGTCGCAAACTGTCGAGGGGGATCTGCTGAGACTTGCTAGTGCTGGGGAGTATTTGTTTTTACACAGGTGGCGGCAGCTCTCGTCCGAGGAGAAGAGGGCCTTCCAGTCGCGCGCTCGTGAAGCAAATGAGGCATGGAAGAAATTCGAGCTGGAGCAGCAGGGTAAAGAAGAAGAGCAACAGCAACAGCAACAGCAGCAGCAGCAACAGCAACACCAGCAACACCAGCAACAACAGCAACACCAGCAACACCAGCAACACCAGCAACAGCAACAGCAACAGCAGCAACAGCAACAGCAGCAGCAGCAACAGCAGCAACAAGCGCATCCGCATCAAATCAATGCCAAGCAAATTCCACCACCCCCTAGTTCACCCCGCTATACCCAGCAGCAGCACAAGTTACAGCCGCCTCCACCACAAAAGCAGCAACAGCAGCAGCAACAACAACAGCCGCAGTGCCAACAGCAGCTGTATGCGACGACGGAGCCGCCTAAGCGGACACCTGGCTGTGTAGAGCAGCAGCAGCAGCAACAGACGCAGCAGCAGCAGATGCAGCAGCAGCAGCAACAACAGCAGCAACAGTCTGTTGTGGCTTCGCAGCAGCCCCCTTCGGCGCGAATGCCAACTCTGAGTCAACCGCAGCAGCAGCAGTTGCTGCTCGTGCAGCAGCAGCACCACCAGCCGAAGCGCATGCCGCAGCAGCTGCACATGCCACACCTCCAGACGCCTCCTTCTGTGCAGCATACCTTCCGTTTTCCAGATCCTCTGCAGCAGCAGCATGAGCCACAGCAGCAACCGTGGCAGCTGTCTCCTGGAATGCTGCGAGGTTCACTTCCAGTTGAGAGTCAGCCTGTAGGCAGCACTGCGACTGCCGTGTCTTCGATGATACCACAAGAGGTCTCGCGACAGCAGCAGCACTTGCCGCAACCCCTGCTGCTTCAGCATCCAGTGCAACAGCGCAACCTGCTGAATAGTCCGGATGTGGGTTGGCAGCAGCAGCAGCAGCAGCAGCAGCAGTTCGCCGTGCACCACCTGCCGCAGCAGCACCAGCAGCCGTATCGGCAGCATCCAGATCCTCAGCTCCAGCATCTGCAGCGGCAGCAGCAGCAGCAGCAGCAGCAGAATTCTTTGGTCCATCCCCTAAGCTCTTCCCATTCTCCCTCTGCCGCAGCCTTCGCTGCAGCGGCAAGACAGCTGGGCAGGGAAGCAGAAGCAGCGGCAACCGTACCAGCTGCCGCCACCCAGCAGCAGCAGCAGCAGCAGCTGCTGCTGCTGCAGCAGCACATTTCTGCGCGCCAGCGACAGCACAAGCAGCCGCAGGCAGGGGGCTCCGCGGGGTGGTCAAGTGCGGCAGTCGATGTAGCAACACCTGTCCCTTCAGCACCGTCGTTCTTGACGCTGCAGCAGCATGGATCTATGCCTCCTTCTTCTTGCAGAAAGAACTTGCGGAAGGCTGAGGCTAGAGCTGCTGCTTCCGTTGAGGCTGACGGTGCAGGCGGGGAAAGCGCGACAGCCAATCCTCTCTCAGCGGCGCATGCAGCGGAGACTGTACCTGAACAACCGCTGAACTTCGAATCTGGCAGGGGGTTTGGTGTGGGGTGTTGCAAGGCACAGGGTGACGGCAACAGAGACGCTGAGCGAGGGGAAGAATCGCTGACAGAGATTGCTGCTGCGGCAGTCTCCGCAGCGAGCGAAGCTGCCGCAGCTGCTGCAGCAGCTGCCAAGGAACTGCTGAGGGTGGCTCCGCAAGAGGAAGAAGACGCGTGGGAGCTGCAGCAGCAGCAGCACGAGGAAACGCTACGGCGGCAGCAGGAAGCTATTGCGCAGCTACGGCAGCAGAAGGCACGACTGCAGCTGGTAACTGAGCAAGGATCAAACAGCAGCCGCGGCAGCAAACTCCCCCGATGTCGCCGCACGACTCCCCAGTGCCGCAAGCCTCCAACAAGACGCAAATTTTCAGTAGCCAGCAGCAGCTGCGATAGCAGCAGCAGCAGCACCGAGAGGAGGAGCAAGAGTGGCAGCAGTGGAACGGAGAACAGCAGCAGCACCAGCGATGAGTTGGAGAAATCTTCAGGTGTGTCTTTTAAGCTGCGAGAAATTGAATGTTTTGGCCGCCTTCTCTCTCTCTCTCTTTTCGGAGGCATTGCGACAGTGTGTGCCTTGGCATAATACCCCATAATACCCTCTACCCTGCGATGCATGCGTGGTGCTTGCAGTATCATCCTCTTCGGATGACGCTGCTGCCTCTGCAGGGACGAGTGACGAGGATTTCTCTCCCTCCACGCAAATCTTCACCACTCGCCCCTCTCAGCGCCTCCTTCGTAAAGCGAAACGAGCACCTGCTGCCCGACCACTTTCGTCGAATGAAATGCGTGGGAAGTGCCGGCAGCTCACTCCTGCACAGGCACGCGGCAACAGTGCAGCGCAGCGGGAGTTGCGCAGAAACAACTCTGTTCACAGCGAAACTCCAGAAGGCGGTGGAAGAGCGACTGGAGATGCAGCACAGGCGGCCTCTGCTGGGCAGGATGCTGCGGCTGTTAACAGTATGTCGGAAGCTGCCTGCCTCTGCTGCTGCAACTGGAGAGCGCAGTTGCTGGCTTTCAACAGGCGAAGCATTCATCACTTAGGCTGCGCATGCACGTGTGCTGTGCTGCTGCAGAATCCATAACACTGTGGGACTTGGTGCAGCGAAACCGCCGACGCAAAACGGCAGCAGATGCAGCAGCAGCAGCGCGGCGGAGTGCTGCTTCTGCTGCTGCCTCTGCTTCCGAGTCAACGCGCGTGAGTAATAGTAGCAGGAGTAGCAGTAGCAGGAGTAGCAGAAGGAGCAGTAGGAGGGGTACCTGCTGCGTATGTTTTAGGCCTAGCGTTCAGTGCAATTTTAGCTGGAGATGTCGTGGTCGACAATTCTGTGGGCAAACGTCTCTTTCATTGCCTCTTTTCTGCTCTTTTTTGGGGGGGGGAGGGGGGTTGCTTAATGCAGACGCTGCAAGCCGTCCTCGATGTCACCGACGACCCCTTTGCCTTGCTGCTTTCACCGAGTCTCCGGCAGCCGCAGCAGGAACAGCAGCAGCAGCTGGCAGCCTCGACGCATGCGGCCGAAGGTGCAGATAATAGCGCCGCAGCGGATCTGCAGGGGCTTTTCGAGACTCCAGCGGGCGAAAGCAGTGCGTGGCAACTATGCAGAGTGGCAGTTACTGCTGCTGCGGTGTTCCTTGCGTCTCATCTTGCCTTCTTTCGTGCGGTGAAGGAAGACATCCTTAGCCGAGATGCGGCTGCTGCTCTCCGTGCGTGTGTGTATTCGCTTCAGGAGGCGTAGATTCCTTACGCCTCGATTCATCCGGCAACCTCGTAGTTGCAGACGTACCCAAAGAGGCCTTCTGCTGCAGGTGCAACTATAGTTGGACGGGCAGGCGGTTTGATAAGCGTCTCCAAGAAGCGCAGAGGGAGCAGCACAAGCCAACATAGCGGAAGGGGGGGGTGGGGAACGAGCAAAGGCTGCCGTCAGTCGGTGTCAGTGTGCTCTCTTAGCTGTGTTGCAGGTGTCTCGGGATGTCTGGACTCCTGGGTGGGAGCTGCGTATGTACAAGCGGCCGCCAGCGGCGCGTTCTTGAAGAGGATCTCAACTCCAGAGGCACTTTTGCGCTGCAGGTGTAGCTGCTGTTGCTTCTTCTTTTTCCGTTTCCACGGCATGCGTTTTGCTTGTTGTGCGGCTGCCGGTTTTTTTGGGGTTTTCGTTCGCCTGCCGTCAGTCGTGCGTCTTTGGTGTTGTCGCTGCCAGCTTGTTGCAGTCAGTGGCTGCTGCGGCTGCTGTTGTCTACGAAGGTCGTATCTCGCAGCCTCGTTTTGTTTGTGCGGCTTCCCCACATGCGTCTGTGCTGTGGCCTGTGCCTTGCGGAAGAGCCATCCGGCTCTGCTTTTGCCGCCTTTTTATCTTCCTCTTTGTACTGCCCTTGTCTCGACTACTGTACACCTTTGAGCGGACTGCTCTCGCATCTCTAGGTGGAGAGGGCAGCCTTTGTGTTGGCTTTGCTGCTGTATTGATGCCACTGCAGCCTTACGAGGGGGCGTACAAGAAGACCAAGGGAAAGCGGTGGACTGAAGAGGAAACGCGCAAGTGGGTGGGGTCTAGGGGAGGAGGGGGGAAGAGGTTGAAGGCTGGAAGAAAGGAGAGGGAAAGGAGTTGAAAGCTGGGAGAAAGGATAGGGAAGGAAGGGATTGAAAGCTGGAAGCAAGGAGAGGGAAGGAAGGGGGTGTGCAGGGTCAAACTGCTTTGCTGAATGTAGCGGAGTTTGCAACGGCAGACCAGCGCACAGTTTGACAGCAGCAGTCGTGTTCGTGAGGCAGCGAAGCCTGTTTCAAGGTGTGTGGGTGTGTCTGCCCGTGCAGATTCTATGAGTGTCTGTCTTGTTGCGGGACGGACTTGCTGCTCATTAGCACTATGATGCCAGGAGTTACAGACGGGCAGTTGAAGCGCAAACTCAAAACGGAGGAAAAGAGGAATGCGGCTCTCGTAGAAGCAGCACTTGCAAAGAAACGTGCGCTGTCTCTACAGACCTACGAACAGGTACCTAGCTAGCTACGCATGCCTCCCACCTTCGGGAGGTGATTTTTGCTGCTGCTGCAAGAGCCTTGCTGCCCTGTCTTACGGGCTGCACGGCGTTCGACGCGGGAACAAATTTTCAGTCAAAAAAAGGAAAACGCTTCCCGCAGACGGCCTAGCAGAACCCAGAAGAAATCATGCAGACTGAGCGCCCCTGCATGTACATACACCTGGCGAGACAAGGAGCTTCAAAGCGTCTGATCTCGCGTGCTTGCTTTACGATGTGGCTCTGCAGCTGCACGGCACCATTCGGCGGGAGCTGCACTGTCAACCCTTCAACGATTCTGATGAGGAACCCCCACCAAAGCCGCAAATGCCTCTGGCTCTCCCATCGCCTGGTGTGCTGGTGTCTAAGGACTTGTTAAAATACAGCAACATGCGCTTGGGGCATAGACTGTTTGTTTGCGTTTCTCTGCTGTTTTAAAAATGTAGACGCCTGCCTGCACGGCGGCGTAAGTGCTTGCGTCTTCCCCGCTACAAGGGGCAGCGCTTTGAGATCCCTGAAAGTCTTTCCGGCTCCTGTGACTTTTTACCGCCTCTGAGTCGTCTCCAGCAGCCACCCGCTTTTTGCACCTGGCCGGCTGCTTCCTTCTCAATGCGCTTCCGTGTCTCTGTTTCTGTTTGTGTGCCCCCCCCCGCGCATGAAAGGTTGCTGTCGCCTGCCTGCCCGTGGAGAACTGGCTCTTTGAAGGCGTGCGACTTTCACCGCTGCGGAGATGCACACGCATCCAGGGGTCGGTCGGTTGTGCCTCTAAAGCACTTTTTTGCCTGTGCACCTGCTGATGCGTTTGCTTGCAGCAGGCATCAGCTCGGGGACCTCTAACTGCGGCACGCTGCTCGCTCTGCTCGGAGGCGACGCAGCTGCTGAGGCTGTCGCCAGCCCCCCGCCTTCGACTTTGGAATCCCGAGACACCGAGGCAGCGATGGAGCCATCCGCGCAGACTTTAGATACTTCGCTTATGGCTCTGCTAGGCGGCGGCTTCTAGCTGCGTGTGTGTGTATGCGATGCATATTTTAGCGCGAGTCGCTCTGGCCACAGCACTCGTGGGAATTTCGGGAGGAAGCAGTTTCTCCGTCCTCCGGGGGCTGTCGGCTCCAGTCTTTCGGCGTCTCTGATGGCGCCGAGGTAGAATCACTTTTTGACTTGTAGCACACAAAAACGCAACTGCCTAGCTGTCGACGCGGCCAGCTAGCTGCCTTAAAGTGAGCCGAAACCGGCCATGTAGCTAAACGGTCTCCGTCCTAGAAATTCACTCTTCAGCACTTCTCAGAGGGGCAGATGGGGGGCAGTTTGGGGAAGGACACTTTTGACGGGAGGGGCCTTGTGTAAGAGTGCTGTCTCGTGCGGGCGGCTCCGAAGTGCACACAGAGAAATGCCCTTCTAGTTTGCAGGCAGCGTGAAATGAGCGGCGGCGTTTTGTTCTTTTCTGTTCGTCTCTGTCTGTCTCTTTCTCTGATAAGTGTAGCTGCGCCTATTCATTTGTCTGCTCGGCTATACGGTTTCCCGCTACTAAAATGCGTGTGAAGACTCTTCGAGCGCGTAGACCGGCTGGTGGGGGGAGAAGGGATAATTCTCGCTACTACCGATAAGGGCTTCACCCCAGCGCATTGGACTGCCTCCTCCCCTACAGAACTCGGTGCCGATATACGCTTTTATAGCTGCGGTACGTGCGACACGCACACCCCGTAGACTCGGCTAGAATGAAAGGTCACTGCGAACCACAAGCCGCCTGGTGCTGGAAACAACACGGAAAGGGGGGGCTGTGATTCAACAGTATAGGGAGCAGGGGGGCCTAACTCATGGCCACATACACGGAGACTCAATGGCTTTCGCTGGAAATGTCGCGCAATGAGCCGGGTCGAGAGAAGCGGTGCAGCTGCATAAGAAAGGAAAAGAGGCACAGAAGGCACACCACACACAGGAGCGGTGGAGCCCTTACGCTATACATGCATTGCAGTCCCTAAAAGTCTCTCTAAAGACAGCTCCGTAGTCAGCGTCCAACCGCCTGTTTAGAAAGATTGCCAGCAAAGGGAACGCACGACTAGATCCAACAGCATCATACCCCACGCCTGGCTCAATGCACAGGTGGCAAACCCATGCACGTCGAGATATTGCAAAGTCAGGCATCAGCGAACAGGCACTGTGAAGCGTCATCGTGCCGTCGGATCGGCCCATAGAGGCAGCCAGTATATTTAGCAAGGTGGCCATGGGCTCTCAGGAAAAGGCGTGAACCCTAAACCCCCGCAAAAAGGAGGCTTGATAATGGCGTTCCTCACCTCTCCCTCGAACCAGGTGGAGCTGTTTCTCTCGAATTTGGCACGAAGGGCCGCTACCTTGTTAACCCCATCCTCTGGGATGGATCCCACACAAGGTTCTGCCCCTGCAGCAGTGCCATGCATCCCATACGCAGCACTCAGCAGGACGCCCTTGAAGCAAGGAGACAGCCCCTTCTGCATTATTCTGCTGCCTCCCTCCCCCCACACATTCAACTAGAACACCCTACTCCCGTGGTCTTACCAGTGCCGCTCGTCTGAGCTTGCTGCTTGACAGCATCACTCATACCACGGGCGCGGCTCTCAATCTGGCGATGTGCCGCTTGACCTGAGGTAAGTCTGCCCTTGTTTGGCTGCTGCTGCTGCTGCTGTCTCTCCCTCCACGCACTCTCAGATGCCCTCGAGACGCTGCGGCTGCTTGCCTGGCTAAGTCTTTCCTGGGGCCCCGATGTCGCGTCTGCATCGCCGCTAGAGAGACGCCCCTGATGCCTACCCTTGGCTGCACAATTCTTCATCCACTCCATGCGCGCCTTAATCCGACAGGCTGTAGCCTCGTCGTGTTTTGCATCGCCTCTACACGGCAGCAAGCCGGTCCTGCATAAGCCCCCACCCCCAGCAGCAGCATTATCACCACCACAAGCAGAAGCAATTAGAGGGGCGACAGATCATCAGAGCCTCCCCCGCAGAACGCACCCTACATATATATATATGTATATGCGCACAAAAACCACGCATTCCCTTTTCACTGGTGAGCAGCAAGGAAAACTAAAAGGCCTCATCTGTAGCCCCTATAGGTCTTCAATAGTTCCAGGGAGACAGCACTAAACGAGAGAGAGAGAGAGAGACAGATCAGCAGCCAGTGCAGCAGGCACTTACTTCCGCAGCCGAACAGCCTTGTAAGGGTTCCGCCTCTCCTCGTCAGCGTCTGCATCGACCTGCATCAGCCATTCAGGAAAATCCGAAAGGCCTAATCTCAAGTGTTTCGCATCCAAAGCCTCGGGATCTTCTTCGCTACCCCGGCTGGTCAGCTGCCGCCTGCAGGGGCAGCACGCACCACACGCACTGTTTTGCCTTCCACAAGCAGCATGACACGCTTTCCACCGACAGTGTAGGGGAGGAACTGAGCAGCAGCGAAAGGAGGGAGCGCAAGAAAAAGCATCAACAGCAACGAACGTACGAGCTCGTTGTAAGCAGGCCACCCTGCAGATCATCAGAATCTGATGCAGTGGCTTCTCCTATTTCTACTGGTATCGGAATCAGTGGTACACCCCGTGCGGGTGCCACCTCCCCATTTCTCGCAAAGACCTCCGAAGCCTCAAGACAAGGCTCCGCTGCAAAGTCTGCTGCTGCTGTTGTTGCTGCTAGATACTCTCCAAGAGCTGGTTCTCCCTCGAGAACAGGAGAATGCTCTTGCCTACTCGGTATGGCTGCTACAAAGGCCTCCCCTGCTGCAGGGGATCCTTCCTCCGGAGCCTCTGCACCTCGCACTGCGTCTTCGTATGCTGCTGCTGCTGCTTCTCTTAAGCCCTGCATCTCTCCAGCCTGCTCTGCTGCTTCTGCTGCTGTATTTGTCCCCGTATCTTCTGCCGAAAACGCCTCGCCTTGCCATGGACCCCCTACATCCCACAGTTGCGGTTCTGACTCTGCGGCTGCGCTAATCATAGTTTCTGCTTCTTCGACGCCTTCTGCCGCTGTTTCCACAGGTTCCCGCGTTCCTGTACCTTCGTCCTCCAGCTCCTCAGCGGAGAGCTCCCAGTGGCTTGTCTCAGCAGCAAATCGTTCGGCATATACTTCCCCTGATCTGCCCGAGACAACAGCTGCAGCCCTCGCGTCTGCGTCAGCTACTCCGGCGGCTGCCGCAGCCTTAGCCGCTGCTTCCACTACCAGCGCGTTCGACGCATCAACAGCAGTTCCAGCCTCTGCACGATCTTCTGCTCCTCCATCAGCCGTCTCGTCTAGAGCACCAGTGTCTGCCCCTTCCAACTGAGCTGCAGAAGCGGCCTCGTCTGTAGCCGCTGCTTCTGGCAAAATGCCTGCTTCTGCACAGGCACCCGCATCCGCTGCCTCATGGGATGCAGGTGCCCCATAGTCGCCCGCTTCCACGCCAGTATTCGCCGCAAGTGTCTTCTCTTCGAGGCTCATGCCCAGTCCCGCTGGCCTGCAAATCCACGCAGCAACAAGAGCAGCAACAGTAACAGCAATCGCAATAGCAATAGGAGCAGAAGCAACAGCAGCAGCACGTACATACACGTACATACACATACACACAGATACACACACATATATGCACATAGAGACACATACACACACTTACACATACATGCACACGCATATATGCACATAGAGACACATACACACATACACACACATACATACACACACATACATACACACACATCGATACACACACATAGATACACACCAGCATACACACGTACACACACATAGATACACATACACATAAACACACCAACACACACACATACACACACATACACACACATACACATACACATACATAGATATATGGATACACATACACATAAACACACCAACATACACACATACACATACACACATGCACATACACATACACACACACACATACACACTGTGGCAACACGGAGCAGGATCACGTAATCCCTTCATATGCAAAGGGGGTCTCTACGTGCACCACAGGATGCTTTAAAATCTTCGTCGCACGGAGCTTACGGAGGGATAAGCGGCGACAGCTGCCGAATGATTTCCTCGAGCGGCGCAATGTACGGACATGGCCCCTGATCACCACCGTTAGCGGCAGCTGCAGCCACGATGGTGTTGCACTGTGCATCTGTACCCATGAGAACAGGCGTCTTGAGCGGCGAAGCGTGACTCAGCAAGGTGATTACCCCCGCCTCTGCACTGCTTCGTCTGTCCAACCACTCCAAACTTCGAGACCTGTGCACACCCCCACCCACGCGTGGAATTCCTCACACACACGAAGCGGAGATAAATGTGGACTGCTCTTGTGTAGAAAACGATGCCTCGAAACACGCATGCTTGAGTCGCGTATAATGCCACCTGAACGGCCGCTGCAGACGGCAGACAGAGGGCGGAGAAAAGGACTTTTCAGGCCGAAGGAAAGCGTTCGAAAGGCAAAGCAGCACCAGAGGTTGCAGCACGGAGACGACGCTCAACGCCTTATACGTGAATCACTGAGCGCCTGTTCTCTTGCCGCATCCAGCGCAGCTCAAGTGCAGACAGGCCGCACCAGGAAACACGAAAAAACGAGCGAAAACAGTACGCCGCGCCCCTAAAATCCTTTAAAAGCCACCCCTCGCACTGGCAGGGGGAGCCAAGAGGCCTCCACGCGTCTCTCACCCTCGCGCTTCGTCGAAAGCACATACCGACACACACTCGCAACTGAGGCAAGTCTAAACATCAAGAGAAGAAGCACACGTACCAAGCGAGAAAAGGCTGCGCAGCTCGATGACCCTCTTCAGTCTCAAAAGGCACTTCCGTTGTCAGTGCATCCTCTCCTACCACCACACCGCAGTCGAGGGGCTGTCTCCAGAGCATCGCTGAAGATGCCTTTTCTCCCCCCTCCGAATTGACAGAGGCGCTTGCAAGAGATCGCCCGAGGAAGTTTGCTGTCATGCGCTTCAGCTTTGAGGCCTGGTGACGAACTGCCCGACTGACGGAGAGCTGGTTCTTGCTGACGCTGGTGCTCCTGCTGCTGCCGTTGCTGCTTGCCGTTGTTGTGGCAGCAGCAGCAGCGGCAGCAGAGGCAGTGGCGGCAAGCCCTTGCTGCAGCAAATGTGACTTGCACTCCAACAGGCTGGTGGGGGGTGGCGCTGCTGCCGTTGAGGGAGCCTGTAGAGGGGGTTCGTTCGAGCGATCTGGCCAGGGCACAAAGGCAGAAAAAACTGCCTGATCCTCCTGCTCACGCGATCGTGCTTGCTGCTGCCGCTGCTGCAAAAGCTCCTCAGTAAAGGGGCTCACCGTAGCAGCATGCGCATCCTGCACACGCTGTTGCAGCCTCCCCAAGGTCTGGAAGTCTGCTGGGCTACTGCCGCCGTTGTGGAATGAACAGCTGTTTTTGCTGGTGCTGCGACCTTCCCAAGGAGCAGCGGTGCCTCCCCCCCGCTGTTCAATCACTGGACGCTGCTGCTGCTCCTGCTCTTGAAGCTCCTGTTTCGCTTGCTGCGCCTCTTGCAGCTGCTGAGAGCTGCGATGCACCGGAGAGACGTGGGAGTCAGGGGACGCCAAGGGCCCTTCGCTCTGCAGCATCGCCAGGCAGAGGAACCTCCAGACACCCTCGCACCCTCAACGCTGCTGCTGTGTAGTCTGGTGGCACTGAAGAGGCTTTATGAACGCATGCACCACAGCACTTGCGCGAAGCACAGCTTGGGTGTGGTGCTGGACCTGCCCGGAAAACCACTGGTCTAATTCTGCTGCTACTGCTGCTTTTGTCACGCTGTTGAAATTTCTTCTTCAATCCTGTTCAAGACGACATAAACATCCTTCTTGGTCCCTCTCAATGAGACGCCCCCCTGTAATATTGGAGCCATATGCTGGAGCACCCTCTCCGCCTTTCAAGCGAAGGCTCTGAGGGCCAGCACTTTTATTCATGTGTTGCTACTGCAGCAGGAAGCTCCTGATGATGCTGCTAGGAGGAGACCGCCTCTCTCCGAAGATTGCCTGCTACTACCAGGCTGACAGGGATGCGCCTGCACCTGCCGCGGAGGGTGCACTGCATGCCGCCAACACACCGAATAGCTGCAACTGCTGCCTCGGATTCGAGCGCTTCTATTGCTTCTGGATGCCGTCTAAGGCAATGGTACGGTGTGTGCTAAGGGGAGTCAAAGATACGCAGAGACCGCAATCACCGCTGGTGTGTTTTGTGGAGCATTTAGGAGTGAGAGTACCGGCCCAACGCAACACATGCACCGGCACAAGCTCTCCGCTGGCTCAAGCAGAAGCCAAGACTCCAAGTGTAACATGAATCTGGATGTATGCAGCACATACTTAAGGACCGCTGCAGCACACAAACCACCAAACGCAGCTGCGATTTCGGAAATCAGCTGTGCGCCGCCGTAGTTAAGGACCGCCTCCGGTAAAGAAAACAACTCTGACGCAAAACGAGAGCCACATACACAGAATCTTCTACGTCATTTCATAGAAAATCGGGTTTGCTTTCAGGACACCGCACCGCTTAGTCGGGAAGTTAGCAGACGAGGGCCCCCTTCCACGAGGGGCCCTCGGAACGCGAATTTCGAGATCGCCTAGAGTGGAGCGGCCTCTCTAAAGAGGCGTTTGACGCTTTTGGTGAGGGTAAAATAAAGCCTTATTATCTGTGATGGTCTCTAGAGAACCTCTTTCCCTTTAATATTCTGCAATGGCTCTTGCAGCACTTGAGCTGTTGGTGTAGCTGCCCTTAATCTCTCCGAAATACGGAAGCTGTTCACCACCTGTTGCAGCACATTCTCAAAAACCAATGCTGTCTATGCACTGCAAGCATGGATTGCTATGGCTGTGGTTAGGATAAGAAGCCACTGCCTCGGCAATGTTACAATGGCATTTTGTATGAAAGGCCCCCAAATTCGCGTATTTATGTTCGGCGCCTTCAGCCACATTGTTCCGATGTTAGCTGCGCGGGCTCATTCTGGTTGAATTAGTCACGAATTCGGCAATAGTTCGCCGGACAGATTTGGCGAGCAAGCAGTCATTCCAGAAGACAGCTAGCCTTCGAAATAAAAGATAGTCTTGCCGGAAAACACTCAATATGCTAGACCAGTATGTGTGCGTTAAACAGTCCCCCGCTATGGTGCGTTGCAGATTTCGGTAAGAATACTGCGTCCTCACGTTTGAGAGCGCCGTACGAATCGCGCCAAGCAGCACGAACACTTTCTTCTACATTCGTTACATGACAAAGAATTAGTACAGAACCGACTTATGGGTATGTCTGCTTGGCCATCATATTTTTTCCAAAACCATGCTAGCTGGATACCAGAAGACGCAAATGTTATGTGCACGTGGCCTAGATTGCATGTATTAACTAGATATGATGTTTGGAGTGCTTCGACAATCCAGCTACGCGCATCCTGGCTGTCTCCATCCTTTCTTGGCGAATATGTGAGAGAGCGCCGCCAGGGGCAGGAGGAAGCTGTTTTAAGCAGTACTCACCAACTTTTGGTAAGAATATATTGAGTCTGGGTAAGCTTGGATGCAGAGCGACAGATTTCAGCACATCAAACTTCATTGTTGCTATTCGTCAGCTGATCCACTCGCTGTGACTGTAAAGAATTGCAGTGTTTCCCGACAGCACTTTTTTGGTTTCTTTCAATTTGTGTGGAAACTCAATGATTTAATTTCCTTTGGCAACAGTTTGGTTTTAATGCTTTCTAGCGATAGATTTAGAGGGTGGCACGACGCCTGGTGGGGCCGCAGAACCCGCTCTACAGGCTGATGCAGGCACACTATCCCCACGGATGATGGACAGGCCTGCCCTATCAAACCATCAAATCTTTCATGATATGCTGAGGCGGTTGTACTCGTTAAAAACGGATGGCGGCCACAAACTGGGGTAGCCACTCACAGATTTCTTCTTCTAGCTGAAGATGTAATGAGCTTCATACCCACTAGACAAACAGGTACGATTACTTTTCGCGGCATGTTAGAGACGAAGAAGACCTTCAGTGGTTACGCGTTCCACGCGGAGGAAGTTGGCTGCATCCGCAAATTATAAAACTGCACATCAAGCCTCCATGCAAACCCTGGCATCGGTATATGTAGTGATCGTCTCAAGGGGCAAGCTTTGGAGGAGATGTGACGAATGTAGCACAGTGTCTACCAATTAATCCATGTATCCAAAAATATGGAACTTGGGCTTGCAAAAGCCACAACGTAGAAGAACAGCTGTTTTGTCCACCCGTTATCTTAGAATTACCCGAGGTGTCAGTTCAGGCATTTGTAGGTGGGCAGCAACTTTATAATCAAACGACCGCCCAGTTGGCCTTCCACACATGATGGACTTCTTGAGGCTTCACGAGCAAACGAGCACAGCTCTTTCGTCTTTGGCTTTAGGAAACGGAGTCGCCCTATTGGGAAGTGGCAGGTAGTAAGGTTGAGGAGCTGTCAACCAACCCCAGCTACAGTCCAAGTTGGATCCGAAAAGATAGCCAACAAGACCTTCGCTCCTGTTCAGCCCCACACAGCCACCCAACAGCGTAGGTGCCTCTACTAAGGGGTACTGGGACCTGTGCTTAGGAGCTGCGAACCCACGCGAAAAACCCCAAAAGCTTGAACAACAGAAGTAGGCCTAGCGGAATGAGGCTGCCTGGCGAGCGCAGGCGGCCCTCCAAAAAATGGTAAGCTTCCTATTGGAACGGCGGCGCGATGAAGGCGGCTGGAGAGGATCGAGTCGCAATTGGGACCAACCGCGGTCAACTATGCGCTGATACAAGTTCACAGTAAAGGCCAAAAGGTATTAGCTTTACTTGGCACTGGATGTGAAGCGGAGAGAGAGACGCTTCGTGGCCTCCTCAACAACGCTCCCTTCATACATGTTGAACGGGGTAGAGTCGGTGCCTCAGCAAGGTCAGGCAGAATCTCCATGTGGACGGCTGAGCAAAGCCGTCTAAAATTATGGCCCTGAGCATTCATTCCATCCTAGTGGCTCTGCAGCTGGATCATCACTAGCGAACGCGATCGAACATTCAGCATAAACGAAGCAGAAATGGACAAATGCCAAGAAGTTCGCGGAAGCGCAAAATAATGACTAGCTGCCATCAGGCTAGCCACCTGCTGGTCGTCCAGCGAGCTGTATTCAGCAAAATCCTCGGGAAACCTACAGCTGTTTTCTGAAGTATTGGAATCCTCCACAGTGTGGGAAAAGGTAAGCTTCAAGCGGTTAATACTTTTTAAAGACGAAATGCAGGCACCGACTGATGCATTTGCGCGTATCCCGGCGTTGGGGTCGAAAAAGGACGGAAGGTGGAGCATGGGCGTTACCCTTACTGCCCCTGAACAAGGCTAGTGTGGAGCAGACATTGTCAAGGCTTCTAATCGAATTAGGATGCACTGAATGGATAACAGTCTACGAAGCGTCTGGCATTACAGACACTGTAAAGTTGTCACGTTGTTTGGAGTTATCAATCCTCCTACTAAGTCGCAATGGCGTGCTAATCGGAAATTTTATGAGTCCTTGAAGGAGAACTATTGAATGGTTGTCAACATGGAGGACGTCTTAGTATTCAGCTAAAGCGTTCAAGAGTACGTAAAGCGTGCACTTGTGCTGTTGTGGGACAAGCGGTTGTACAGTGAAGCACTCAGGCTTCCGAATTCCATGAGAACAGATGTGTGTCAGGAGCTCGTGTCTTTCCTGCAGAAGTTGAGCCAGACCCTGTAAAGCGGTCATGGCGAGGCCTTTACCTTTACGCTACCGCATCGACATTGAGAAGCTCTGTGGGCTAGTGTTAGATTCTAGGATTATTGTGGGCCGAAAATATTGTATTCAGTCACTATCCAGTGCCGCAAAGAGCGTTTAAGTGTTGCTTTGCCAGCTAGATCGTACCCCCTTTTAAAAACCGCGCCCTCGGGCTTTCGTGTCTTGACGTCTAAACGAAGTTCCTGCAGGAGAGCGCAGTACTTTGTTCGTATACCCTATTCTGTTCGGAGTACTGCAAGCTCCATACAGCAAGGCACAATGCTGTGTGAGTCTGTACCAGATTCTATGTGCAGCTAGCTGTGAACGCTTTGATTGCGTGGTGTGCGTAGCTAGGCGCGCCTCAGCTGGCTCTCTACCCTTGTGTGGGGAACCGTGGGAGTGGCGGAACGGGAGGGCAAAAGTTATTTTAGGAAACACGCAATAACTTTTGATCGGGTTTGATTAAAATCTGAAGTAAAGTGTCTCTTAAGGGAGACCTCAGACTGTGCGTCACAGTTACAGGAGTTACATTGCGGCTTTCCTGTGCAAGTCAGATATCGTCTCGTAACGTGAGGTTAGGAAGAGGTGGTTATATTCTAACATAAGGACAACTTTCTCCCTTAAAACTGTAGAAGCTTGCCTTACAGGCAGCTAATTGTGGTTTAAGCTACGAAATTCTTGTCAAGATCCGGTGAACTCTACCTCCAGGTAGCCATAATCGTTAAGTGCACCTAATTTGCTGATTCAGGGATTTGTTCTGTGAATCACACTGAGTAGAATAGTTGCGTCAGGAACTTGAGCGAAGTTTGGCTCAGAGCGTGAAGTGAGCCGTACCTTGTGGCCACGCCTGTAGCAGATCCAGCCTGAAATTGAAGTGGCGTTCTCCCACATGTGCTGCACATTGCATGTCGGTCTCTTCTATTTCAGGAGTCGAAGAAGTGGATAAAGGGGGGACGTACAAAGGAAAAGAAAGGTAGGGAATGGGTAAACAGTGTCCGGCAGCAGGGAGCCCCAGTGCCCCACACCGCTAAGACAGTGCCTGGCGTGCGGCGTCATATGCAGCCTTCAAGTTTATGTAGAGCTCTTCTGCCTTCTTGTATGTATGAATGATTTCTGTTGCGTCATGACTTTTAGGGTCTTTCGATTCTGTTGGCTTCCCCGCGTCTCGCAACGTGCTGCAAGGTACTGCGTACTGCCACTGCCGCGCCACATTCTGCTGAGGCGGCGTTTGTCTCTGACCTCCTTAATTCATGTTTCCAGCTGCCGCATTCACTTTTGTTTATTGTCGTCTCGTTTATCCTAATTAGTCCCTCCTTGGGGCCCCCCGCAAAGGGGAACGTGCAACAGCCTGCTGCTGGGGCTACCTTGGGGGCCCCTTTGGCTACTTAGTAGCTCGTGCCTTCCTGGTTTACATAGGCACCTGGTTGCTCCCACAACGTGAATCGTCTAATTTATTTCAGTTTATATCCGTCGCATGTGGAGGGCACTCTAGCTGCTCCACCTACTGAAGTGTGGTGCGTCTCGCTGTAGGCACACTGCCTGCATTCACCCCACCGCCCTTTCTCGTGTCGTCGCTCTCCCTCATTCCTCAGCAAAATCCCAGCTCCTTTGTACCCTTAGCGTGCGGAGTGTAAGGGGCTCAGATCTGCCTTGTTGCTGCTGGTCAGAGGGTGTTGTTGCGAAAAATCTGGCGCAAAAGGACAGAGGCAAAGAGCCCCTCCTCCGCAATCTGAGCCCGTGGTCCCTATTTCTTCCGTGTTTGTTCTGCCCTTCACCTGCTTCCTTTAGCAGCCGCACCAGCATCTGTTCATGGGGAGGATGGCGAGCGGCACTGGAGACAAAGGCGCTCTCGTGAACCCCTACGAGGTCTTGAAGGAGGAAGATGCCCTGCAGCGGCGGCTCGAGAAGCAGGCAGAGCGCGAAAGGAGGCGGAAACAGCGGAGGGAGGAGAAAGCCGCAGCCTCCGCTGCCGCTGCCGCTGCCGCTTCGGCAGCAGCTACTGCGGCAGCCGCAGCAGCCGTAAGGGCTCAGCTTTCTCCAGGTGCAACTTCTCTACTGCAGGGTGCTCGATGGGCAGACGTTGATGTAGACTCCGAGGAGGAGGGGGCCCCCCCGTCTGCCTCCGATGTGCGCAGGACTGGGGGGTCTTGGCCAGCGGCTCCTGGGAGGTGTGCGCATCACCAGAGGGATGCCTTCTACTCAGACGCTGAGACTTCCTCAGAAGAGGACCTTGAGAGCGACGCAGAAGATGATCCGCACGGAGATGAGTCCGCCGACAGCAGCAGCAGCAGTGGGGAGGAGGAGAAAAGCGGCCATGCTGCTGGGCCGAACAGAGAACAGCCAATTAGGTCGCCCGCTGAGGCAAAGAAAAAGGCGAAAGGTGAGGAGCGAGGTCACGAGGGCTGTTGCTTTTCCGCTTGTCGCATTCTGAGTGAGGCACCCCGCGCGCCGCCACCTTTGCATGTTTTCCCCTTGTGTTTTTTTCGCTCCGTTCGCTACTTTGTTGAGCTCTGCTACTGCCAGCTGTATATTCTCAAGGCCGAGCCGTTGAGGCGTACGGCCTGGCAAAGCCGTGGGCTGCAGGCCTCCCAGCAAAGGCGTCAGTCGACAGCACACACAGGATCTTAACAGCACACTCAGGATCTTAACAGCACACTCAGGATCCGAGAATTTTTGTGTGGCCTTGGCTTGCTGCAGGCGCTGTGGGTGGCACTGCTGCAGACCCCTTGAAAGGTTTGAGTCGGAAGGAGCGTAAGCAACGAGAAATGGAGGAGCTCGAGAGGGCCCTCAACGAGGCTGGCTGTAAGTTGCATTCCATACGGCTTATTTCGTAGTTGGCAGCTCTTGCCTCTTGCTAGTAGTCTTCCATCTGCTTGTTGAAGAGGCAGAAGAAGGCGTGCCTGCGTTTCTTCTCTTCAGTAACTCCGGCTGCTTCTCCAGAGCATCAGAAACAGCAACAGCAAAAGACGGGGGAAGGAGCTGCTGTAAACGGGCGACCCTCCGGCAGTGGTGAGAAGGAGAAGAAGAAGAAAAAGAAGTCTCAGCAGCAGCAGCAGCAGCAGCAGCAGCAGGAGGAGGCTGAATCTGAGGATACAGGGGACACTCCTGTAGGTCCTGTGCCCTTCGGCTGGTAGCGGCGCTGTGCTTGCTTCTATCCTCGAGTTGTTGACTTATTTCGGCCTAGCCCGTTTCCCCATAAATCAGCATGCGGCTGTTTTTGCGCAAACGCTGCAGGCTGCTCCGGAGGATCCAGCGAAGATCGCCGCTCGGTTGAAAGCTGCCGCGGCTGCGAAGCGCAGCCCAGCGAGCAGCAAGGACCTCGCGAAGAAGCTGGCAGCTCAGGAGGCGAAGGCGAAGATGGAGAAGGCGAAAAAAGAGAAAAAGCCAAAGCTCTTCTTCCCGCCCAAACAGTGAACATGGCATTGAGCTGCTCACGGCCGTGCGCCCCTCACCGAAGGCTCCCTGTTTCTCTTGGGGAGGAAGCTGTGCCCTGCAGTTCCGCAGTTGGTAGTTTTAGACACCGTCATTCTACTAAGAGCAGCGGCAGCTGGGGTTGCGACAGAGCATTTTGCATACTTAAGCGACACATGCAGCGAACACTATCGGGGCAGCTTCTCTTTGCGGGAGCGAAGGGTCACCATGCCTGGCTGGGGTCCCTGGAAACGCACAGCAGTTATGAGCACCGCGAGACTTGTGATGCAACGGGGACCTTATAGAGGTAATATGGTGTTTTGAGGCCCTACGATTACCCAATCCTTTTATAACTTCTGGCCACCAATTGATAATTTTGAAGCAACGTAATGCTGTTCAGGGAAATTGAGTCCTTGATCCGACTAGACAGCGAGAGTTCTGGTTCTGTAGTGGAGACAGCCTTTGGATTTCGGTGTGTGCATCACCAGCAATCGCACTTGTGTGGACGTCTACATGTGGCCGGGTGCATATTTATATGTACACTCTTTGCCGTGCATCTAAAGCAGGATGTAGTCCCGACCGAGATTGTTTTGAGGGGGGAATATTGATGGAGAAGCAACTCGGCGCAATCTCGGCGCCACAAGCCGGGAGGAGAGGGGGAGTAGGAAAAAGAGTAGCAGGACAGGGACAGGCTGCCAAATGGCCCTCTTATATTGCATTCTTTCCATAAGGCATCGGCAAATCTAACGGGAAAAAGGGGCATTTGTGTTTGTCTGGCCATAAAGTGGGGGCTCTTTCAATCCCTAAACAACGGGCCACCAAAAACATGGCACTGCTCTATCAGCGGTTCTCTCTCGTCAAAAAGCAGTGTTTTGTTCGCTCCTCACGGAGGAAGGGGGTTCGAGAAGCTCCCATCAGCCCCTGAATACGCCTTTTACAGTAACAAAGGATCGGGTAGTACATGACGAGTTTAAGTAGGGTTCCCCTACTATAGCTTGGCGCTAGGAACTCTTCTCTCTCTCGGTAGATATGGTCTAGGGGCGGGTCCCACGTAGAGAGAAGCAGGCCGTATCAATCGGTTAACTGCCCGCTGCTCGAAAACGTGCGCTGCCCACCCGGCTGTCCGTGCGATTGCAAATAGGGGCGTGAAGAAAGCCATAGGCACTCCACATCTGCAGCAAGTGCAGCACAAGCGAGGCATATACACTTGAAAAAACGAACGGCAGCATGGTCAGCGACAGCAACGGCAAAATGCTTACTGTTTGTAGGCAATCGCTGCAGAAAAGTCGACGTTTGGATGCATCTTCTTCCTCTTGAGCATTTCCTCCTCCATGAAGGCTCCAACCTGCACCATTATGGGGTCAGAGTGCGGTAGCTTAGCCTTTGCAAGAGCTTCAGCAAGTCCCCGCATCAGGGGGGCCCTAGGGTCGCCATTCTTGTACATGCGGTGCCCGAAACCCATCACCAGTTCCCGCCGAGAAAAGGCTTCTTCCAGCTGCAACAAAATGCACTCTAGAAGGCAAGGACACTCTCATAAAATTGCCGCCTTCGGAGTCACAAAATGAATGGATGCCCATCTCCGGAGGCGAAAGAACAGTGTGGTTGCACGCGCTGTGCCATCATCAGGAACCATTAAAAGGCTTGTAACAGTGCAGTCTTCTAGGATGGGCAGGATATCTGTTGGGTCTAAATGTACGGCCACTGTAGCTTCGAATTTACCCGTCTTTTGGCCTTGTCGACTGAACGTAAAGGCATCAGCATTTCCAAGGCCGCTTCGTTGGCTCCTCCGTGTAGAGGCCCCTTCAGAGTACCAATTCCCGAACAAATGCAGCTGTAGAGGTCGCTTCGGGTCCCCGCAGTTACGCGACATGCAAAGGTTGATGCTGCAGCACGAGACACCCAGTAACCAGAAAGAGGATCGGCTGTGCACTAGGCAGCACTGGCAAAACACGACATCCACGAGGCCTATGGATCGGGAGTACAGGCATAGGAGAAAATTCGGTGGTGTTGCTGCACGAGGGTTGATGCTAACAGCATCCTGCGAAGAGCGGAACCCTACATCATGAGGACTAGGGACTGGGGCCTCCTACCATTAAAGTCATGCTCTGCGTAGAGAATAAGAGAAGTGTCCAGAGTCTTCGCAACGACGGGGTGCGGCTGTAAGCAAACGCAGCATAAGTCCTACGTCGTGGATTCAAATCCTCAGGGTTCAATTTTCCCGCAGTTCGTAATCCCTTTGTGCCTTGCGAGCGCTGCTTCACCTTGAATTCGGGGTCTCCATGCAGGAGTTTTAAGAAGTTGACAGCCACCGAGTCCTCTGGGTTCGACTGAAGAGATATCTCTTTACCCGAATTGGAGAAATGATACCAGTAATTAAGGGCTCCGGCGAATCCTCCAATGAGGCGCAGGGCAATCTGAGGGGAGAAGTGAAGGACATGCGAAGGCCACGGGGAAACCACCAGACGCTCGAGACTCTTGGGGAGCCTTGCGGTATGCAGGGCAAACACCACAGGCTATGAAGCAGCATCTTATGTGTATGCGATTGATAGGAAGTGGATAAGTCCTCATGTACTTCAACTTGCTGCACTGAAGGAGCTGTCTCTGGCTCTAGGGTCCCTAGGACGGAACAGGTCGTCCTCAAGACATCCTGCAATCAAACAAGAAAGTGACATGTGTCCTGTCATGTTGATATTGATGCATGTCTCTCAGTATATGGATACCTTTTCAAAGCTCCCCTGATGACTTCAAGAGGAACTTCGTTCGTCTTTTTTGAACCCACCATTGGGTGTGCTTCCTTTGGAATCAGTTTAAGAACTGCTAGGACCTGGGGTGGTAACTGCCTCGCATCACATAACTTTTGTTTTAGGGCAGTGAGCTGCTCTTGAGTAGGCAGTTCCCCCATCAAAAGCAAATGTACGACCTCTTCGAATGTCGCTTCTCTGGCCAAGTCCACCACATTGTATCCACGGTAGTTCAGGCCTTCGAAGTCATGAGCCAAACGCACAAATCCACATTCAAAAGCTCACAGTGAACATAAGCAATGCTGGTGGGGGGGATACAGGTATTTGCTGCAGCCTGCGTTACTCTGCATCACACACTCCTGCAAAACAACATCCGAAGAAAATGACACACCACTTCCTAGTGCCACAGTGCATATGGACGACTCTCCAGCTATTATCCCGGCAAGGCCTCCTGATGAAGGCTTTTTTGGAGCCCCTATGGGTGCAGTGCTCCTGGCCTGAACCCCGGCCTTCCAGTCGTGAGAGGAAGAACCGGCAAAACGGCTCTCCTGCTGCCTGTAGCTCCCAATTCGGGCATCTGATGAATAATCCTCTGAAGGCATGGCTTCTATTGCTTTGTTAACAATAGTTTAACAAGTTGTGTGCAGCTGGTTGGTGGAATACGGTAATGGAAAACCGGGGACGCTGAGGTGACCCGTTCGCAAGTGACCTTGAGCTGATGCACGAAAATCGAACCTGGATGCCTTTGATGCCTATAGAATCAAAGAATTTCCTAGATTTTGACTGCAGAAAATGACTGCGAATATCCGACGAAGGATTCCAGAGGGAGGCTGGTGGATGCGTGGACGTCTCGTTAGCTGGGAAGCCGGAGCAACAACGTCGTGAGCCTTTATTGGAAAACCACTATTAGCTTATGTGGTTGCGTCATTCACATACCCCCAAAATAGTAAGAGCAGTTGCTTCTATTATCGGCGCACTGACTTTCCGAACCAGCCAGTGTCAAGCGGCACCGGATCCACAAGCACTTTCCACGGGGTAGGGGGCGGAAAGCGGAGTACCTATTCGGGTCTATACAAATTAAACGTATTTACTATTGGTCTAGCCACTACATCGGAATCCACAACAATCTTCCAATGTTCACCATGAGCGACGCAGAGGCACGCTGCCCCTCAACTCACTGGTACCATCCGACAGCCTATATTGGTATCACGCCTTGCCGTGTCTGAGCAGTAGTCTCGGAGCTATTTATTGTGGCTAAGAAAAGGTTAATGGTTGATGTGAGGCAGCGTGTCCCAGATCCCTTCTCGAGAAGGAGCAGGTAATTATTCAACAGTGCTTCGCACGTAACTGGCACGGCGCTGTAGTCACCTAAACGCTAATCTACATCTACTTAGGCCACATCTTGCAGCTACTCAATCTGCACACTAATCGTAGAAGCTGTACAGGCCCAGGCGGCCACTCAATCACTTATTTGCGTGGCAAAACACCGCACAAGTTCCAGGTGGAGTGGTCCTACCCCAACTCCCCGCCTCGCCATAAGCACGGCTGAGCCTGCATCCCGCCCTGCAGATTTCCATTAAACCCCCTGCAATATTTCAGGAATCAGGCACGTCTAATCCACGGAGATTTCGTATACGTAGATGTCACCGCTTGTGGTGCCAACGAACAGAGTGCGCCCATCATATGACCAGTTGAGGGAGGTGCACCATGGGATGCCACTCTTGACTGGCTGGTCTGGATGAATGTCGTCAAGCACATTCTTGTTCTCCAGATCCCATATCTGTAGCAAATAAAAACCATAAACCCCACAACGAAGTGAAAGAACCAAGTGGAGCACAGCCAGCCACAGATGTTGGCGACCTGGAATCCTTTTGGGTCACTTTCCCACGAATAGCAAAATCAGAAGGACATGTGCAAGTGGTTAGTAACTTCTTGATTGCGGCTCTGACACTTAAAATCCTTTTCAGGGCAGCTCATTCGCTCGCTTTGAGTCGAAGAGCACCTGTCAATACGAGGAATGATTATTCATCATTGCCGCAGGTAATTATTACGGAACTCGTCAACAGTTCTACAAGTAGGGTGCAAAAACTGACCTTGACGGATTTGTCAGTTGCGGCGCAGAGCCAGTAGTTGCATGGGGAGAAGCACAGGCTGTTGATGGTGCAGCTGGCATCTAGAGAGTAGAGGTGCTTGCCCTCGCTGACGTCCCACAGCATCGCCACGCCGTCCTTTCCTCCAGAGGCGCAAAGAGAACCATCAGGGGAGATCGTGACGGTGTACAGCACAGACGTGTGGCCAACAAGGTTGGTGGTCAGCTTGCAGGTCGACAGACTCCACACCTGTACAGATGGCAAGTGCGAGACCAAAGAGAGCCACGTGGTAGAACACCCTTTGCATCAAGACTACAAGTGTGTTTTATCATTACTTCTGTTCTTGTCCGCACAGCGCGAGCGGAATACGCAACGCGTACGGCGGAAGCAATCTAGAATGACTTTTCGCGCAAAATAAAATCCAGCGTCAGAGGCTTGTGATGATACAGCCTACAGCCTCTAGGTGAGTGCCTCGCTAGAACCTCGACGTTTGCAGCTCCTGGTGCAAGCCCCACAGAGAGGACAAGCTGCGCAAAGCTACTTGAGAAAAATGCAGAACTTTCGACGCACCTTAACAAGCTTATCCCAGCCGCAGGAAACGATCAAGGGCTCCTTTGGCGACGGGGAGAAGCGCACGCACGACACCCAGTCGGTGTGCTGGCCTTCCTCGATGGTGTACTTGCAGTCAGCGAGCGTGTTCCACAGGCGGACAGTTCTGTCGCGGGATCCCGACACGATCTGCCTGTTGTCTGCGCTAAAGGCCACGGAGTTGACGTCGGATGTGTGCTTCTGGAAGGTGCGAACTGTTTCGCCCATGTTCAGGTCCCACAGCCTAAGCGTCTTATCCCACGAACCCGACAAGGCGAAGTTGGAATCACTGGAAATCACAACATCCTGCACGCACTGAGAGTGGCCAGTCAGTGCCCGGCGAGCAAAGCCGACTCCATCAGCATCAGGACAGTCGTGCAAGTTCCACACGATGATCTTCTTGTCTGCGTAACCGCAAAACATAGGCCCTCAATGGGCTTAGCCACTCAGTGCAACAACACCCCGGAGAAGGCACGCAAAACACGCATCAGGCATCTATGGGAGGCTCTACACAGCGCGTATATACACCCAATCTCTTGCACATAACGCAGAACCCGAATATACAAAAAGCGCGAGAGGATGTTCGTTTCAGGAGAGCCTTCTTCTGTGGGCCTCGGAGATTCTTCGCGGCACAGACCCTAAGGCCTACAAGTGAGCTGGGATCTCGAGTCATCCTAACCTCTCGAAAAGTGGTCGGCAACCGACCAATCACATTCAAAAGACGAGTATGACACAGAGGAAAAGAGCAACAAGCACCATCGGAAGACTTTCAGCAGTGGCGCCAGTGGCACCACGCCGAGATTTCTAGCGACAGAGGCCGTACGGCCTACAAGTGAGCTGGGATCTCGAGTCATCAACTTGCGCATCCGATGAAACGCGAAAAAGGCTGCCCCAAAGCGCTAAAAGATGTAACACCTCAATGAGTGCCGTTCCGAAGTCGGATGCTCTTAACAGAACGACCGGTGGAGGTGAACCTTGCGGACCATTTTGGTGCCATTGTAGCCTCTCCCGAGATTTTCGCCACCGAAGCGGACCCTCGAAGCGAGGATATGCTAGACACCGAAGCAGAGGGACTCTCAAACTTGTGTATGTACAGCCGAGCGATCATGGGATGAAAAATACAGAGAAGGGCGCGGGACATGGTGCCCCAGCCAAAACCCATATATGCATCGCCAATGCAGGAAGCGCAAGCAGTACACAATGTACGGCAGTGGCAAGAAAACGATAATGTTCTGCTGTGGAAGCATTCAGGGAAGTCTCCAGGCCAACACCCCACACCAAGAGTGGAAAGGCGGCGGCTGTTTCAAGTCGCACGAAGGGTGACACATTCACAGGGCGTCTCAGTTCCATTAAATTCAACAAGGCAAAAGAGAAATGGAGCAGGGCAACACGCCTGGCACCGGAGCCGCACTTCAGACAGCCCCTAAGTCCTCTTTCCATGAGCGTCGGCTACAACGTGGGGTACACCCGGGCCTGTGAGGTAGAGGGATCTACGTGGAGGGAAACAGAGAGCATGGACAAAGTATTCGGGTTCTGACCTCGTGAAGAAGAGATGATTGTGTTGCTCTTGACCGAGGGCGTCGAGATGGCCGTCACCCAGTCGGTGTGGCCCTCAAGAATGCCCTTGAAGACGAGGGGGGAGTCCGCTGAAACGCTCATTTTCCGGGGGTTTTAGCGGAGCGAAACAGTGAAAAAAGGGGCACTAACTCTCACGAACCTCGCGGCTCCCCTACATCGACCAGGTAAACCGCAATATACCAGTTCCCACATGCATGCTGCGTGGGGAGCTGCCACAGCGGGGTGCAGCTGCTGCTGTAGCAGCAGCTGCATCCCCTCGCATGCACTTGCTTCATCAAATGGGGTTGGTAGCCAATTTCGTGAATACACAGATTCCTTACCAGCTACTTAAATCCTGAGACCACATTTCCTTTTCGGTGATATAGCGGTGTAGCAGGGCCTTACGGGACTTTAAGTACTTCGGTAATGCACATTGGTTTTAGCTGATGACTGTAGCGCTCCATCTATAGTCTTTGTACGGTGACACTTCACTCCGGCATCAATACAGGCTCAGAGAAAATCTATTTAGTGGTTTTAAAAATAGCTTCCTCCATCCCCTGCCGCGCCTCTCAGAGATCCCACATGAGGGGACAGGGCCAGCTGGTGTGTGTAGCTGCCCCCCCAAAGCACTCCGAGCATTCACAGTAAGGAGTGCGTAGCAACTAACGAACACACCCCCAAAAGCTGCGTCTTCTTGTATCAATCTAAATACTCTGTAAGAAATGAATTCTACGAACACACAAACCAATGCTCAATTCTTATCAAATTCCTGGTTGAAGATACCCCATCTAATAAAAGGCGCTTGTAAGTAGCTTGGCCCTATGCATCTTTCCCCATTTCGAAAGACACGTTTTCGTGCTCCGGACTGCACTTTGAGACCAAGCGCATGCATGAAAGCAGAGGAGCTTCCACCCTAGCGCCGCTTGCCGGATAGGCAGAAGCGCGAAAATACTGCGAATAAGAAAGCACATGTATAAATCAACTGCTGACGTGAGATGGAAGAGAAGGAAGCAGCCGACAGAAGCCAACAATGAACGAGACACCAAATTAATGCGACCGTGTTGACGTGATGGCTCGCTCCCATTGGAACGCTGAAATGTGAGCCTATTGCTGCGAGTACACTCAAGACAAATAAAATGTGTGAACAGAGCAAAGTACACCCCAGCTCAGCAGCACCTCACCGCCTTGTTAAGCGATCTCTGTAGGCGGGCAGCGCAGTCGACCCAAAGGAGGCGTAGGCAAGAATGTAAAGTCAGCAAACCTGGGAGTGCCTGCTTATGAACTTATGTGTACGGGACAATTTGCAAAAATACGCACCAACATTTCGCTCAATAACATTTGACAAAATTGGCTCTTTCAGGATCAAAACCTGAGCGGGACATGGACAGGTATCGGGAATTGCGAGCAGTGCCAGTGATGGCGCCAAGAGCTCTTAAGTAAACAAAAGCCTAAATTCTCCCGCGGGCAACGAAACCCAGCTTCTTCTCCGTTAAGCATTAAATGTGTCGATTCCAACCCCGTTACAGTGCTTCTGTCCAGTGAATCCTCAACATTCAGAAATGCTAAAATTCAACGCTTCTGTGGCTCTCTGCGAATCATCTGGCTCCACACAGTCACTGGCTTGCGCGGTACAGTCCGCGAATAACCGAAAAAGTTTTGAAGCTTCTCTAGAGCACCAAAACCGATAGTGTTATGGGTCCTTTACCCGCGAGCAGTCAGCCCGCGTTCGACACCTCACTAACTAATCGTGTTGAGGACACTCGGAAGGGCCCCACAACTCATCAGTGAGCCATGTTCAAATAGAGCCTTGTCGTTGGGGACTAAATCCTGTCCAGAAAGGCGCTACGACATAGGGAGAACTTTCAGTGAGAGCTCTATTGATCCTAGAACTGGCCACTTTTCTTGTAGTGGAGCACTCGGGGTTTCCTTCAGCATACTGTCACTACAGTATAATATGCTCCAATAGCGGCCGTTGTTGATGATAGCAGATTCTTACAAACACTGTACAAGTCTTCAGCCGTTGTTACAGCCTCAGTTATCCCGAAGATGTTCTCTTTGCCAGCCGATCTTTACCTGAACACTATCCAAATCGAGGGTCAACATCCAGAAAGCCCCAGTAGGCCGTATCCATCCCACAATCATCCTAGGCCTGATCGGACAGGCAACAGTTTTTAGCAAAGGGAGACTAGAAGGAGTGTTCGATGGCGAACGTGCAAAGATCAGGTGACCCGTGAAGGACATGTAATTTCAGGATACAAATACAAATTTAAGCGTGCACATGTGTCTACCACTTCCTAGTCCTAAATCACTAATGTGCTCTATACTGTCCCAAACACGCGTCATGATGTACTCGATTATGGTAAGGACCTACGATTCTATAGGAAACTGTAATATATTCCGCAGAAGCTCCTTGACAACTTAAAAACACAAGCATCTTCATGCACAGAATGCGCATCAGGATAGCTTTTATGAAAGCTTGTGGCCTTGTGTTGCGTAGGGTCTTATCCAGTGTATTTGGGTATTTGCAGGGTCCATCCGTTAGGTGTCTCTGTTTCATGTCCAGTCATTCAACATGTGCGAAAAAGAACCAACGGAGATCCGGATTATCAGGATTATGTAGGCCGTCTGCAGCTAGATCACATCACGAATACCCAAATGGATGCAAAAGACAAAGAATGTAACCTGAGAGTTTTACCTGCAATGACGTTATGCTCGTGGCCAGCAGCACAAGAAGTGGGAGAGCTTCAGCTTTTGCAAAGAAGCAAGATGTCCCCATCTGCCGCTTGCCCAGGAACTGGTTGATATTGATTACTTGGTCTACTTTTTTATCTTAAGGTAATAAAAAAGGTAGAACTACTCAGAGTTATTAGCCGCTGGATACGAGCGAGACGAGAAAATCTGGGGATCCAACAAGTCCTAAATCTTTCGGGGGAGATATGAATCAGCGGAAAGGAGTAGCGGTTTGCGTTTTGTTGAGGTGAGGGCCGATGGTGAATTGTGTTAATCGTACTAACACAGCCCCCGTAGAGCATCTGCCTACGGTCAGTGAGACCTTTTGTGATGTTAGTTGCATGACAATTCACGGTCATGTGGGCTGGAGGTAATAAGTCACTAATCGATGCAGAACGTGAAAACCACCAGTTTTTAAATAAGCATCGCAGCTTTCACGTTCGTCGCTTCTTATCTCTTCGCATGACAGCAAGTGAAAGGCACTAGCACCTACCCTTGGTCCCTGAAGGTGCAGTTTATGCAGGATCTCCCTGTATTCATCAACTGATCTACGCCCGACTAGCTAGAATCTAGTAATTTTTCTCGATAATCTACTAGCATCTTCCTTTGCAATGTGACTTTGAGTGTGTGCTGAGCCCTTTGTAGTCTGCACCCAGGGGCAAAGCCTCGTAGTTTGCCCTGTGCTTTGAGGAAAGGGAGCGAAAGTGCAGGCTCGGCACGAACACGCGGTGATAGAACCTCCCCCATACCTCCCTAAGAAACCATGCTGCCGAGGTCTCGAAAAGCGGCTACACCGAAAGTGCATGCTGTTTCCCGTAATTATCCGCAGAAGTGCTTGATATGCTTTAGATGCCAATTTCAGCCCGAAACGGCTATTTTATCAGTCTATCTGGTGACGCATGTTCACGTCATCGTTTTCACCGTTACATTCACCAAGGTAGGAAATATCGATTGATCTAAAAGCAGCAGTCAATAGGCCAGGGTGGGGGTCGTCTGTGGCAGCCTAGAGCACCGCAATGAGCAATAGGCTTGTTTCTTCATTTGCCCCCACAGAAATGAGCCCACTTCCAAAACATTGACGCATGGTTGCACTATAGTTGAAGGTCTGGAGAGAGATGGCCAGAGGTCATCGAAAGGGGCCCGCAAGGTACTCACATGCCTTTTGGCTGCAGTGTACGAGAGTGGCTTGCTAATGCGAAAGCAATGATATGAGCAGTTCGTAACATCTAATATCCTGACGCAAGCTTGTCATATGGATCTGTGTGTGCCCGTGTGTCTCTGTATCCCTATGTATACAACAATACAATATGAAAACCAGTTAGTATGTGGAACGCAGTATGCAATTCTAAATACTGCACCTTCTTTCGCCTCCATAATTTCTCCGCAGACACGGACATGTATAAAGCAAGGATGTGCAGACAAATATACCGGGGCCAATAGGTTTACATCCCTCTTGATGCGCCTATAGCCGAAGTGTTATCAGTAGGTGGCTCAGAGATGGAGACTCCTTAGGTCTCCGAAAGACAGTGTATTTAGGCGGGCAGAGAAGACTCGCAGCTCCAAGGCTGCAAACTGCACCCTCTATTTGTCTCTCAAGGCCTTTTCTGCCTCTAATTCCAGACTATGATTTTGCTGCCAGCGTAGAATGGCAACTGCAAAAGCTGTAATCTACACTCCTCAGCATAGGCTACTGCGGAGGCTGCATTGGAAGCCGGATGCGGAACTTCGGGGGGACAGCAGTAGCTGCCTGCTGCTGCTGCTGCTGCTGCTGCTGCTGAGGGTTGTAGGCTGTTAGTTGAACCGGCGGGTATGGCGGTTGGGCATAGAAGGAGTGCTGCTGCACGGGTTGCTGCTGCATTGGTTGCTGCTGCGTTGGTTGCTGTGGATCATGAGGCTCAGGGTAGGTATAAACAGGCTGCGTCTGCTGCATAGGGAGCTGATGAGGCACAGCAGCACTGACTGGTTGCTGCTGCTGCTGTGCACCAAATGAAAGTCTGATCCGCAAAGGCTTCATCCCTTGTGGCCTCTGAGGGGTCCCCTCAACTATTTGAGGTGCTGCAGGAGCTGGCATGTAGTCCATCTGCTGTTGCGCTGGATGGAAGCTAGGTGAGCTATCCCTCTCCTTTTTCTTGGCCTTTCCTGCTTTCCCCTTTCTATCGCGTTTCCCCTTCTTCTCGTGCGATAATCCCTCAGCGCCGAGCGAGACAACACCCTGGGGAGTAGCGGGAAACTGCTGCTGCATCAGCGGAGGCCACATCGCTACTCCGGAGAGACTCGAGGAGGCACCTCCAAATGGGGTGGGGGGTTGCTGAGACTGAGAAAAGCCGCAGGCGGCAGGATCGGCGTCTTGATAAACTCCAGGAGCCGTCTGAATCGCAGAGGATCCCAGGGAGGGGGGCCCTGAGGGCGCAACGGAAGCGAAGGGATACGCTGCAACAGCACTTGCTGCCTCAGCCTCCCGAACTGCTGCTCTCCGTTGCTTTTTGGACTGAGGTTGCAGCGGCTGCTGCTGCTGCTGCATGAGCTCCTGCTGCGAGCCTGTTAGCATGGGAAGGCTTTTATTGGAGGTGCGGAGGGGGATCTCTATGCCCTGAGGGACATATCCCAGGTAACTCGGCATGTAGGCTTGCTTCTTGCTGCCCCCAGCTGGTCTGCCTAAGCCTGTGGCTGCTGCAGCGGATGTAGGGCGCACCGGCAGTCGCACAAGTGCCTTCCGCTTTGCCGAAGAACCCCCCGCAATGGAGCTGCCTTGCTGCTGCTGCCAGGCAGCAGCTGCGGCAGCTGAGGCTGCAGAGGGCGTGGGGGAGAACGGCACATAACTGTCGTAGTAAGAGTTTGCCGCGGATCCCCTGCTTGGCTGGAGCACTGAGGAGGTGACACTTCGGCTGTACGAACCAACGCTGCGGACAGTGGAGCTCAACTGAGAGGAAACCGCTGACACCTCGTCATCATCAGCCTCCGCCTCCCCTTCCATCAGCTCCCCACTCAAGGATGCCCCCCCCGGACCAGTTGACTCGGCGTCTGCAGAGGTCCCCACACGCCACAAAGAAAACAGCAACAACAAGAGCAGCAGTAAAAGAACAACCCCCTTTTCTGTGGCAGCGTGCGTGTAAACCGCAGGAGGCACCGCGTTAGCAAAGTAAAGCAGCTCTTGCAGCAACACGAAGCATCCCTCGGCAATCAAGTCCGCATCTCCCCGCGGAGGCAATCCAACATGAGCTAGAGAGGCCATACAATATAACCACCACTACGCCCAAATTTTGTGTCCGTTTGCCCGCCACAGAAAAAGACAGAAAAAGACAGACAGACAGACAGACAGACAGACAGACAGAGAGAGAGAGAGAGAGAGAGAGAGAGAGAGAGAGAGAGAAGGAGAGAGAGAGAGAGAGAGCGAAAAAGAGGAAGACGTAGAGAGAATAAGGCAAAGAGAAGAAACAAAAGTGATAGAAAGTAAGGCAGACAGATACAGCAAATGAGAGA